GGTGCGATAACCAATTGTGCAACATTTATTACATTTAATCGATCAAATTTACGAAGTACAAGTGTTGGAATTTATCTTTTATTCTATGCAATGATTAGTCAGTTGACACTGCTGTCATTGTTATTGAAAAGTCTTCAAGTACTTTTAGATTTTCTAATAGATGATACCTTATGTAAAATCATCTCCTATCTACTTTCAATTACTCTTCGATGTTCATTGTGGTTGATCAGTTGGGTGGCAATTGTACGTGTGGTTTACATCCGAGTTCTTTTCTCAACTCTATTTAAAAACGTTTATCTTGCGGTAAAAATCAGTTTTATGACGTTGATTATCGTCGCCTCGATGGATATTCATGAACTATTCTTCTATGTCAAAGACCCGAGTGGACAATCAGCTTGTATTGCTCACTATCCATCAATTGTATCCATGTATGAACGTGTCACTGTCATTCTCCATCATACTATTCCATTCTGTATTCAAATCCTGTCAATTACGGGACTTATCATTTTGGCAGCGCGTAGTCGTTCTCGTGCTACAAATAATTCGGAGACATTTTCCCGATATCTTCAACGACAGTTTCAAATTCAAAAGGAAATGTATATCGTTCCGCTAGTCGTCATAATCAGTGGTTTGCCACAATCGATCTTTTCATTTAGTTTCTCATGTATAGAGCTATCGTCGTGGCAGAAACATCTGTTAATTCTTGCGTATCTTTTCGCGTATGCACCACAATCACTTGGTTTTATTCTCTTTGTTTTACCCTCAAGTAGTTATTTGAAAGAATTTCAAGCAACTAGCCTGTCGAAAACATTTATTTTTCGATTCATTTTGACTGAATTGAAGAAAAATCATCTTGTACCAACCACGACGGTGACATAGTTTTCGAACACTCGCCAAGCGTGTGAGTGTAGAAATATGCTCGATACTTGCGCATTGATCGATTGGTTCTTACGTACTAATAACACTGTGAAAGCAGTTGTTCTCGAGTTCTAGTTGTTCAACGTCTCTTTTTGATCTTTTCACCTTATACGATGTTATTCACTGCTTTTGTTCTTTTAAACATATAGGCAACCTGATAATAATAAAAATGTTCTAAAATCTAGAGTTTTGATAGTGTTCCTTGTTTAATTGATGTCCAAATTGGAGGAACTTTATGTCGGTTGGACGGATTAAGTCGAGCACGCTCCATCAATGCTTCATACACTTGTCCATCGTAACGGCCCAAACAAGAATCTTTTCAATTAACAAATATCCATGTTGAGCAGAAGTTTTTAAGGAAATAACTATTAACTCACCCAATTCAAAATCATGAAAATCGAACGCATCAACTAGAGTAACAAGATTTGGACGAAGCTGAATGTAGAGATCCGGTAAAACACGACTTTCGAGTTCGTAGATTTGATCAGCTGATAGCAATTTCAACTATGGCATAAAAAATTGAATCAAATCTCACTGTATCACCATGAAAGACTTACTCGAACGAAATCTGTCGATGTATTTCGTAGTGTATGAATTGCATATACATAAAAAAGTTGCTCGAGAACCAATGCAATCGATACATGTTGACGTGCGTTCTGTACTTGATCATAAAATGCACGGATGATGAATGTTTCCATATGAGCCTAAATATGAAAGAAAGCGAAAGTTTTGGAAAGAATGGAGCATTTAAATATGCTATTCTATACCTTAGCCATATGTACTAATTCAATAGAATTCTGGATAAATGCATCGTATGGAGATGATGATGTTGATTCGAGCATTTTTCCAAACATCTCTTTGACCAATCTACAGCAATCATAAGGAAAATAATCTATTTATCATAGAAAACAGAGCTTACAATTGTGAACGACTTTCGAATAAACGGCAATAGTCATCCAATTTCAAACTCGTTGGTGGTAACCAGAGTGGTAAATTTAAATATGCAACCGATGAATGTAGACTTCCACTATTATTTTCTTCTACTTGTTGCATCCTTTTCAAAAGGTATCTATTTCAAAAATCGTCTTTTTAATCTGCTAAAAGAAATAACAATACCTTGCAGTTTGCTGAAGTAAAACAACATTATCCCCTTCTGCACTACAACCTCCATCAATTCCATTTCTCGACGTGACCAATCCACTTGCAACGAGAAAGCCGTGACCACCGCAAGCAACACGACATATCTGTGCGATTCGTTCACTGATTGATAATGTATAACCTTTGAATCCACACGAAAGTGCATGAAGCTATAATTCAATGAATACATTCATTAAAAAAGCAAGACTTGATATAGAAGTTCACCTGAGGTAATTCTCGGAAATAATCATCATCATTTGTTTTCAATTGAAAAAAGTAGCGATCGAGTTTAATAAAAGCAATGAGAAACGCGTAAGTGGTGGACAAGCTCGGAATCAATTTTTCTTGCTGTAATGGATAATCAAGTATTCGTGTTTCTTTTCTATACATGTAGAATGGAAAAACTCAATGGCTTTAGTGTTAGATTGAAACTGTACCCTGATGGATTTAATCCTTGAAATCGAACGGCTGAATATCGTACTGCAATAGCCATAGCTCGAATCAAAGCTATCAACGTAGTGTTGATGAGACGTAGACGTTCGTGTACCATTGTGCCATACAAAAGACGAGCATCGCCTTGCCGTGTGAAATTTCCATTTGAATCGACCTGTTCGAAAAGAGAAATGAGAAATTTAGAGAGACAACATCGAATCATACATGCGCTAATTTCATGAACATCTGTGTACGTGGAATACGAACATTGGTTAATCGTAAGTATCCATTATCGCCAAAGATATGCGCAAAACGAGTACTGATCTCGCCAACCTCCACGCCTACAAATCTGAGGCAATAAACAGGTGATTTACTATATGAATCAATCTTACCTGGCAATGGTTGGTGCGTTTTCAAATCACGAATTTGCACCAAAAACATTTGAACTCCACACGCATGATTACTATCGGGTGTGTATAATTGTGCCATAAGCAAAACATGATTCACGGTTTTACCCATTGAACCAGGCCAAAACTTGGTTGCCGTTAACGTTGGCGTATTTAATATGAACGAATCAGTTGTTTTATCGAAAATAGCTTCTGTTTCCAATCGTCTTATATCAGTTCCATGACCAAGTTCCGTTTGAGCATAAGTTGCTATGATTTGAAATGATTCTGCTAATGGTAATAGTGTATGCTTCTGTTCTTCACTTGCCAGATTCTCAATGGCATATATACACATGGATGTGTGAATGTAAAACGAAAAATAATAGTTCACGAAGATTTCATAAAACCAACCGCGATGTTTTCGATTGGTGATATTCAAACGATTGACTGCGTCGATAGCTGCGAAACTTTTTCGAATACAAAGCGAATAGTGTTCATCAGCAGTCAAGTATTCGAATGGTAAATGTGTTTGATGAATTGGATGGGTGATAGCAAGACGAGCTAAACAGAAAGATAGGTTATATTCGAAAAACAAATGAACTTCTACGAAACTGAGCTGACGTCGTGTGTTTATATCAAATGGATTGTCCGATCCGCCAAACATGAATTGAGCGAAGTCTTCAACATCGAATGTTGATGATTGACGCTCGGCTAATAAATGAATATTTTTGGTATCATTGATTCGATAGTGTGGTTTAGCGTCTGCATATTCAGGCATCTTTTGATTTCACACAAGTAGAAGAAAAGTAAAACACGTGTCGATGTATGCGCGCAAGAAGGAGAAAAAGAATAACAACACTACCGATAGTCTTTATCGAAAAGATATGAGTCATACGCAACACAGTCTACAGAACTGGGCTGACGTTACCAACGACATCTCCCATCATAATATTCGATATTCTTGTTCATCTTGACTGTTTTGATTATAATACTAGTTTTGTTTGTCATTATGTGAAGTATTCACAGAGAAGTTTCAGTATCAGCCATAGGATAAATAATGTTAATAAAGAAAACACATTGAGATCATAACTTACAGTTATCGAAATAAATACAAATTCTGCATCATTCATGATGTTTCATTTACTCGGAGAAGAACTTTCTAAACAATCTTCTCTCTCATAATAACTAATAAAAAGGAAATCAAAGATATTTGTCCGAAAACATTGCAAAAACGTCTTCATGTGAATAACAAACACGTGTTTCAGGAATGGGTATGGTTTTGTTCTTGAAAAAGTCTTACGTTTCTCTAGTCATTAAGACTTGGGCATAAAAAGAAAATATTCAAGCGTGAAAAAATTCTATTTGATATCATATTACCGAGGAGAAATGAGTAGAAGGGAACTACTGTCATACAGTTCAAAGTCAAACAGTAGAGTATGGTTGCATATATGTCTTTGACGTGAATAAAAGCATCATTTGAAATTAGATAAGACACATGGATTGAGTCCGACGGGAGGGAAAGAGCGAAGTTTCGATACTTCAAAGATGTTCGACAGATATCTTTGCAAAACCTTTGAAGGATGAAAATTTTCCCTTTTCTCCCCTTGATTCGATTTCATTTCGATTGCGCAAGTTTGTTATTCTTCTTGTCATATGAATATTCAGTTACATAACTATTGTAGAAATAACTACGTCATTTCTTACTAGAGAAAATCCAGCATCTGTTTTAATGTATGTGTGTTTGTTAACACGGAACAAATGATATTATTCATAACAAAAGTTTGTAGGACTTTATCAGTAATTAGTATTTCATTCATCGTTTTTGGAAATTCTATTCTATATGAACGGAAAATGTTTTATATGAAATATTTCTTCTATTTCATTTCTATACATTTGATCACATCTTCACTACGAATAAATCTTTATTTTACAAGAAATGAAGTAAGTGAATATGTATATAATGATGATGTAGGTATAAGATATAATTGTTTTCATCTTACTTCAAACATGAAATACGCCGAAATTAATCGACAGATCTCTTCTTATTGTATGAGTGAATCATCTTGGAAATTTCATATAGACGTTGATTCTTCATTACAAACATTTTCTTTTGCTGATCTGAAGAACATGAATATCACCAGTAATGATTTATATCTCTGGTCAACATCAATTGATACTATTGAACAGTATGAAATCTATTTAGAAACTAAAGATTTCTCTTTATCGAAATGGACATTTTATAATTGTACATTGCCAAGATTTGGATCAAAGTGTCAATATGAATTTTCTTTTTATCATGAGAATTATTCATCATTATATGAAATGATCTATGATTATTATTTTAATTTTACTGATACTGGAAACCAATTAACTTGTTATACTCATTTAAAATGTCATCGAGGCTTGCCGCCAGCTTGTTTAGATTGGACGGAAATATGCGATGGTAAGGTTGATTGTCTTGATGGAAATTTTGATGAAGAACATTGTTGGCAGCTTGAATTAAACGAATGTCAATCGAATGAGTATCAATGCAATATGGGTCAATGTATACCTTATGAATTTGTTCGAGATGATCGAGAATGTTTTGATTGTATTGATGGATCTGATGAGGAACATGGAGTACGAAATGATGTAGCATTAGTACGTGAGCCTGAACCTTCATTCGGATATGATGATATCAGATGTGAAACAGATTTTCTATCACGATCGTGTGAAATCAATCGGCATTTTCTTTTATCGAAATCAATGTTTTCAGTTAAAGATAATTCAGTAACAGATGAATGTTGGTCAGCTTTGAAATGTTATTTTGGTTTGTTAGATTCTTCCATAGATAACGATATTAATGGTACATGTATACCAATGATAAAGAAGACTTGTCCAGACATGTTATATGTTCCTAATGTTCCAGTCTTTTTCGGACATATTTATACTGCTTACAAGAAAGATGATATTCAATCTATTGATGATTATACCTTGCCTTATTTATGCTCAAATAGATCTTTTCATTTTGGATCACTTGATCTGATATCAGATGTATCAATGAAAAATACGAAGTGTTTTAAAATCTCGCGATTCGACGATTGGTGGACAAAACATGGATCTACTTGGTATTTTCGATATTTCTTACCCATAACTGATATCTATAATCAACTAAAAGAAATGAATCCAATAATTAATTTCCCTGTGAATCGATGTAATCAATCAAATATATATCAATGCAGAAATTCATCGAAATGTATTTCATTTCATCGACTGATCAATGACATATCTGATTGTCCATATTTCGATGATGAAGATATTTCTGAAAATACAAATTCTCAGTTATTTGTACGATTGAAACATAAATTTTATAAATGTCATTTTACGAATCGATATATTCTTCTAACTGCAATTGAAGATGGAAAATGTGATTGTGGATATCTTGACAAATCGTTTTGTGAAGATGAAAGTAAATACAAAACATTCGTCCTTAAAACGATATCTTTTCAAACAATTTGCGATCATTTTCACGAACTATATCCAGTTACAATTGATGGACAAAAACAAACAGATGAAAGTGAATGTGAACAATGGGAATGTGATAATATTTACACTCATTGTGATGGAATTTGGAATTGTTTCGATGGAAAAGATGAAAACAATTGTGATTCATTCTCAGATTTCTTTTCTTGTTCTTCACAATATCGAATATGTGTAACACGAGATACATCTGAATTTACTTGTCTACCAATGAGCCAAATGAACGATGGTGAAGTCGATTGTCTCGGCGGTACTGATGAAAAGAAACTTTGCCAATTCGATTCATCAGGAACCGATATTGGTGGATTTCAGTGTATGATTAATGGTATTTCAACATGTCTTCGGCTTTATCGATTATGCAATGATCAAAAAGATTGTTCATACGGAGATGATGAACAATTTTGTTTAAAAAATCGATCACTTCCGATGTTACGCGAAGTGTGTGAAGTTACCGATCCAATATTAACTTCCAATGTCGAAAAATTCCTTTGTAATACGACAGCAAAACGAACAAAACGACAAACGAAACAATTCACAATCACAGGATTTCATGAAACATCTGCAAATGAAGAGAATACAAACAAATTCTCTTCTGCCATACTTTTCCATGATGATCATTCAATTCGACCTGACAAACGTCGTTGTCTTCGTGGTGTTGATCTACGCGTTTGGTTAAACCATTCATCAAATCATTTCACAAGTACGTGTCTCTGCCCACCAAATTATTACGGAAATCAATGTCAATATCAAAATCAACGTGTCAGTTTAGTACTTCGATTTAAAGTTTCTGCTCAATCCAGACAAACTTTATTTGCAATTATAATTATGTTGATTGCTAATACAAATCAACGAACGATCCATTCATATGAACAATTCACTTATTTATCAATTCGAGATTGTCAAACGAAATTTAATCTTTATCTGTTTTATTCCACTCGACCAAAACCAATCAATCAAACATATTCAATACATATTGACATTTATGACAAAACTTCTCTTCAATATCGTGCAAGTTTCTCTTACTCAGTCAACTTTTCATTCTTACCAGTTCATCGTCTCGCTTTTATTGTCAATATTCCATTTGAGAATGATCGTGAGATTTGTTCAAATAAGCAATGTCTCCATGGAACATGTACGAACTATTTGAATACAAAGAAAACATTTTGTCAATGTGAACAAGGTTGGTCTGGAGAGTATTGTCATATATCACACAACTGTAATTGTTCACCAAATTCATTATGTGTTGGTAGTCTCAATGACAATCGATCGATTTGTGTCTGTCGAGAGAATTATTTCGGTTCTCGATGTTATCTTCGTTATCGAATCTGTGACAAATTCTCATGTGAAAATGATGGTTTATGTGTTCCTCATGATGATTTTATGTTATCATCAACGAATCACAAATATTTTTGTATTTGTCCAAAAGGTTTTAGTGGAAATCGATGTCAGTTCGCTGATAGTGAAATCAATTTGATATTTGATAAAGACATTCACTTATCTCATTCAGTTTTTATTCATTTCCTCAGAATTATTCTACTTAGTCCACTGCGAGTCATACCCAAAGCATCACCACAGCGATCGACAACATTACAAACAGTTTCTCAACCGACGAATTCGATTCGAATTTACTGGGCACATCCGTTTCATCTCACTTTCATCGAGACATTAGATAGAAATTATTACCTCACTGTTCTTCTACCAATTTTTAATTATTCGATAAGAATAACACGACAAATTCATTCGTCACATCGATGTCCATCGATAAATGAATTAACCAACGAAACATTTGCTCAATTACATGTTCTTCGACGAATTAAATCTTATCATTTGATATGTCAGAGATATTCTTCTGACTTACATTGTTTTTATGATGATCTTCATCTTTGTTTGTGCTATGATTTTCAAGGAAGACGCTTAGCAAATTGTTTTGAATTCGATCATCAAATGAAATTTGATTGTTATGGTCAAAATCATTGTGAAAACAATGGTCAATGTTTTCAAGATTCTCCCGATTGTCCTAAACGATCATTATGCGTTTGTCGTTCGTGCTATTATGGCAATCGTTGTCAATTTACGACAAATGACTTTGGTTTATCTCTCGATGCCATTCTAGTTTATCATATCATTCATAATGTAGATATTTTCCATCAAACTTCAATGATTAAGATAAGTTCTTCATTGACAATTCTATTTCTAATGATTGGGTTACTTAATGGAATTATTTCATTGATCACATTTAAGAATAAAAGTGTACTGAAGGTCGGCTGTGGAATTTATTTATTCGGTTCATCGATAACGACAATCATAACGATGATTTTCTTGGGATTGAAATATTTCATTTATCTTTCAATACAAATGTCCACAATATCAAATCGAATATTTCTTCAAATGCAATGTTATTCACTAGATTTTCTCCTTCAAATATGTTTAAATATGGATCAATGGTTAAATGCGTGTGTTTCGATAGAACGAGCCATAACAGTTATTCAAGGTATTCGATTCGTTAGGAAGAAGAGTAAACAATTTGCTAAAAAGGTTGTCATTGGTCTTTTGATCTTAATTGTGTTAACATCACTTCATGATCCGATTTATCGAAGATTATTTGAAGAAAAAAATGTAACTGATGAAGAGAAAAAACGAATCTGGTGTATTGTGAAATATTCTTCAAAGTTACAAATTTATAATCGAGTTGTGAATACATTTCATTTCTTCGTTCCATTTCTTCTCAATTTGACTTCATCCGTTCTTTTAATCATTGAAACATCTCGTCAAAAACTTCGTCTTAGCAGAGATCAAACACCTAAAGAAGTATTACATGAACAAATTCATGAACATCAACATTTATTAATCGCACCGATTGTCTTATTTCTTCTTGCTTTGCCACGTTTAATTCTTTCATACATATCAAAATGTATGAGTTCACCGAAAGATTCTTATCTCTTTCTTTCGGCATATTTCATTTCATTTCTCCCCGCTATGATGATAGTTTTTATCTTTATTTTACCATCGCAATTTTATAGAAACGAATATCAAAAGAGTATTTCACAACTTCGAACTCGAATTCAACAACACTTTCGGCAAACAAATTAGCAGTATGTCAACTTTTATGTGAACTGAATTGGAATTAACATGAAAAAGAACATATCGTAGAACTTTCTGTTCTTCTTTTCATGTTCATCAAAGACAAATACACATTCTCACCTACCTTTTACATTCCTATCTATAATTTACTGAGAGAAACAGCGAATTATTGATGGTTAATAAATGGCAGAGATATCGAATAAATGCTTTTTATTATTTTAAGTTCCTCAAACCTTTTCCTTACTTTATAACAAGAGCCGAATTAGTATAGTTTTCATAGATTTCTTTACAGTGCCGTTATTAGTTGTTAAAACGATTCGAAAAGTATTTTCTCTTATTTTTTGCAGCATTTTATTGTTTTTTCGATGTTAACAGGATATAACAATCAACTCATTTATTTCTTATTTCATTTGCAAATGTTTGCACAAAGAAGGAAAAACTAGTTGTATCCTTTGTCGGTAGATAAAAACCAGTAGATTTATCTAACGGTTTATCTTTCTGATTACTTTTGATCGTAAAATACGAATTTTCTTTGTACAGCCTCTCGTGATGCTCAAATCACGAGAACTGTACTCCAATATCCAATGAAGAAGAGTTTCAGAAACAACGTTTATTACTGTCGAATGCATATAGTTTACATGGAGCTTCCTTCAACGTTTTCATTACTATCGAGATCAAATTTTGAGGGTGACTCATCGTTTTGATTTTGAAGAATTTGTATATTGTCATGCAAGCTTGACTTGAATTCAAGATGTTCGTTTCAATATTCGCTTAATACATTCAAATGAAGAAAAAAAACATGGGCGTTTGGTAAATTCATGTGTCTAAAAAATGAATGTGATTCTGGATGTTGAATAGATCGTCATACATACATTCAATCAGTACCATTATATAGACTATCAGTGAGTTTTATTAGCATTTCTTCAAGAAACGAACAGGATAAACTCTTTTAGTCTCGATTCTTTGATTTACAGGTGCGTATAGAGATTTTTAACGTTCGGACCGAAAAAGAGCGTTAACTGTTCAGGGATGGAAAGTGTTCACTATATAGAAGGCAATTTACAGAAAAAAACAATCGTCAGGGAGCACGAAATGTGTTCAAACAACAGGTTTTTACTAATTGAGGTTTTACTGTATGTTGTTCTTCTTATTGCGTTATGTACTATAGAATTTTCAGCCTATACTTTCATCTTCGTCTATACATATTAAATATATTTGAATACCTGATCGCATAGAAGGATGTCAAGTAGTTTTCGCTCTTTTAAATGGGCCGTTAATCTCTACCAGTCATATTATATAGTATAGAAGTTGTAGCTTCGTATAAAGCAAAACGTTTTGTGGTGTTTTCTCTACGGCAACATACTTACCTACGTCTCTACAGAAAACAAGAGTGTGCTCGGTTAATGAGAATTGACTCGAGTTGACTAAGAGCAACTAGACTTGATTATGGGTGATTAGATGATTATATAAACTCCTATTCCGCTGTTTCCCTGTTCACGAAATTTCTGAACCATAAGGCAAAATCGGTTCTCGTACAAAAAAGTGATCGAGGGACTATCCAAAGCATTAGCGGCCGACGATTCGCATGTGACACATTAATGTGCATGGGCGAAGCGGCAGCAACAAGTGACGTTCTTCTCATTTTTGATCACTGCGTTGAAGGAGGTAAAGAATACTAGATATGGCAGAATGAATAGTCATGAAATCACGTATTACATACGTGCGATAACTAAATTCACCAAATACTGTAACAAACGTAAAGCAAGAACTCTCATTCTGATATAACTGCTATGGAATGGATTGAATTGAGATGAAAAGCACTACAAAAGGCACATTAGGATTTAATCTATACTAGGGATCGCACGTTTCTTTATCCTCTTATTTGTGCATGTATACGCACTGAAGCGGCGATCAGTAAATATCGTATAAAAGGAAACACTCTTTATTATTTTAGTTAAAAGCGTATTTTTTCAAGCATTGTTGCAATTTGATATCAAACCGATCATTATATGAGTTTTTACACGAATGCAATTGTCCTGAATGAATTCTCGTCAAGAATTCGGTTAAAAACACATCCGAATTGGTTTCTGTACAAATTTTATAATCTGAGAATCCATTGATTTTCATCGCGTTTCGTGGAGAATCACTAATGCCTTGTCCATACAACTGATCCGCATTAGCTGATAATATATAAAGAGATTTTACATTTTGTATTTTTGTACAGAAACCATTTGTCAGATTATTTTGCATTTGAACCATAAGTTGAGCGGCACTATTGTCCCACCTAAATAGAATCAAATCCGCAGTCAAATTAATTCTATTGGAGAAGGAAAAAACACTCGCCAGAAAATTTCTGATTCATTCTGATTGCCACATTTTGCAAGTGATGTAATTAATTTGTACGTAAATGGATCCAGATCAAGATTTAACTCGCGTAATTTCATATTTAGTTGTGTTAGATTAGTAGGCAATTGATTTTGTACAATCGATGGCATAGCAACTAATTGTCTGACTCCACTATCATCAACACGTTGAACAGAAAGTACATCTACATTATAGAGAACAAGATCAAGTGTGTCAATAAAGAAAGAAATGACGTTTTNCAAATTTGTGACAAATTTTCATGCGAAAATGATGGTTTATGTATTCCTCATGATGATTTTATGTTATCGTCAGCGATTCATAAATATTTTTGTATTTGTCCAAAAGGTTTTAGTGGAAATCGATGTCAGTTCGCTGATAGTGAAATCAATTTGATATTTGATGAAGACATTCATTTATCTCATTCAGTGTTTATCCATTTTTTCAGAATTATTCTACTTAGTCCACTTCGAGTCATTCCCAAGGCATCACCACAGCGATCGACAGCATTACAAACAGTTTCTCAACCGACAAATTCGATTCGAATTTATTGGGCACATCCGTTTCATCTCATTTTTACCGAGACATTAGATAAAAATTATTATTTCACTGTTCTTCAACCAATTTTTAATCATTCGATAAGAATAACTCGACAAATTCGTTCGTCACATCGATGTCCATCGATAGATCAGTTAACCAATGAAACATTTGCCCAATTACATGTTCTTCGACGAATTAAATCTTATCATTTGATATGTCAGACATATTCTTCTGACTTCCATTGTTTTTATGATGATCTTCATCTTTGTTTGTGTTATGATTTTCAAGGAAAACGTTTAGCAAATTGTTTTGAATTTGATCATCACATGAAATTTGATTGTTATGGTCAAAATCATTGTGAAAACAATGGTCAATGTTTTCAAGATTCTCCCGATTGTCCTAAACGATCATTATGTGTTTGTCGTTCATGTTATTATGGCAATCGTTGTCAATTTACGACAAATGAGTTTGGTTTATCTCTCGATGCCATTCTAGTTTATCATATCATTCAGAATGTAGATATTTTCCATCAAACTTCAATGATTAAGATAAGTTCTTCATTAACAATTCTATTTGTAATTATTGGATTACTTAATGGAATTATTTCATTGATCACATTTAAGAATAAAAGTGTACTGAAGGTCGGTTGTGGAATTTATTTATTCGGTTCATCGATAACGACAATCATAACAATGATTTTCTTAGGATTGAAATATTTCATTTATCTTTCAATACAAATGTCTACATTGTCAAATCGAATTTTTCTTCAAATACAATGTTATTCACTAGATTTTCTTCTTCAAATATGTTTAAATATGGATCAATGGTTAAATGCGTGTGTTTCGATAGAAAGAGCCATAACAGTTATTCAAGGTATTCGATTCGTTAAGAAGAAGAGTAAACAATTAGCTAAAAAGGTTGTCACTGGTCTTTTGATCTTAATTGTATTAACATCACTTCATGATCCAATTTATCGAAGATTATTTGAAGAAAAAAATGAAATTGATGAAGAGAAAAAACGAATCTGGTGTATTGTGAAATATTCTCCAAAGTTACAAATTTATACTCGAGTTGTGAATACATTTCATTTTTTCGTTCCATTTCTTCTCAATTTGATTTCATCAGTTCTTTTAATCATTGAAACATCTCGTCAAAAACTTCGTCTTAGTAGAGATCAAACACCTAAAGAAGTATTACATGAACAAATTCGTGAACATCAACATTTATTAATTGCACCGATTGTTTTATTTCTTCTTGCTTTGCCACGTTTAATTCTTTCATACATATCAAAATGTATGAGTTCATCAAAAGATTCTTATCTCTTTCTTTCGGCATATTTCATTTCATTTCTTCCCGCCATGATGATAGTTTTTATCTTTATTTTACCATCGAAATTTTATAGAAACGAATATCAAAAGAGTATTTCACAACTTCGAACTCAAATTCAACAACACCTTCGACGAACAAATTAGCAGTATTTCAGTTCTCATCAAACTTCATGTGAACTGAATTGGAATTAACATGAAAAATATGTGTTTAATCAAAATAAAGGACATACCGTAGAATTTTCTTTTCATGTTCATCCAAAAAAATACACATCCTCACCTATCTTTTACATTCCTATCTGACTTACTGAGAGAAATAGTGAAGTATTGATGGTTAGTAAAGAGCAGAGAAATCGAATACATGCTTTTTATGACTTCAAGGTTTTTGAATCTTTTACTTACTTTATAACAAGAGCTAAATTAGTATAGTTTTCGCAGATTTCTTTACAGTACCGTTATTAGCTGTTAAAACGATTCGAAAAGTATTGTCTTATTTTTTTGCAGTATTTTGTTGTTCTTTCGATGCTAACAGGATATAACAATGAACTCATTTATTCTTTATTTCATTGCAAATGTTTGCACAGAAAAAAAGGAAAAAACTGATTAGTTTTGGAGAATAGAATAATCAGTGACACTCGATTAGTAAACAAACTAGTAGTATCTTTTGTCAGTAGATAAAAAAACAGTGGATTTATGTAACAGTTTATTTGCTTGATTAATTTTGATTGTGAAATACGAATTTTTGCTACTAAAAGGTACTTTCTCTTTTATATCTGAACCTTGAAATTTTTCTCGAGTGGTGTTAGTTGTTTTTCGTTGGCATGTTCGTCGCTATCGTCATCATCCCTCTCACTGCTAATTGATTCATCGGACCTAGAATATTGTCCAAATTCAGACGAATTTTCTTTTCGACATTTCTTTGTACAGTTTCTTGTGATACTCAAATCACGAGAACTGTATTCAAATATCCAAAGAAGAAGAGTTTCAGAAACAATGCGTAGTATTGTCAAAAGTACATACTTTATGTGGACCTTCCTTCAACGTCTTCATTACTATCGAGATCAAATTCTGAGTGTGATTCATTGTTTTGACTTTGAAGAATTTGTGTATTGTCAGGCAAGTTTGGCTTGAATTCGAGCTGTTCGTTTAAATATTCGCTTAATACATCCAAATGAAAAGAAAAACATGGTGTTTTTTCAACAAGTAAAAGATGAAAATTTGGAACTGATTTCGGTTTTAGTTTTTTCATGAGCCAATATAAATTCATCCTTTTATTTCAATTCGAAAGACATTGCATAGCATGATAACAGAGTGTAATACAAGTGACCCAGGTCAACAAATCCGATGGGATTGTTCGACACGGGTTAATGTGCATAGGCGAAGCGGCAGCAACAAGCGACGTTCTTCTCATTTTTTATCACTGCGTTGGAGGAAGCAAAGAATGCTAGATATGACAGAATGAATAGTCGTGAAATCACGTATTAAGTACGTGCGATAACCAAATTCACAGAATACTGTAACAAACGTAAAGCAAGAGCTCATTCTGATATAACTGCGATGCAATGGATTGAATTGAGATCAAAAGCACTACGCAGACACATTATGATTTAATCTATACTAGGGATCCCACGTTTCTTTATCCTCTTATTTGTGCATGTATACGCACTGAAGTGGCGATCATTGCTGTTAAGAACATATTGTGGTTAAATGGCAAGGAAGCGAAAGCTTGATGGTAGCACGTGAAAATTCGTTAAAAGTATATGTACATGAAACTTGCGAAGATTTCGCTGGAGACAAGTGTTTGCCTCTAGATCGCGAATAATTCTCTGCGATGGAGCAAATGCAAAATCAGAGTTTCAGATTTTTTTTCTGTATACTGATTCTATGTGAGTTGATTCGTCGCTTTTAGTCAGTTTACTGCTATTTATTTTCTATTTGTAATCAAATCAATGTGTTTATGTTCATATGGATCTTTAATAATTTCTATCTCTACTCAGAATTAAACATAATTGCAATCTTTTAACCATTTTATTAACGAAACTAACCTCGAAAGCCCTATTGTTATTTCTAAATATAATCGAATATCGTATAAAAGCAACACTCTTTATTATTTTAGTTAAAAGCGTATTTTTTCAAGCATTGTTGTAATTTGATATCAAATCGATCATTATATGAGTTTTTACACGAATGTAATTGTCCCGAATGAATTCTCGTCAAGAATTCGGTTAAAAACACATCCGAATTAGTTTCTGTACAAATTTTATAATCTGAGAATCCATTGATTTTCATCGCGTTTCGTGGAGAATCACTAATGCCTTGTCCATACAATTGATCCGCATTAGCTGATAATACATATAGAGATTTTACATTTTGTATTCTTGTGCAGAAACCATTTGTCAGATTATTTTGCATTTGAACCATAAGTTGAGCTGCGCTATTGTCCCACCTAAATAGAATCATATCCGCAGTGAAATTAATTGTATTGGAGAAGAAAAAGAGTGGGCAAGAAATTGNCTTGCGCGTGAGCGCCCACCTCTTGCCTTTGCAGGCATGGATCAGATCAAAAACTTGTTTTTTGCTCGTGCAGGAGATTTGGTTGATTATAAATTAAGTTTAATTGCTGAAAGATGATGGCGAGACCGAGAGAGAAGGTTCTTTGTGTGAACCGAAGGTAGTCAAAGTTTACGTGTATAAACGAAAGAGAACGTGACTACTCGCTAGCTCGTCAGAGAGGGAATGAGATCAAGATTTAACTCGCGTAATTTCATATTTAGTTGTGTTAGATTAGTAGGCAATTGATTTTGTACAATCGATGGCATAGCAACTAATTGTCTGACTCCACTATCATCAACACGTTGAACAGAAAGTACATCTAAATTATAGAGAACAAGATCAAGTGTGTCAAGAAAGAAAGAAATGACGTTTTTTTACCTAAGAAAACATTATCACTACTATCCGATGTTTTCCTCAAGTAAGGATATGTTCCTAGTTTTGGATTGGGTATCAATGATGAATAAGCTGACATAGATTTAAATTGACCACCTTTAATGAACAATATTGAGAAAAGACTGTAAGATTGAAGTTAGATCACTAACCCGATACATAGATTGTGCCAATTTTTGGTACAATTGATCGATCACGAATGATTGCCTCGGCAATATTAGTCATAGGTCCAAGTACTAAAATGTCAACAGGTTTCGAAGAATATTTCAGTGTAAATATAATCAATTCCACTGCTTCGAATGGTGATGGTTGTAAAAAAATATCCACGCTCTGATTAAGGCAAGTTGGCGATGTTAAATATGTATCGATAGAATTTAAAATTTTCGGATCGATGTTCCACCCCGATGACATCATTGGTACACTGGAAATATTCGAGAATGAAATGATGTTAATTGTTGATATATAAAAACCTTTGTCCGCTCGCAACTGGAATACCGTATGAACAATTGATCAAACCAAGAAAACTGAGAATATTTGATGTAGAGAAGAATGGAGAACTATGAGTTATAATTGAAAATAATTTTCTAGAATGATTCGAATTATTAATAACCTGTATCCATCACCAACAGTTGTTATTGCAAGAATATTAACTGTTGGAACCTGCAATCAACAAATAGAAATATCTGAGAATTAGTATTTGTTTTAGGTTTACTTTAATTAAGTAAAGTATCGCCCATAAATCATCAACATCAGCATCAGTATCGATTATAACTGGATTTCGGTTGTCATTTTGACCTAAACAACTTTCAATATTTCGATAATTTGCCAACGCTTGACTTTCCACAATAGAAGAAATCAACACCAAACAAGTTAATAAATTCATCATTTTGTTTCAACCTAAATCTGTAAACATATGTACAATCGACTTTTATCTGAGTTAAAAAAAACTATTCGTACTTTTTGACGCTATTGTCTCAATATCGACGCAAAAAGAATCATCATTATCGTTAAATATAAGATGCTAAACGTCATAGAGTACACAGAAAACACGTGGAAAAGTGAATGCATTGTGTAATACGTGGTTTTGTTTACACGTCTTGTCAAATCAAATAATATATTTCTATTCAATCAGTTATGTTGAAAACATTTCTCAACTTTTTAGTTCAATACTGTTACAACGAAACTTAATTATGTGTGTGTGTTTTTTTTTCTTTAATTGACTCGTAATAGCATATTGGAAGACATCGCTGGTCGTTCATTATTTCACAATGAATGATATGTATAGTGAAAAGTTCGCTTGTGTTCTCCCGATCACATTTTCTATTGAACTATACCAGAGTATAACGAAAGTTTCATAATTTTACTAATTCATTGCTCTTAACTATCGGTTAAAATATGTGACTTTGAAGGTTGATCCATCATGCGATAGAGAGTAAATAATCATCATTTTCTATCACGCGAGATCATTGACGCATAAAGTTTTTTTTTCAGTCAAGAATAAACAAAAGTGATTTCATATTAAACATTTTGTATGGCTTCTATGCATCTCTGTCAAATTTATAATTATGGTAGACAGAAAATTTCAACCATAAATTGCCATAGCTTAGAAAAATCAAGACACTTTGTCGTCGGTTTTTTTTCTGGAACGGTATGGCATCATATTCCAACTAGTAATCTGCACTCTTCAAACTGGGGTAATTACAGCTATGTTTTAATTTTCTAGAATGTTCTTTGTATGATATGACACGCTTGCCCAGATTCATCTTCTACTACATCGATCTTTCTCATTTATTTTTACGAGTTCTTTTGTTTATTGGTCATTCACAGGAAGTTGAACATGACTTAATACTTATAAATATCAAAGTCTCTTCGTAATATAATTACTGATTCGTTACTAAGTAATCATGCAGAATCTAAAGATTTGTGCTTAAGTGGCAATCTTATACATGTAAAAACATTTTCTTCCATCCGAAACGAACTGAAGTAGAGAAGCATTTATTCAAACCATGTCGTCAGCAACAATCACTTCATTGACGATCGCTTATCAAAAAGTGGTTATCTGTATGGGTATTCCTATTTTATTCCTCGGTCTTATCGGTGGCATTTTTAATGTATTTGTGTTTCTAAGTCTTCGAACATTTCGACAAAGTTCCTGTGCATTTTATTTAACAATTATGTCGACATTAAACATTGTTCAACTAATAACTGGTTTATTATCACGTATTCTCATCAGTGGTTTCGATATTGATCTTACACGTAGTTCGATGTTCTATTGTAAAGTTCGAACATTCATTTTCCAAATTGCAGCAGCAAATTCTTTCGCCTGTATCTGCTTGGCAACGATAGATCAATATTTTGCCACATGTGCACGTCCTCGATGGCGACAATGGAGCAACATTCGATTAGCAAGACGTCTTCTCATCGTTATAATTCTATTGATTGTCATCGAACAGGTGCCCTGTTTGATTTATTACGATCAAAAACGATTACTGTCGTCGAATGAAACAATTTGCACAACCACCACTGGTGACTTTGACAAATTCAACACATATTTTAATTATCTCGTTGTTGGAAACTTACTACCTCAAACAATAGCCTGTACGTTTGGTATTCTCGCTCATCGAAATATTCAACAAATAAGTTATCGCACTGCTCCATTAGTTCGACGAGAACTTGATAAACAGTTGAGCGCGATGGTTCTTGTTCAAGTTTGTTATATGTGTGTGATACTTTCATCGCATTTCGTTATTTATATGATTGCAGTCTATGGAAATATTAAAGATTCTATCGTTCAAATGCAAATTAATCTCGTCTATGTAGTTAGCCTTTGTTTGTACTATTCTCATTTTGCTGTAAGTCGATTTTGATTAGTAATATTTTTACATTTAAATCAGTTTTTCCTTCGATTTTAGTTCCCATTCTATATTTATATGATTGTTTCCGAACGTTTTCGTCGACAATTCAAGTATGTTGCTTTTAAGATGCACATGGATTGTTGGCGACCAGATCGTGTTGGTCCAGATATACTTACCAACTCGACATAGAACGTACCGAAAATATTAGTCAATCATCGATGGATTTCTATATATATATATCCTTACCAAATGTTCAATTCATAATTGTGTCACTAAGAATGAAGTTAGAAGGTCATCCATACTCGCGCTCACATTCATACCATTTGCTTTTTCTTTTCTCTTCGTATTGACTACTTTAAATTTATTTTCTTCTTACAATTGAGTATGGTACAATATCGGTGGAATTTGTCTTTGTCTTTCTCTCAAGATTTAATTGAATAAATTTAATTGCGTTATAGCCTTTTCTTTGGTGTGAAAAAAGTATATCGTTCCATTTCTCAACTGACTAGTTTTCCGACAGTTTTGAACGCTTGGCGTACTTCTAATGCACATATAAAATGTTTCAAAACACAATCACAGAATATGTCCATGCGTACTGAAAAGAGTTGTCACACTGTTCCCGTTTTTTCCTTTCCCTTTCGACGAACATTTATTCAAAAATTATGTTCGTTATACTTTCCCTTCCAACATTCGTTTATTCTGTCGTTTCCCTTTTGACTTAGTGATGACCTAGTGAGTGAGTGAATGGAAGGAAAACAGACGATAATCCGTATATATTCCATGATTAGCATTGTTGCACATACAAATGAGTGTATCATTTACTACATCAATGGTAGATGTGACACTTTCACCATATGATGCAGAAATGGGTTCGACTGAATACAAAGATTAACGGACAAAAATTGATTCAACACTTTACTTTGAAAGATGACACCAAACATGACATTTACTTTTGCAAAACTTAATGAATCAAACAACGCGCTCAATTGTAGGCGTATGAGAAACACGAGGTGATGCGAGATGTTTTATCTTCATTGTAAAATTGTAATCTGTGCCTATTAAAGGTGAACTAACCCCAATATACTGAAATTAAATATGCTTTCGAGTGTCACTTAGATTCAAAACTACACGAAGATTTGAAGAAAATCATCTAAAGGAAAGTTGGGCTATTGTGCAAAAACTCAAATGCGAATGGTCAGTCGCTTGTCCTGGATCCAAACATGATTTTCGTACAATATCGAAGTGAACATAAATCTTCAAAAAGATTACTTGTAGTCTGGAGTCGGATCTAACAAATGCGAAGCCATAGAAGAGATGAAGTTCGTTATAAAGTAAACAATCCTGTAGTATAAGAGTATGCGAAACACTGTTCGTCGTGTTTTATTTGTTCTTTCATAATTCTTTTCGTTTATAATAGATATAGGGAACAATGAATTTAATTGTTTCCTGAAAGAGCTAACGCAGGAGTATCTATATTCCATTCAGTGGCATGTACAACAGACAATAGAAGATTGATTCGACCTATTAGCAAATCCGTTACAGATATGAACAAATACTGATCTGAGATGCATCGTGCTGCCTAAAGGAGCTATATGCAACTGTCTCATTCTAACTAAGATGAGCATACATTCTCAAATATATTTTATACAATAGATCGATTTCGGAAACAAACTCGAGAGAAAGGCATTTTTTCCTATTAGTTTCAAGTATTTCAATCTACTTCACATGTCATGATCTATTTATATAACCATTCCATCATTCAGTTAATTTGAATCATTTTGCAAATTCGAGACACTGAGAACTACTGATTGCACGTTACATCGCCAAAAAACATCGACGAACGACCGGCTAATTTGCTTAGTGAAGCATCTCATACACACCTACGCTTGTTTATAATTCATTGGCAAAAATCTTTCGAAGAAGATAGGACCATACGTGACTTATTCGCGATCAGTGATATTTACATCGAAATAGTGAGATACATAATCGTATTTGGTTTGTTCACAAATGATAGAGCTGTCAGAGACTCATCTATCTCAATGCCATATAACAAATATTCGATAATGATCAGATAACTTATTTTTTTTACATTTATTTGGTTTCACCGGCAACTACCTTTTTTATAGAAAAACAGTGGAAGTTATGATATTTTTCTAATGTCATTGTACTTTCTTCATTTGATCTTAGAGCTTGTGTAAAACATTGTTCGATACTTCAATGTAAATTTAAACTACATTTGAGCCTGAAGACTGCATTTTTCCTTCTTATGAGCGTCTGTAAAACCACCTTTTGAAGAGTATTTATCTTAACTCTTGAACGAGTATTACAACAGTTGAAAGTATAAAAAGTTTCCTTCCAACAGTTTACAATTAAATTTTGTTTAACGTCATACTATAGCTAGTTTTCATTAGAAACAAAGATCGATAAGAACATTGCAAAAAAAGTGTGACTTTCTCTGAATAAAACCTGCCTAAGAGGCTCTAATGTTTAACACATACATCAGACGGAAAATCATTTTCCAATTAAAGTACTTCACACAAGTTTTTGATGGAGATGTGTCAAAATCATCATAAAAGACTTCCTCAGATTTTTATTTTTTGCATTTTGCTCTACAACACCGGTTACGAAAGATGTTGAGTTTTATTTTTATTTCTGTCTTGTTCACTTATGTTAAATTATCGTCAGCAAATGACGCGATTCTAATGGTTAATCCAACGATATATTGGGGAGTAACATTTGTACCAAGTGTCAGTTCATCTCTCTTGGAAATTCGTCAACACTTTCTTTCATCATCACCCCTAATCACTGATTGCGCTCTTGTGTGTTTACAATCACCAAGATGCTTCATAGCTGCTTTTGATTGTCAAGCAAAAACTTGTTCATTGTATAGCGAAATACTAGCAGATGGTGGACACTTTGCAGCAGCTGCATCCAGTCAAAGTGCGACAATCAGCGTATCGAAATCATCAGGTAAGATCCATATACACTTTATATTCTATTGGGTATGGAGAGCTTCGTTGTCAATCTATTCATCTGAAATTCCCGAATATGTTACAGAACGATTTTTAATCTAATCCTATACACTTTTCGTTTTAGCATTATTTCTTCAAGGTCCAAATGATAATATATACCCTGTTTGGAATACGACTGCTGGCCATGATAGTACTGTCTCACTACCTGGACCCCAAATGGGTGGCTACTATTCTTCTGGTTCGCCAAAATATCTATTTGATGGTGATCTAACTACCGATGTCGACCTGTACACTCCTTGTAATCAATCATTTTATGATCCGCAATGTGTCGAGGGCACTGGTGCATATGCCATTTCATATCGTGGCGCATTTGTACTTGATTCTTTTCGTGTGGGTACCGGACATTATTACAGTCCAAATCGTGATCCGATAACAATGACAATTGAAGGTAGCAACGCCACTAATTTGACTTCTCTGACACTTGGATCAAGTTGGACATTACTCTACAATGGTTCAACAGGATTAACGATTTCTCCCGGAAAATACAGTTTGGGTGTCAAGCAAACACTTGTGAACAACTCAGCCGCATTTCGAAGTTATCGATTTTTATTTGTTTCAAAACGAAATGCCGAGTCTGCTACTGAACTTAGCGAAATTCAAGTTTTTGCTCGCTGATTAAATCACTAACCACAATAATCAAGCTAATCCTCTAATCTACAATCTATCTAAACTTCAATTATTTTTCTGTGTTGTGTAGTCTAAATATATGTTTAACTCGTTATATCATCTTATCTAAATAACATTTCTTCTCAAATCTAATTGAAATGCTTTCGATATTAATATAAATCATAAACATTGGAATATCGAATCTAGCTCTAATTGGCCCAATAATAGTCAAATAGTGGCATGTTGATGTACTGTTGCGTCACATATAACTGTTCCTAGATTTTTTATTGTATTTACGTGCTCGATCGACGAACGATGGGTATGAGAAGGGAAATAAAAGTACAGAATGGGAGCTGACAGTTATACGAAGAATACAATGAGTATCGGAATCAAGTTAGGTGTGAAATATCAATGATTTGTAACATTCTGGTATAAAATTTCTGTCACCTTAGATTTCGAATTTGTAAAAACTATTATCAACTAACATTGTGATATCGATATGAAATGAACTATCACGAGGGTTAATTATATATGCAACATCACATCGTATATCAACGTGAAAAAAACTTGTGGAATGAATTGCCGTTGATCATATAAGAAAAAAGTACATTGTGCAATTGATTTGAAAGAAGTATTTGCGGTTATTCAACACATTGCTGTTATATTTAAAACAAACATTATTTTTAAACCATTAGCAGAGTTAGAAAACGATAGACCAAATGAAACTGTTAGATCGACACATCTTTGTAATCTGTGCGTAAAATAATATGAAAGAGAAAACAATTCGATTAGCTGAGACTATGTAGACAATGGTTAAGAAATAAACACCATTACTTTATTGTAGAGAAGAATTGCACGATTAAACTAAGAATGTTTTAAACAATTTTGGAATATGTGCTTCTTCTATACATTGCAAAAATACTCACAGTTACTTGCCAACATCGGATCCATTATAGAGTTATTTTAATTCGTGAATTCCTTTGAAGTGCATTCTTGATGTATCGTTTTCCGTCGTTGTCGATCTGGTTGTAATCAAGATAAAGTGCGAATGGTGTTTCAATATCCATTAAAGCATCAATTAAACGTTCTGCTTTTTGTGCACTCACTCGATTTTCACGCAGACGAAGTGTCATGAGTGTCTACGTGTAAAAGAACAGGATTTGATTAGTAAGAAGAGAATTAATAATACTCGGTTCTGAAGTAAAACATTGACTATGTATTCAGCACCTTGGTCGCTAAGTTGAATACCTTCAAGACCTAGTGTGGTAAGTGTCTGTGCAAAATGATCAGTGACAAGAGAAATATGAGAGAAACAATGTGCTACTTTGTTGTGTATTAGAGCGTTGCTAAGATATTTAACGCCCTGATCACCAATATTATTCCGTGAAAGATGGAGTATCCGAAGTGTCTATATGAACTGATCATCGAATCATAGGTGAAAGACAGTTGGAAATGTTACTTCGTTTTCCGATAGACCATCGGCGAGGTATTGCGCTCCTTGTAAGATTATTTGATTGAGGCGAAGATCAAGCGTTGTCAGAGTCTATTCGAGAAAACGAAAATAGTGAATAAGTACGAATAAAAACGTACACTGTACTTTGTTCTCAACTAGAAGTTTACTTAGATGTCCGGCTCCTTCATCACCAATATAATTATTTGCGAGGTTTAACGTGGTAAGTGTCTATGTCAAAAAATAAATCAGTCGTATATGAAGATGAGGTGTGGTACTGTATTTTTTAGTAAAGCATTGCTTAGGTATTCTGTTCCCTGTGGACCAATGTTATTGTTATGGAATTGAAGTGTAACAATTATCTACATGCAATCAAATGAATTGAAGATATATAATGAATAGAAATTGTTACTTGGTCATGGAGAAGTACAGAACTGATACACTTTGCTTCTTCAGAGTCATACTGATTGTATTGTAAACAGAGATTAACAATAGTCTATATGTTAGAATACATAGTCGATGAATATAGGAGAAAGAATGGTACTTTATTGTGTCGTAAAACATTGCAGAGATGTTTGACTTTTTCTATACCAACTTGATTGCCTCCGAGATAAACTGTACTGAGTCTCTACGAGATAATTCTTTGTCAAAATCAATACAATCGTATTGAATATTACTTGATATCGATGGTATGTGTTTGTAATTGTATTCAATCGTGCACAAACATTTCGACATGCGGAGAAGATTGTTAATTCATCCAAAAAATCCAGAATTCGATAGACTAATTCAACAGGTATCGTATGCAATGATAGATCTGTATTTTTAGACATGTGTGTGTCTTTAGAGGCGTCTTTCACCATAAATATGCTGTTATTTTTCTTGGTGAAAGTAGAAAAATGCGTGCGTGTGTATGTATGACAGAACGCAAAAGTTATGAAGGTGTTTTTTTTATTATCACAAACACAAAAAAAGAACAAGCAAAAAAGGATGAATCACAAAATGTAACGTTTGGTATGAAGTTATAATTCAACTGTTTCGCTAATCTCGTTAGCCCACGAGGGTGGTTCAAATTCTTGTACCATTTTCCATATTAAACCTAGAACAAAAACAATTTTTATCTAATAACTTTCAGTAACGTTGAAACTTTACTTTTCCATGTGTCGATTTCATAGTCTTCATCGACATTTTCATCCAAAAATAACTCTGCAGTAGGTTCTTTCGCAGGATTATGATACTCTTTCAGATAGGGATGCACTAAAAGATAACGTGATGGAATAGTTTACGACTGATTTGATCTCACTCAATGCTTCTTCTACAGTTGGACGCATACGATAATCAAAAGTTAGAAGACTATCGAGAAAATCTATACCTACAAATGAAACAAACGAAATGGCCTCGATTCATTTCACGGTTTAACTGACCTTCAGGTGATATACCAAATGTTAATTTTTGTTGTGTCGGGCTGCACCTATATCCAAACCATTCATTATAATCTATTCTTGGTCTCACCGGTAATCGCCGGATGTAAGACGTTATTTCTAAAAATATGATCAATTACTCATCTGTGTCATGCATACACAAACCAGAGATCTTATAATCGTTCAATATGGCCAAGTCCGGTGTACCGATGATGTCAAATATTTGGTCGAACTGATCAAGAGAATCATCACCACAGAAAAGTGACTGACCTAGAATGAATTCTCCCATGATGCAGCCAACTGACCATATATCGACTTTGTCACCATAACGTTTATCGCCGAGGAATACCTCTGGTGAGAGCCACCATCTAATATAAGAGAAAAACCATCGGGTCGTGAATTGAAATAAGTACCGAAGACGTGCCTGCTATCACGAGAAACCAATTTATCATAAAATGGATTATGAGTTGTACCGAAATCGTAGATCTAAGTTTTTCGTGTCGAGGAAACCAGGTACATATGGTACTATAATAACCTACTGTAATATTTGAATTTCGATTAAAACCAATATTCTCCGGTTTTAAATTCTATTTTAGTATAGCAACAATGCTATAGTTGTCTTTAATCTTCTACTTACTCGATGAGAAATACCAGCTGAATGAATGAACTATATACATTCAAGTGAAAAGAAAGAATATGTTGTATCAAAAAGAACGATGTTTTCACCTTTAAAATACGAAGTAGTGAATAAATAAAATATTTTATTCGATCTTCTGGAAATTTCCTACGATAACATCTGATAATTACATTCAGATCATAATCCACATAGTTGAATACAAAGTATCTAAATCGCAACAAAAAGCGAACAAACGTCATTATCAATGTTCACAATATATACAGCGTTTGAAAATCATCGAGATTCTGCTCGGGTGTGTATACATTACGCAACTGGACAACCTAGAAAAGCAACTATTTCTAAAGAAAAGAATGAATTATGTCTACAGACTAGCGCTTCACGATGATTAAAGTGCATCAATAGTTTCAATTTCACATAAATTCGTTTCGCCCATATCGAATTTTGAAAAAGATGANATTCTGTCGACGAAATGCTCTTCTACAAAAAAACTTTCGACAAAAAAGACGTTCGACAAAACTTTGTCGACAAAACTTCGTCGACCAAATGTCGTTCGACCAAAAACATGGTATTCTTTAAATTGACCACCTTTAATAAACAATATTGAGAACAAAATTGTAAGATTGAAGATAAATCACTAACCCGATATATAGATTGTGCCAATTTTTGGTACAATTGATCGATCACGAATGATTGCCTCGGCAATATTAGTCATAGGTCCAAGTACTAAAATGTCAACAGGTTTCGAGGAATATTTCAGTGTAAATATAATCAATTCAACTGCTTCGAATGGTGATGGTTGTAAAAAAATATCCACACTCTGATTGAGGCAAGTCGGTGATGTTAAATATGTGTCGATAGAATTTAAAATTTTTGGATCGATGTTCCACCCTGATGACATCATTGGTACACTGGAAATACTCGAGAATGAAATGATGTTAATCTTAGATAGATAAAAACCTTTGTCCGCTCGCAACTGGAATACCGTATGAACAATTGATCAAACCAAGAAAACTGAGAATATTTGATGTAGAAAAGAATGGAGAACTATATGATTTATAATGAAAATAATTTTCTAGAATGATTAGAATTATTAATAACCTGTATCCGTCGCCAACAGTTGTTATTGCAAGAATATTAACTGTCGGAACCTGCAATCAACAAATAGACATATCTGAGAATTAGTATTTGTTTAGATTTACTTTAATTAAGTAAAGTATCGCCCATAAATCATCAACATCAGCATCAGTATCGATTATAACTGGATTTCGGTTGTCATTTTGACCTAAACAACTTTCAATATTTCGATAATTGGCCAATGCTTGGCTTTCCACAATAGAAAAAATCAACACCAAACAACTTAATAAATTCATTATTTGTTTTAACCTAAAAATCTGTAAACATTTGTACAATGGACTTTTATCTGAGTTAAAAAAAACTATTCGTACCTTTTGACGGTATTGTCTCAATATCGACACGCAAAAAGAATCATCATCATCGTTAAATATAAGATGCTAAACGTCATAGAGTAGAAAGAAAACACGTGGAAAAGTGAATGCATTGTGTAATGCGTAGTTTTGTTTACACGTCTTTTCAAATCACATAATATATTTCTATTCAATCAGTTATGTTGAAAACATTTCTCAACTTTTCAGTTGAGTATTATTACAACAAAACTTAATTTATGTGTTTTTGTTTTTCTTTAATTGACTCGTAATAGCATATTGGAAGACATCGCTGCGTGGTCGTTCGTTTTTTCTTTCACAATGAATTAGTGAAAACTTCGCTTGTGTTCTTCCGATCACATTTTCTGTTAAACTATATACCAGACCATAACGAAAGTTTCATAATTTTACCAATGCATCGTTCTTAACTATCAGTTAAAATATGTGACTTTGAAGGTTGATCCATCATGCGACAGAGACTAAATAATCATCATTTTCTATCACGCGAGATCATTGACGCATAAAGTTTTTCTCAGTCAAGAATAAACAAAAGTGATTTCATGTAAAACACTTTGTATGGCTTCTATGCATCTCAGTCAAATTTATAATTATGGTAGACAGAAAATTCCAACCATAAATTACCATAGCCTAGTAAAATCAAGACACTTTGTCGTCGTTTTTTTTTCTGGAACGGTATGACATCATATTCCAACTTGTAATCTGCACTCTTAAAACTGGTAATTACGGATATGTTTGGATTTTCTAGAATGTTCTTTGCATGATATGATACGCTTATACCCAGATCCACCTTCTACCACACCGTTCTTTCTCGTTTATTTTTACCACTTCTTTTATTTATTAATTCTTCACAGGAAGATGAACATGACTTAATGCCTATAAGTATCAAAGTCTCTTCGCATTAAATTACTGATTCGTTACTAAGTGATCACGCAGAAGCTACATATTTGTGCTTAAGTGACAATCTTATACATGTACGAACATTTTCTTCCCTCAGAAACGAACTGAAACAGAGAAGCATTCAATCAAACCATGTCGTCAGCAACAATCGCTTCATTGACGATCGCTTATGAAAAAGTGGTTATCTGTATGGGTATTCCTATTTTATTCCTTGGTCTTATCGGTGGCATTTTTAATGTATTTGTGTTTCTAAGTCTTCGAACATTTCGACAAAGTTCCTGTGCATTTTATTTAACAATTATGTCCATATTAAACATTGTTCAACTAATAACTGGTTTATTATCACGTATTCTCATCAGTGGTTTCGACATTGATTTGACACGTAGTTCACTTTTCTATTGTAAAGTTCGAACATTCATTTTCCAAATCGCAGCATGTTAGCTCAAACTATAGGGACATCAGCGAAAGAGAACGAAAGAGAGAGGAATCGAGAAAAAGTGACCTTCGTGGGACTCGAACCCACACCTTCTGCTATCCGGGCAGATGTCCTAATCCAGTTAGACTAGAAGGACCATCTTAATCTCTAGTCTAGCGTTGTGTGATTCATCACAAACGCTAACANGTATCAATAGTTTCAATTTCACATAAATTCGTTTCGCCCATATCGAATTTTGAAAAAGATGATTCACCTTCTTTATTGCAACATATTTATTCGTCTCCTAACATCAAAACATGTTTTCACTTTTCGAACGTCATCGTCACAATAGAACGTACTGTATCAATAGCACGACTAAACAGTAAAGCGTCAATAAGAGACAAGAATAGAAGCGTGATCGTATATCTAACTTACACTATAACACTGTTTGCATTCTGTGTAATTAAGGCAACGTTTTGATACCGCACAGGTAGTTTAAACTGTGTTCCACCTATGTCGATTGTATACCATTTGTCATTATCTGTGTTACTCTCAGCCATTTTTGTTTCCTCTGTGAAGAAAGCAGAAATACGCGCACTATCACATGAATGTTGACATACCTTTGATTTTTTTTTCTAATGTGAAATTTTCACAAAATATTCTTTTTTTTGCAATAGGATATTAATATTTTCTTCTATTGGTCATCATGCAATCTAATAACAATTTGTGTTTACAACGCCCTCTTTATATAATGCCTAATGTTAACACCTTGAATTTTACCTTGAGACTCCTGAAGGGCGAAAAGGTTTTGCAGTGAAATTGTTCTCAAATACGAATGTATATGAAACGAAGATTTCTAATGGTTACATCTGTATTCAATATCGATCAAATCGATACTATTGTAGGTGGAACTTCGCTGCAATTTGATTCCAAGAAGAAATTCTATTTAAAATATACGTTGCCTTTAGCCTATACGACTGTTAAGGAGAAACTTCATTTGTACGAATAAATTAAAAGAAAATAAAAAAATGTTTTTGCAAGTGCAACAAAAAAGTATAGTTTTCCGAAGGTAGTTTTTGAACACAGTAGTGCCATCGTTGAGATTATATTGGACAATTGAGAGGAGTCAATTTGTCGGATCCTTCGTTCGCTTATACTCACCGTAGTAGGCACGATGAAGATCAAACCAATGGCGCCATTTACACCACCACCAACTGGACGGTAGATATGCAGGATCGAAATTTAGTTTGCGAACCATGACACCTGTTACAACCACACCCTCGTAAGATTTTATGAATTTTCCTTCTTCTGCCTTAAGTAAGAATTCAAGATTTTCGTTGTTTGGGAAGTTTGGATCAATGTCACCTGTCACACCAACTTCGAGAGTCTCACGTTTTTTCAATGGCATCACTTTTCTTGTATCGACTCGCACCTCTAAAACAAACTGAAAGAAAAGGTCATTGTGTACAATTACACGAGCATATCTTGGATGCGAAGAATATTGAATGCTAGGCGACAAATATAACGCTGGAAATCCATGTTGACATTCGCGAACTCGAAATCCGTTTTTAACGATTTTATGAATGTTTTGTGGATATGTTCCATGGTACAAAGTATGCCAATCTGGGCCCCAGTCTGGTAGAGAAGTGTGATCTACCTGCAAACTAAGACGATACCACGTGCTTGGAACATAGTACGGAAATCGCTCTGGTGAGGATGCCAGTCGGCCATTCCAGTATGTGTGCATCTTCGTTCTGTTGTGCATAGTGCAATCATTTGTACAATATCCACGATCATAGTTGCTATTCCAGGGTACACGTTCAACATATACAAGCTTTTCGTCATCAATCTCATCGTGAGTCACCGGTATGCAACAGCAAATGTTAGTCTGTATAGAGGAAGATTGTTCTGCCATGTCGAATTCTCAGAGTAACTATCTAAAAGAACACATAATCTTACATCAGTCATGATAGACAAAGCTTTGTAAGCACAGAATCTTTAAATAATGTAAAAGTAGAACAAAGATTAACATCTTACTGTAGAGAAAAGTATGGATGAGAGTTAAGGAGACATTCACATTCGTATCCTCATGGTAATAGGCAGCTGTTCGTTTCCGATCAATATCTGCTGTGTAGAGAAAATGTGCACGAAATACCTCTTAACATTAAAATGCAAACATTTGTTTGCTTCATCAAAGAATTCCTCAGTTGGCTTTTTCCTTTTCGTGAGTCAGTTCTGTTTTTTTCTTCTATGACGTGTTCTTCTTCGCTCTTAATCTCAACAGAACAAAACAAAGTTTGCAAAATTATCATCATCATTCAAATTCGGAATTGCCTTTAATGTAAATTCGTGTTTATTTTTTGTAGACTCCGCAGGTAAGGAATTTCATTGAAAGTCAGAGAAGCGGGATGGTATTTCAAACTTGTAGTTACATAAGAGCGTCGGGATATGTTTATTTCACACAGAGTGTGGAACAGTATAAAAAGAAAATATCAACATGTATTATAATACTGTGCAACAACAAGAATAACAAGCACATCTAGCTCCAAAGCATCCACAACAATTGAGTAGATACTTGTCTTCGTAGATGACAGTCTCCGTTGCCATGGACAGGAAACTTGCAAAAGTGAAAAGTGTTTCCTAAAATATAGATACAGGTTATAAAATATTCATACATATATGGATATTATGCCTAATTCTAGATGCTTCTTATTTGTGTATTGTGTGTCGAGAGTATACTGAACTTCTTCAAAATCTAATCATTCTACAGTACAGATTAACCGACGTATTCCGCTGTTCACTCCTGTAGTTGATTTCAAATGTTCTTCTTGATATTCTTTTACGAGTGTTTGTTTCAGCTGAATATTTTCATTTACTTCATCTTGTCCAAGAGATCGAATAAACTCATCTACTGGAGAATTCTTCGACCATGGCTGCTGTTGATTAGACCAATAAAGAGTGCGTTGTGCTTTAGAAATTTTTTTCTCAAGTAAGAAGGAACTTTGACGATGCCATCTACTCATACGTGTATCCCACTCCGCTCGCAGAGAGGCAGAATGATGGAATCCGCCATAGCCTTGACAGTTAGAGCAATATACTCTGCCATCAGAACAACTACATATGATGATCGTAGTTTCTGTCTCTATTCGATCTCGGCCGTTGCATCGAACCCATTCGCTTCCATCACATTCCGAAACTCAACACTTCTTCTTCCATCGGATATCACAACACAGTAGAGAAGAAAATTTACTTAAAGTAGTACTATAGCGAGCACTGTTTCATGATGCCATGTCGCAGGCTGTTTCTACCAATGTTCACTACTACGAACTTCCATCAACGCTTTCATCTCGTATTGGTAAGCTACTCTATCTTGTGTACTCGCAAACTCATCGTTGTCGAGTGGTGCCGAATAATAACAACATGTTCAATCTACAGATGATTTAAACTCGATGAGTTGTGGCGGTAAAAGACGCCTCGATAATCTTATAGACTGAGCTGGTGCATCAGATTCTGCTAGTTGATTTGTGTTCAGCAATACTCCTGGATGTACTTTGATCGTTATATAGGAGTTACTCGTATAAAAGAAACAAAAAAATTGAAGAAGTTTTGTAACTTTTCAATCTTCTGTTATTGATATACTTACCTTCAGTGAAAAATGAGTGAGATTCGAGGTACAAGTACTTTTTAAAACTCTGTTCGCATTTTATAGAGTATAAAAAACTTTACGAATCAATACTTATATCATACGAAAATAATTCTAACGTCCTTGATTAATTGATCATTCAGAAAATTTAGTAATGTCATACATGTTACAACAATAGTCAAAGAAACGAGAGATGTATGTACGAGTAGAGCAGACCGTTACATAAGTTTTGCATCAACCGCAGAAATTAACAGGTATATTGTACCTCGACATTAAGTCGCTATACTGATCTTCAAAGAAAAATCAGCGTACGTCAGGATGTGTAATAAGACGCGTATACAACTGTGTATAACGCAATACACAAAAATAAAATTCCCATCATGATTTTAGTCTAGATCACAAAATGCTTCGAAGATGAGAATATACTTCGCTTTTGGCATACTTATTGTCTAGAGATGGTGTGACGAATGTTTGTACGAAATAAAAAGTAGCTAAGTGTGATATGTATGTGTATACTGAATGATCTGTACTGTGTTGAATTATGCTCCTTATTCTCTGATGATAGTATACGAGAGATTGAGTGTAATTAGTCGGAATATATTGCAATTCTTCAATTTTTATTTTGAAAATTAACGAGTGGTAATGTAGCGAGTGTATGAAGGTTAAATGTGTATGACTTTGTTGTTTTATAACGCGTCATCAGGACATCGTGCTTGTTGATTATCGAATTTCTGGTGTGCTAATCGAAAGTTTTTCATTCAGTGATATACCATTAGACTTGTACGTTGGAAAAAAATGTCACCGAGAAATAAGATAGATCGTAGGTTGTTATACTTAATGTCGATAGTAATTGTTCCGAATTCTGTTTAATCGTCTGTAGACATTCTAAGTCGAATAAAAAAAAGTAAAGTCAGTTTGACAATCTAGAACATGATAATTTATTTCTACATGTAGCGCCAGGAATGCACATATCATTTTGTTAGATCGTACGATACATTTGAAACATATAACTTTTATATAAGAAAATATCGTTGGTGCATTTGATAGATTTTACAATCATAAGATATTCAATTGTCATCGACAGAATGTATAACTGCGATATATAGAATAAACATTCGTTAGAAAATGGTACACTTTTTGTGTCAGACTGATCGATTCGAATTTCACTGATATAAGTGTAATTATCTCAAAAATGCATTTTCCTTCGTATACTTGACATATTTCAATACGATCTATGTCACTGATTTGTCAAGAAGCAAAGGATATTTCGTTGCTGACATGTACGTATTTTCTTTGCCTGTATAAACAACATGTTATTGTTGATGTCGAAGAAAATATCTTATTCATTCTGACAAGCTTTCAACTGCAAACACATACCAACATATTTTAAAAAATAACAAAATATAATCGATCGATGCTCGTCAATTTTGCATTTCGTAGTTAAAGGCTAGAAATACGATTTGTGGCTTATTATTCACCATTTGACATGTTTAACCATTAACGATAAATCAAAATCAGTAAATAAATTATATACGAAATAAAACATTTTTTCCTTTCGTATAATTCTAATTCGACCAGGCGGAGTTGAAATTGCTGGATCTTGGTCATTAAGTCATACGAAATGATAAACTGTTTATCCTTGATTTGCTTGTTGTATTTTGTTTTGTAATGTACACGTTCAAAATTACCGTCATATGCTCTTCTGTTCTATCTACATCGTACCAATCCTTTTTTTTTCTTGTTATGGTTATGTTTAACTATAACACAGATGTAAAAGTATAGATTACAGACCACAAGTTAACAAAAAAGGATATTATTTTTTTAGTCATATTTGCACTATCAGCTTATCGATCGATTTTACTCGATAATATCGTATTTACGTCATATTCTTGTATAATGTCCATGTAGGAGGTAAAAGTGATATCTTTTATGCTCTAAAATATGATTGTTGTTACACGTGGTGTATAGAAATATTGTGTTGGTGCATATTCTCCTTGATTTTTCAGCGTTATTTAAACACCGAATAATACCTGTCGAATATGTTTTTCTCTTCCTCATGACGCAGAAAAGAATGTATCAAAATAGATACCTTTTGTATTTTCTTCCCCTCATTGAAATATTTTTGTTGTTGGTTATGTACGTCATTGAAATTTTTCATCATTGCTTAGTCATAACTTATCAATAATTATCATTACACAACTTTCTATTAAATACGGGCAATGCAAAAGATATATTTTTGAGTGGGTTATGGTCTATTTATTATTTTTCTTCGGACAGTATATAATGTCATTCAAGTTTGAATAAGGAACGAGAAATATTTCATAAATTTGATGACGTTCTTAGACAAATAGTCTTGTGACTACCCAGATATTCGAGCTTCTATTGTCTCGCGATTTATTTATACACACACACATACCTATCGTTTTTGCATTTTTCTTGATTATTCTTTTCTCTTCATCCATGTCGTTGACGTCATGTTTAATGATTTGCGATCTTCCCTGCCGTTGTATATAATCCCGCATCATTCATATCTTTAACATATTCAACCATTTAATCGTTATATTCTGTTTGGTTTTTCTTCAATACACATTCTTCTGTGTTTTAGATAAATTTTGTTGTTTTACAAATCTACAATGAGTTTTGAACAGGATATTCCCGAAATGGAAACCTCCATCGACACATACGATGCTGTGATCGTCGGTGCTGGATTTGCTGGCATTTACATGTTATATGAATTACGTAAACGTGGATACGAAGTGAAATTATACGAAGCTGCTGATGAAATCGGCGGCACTTGGCAATGGAACCGATATCCTGGTGCACGATGTGATGTTGAAAGTATGCAGTATTCCTATTCATTTAGTGACGAATTACAACAGGAATGGCATTGGACTGAACGTTATGCTCCACAATCGGAAATTCTTCGTTATCTACATCATGTTGTGAATAAATTTGATTTATACAAAGATATCCAATTGGAAACACGCGTGACAAGTCTCACTTACAATGAAGAATTATCACAATGGACGGTGGAAACAAATCACAGTGACCGTGTGACCGCAAAATTTTGCGTGTTGGCAAGTGGTTGTCTTTCTATTCCTCGTGACCCTCATTTCAAAGGTATCGAACAATTCGAAGGAAATGTCTACAGCACAGGCAAATGGCCAAAGACAACCGTCGATTTTTCTGATCGTCGTGTCGCCGTGATTGGAACAGGATCATCCGGTGCCCAATGTATTCCTATGATTGCTAAACAAGCGTCTCAATTGTATGTTATTCAACGAACACCAAATTATGTTATCTCCGCATCGAACAAGCCGATCGATAACGAATACGAAAAAGATTGGAAATCAAATTACAATCAACGCCGACGTCAAATTTTACAATCACAAGCTGGTATGTTTTTTGACACAGAAAATGATTCATCAATTATGGAAATGACCGACAAGGAGCGTTTCGAACTCGGATGGAAACGAGGCGGCTTTTCGTTCTACACAGCATTCAATGGGCGACTAAATGATAAGGATATTAGTGGAATTATTTCCGATTGTTTTCACGATAAAATTTGTGAAATCGTCAAAGATCAAAATATTGCTCAAGCTCTAACCCCATATGATCATTTATTTGGTAGCAAACGTCCTTGTGTGTCTGCTCAATATTACGAAACATTCAATCGCGATAATGTTACACTTGTTGATATACGCAATCGAACAATTGATCAGATTACACCAACAGGTATTCAGATCGATGATGAACACTTTGAAGTTGATGATATTGTGCTTGCTACGGGATTCGATGCTATCACTGGAGCTATACTCAATATTAATATTCATGGTCGAGATGATAAAGCCCTTCGAGACAAATGGGTTTTACGACCACGTACATTACTTGGAATGATGATTTCTGGCTTCCCTAATTTGTTTACCATTACTGGCCCTGGCAGCCCAATTGATTTGAGTAATATGATTCCTCATATTGAGGAAAATGTAAAATGGATTGTCAAAGCGGTTGATTTCCTCAAAATACACGAAATCGACAGTATCGAACCAACAATAGACGCACAAAACGCCTGGATGGACCACGTCGATATGGTAGCCCGTATGAATATTAAAACAACGGATAATGCTCGATATAATCGTTCAAGTATCCCTGAAAAACCTGGTGTTGCCATGCGTTATACTGGTGGTCTTCACAACTATTTAAAAATGTGCGAACAAGTGACCCAAGATGACTACGAAAAATTCTTCTTACTCAAAGCATCTTCTTAAATATTCTTTTCTTCTTCTTATTTTTCATATCCATAGACAGTTTATAGTGCAAAAATTGTTATGAATTTTCTCATACGTTTTTGTTTTGTATTTATTGTTGATCGTATTTCTTAGCAATAAATTCAGAAGTATTATTTACATTAACAAAAGAAAGTCCTTCATCTAGCTCATTTATGTTTCTATTTCTATTTGTGGGAGCTCGAGTTTGCTTATTGTTTTCACCACGTGTCAGGTAAAAAGAACCTTGATGTAATATTTGATTGTAGAGGTAAAAGTCGTTATTTAATTTTCGTTCGTTCTCTCTTCAATGTTGACATTCGACAATGAGAGACAAACTCATCACCTAGTTAATTCATTTTCAATTTTCTTTCGGCTTAATATTTGATACAGACAATGAAAATAAAAGAAAGTCAACTAAACTTGAAAAACTGAAATTATTAGTATCGTTTACTTCTTAGGTTTTTTTACTGACACAGCGACGATACAAAAAACATTAGTACGATCTGACACAAAGTGAAGATGAACAACGAAAAACTGTTTTTATGAATTTTATGATTGATTTTATACGATTTCGTGATGAGAATATCCATGAATCCAATTAAACTCATAAATTGGTTTCTATTCGAGCTGAAATTTAGAAAGCAGCGATTCTTATTTAGACAAAATGGTATTTTTTTGCAAGACGACTTGCTTGGTCCACATTTCATGAAACGTCTTGTATTGATTGGAAAATGAATTCTGCTGATTTTCAATATATGGCTGTGGTGGAAAGCAGTATTTAGGATCAATATTATCAAAAACAGATTTTTGACGTAGTCACTATAAAAGAACCAGATTTCAGAACATATTCGACATGCTGTATTACCTGACGGCACGGTATCATTGCTTGATATACTCGATTTTCTCGAAAACATGATCTTTCGAGTAGGTTTGTAATTCGAAAATTGTAGTTTAGTTGTAACTGTCGAACATACTATCAAAAGACAGATCCGTTTGCTTTCTAGAAGAGAGTATTCAGTATTTTTGAATGAAAATCAAGCTGAACTCTCTTTAGAATTTTAACGCAATACCAACGCATCATGATTATTTACTAAAATCTACTTCTGTAGTTAGTTTGACAAAATTATTCTATCGAGAATCATGTTTTAGTACATTTACCTTAAAGAAATGAAAAATTCAGTGATCGGCATAAATATTTTGAATTGTCAAGATTCTTTTTTGAGCATACTTAGCAAACGCACGAAGTATTTCTGTTGACATCTTAAAAATCTATGTATAATCGTATTCTCGATTAAAATATGCATGACGACTTAAATAAAGAGTCGAACGACAGTTTGGAATCGGAACACAAAAGTTGCTTTAGATATTTCAATTGTTTATTCATGTTGATTTCAAAAGAAAGGATTATCCCTATAGCTTTCGAGTTCAGCATCTGTATCAGTAATTTTCTTTTCTAAAAAAATAGAAAAGAATATGACACGACGATATCTTCAAACTAGACTGTTAGCTCAAACTATAGGGACATCAGCGAAAGAGAACGAAAGAGAGGAATCGAGAAAAAGTGACCTTCGTGGGACTCGAACCCACACCTTCTGCTATCCGGGCAGATGTCCTAATCCAGTTAGACTCGAAGGACCATCTTAATCTCTAGCCTAGCGTTGTGTGATTCATCACAAACGCTAACATAGACTTACTTTTGAATCCGTGTATTTCCTCTCCATGGAAATATCGTAGACAATGTTCGTTCGATTTCCTCTNTTGCGAACCATGACACCTGTTACAACCACACCCTCGTAAGATTTTATGAATTTTCCTTCTTCTGCCTTAAGTAAGAATTCAAGATTTTCGTTGTTTGGGAAGTTTGGATCAATGTCACCTGCCACACCAACCTCGAGAGTCTCACGTTTTTTCAATGGTATTACTTTTCTTGTATCTACTCGCACCTCTAACACAAACTGGAAGAAAAAGTCATTGTGTACAATTACACGAGCATATCTTGGATGCGAAGAATATTGAATGCTGGGCGACAGATATAACGCTGGAAATCCATGTTGACACTCGCGAACTCGAAATCCGTTTTTAACAATTTTATGAATGTTTTGTGGATATGTCCCATGGTACAGAATATGCCAATCTGGGCCCCAGTCTGGAAGAGAAGTGTGATCTACCTGCAAACTAAGACGATACCACGTGCTTGGAACATAGTATGGAAATCGCTCTGGTGAGGATGACAGTCGGCCATTCCAGTATGTGTGTATCTTCGTTCTGTTGTGCATAGTGCAATCATTTGTACAATATCCACGATCATAGTTGCTATTCCAAGGTACACGTTCGACATATACAAGCTTCTCGTCATCAATCTCATCGTATGTCACCGGTATGCAGCAGCAAATGTTAGTTTGTATAGAGGAAGGTTGTTCTGCCATGTCAAATTCTCAGAGTGTCTATCTAAAAGAATACATAGTAAAATTACATGGTGCACGAAATACCTTTTGTCATTAAAATGCAAACATTTATTTGCTTCATCAAAGAATTCCTCAGTTGGTTTTTACCCTTTTCATGAGTCAATTCTTTTTTTCTTCTATAACGTGTTCTCCTTCGCTCTTAAACTCAACAGAACAAAAAAAAAGTTTGCAAAATTATCATCATCATTCAAATTCGGAATTGCTTTTAATATAAATTCATGTTTATTTTTTCTAGACCCCAGTTGAGAAATTTCATTGTAAGCTACAGAAGCGGAACGGTATTTCAAACTTGTAGTTACATAAGGGTGTCAGGATATGTTTATTTCAGACAGAGTGTGGAAAAGTATAAAAAGAAAATATTAACATGTATTATAATACTGCAACAACAAGAATAACAAGCACATCTGCCTTCAAAGCATCCACAACGATAGAGTAGATGCTTATCTTCGTAGATGACGTCTCCTTTACCATGGACAGGAAACTTGCAAAAGTGAAAAGTGCTTCCTAAAATATAGATACAGGCTAGAAAAGATTCATACAAGTATGAATATTATGCCTAATTCTGGATGCTTCTTATTTATGTATTATGTGTCGAGAGTATACTGAACTTCTTCAAAATCTAATCATTCTACAATAAAGATTAACCGATGCATTCTGCTGTTCACTTCTGTAGTTAGTTTCAAATGTTCTTCTCGATATTCTTTTACGAGTGATTGTTTCAGCCGAATATTTTCGTATATTTCATCCTGTCCAAGAGATCGAATAAACTCATCTCTTGGAGAATTCTTCGACCATGGCTGTTGTCGATTAGACCAATAATGAGCGCGTCGTACTTTGGAAATTTTTTTCTCAAGTGAGAGGGAACTTTGACGATGCCGTACTCATACGTGTATGCCTTTCCGCTCACAGAGAGGCAGAATGATGGAATCCACCATAGCCTTGGCAGTTAGAGCAATATACTCTGCCGTCAGAACAACTGCATATGATGATCGTAGTTTCTGTCTCTGTTCGATTTCGACCATTGCATCGATTCATCGAACCCGTCCACTTATCCACCACATTCTGTCACTCATCATTTCTCTAAACCTTTTCCTCGACATTGATCACATTTCGTTGACAAATTACAACTGAGGTAGTGCCATTTCATCTTTGCATGTGTTGTCTGATGCTGGACGATTAAAGTGATAATCATCCCAAATGTCACCAGCCGGCTTACCACCATGTCTCGTGTCTTCAATCCAACGACTTGTCAATTGAAATTCGTTATGAATCTTTCATCGGATGTCACAACACAATAGAGAAGAAAATTTACCTAAAGTAGTACTATAGCCTAACTCAGCATTGTCGAGTGGTGCCGATTAATAACAACATTTTCAGTCTATATATTATTTAAACTCGATGAGTTATGGCGGTAAAGGACGTCTCCGTAATCGTATGGACTGAGCTGGTGCTTCAGATTCTGCTGGTTGATTTGCGTCCAGCAATACTTCTCGATGTACTTTGGCCCTTATATACGAGTTACTCATATAAAAGAAACAAAAGAATTGAAGAAGTATTGTAACTTTTCAATCTTCTTTTATTGATATACTTATATACTTACCTTCGGTGAAAAATGAGTGAGATTTGAGATAGATTTATTTTTTACGACTCTGTTCGCATTTTATTGAATGTAGAAATCCTTACGAATCAACTCTTATACATACGAAAATAGTTCTAAGGTCCTTGATTAATTGATCATTCAGAAAATTTAGTAATGTTGCACATGCTACAACAATAACAAAAGAAACGAGAGATGTATGTACGAGTAGCAGACCGTTACATAAGTTTTGCATCAACCGCAGCAATTAACAGGTATATTGTATCTTGACATTAAGTCTCTACTGATCTTCAAAGAAAAATTAGTGTACGTCAGGATATGTAATACGACTCTTATACAACTGTATATAACTCAATACACACAAATCAATCGCCTCGCCAAATTCACATTATTATTTTAGTCTAGATCACAAAATGCTTCGAAGATGAGAATATACTTCGTTTTTGGTATACTTGTTATCCAGAGATGGTGTGACGAATATTTGTATGAAATAAAAAAGTATCCATGTGTGATATGTATGTGTATACTGAATGATTTGTACTGTGTTCAATTATTCCCCTCATTAACGGATGATAATGTAACGCGTGTGTATACAGTGTGTGAAGGCTAAATGGATATGACTTCGTTGTTTTATAACGCGTCAGCAAGACACTGTGCTTGTTGATGATCGAATTTCTGGTGTGCTAATCGAGAGTTGTTCATCCAGTGATATGCCATTAGACTTGTACGTTGGAAAAAAATATCGCCGAGAAATAAGATAGGTCGTAGGTTGTTATACTTGATGTCAATAGTATTTGTTCCGAATTCTATGTCGAATAAAAAAAAAGTAAAGTCACTTTGACAAACTAGAGCATGATAAAATATTTCTACGGGTAGCGCTACAGAAATACATACATCGTTTTGCTAGATTGTACGAGAATTTTGAAACATATAAGTTTTACATAAGAAGATATCGTTGGTGCATTTGATAAATTTTACAATCATAAGAGATTCAATTGTTATCGGTAGAATGTGTAACTTGGATGTATAGAATAGACATTCTTTAGAAAATGGTACACTTTTTATGTCAGACTGATCGATTCGAATTTCACTGATATAAGTGTAATTATCTCAAAATGCATTTTCCTTTGTATAATTGACATATTTCAATACGATATCTATGTCATTGATTTGTCAAGAGGCAAAGGATGTTTCGTCGCTGACCTGTACGTATTTTCTCTGCCTGCATAAACAATATGTTATTGTTGATGTCGAAGGGAATGTCTTATTCATTCTGACAAGCATTCAACTGCAAGCACATACCAACATATTTGAAAAAAAAAACAACAAGATATAATCGATCGTCAACTGTACATTTCGTAGCTAAAGGCTAGAAATACGATTTGTGGCTTATCATTCACCATTTGACATGTTTAGCCATTAACGATAAATCAAAATCAGTAAATAAATTATACACGCAATAAAACATTTTTTCCTTTCGTATAATTCTAACTCGACTGGGCGGAGTCGAAATTGCTGGATCTTGTTCATTAAGTCATACGAAATGATAATCTGCTTCTCCTCGACTTGACTTGCTTGTTGTATTTTGTTTTGTAATGTACATGTTCAAAATAATCGTCATATGCTATTCTGTTCTATCTACATTGTATCAATCCTTTTTTTTCTTGTTATGGTTATGTTTAACTATAACACAGATGCAAAAGTATAGATTACAGACCACAAGTTGAAAAAAAAAGGATATTATTTTCTTTAGTCATATTTGCACTATCAGCTTATCGATCGATTTTACTCGATAATATCGTATTTACGTCATATTCTTGTATAATGTCCATGTAGGAGGTAAAAGTGATATCTTCTATGCTCCGAACTATGATTGTTGTTACACGTGGTGTATGGAAATATTGTGTTGGTGCATATTCTCCTTGATTTTTCAACGTTATTTAAACACCGACTAATACCTGTCGAATATGTTTTTCTCTTCCTCATGACGCAGAAAAGAATGTATCAAAATAGATACCTTTTATATTTTTCCCCCCCACTGAAATATTTTGTGTTGTTGGTTATGTACGTCATTGAAATTTTTCATCATTGCTTAGTCATAACTTATCAATAATTATCATTACACAACTTTATATTAAATACTGGCAATGCAAAAGATATATTTTTGAGTGGGTTATGGTCTATTTATTATTTTTCTTCGGGCAGTATATAATGTCAATCAAGTTTGAAAAAAGAACGAGAAATATTTCATAAATTTGATGACGTTCTTAGGCAAATAGTCTTGTGACTGCCCAGATATTCGAGGTTCTATTGTCTCACGATTTATTTATACACACCCATACCTATCGTTTTTGCATTTTTCTTGATTATTCTTTTCTCTTCATCCATATCGTTGACGTCATGTTTAGTGATTTGCGATCTTCCCTGCCGTTGTATATAATACCGCACCATTCATATCTTTAACATATTCAACCATTGAATCGTTGTATTCTGATCGCTTATTCTTCAATACACATACTTCTGTGTTTTAGATAAATCTTGTTGTTTTACAAATCTACAATGAGTTTTGAACACGACATTCCTGAAATGGAAACCTCCACCGGCACATACGATGCTGTGATTGTCGGTGCTGGATTTGCTGGCATTTACATGTTATATGAACTACGTAAACGTGGATACGAAGTAAAATTATACGAAGCTGCTGATGAAATCGGCGGCACTTGGCAATGGAACCGATATCCTGGTGCACGATGTGATGTTGAAAGTATGCAGTATTCCTATTCATTTAGTGATGAATTACAACAGGAATGGCATTGGACTGAACGTTATGCTCCACAATCGGAAATTCTTCGTTATCTACATCATGTTGTGAATAAATTTGATTTATACAAAGATATCCAATTGGAAACACGTGTGACAAGTCTCACTTACAATGAAGAATTATCACAATGGACAGTGGAAACAAATCATAGTGACCGTGTGACCGCGAAAGTTTGCGTGTTGGCAAGTGGTTGCCTTTCTATTCCTCGTGATCCTCATTTCAAAGGTATCGAACAGTTCGAAGGAAATGTCTACAGCACAGGCAAATGGCCAAAGACAACCGTCGATTTTTCTGATCGTCGTGTCGCCGTGATTGGAACAGGATCATCCGGTGCCCAATGTATTCCTATGATTGCTAAACAAGCGTCTCAATTGTATNTGAATTTTCTCATACGTTTTTGTTTTGTATTTATTGTTGATCGTATTTCTTAGCAATAAATTCAGAAGTATTATTTACATTAACAAAAGAAAGTCCTTCATCTAGCTCATTAACGTTTCTGTTCGTCGGAGCACAAGTTTGCTTATTGTTTTCACCACGTGTCAGGTAAAAAGAACCTTGCCGTAATATTTGGTTGTAGAGGTAAAAATCGTTATTTAATTTTCGTTCGTTCTCTCCGTAATGTTGATATTCGACAAAGAGAGACAAAGCCATCAACTAGTTAATTCATTTTCAATTTTCTTTCGGTTTCCTATTTGATACAGATAATAAAAACAAAAGAAAGTCAACTAAACTTGAAAAACTGAAATTTTTAGTATCGTTTGCTTCTTAGTTTTTTTTACTCACACAGCGACAGTACAAAAACATTATTAGTAGGATCAGACACAAAGTGAAGATGAACAACGAAAAGCTGTTTTTTATGAATTTTTATAATTGATTTTACACGATTTCGTGATGAGAATATCAATGAACTCAATTAAACTCAGAAACTGGTTCCTATTCGAGCTGAAATTTAGAAAGCGGCGATTCTTATTGTTCAAAATGGTGCTTTTTTTGCAAAACGACTTGTTTGGTCCATATTTCATGAAAACGTCTTGTATTGATTGGACAATGAATTCTGCTGATTTTCAATATATAGCCGTGGTGGAAACCAGTATTTAGGATCAATATTATCAAAAACCGATTTTTGACGTAGTCATTATAAAAGAACCAAATTTCAGAAGTAGACGTTGCTTTCAGAACATATTCGATATGCTGTATTACCTAACGGCACGGTATCATTGTTTGATACACTCGATTTTCTTGAAAACATGATCTTTCGAGTAGGTTTGTGATTCAAACATTGTAGTTTTGTTGTAACTATTGAACATACTATCAAAAGACAGATCTGTTTGCTATCTAGGAGAGAGTATTCATTATTTTTGAATGTAAACCAAGCTGAACTCCCTTTAGAATTTTAACGTAATGCTAACGCATCATGGTTATTTACTAAAATCTACTTCTGTAGTTTGTTTGACAAAATCATTCTATCGAGAATCATGTTTTAGTAAATTTACCTTGAAGAAATGAAAAATTCAGTGATCGGCATATATATTTTTTATTGTCAAAATTCTTTTTTGAGCATACTTAGCAAACGCGCGAAGTATTTCTGTTGACATCTTAAAAATCTATGTATAATCGTATTCTTCGGACTTTTTCGACCTATATTAGCTTAGAGATGAAACTTCGAGTTGCATATCGTATTCTCGATTAAAATATGCATGACGACTTAAATAAAGAGTCGAACGACAGTTTGGAATCGGAACACAAAAGTAGCTTTAGATATTTCAATTGTTTATTCATGTTGATTTCAAAAGAAAGGATTATCCCTATAGCTTTCGAGTTCAGCATCTGCATCAGTAATTTTGTTTTCTAAAAAAATAGAAAAGAATATGACACGACAATATCTTCAAACTAGACTTACTTTTGAATCCGTGTATTTCCTCTCCATGGAAATATCGTAGACAATGTTCGTTCGAGTTCCTCTCATTGCAAAGATCTTGATGACGGCATGCTATGAGAAAATCCGGTAAACCTGTATGCCGATATTGTGCACGATGTACAGGATTTGTTTTCTTATTACATTTTTCATCTTTCGAACATCGAGAAACATTATGATGTTGATGAACAAGATGTGGTTCGTCTGTCTGTCGCAGACAGCGCTNACCTTCGTGGGACTCGAACCCACACCTTCTGCTATCCGGGCAGATGTCCTAATCCAGTTAGACTAGAAGGACCATCTTAATCTCTAGTCTAGCGTTGTGTGATTCATCACAAACGCTAACATAGACTTACTTTTGAATCCGTGTATTTCCTCTCCATGGAAATATCGTAGACAATGTTCGTTCGATTTCCTCTCATCGCAAAGATCTTGATGACGGCATGCTTTGAGAAAATCCGGTAAACCTGTATGTCGATATTGTGCACGATGTACAGGATTTGTTTTCTTATTACATTTTTCATCTTTCGGACATCGAGAAACATTATGATGTTGATGAACAAGATGTGGTTCGTCTGTCTGTCGCAGACACCGCTCATTATAACGACACAAATGAGAGAGTGCATCTGTGTGGTCTCTATTATTTTGTCTCAAACAATATATAGAATCAGGACAAAGTGGACGTATCGACGAATTCAATTTGGGTTTTCCTGCCGGTGTATATATCGATATTTCATTTGCGGGCGCACTATATAATGATGCTCCGGTATTTTCAATATCCGAGTAGTACTCATCGGCTGGTGGCTTACCAGAATTTGGTTGGTCAACCTCTGCTATGCCAGCAACGAAGAAACGCTTCACTTTCTTAAGAAAGCTCAGTTTGGTTTTCGGCGAAACGGAAAATAGTGAAGGTTCTGAACGAGGGCGTGCCGAAGCAGATCGTATGAGCGGTGGCGGAGGAGGTTCGCGTCGAATGGCAGAGATGTCCGGTCCATGTATTACAGGTGGATCGTCGGATCTGCGCACTGAATCACTCATACGCGCACACTGCTTACTTCGCAATTCGGATGTGTCGATCTGAAACTTTTCATCGAATGTCGGATGTAATTCATCGATTCGCTCATGATGAATTCTCAAATTACGAATTGGAACATCTTGACTTCCAGCACTAACATGAACATATTCGATTCGTGATAAGTCCAACTCAGATTTGTCGAACTTATAAGCAATCTTCTCATGATTGTATATGCCATTTGCACCAGCATGAAACAAACGTGCTTCATTTGTCTTATAATCGATTTCAAGACAAAACGTGAGGAAGTCATCGGTGTTACAACCTCGATAGAAGACATGTGACTTAGCTCGGAACTTCCCTGTCGAAACATTGGCCGAATGTTCGAATGGATGACCATCATTGAGATAGGAATAGTTCTCATGATATGGTGGTGTTGCCGTTGATGGTTTTTCAGCCACATAACAAATAAGACATCGCAGATGAGGTTGATCTTCGGTGGGTTTTATCTTATCGTTGGCAATGGTCAGCATCATATCACCGTGCATGGCTTGCCAATAGATGAGAGTGTAGCGTGGTCTTTCTGGTGCTTTGTCATTATCGAGTCGATAGAGATCGTATGATTGTTTGATCGTTATGGGAAGAACAATGTGTTCATCATAGTTTGAACTTGAAGCTGTGACAACAATACCTCGTGAAATGTGTGGTGTATTCATTCTTTGTTGAATTTTGTCATCGATTTCGCCAAGTATAAATTTGAGGTAAGTTTTACGTGTATCATCTAATGGAATAGTAGTATTTGGCTTGATTAAACTGATATCGACTGATTGGGGATATATGATGAGTGAGCTTTTGAATATATCTCTTGCTGAACTTTGTGCTTTAGGAGTGAGAGAATCGAAAATATTCTTTGGTATATAAACAAACTCAATATAATCTAAGGGAATAAGTTGTGGCAAATGACATTCAAATACATCGTGTGAATTCACATGTTTCCATCGATTTAAAACATCTTTGATGTCAACATCCATCGATTTTGCAGTGAGACCAGTGAGGGCGGCTAGTTCGGTGGCAGCTGCATATTCATAACGGGGAACAGAACAGTGTAGCTTGGAATGATGAAAATCTATCACACGATTATCGACAACACCGGAATCTGTTACCCACAATCGCTTTGTGTAAGTTCTTCCACTATGAAAACTAGTACCGGCTTGCATCGAAAAATTAGTATCAGGATGAAACATGATTTCTTGTTTGAATAAGATCACAATGTCACCGTATTGATGATCAGAATGTGGTCCTAAAATGCTGAATACGTGTTGATTGGTGCCCATTTTCTGATCAACGACGTATCCAATTCCCATTAGCGCTCCATGTAGTGCTACCGATGCTTGTGCAATATTGGTGGTACATTCCCGTATAACTCTCATCTCTTTATCGTTTAACAATACTTTTAGTCTCCTTTCTGCTATCTTCATTTGCTCTTCATCCTCAGCATCTAAACCAACTATGCCATCGGCTCCTGTTTTCGAAAACTCAGCTTTGACTAATGCTCTTATCAGTCTGAATGCGCTTTCTTTCATCGCCGGACTATTGTGCTTGAGAATGATAGAACGTACGTCGTTGTGTTGTAGCACAGCTTCTGCTACAGATGATGGTCTATTTAGTCTCCCCATATACTTTCCACTCATGACATGACCATGTACAAGGATCGATTCGAATATCTCTTGCCGACATCGATGTACTGGCTGAAGTGCTCGTATCCAGTTCCGTAGTTCACTTCGAATCTTTTTATTTTTCCATCCTTCTGTCTCGATATAATTGTTCACATTTCTGATCAGATGTCGTTGATTTCGGGCAAAGTCAATATCTGCATTGTAATTGCTGCACGGTGCCACAGTTAGATGATCATAGTTTTGACCATGTCGATAAGTAGTCGAATGCTTTTTATCTGANNNNAATCGCTTTGTGTAAGTTCTTCCACTATGAAAACTAGTACCGGCTTGCATCGAAAAATTAGTATCAGGATGAAACATGATTTCTTGTTTGAATAAGATCACAATGTCACCGTATTGATGATCAGAATGTGGTCCTAAAATGCTGAATACGTGTTGATTGGTGCCCATTTTCTTATCAACCGCATATCCAATTCCCATTGGCGCTCCATGTAGTGCTACCGATGCTTGTGCAATATTGGTGGTACATTCCCGTATAGCTCTCATCTCTTTATCGTTTAACAATACTTTTAGCCTCCTTTCTGCTATCTTCATTTGCTCTTCATCCTCAGCATCTAAACCAACTATGCCATCGGCTCCTGTTTTCGAAAACTCAGCTTTAACTAATGGTCTTATCAGTCTCAATGCACTCTCTCTCATTGCCGGACTGTTATGCTTAAGAATGATAGAACGTACGTCGTTGTGTTGTAGAACAGCTTCTGCTACGGATGTTGGTCTATTTAGTCTCTCCATATACTTTCGACTCATGACATGACCATGTACAAGGATCGATTCGAATATCTCTTGCCGGCATCGATGTACTGGCTGAAGTGCTCGTATCCAGTTCCGTACTTCACTTCGAACCTTTTTATTTGTCCATCCTTCTGTCTCGATATAAGTGTTCACATTTCTGATCAGATGTCGTTGATTTCGGGCAAAGTCAATGTCTGCATTGTAATTGCTGCACGGTGCCACAGTCAGATGATCATAGTTTTGACCATGGCGACAAGTAGTCGAGTGCTTTTTATCTGCTCTCGAATGACACTTATAGCCAGGATGTTGACATAGAAGACGAATATCGCGAATACCCGGATGAGCAAATGACTCTAGATGGTCTTCGTTAGTTATGTTTGGACATTGATCACCTTGTGGACACAGTTGTCGAGCGATGTGAATGGTAGTTTCGTAGTGTTTGTCTTCATCTGGTTTGCATTGGCGGCCGTAGGGACAGAGATGTGCAAACTGAAGACAATGTCGTTCTGCTTCTGAGGAACATTTTTTCTTTTTACCAGACTGAAAGAATTCGACAAACAGAGCACAACTATAGGGTGTGAATGGACATGGTTCACGAAAGGAGTGAATTGTTTTTCTCATATGTGATTCATCGTGAATTTGACTGCAGCAGTTATCTTCGGGACAGACTAATTTGACATGTCGAAATGCTTTGATATGCTTGTCGTCACTGCTCAAGAGCAGGTGACAGTCGATTCCATCTCGACATGCAGGTAGATGTCGATAATTAAATAGATGCTGAGGGTCGGTGTTACAACAATGGGATTGATCTTTGCAAAAGTCTGGATGATCGAAATCGTTCAAATGTGCTGCATCTGTGCTGCTGCATTCGCCACCTTTCTCACACTTTTTTGTATGCATAAAGGTAGCCACATGTACATCGTCATCCATGTGTTCACATTCTGAGTTCGCTTTCTGTAATGGACATCTTGGTGGATGTGAAAACTGTTGACTGTGATCTTTATTCCTTCTATCACGACAGTTGTTGCCATGTTGACAAGGAGCTGCTGTCTGTGAAATGAAGACATCATCCAGTGTCAATTGGCCATCTGGTGTTTTGTCAAGAACACGATATGGTCCACTCACTCCATCCATTCGTAACGTTTTCGATGGTTCCACTTCAAAGCCGTCTAGTATAGCTTTGAATGGTCCATAGTTTCCTCTGGGATTCACCACACCTTTTGCATTGTGATCATTGATGATGGCAAAATAAATCGTGTCGAAATAGCCAGCATATTGTAAAATAACTGATTTGAATAGCAGAGCAACATGTTCAGGCGGATTTCGAAAAGCACCACAACCCAATGCAGACAACACTAGACAATCATGCTTTTGATGATGTGCGATGGCGAAGATGTTCTCAATTTTTCGACGAGTGTTCATGGCGGGTTTGTTTTGCAGCTTGTTGTCGGGAGTGAGAGGAGGATCTCGATAGGCTGCCATAGCAATAGCACGCACATTGTAGAGAGGTTGTTTCTTGTAAGGATACCCATCTTGTTCAGTTCCGCGAAACACAGTGATGCCTGCTGTGTAGATGCCTCCAAACTCTTCCATCGGATAGAAGTCACCGAATCCTTTCAACTGTTTNGATGATCGAAGTCACTCAAATGTGCTGCATCTGTGCTGGTGCATCCGCCACCTTTTTCACACTTTTTTGTATGCATAAAGGTAGCCACATGTACGTCGTCATCCATGTGTTCACATTCTGAGTTCGCTTTCTGTAATGGACATCTTAGTGGATGTGAAAACTGTTGACTGTTATCTTTAGTTCTTATATCACGACAGCTGTTGCCGTGTTGACAAGGAGATGCTTGTGAGATGATGACATCATCCAATGTCAATTGGCCATCTGCTGTTTTGTCAAGAACACGATATGGTCCACTCACTCCATCCATTCGTAACGTTTTCGGTGGTTCCACTTCAAAGCCGTCTAGTATAGCTTTGAATGGCCCATAGTTTCCTTTTGGATTCACCACACCTTTTGCATTGTGATCATTGATGATGGCAAAATAAATCGTGTCGAAGTAGCCAGCATATTGTAAAATAACTGATTTGAACAGCCGAGCAACATGTTCAGGTGGATTTCGAAAAGCACCACAACCCAATGCAGACAACACTAGACAATCATGCTTTTGATGATGTGCGATGGCGAAGATGTTCTCAATTTTTCGACGAGTATTCATGGCAGGTCTGTTTTGCAGTTTGTTGTCAGGAGTGAGAGGAGGATCTCGATAAGCTGCCATAGGAATAGAATAAGGATTGTAGAGAGGTTCAGTTCCGCGAAACACAGTGATGCCTGCTGTGTAGATGCCTCCAAACTCTTCCATCGGATAGAAGTCACCGAATCCTTTCAACTGTTTAAGTTCACCCTTTGGTGTGTAGTAGTGTCGTTCTGATCGAGTTCGATCAGCTAATTCTCCATCGAGACTGTGGTAGTAGTCGGAACGACGAAAAATATTTTCTTCTTGTGCACCATCACCTTTTCGATAGCCACCACCTGGACTAGTTGCATTAGCCATATTGAGCAGCAATGGTCGACGCCCTTTTGCCACCAGTTGTTCATAGAGAACAAGACAATCTTCTTCGACGACTTGAACAGTTGTTTTTGGATAGGGTGTTTGTAAATCTGTTTGTGACAGTGTTTTTCTTGTGAATAGTTTGGATTGGTGATTGTAGCCTATGGTTTGTATTCGTTCAAGTTTTAGTTTGACTAGAGTGTCATCGACCGTATACTGTTTCTTTCTTAGGGTGCCTATAGTGTTGAGCATAACAGTCACCCGTAGTAGATGTCTTGCGAGATCATAACCTTTGACAGGAATAGCCGCTGCTTTGTTCATTTGCTCTAGGAAGTTCTGAGCATTCCATTTAAAGCGAAATATGGGATGTTGATGATCATTGATGATTGTGGTGATATCAGGTTTGATATCCAACATATCTGTATCATACCAGTTCAAAGCATCGAGTTCACATGAGTCCGGATCACTGACTCGAGTATGTGGCTTAACGGTCAAGGCTTTGCCATCTATTCCGAAGCCTCCAATGTCCAAACATTCATGAAAATGATTTATATCGTTCAATTCAATGATAAGTTTGTCGTTTACACGTTTATGTGATGCAACTCGGTTGTAAAATAGTTTGTTTCGAAGTATTTTCTCAACTTCGTCATCATTTTGAACGGGCGAAATGAGTACTCGGTAGGAAAGTTTATGTTTTTTGGATATGGAATGTTCATCGATTTTTAGTGTAGCCTCTTTTGCCCATTTCCTGAGAGACTTGGGTGCTATCACAATCGCATTACCAGTTTGTTTATTGTACCGTGTATAGAGTGAGGTTTTGTGTAGTGAAGGTTCACCAAGTTGAACAGCAATAGCTGACATGAGTTTTTCGTTATTAGTGCTTGTTGGTAAGTCTTCGAAAAAACAACAGTCAGCACGTGGGTAAACAGTAGCGAACGCAGCATCGACTTTGAAGTCAGGTGTAGTGGCTGCTTGAATTAGTTCAGCGAGCTGCTTGTAATAGATTCGAAAGACATTGGGGAACTGATNAACTTCGGTATCATTGTGAACGGGTGAAATGAGTACTCGGTAGGAAAGTTTATGTTTTTTGGATATGGTATGTTCATCGATTTTTATTGTAGCCTCTTTTGTCCATTTCCTGAGAGACTTGGACGCTATCACAATCGCATTACCAGTTTGTTTATTGTACCGTGTATAGAGTGAGGTTGTATGTAGTGAAGGTTCACCAAGTTGAACAGCAATAGCTGACATGAGTTTTTCGTTATTAGTGTTTGTTGGTAAGTCTTCGAAAAAACAACAGTCAGCACGTGGATAAACAGTAGCAAACGCAGCCTCGATTTTGAAGTCAGGTGTAGTGGCTGCTTGAATTAGTTCAGCAAGCTTTTTGTAATAGATTCGAAAGACATTAGGGAACTGATCGGAGACGATTTCGCAACGACGCGTCTTTGATGTTTTATATGCGTTTGCATACCGTTGGGCAACTTCATCAGCCGAAAGAGCCTTTTTCAGCTCTGAACCAATTACGATGTAAGAATCAAGTTCGAGTTCTTCGACAAATGTTATATTAGTGCCACTATTCTTGGAAAGGACAGTTGTCTCAACCTCGGAAATCAGGTGATGTTTGTCATCTTCATTTAGCATATTGATGACAGCGACACCTAGTGTGGGATAACATTGGACACTTTGTACATCTAGGCGATGGCCTGTCTTCAAACGAGTCTTGATTTGTTCTTCGAGTTCTACGCCATCGACGTCCACAGGAATATCAGGTATGTAAACTATTATATCAGCCATTGTTATATGTTTTGTTCGTGTTTGATATCTTTCAAAAAAAGAGAAGTATATAATAGTGATGCGTATTCGAAACTTATTAGATTATACATGAAAGCAATATTTTTCAAACTTATATTCCATTTTAATCCTGATAATCACTCATGTGAGTTTATCATACGTAAGCTCAATTCGAAACAGGAAAACTAAAGTCGTAGTTAGTATAGAACTTGCAGCTTCCGATAATACAGCGCAGTTACTACGTATCCACATTAGTGATTATATACATGTCCTGTACATACCTTTCTCTTGAGTATAACTGACTACTCACAGAAAAATCTCTAAACAGTCGAATGTAGTTAAGTTTCGCGATGTCGGTTCTTTATAAAAAGGCGAAGTTGGAAATTTCATAAAAATATTTATTCTGCAACATGAACAAAAGTTCGTTGGATGGCGACAAACCTCTCAAGAGAAGAGAGAAATAAAATAAACAGTCATCACTCCGTTCGATCGAGCCACATTTCAAAGAATTACGAAAGACGACAGCACGGTATCGTGCGAGGCAAATACTACCGAGAGCAAAGCGACTGCTTTGATGAATATTGATAAATGCTGTCTCAAACCTGTTGTAATTTGTGATAATTCAGGAAAAAAGGATGAACTCAAATATATCAGCTGTTTGTCTATACCAGAAACGAATTTGGATGATTTTCGCACACAGACGTGACTTCTATTTTCCTCGAAGCAAGCAAACAATGGTTGGCTTTTTCCGTTTGATGCTGTAAATTTTCTCTCGAGTTAAAAAAAAACGAGAGAATAAGAAATCCATCAAATCGATTTATTTATTCAACGCTGTGTTTTCATCTTACTCTTGAAATGACGCAAGCACAAAGATGCAAAGAACGAAGTGCTTTAAATGTTTTTTCTTGTTCTTTCGTTTCTCTCTCAAATATTTTCTTTTTAACTAGAGAAATGCCAACATCAACATGTCTGTTTTGTTCCGTGGACACGTGTAAGGGTGATCATTAATAGTCTTACTGTAGCCCACAATGCGTCAACTAACGAAATGTTTTTTTTTCTTTCTTCCCTAAAATCAGCATCGTTAGAAATGTTACTCCAATTGAATAACATATAAAACCATCTGACACGTTTGTTAAGTGGCTGAAAAATATTGAATTTGATGATGGCCAATCAGAGGTTCGAGAGTTTCTGCAGATGTAAGAAAATTCTTATTTAACAGTTCACTGTAGAAATAAATCTGTGGCAAAACTAGAAAATGGCTTTGATCGATTTCCATTGCAGCTAGTAATGGAATTGACATAGGATATGGACACAATCAGATAAATAAAAGAATGTGAACATTAGAGTTGATCACAATTGATTAGTATGACACTCATGAAAGATCGATTTTCAGGTATTCTTTCGATCAACTGAACGAAAATCCTTGAGACTTGATATAAAGAAAAAAGAATTACGATGTTACTCACGTTGTTGGAGTGTAGTGAAAAGAACAGAAACTGCAAAGTGTGCTTTTCGATCAATAAACTATTTCAGAATGAACGAAACACGTACAATCACCGAAGCAAAACGGTAATGAACACTTTTGCGAATCATCACTAAACTTGATTGGTCCGAATGAAAGACAGTCATGTGCAACAAACTTCGAGTTTGTATATGGGGATCATATATGATTGTTTTTATTTTTTGATCGATTAAGAAATAGATTACAAGAAACAAGGGTCATTGATGAATTGTTCTATGATCGTCGTCTTTTACAAATTCGAGAAAATGATTCTTTGAAAGTTTTTCTATAAGAACTTGAAGGAACAAGGATTATAGCAAAGGTAAACATCGATGGTAGAAATGAATAGCGAGATACGTCGACGCATCCGGATAATAAAGAAATGACCAAGCGTGGAACCGAAAGGAGAAGTAGAATGATAGGACTGACGACGAGTTGTTTGTGATCATTCCATTGTTCCCGCATGTGCTGTGTGAAAGTCTGTCGATTTTGAGCTTCTGCTCGTCGTCGAGCATTCTCAATGATGATAAATAGTGCAGAAAAAATATTTATAATGAACGGAGTAAGAAGATGAATAAACAGAATACTTGTGTTATAATCTTGAATTGGCTGAGGATACGAAGTTATACATCAAGAGTATCGTGCTCCTGTTTCCGGTAGACTTATGAAACTGTTGAGCTGCTTCTCTTCCTTTGATTCATAATTGAATAGTTGACGATACAACCACTTTGAAGTATAGATAAACGAATGGATGTGTCCATGTGTGTGACAATAGCAAACCAAAACTTAATTGTAAACATTGTAACTGTCAGTAGAGAAGTAACTGATGATACAAGAAGATACAATCCGCGTTCAACTTGTCTCGAACTTTCACCCTGAAACATTAACATCGAACAAGCACTATTCATAACACCCACCACAAACATAATTATTGTTAAAACAGTACTAATTTTGATAGGAAATGATTGATGTTGTAGAGCTGTATTTCGTTTTATTTCCAACCGTAAAATATCATCCAGAGTTAAGCCAACACTTCTCATTTGAGTATTGCGTGGGCCACCAACATAACAGTGAGTAGAATTATCAACTAAACAAAAAATAACAGTGCTCCTGATGAATGTGTGCTAACTGCCCCATTTCTTACGAATATGACCTTCGAATTAATCATATATGAATTATAATGTTTACTTACTAAAACGGTCAAGAATGACCTTTATCAAGCCGTATACTGAGATTGAGAATTGTGTTTCCGTTGATATATCTGTAGTTGTTACAAGTATTATGTATCTGATATCAGTTCGAAGATTAACTATGAATTTGAATTCACCGGAAACAAGACATTTATGCTCACTGAATGAAATTGAATGTTTCTTTTTGGATTCAACGGATCGAATTCGTTTTCGTAGAGATACGCGTATAATCCAGCACCACCCTCAACTTAAACGACGCAGTATTCTATCGTATGTTAGACTGCTTTCTGTCAATTCTGACGAATTATCAGTGATGACAGCTGATGAAACATCTATTTAGAAAAACAGTCACCTGTTGTTACATTCCCATGTAAAAAAAATATCACGTAAAAATCAATAGATTCCTGATTATAATTGGTTTCACGTGTAAGAAACCGATGAAAATCGCGAGTTTCAGATTTTTCAAGATTAATTTCTCGATTTTAATCGTTTCTTTTCTGAAATCGATTCGAAATCAGTATTTTTTCATCGATTATCATCGGTTCCTCTGCCGAGAATCGTACAAAATCCATTAATACTTTATTTCATCCAGCAGAATCGATTCCTTATTGAATCGATTAACATCGTTTTTCCAAGAAATCGCTGATAACTTACTAATATTGATAATATGGTTGAAGTCACTATAGAGATAATTTCTTTATAGAACTTTTTATCAGTTAACTTTTATTGTTTGTTCTATTTTCTACTGTAGTTATTTTTTCAATTCTAACATAAAAAAACATTCAGATGTATATAGAGAATCTTTATGTTCTACGAAGAATGTTGAAGCGTTGGTTGTCGTAAGAAATAAGATACACCACTTGAACTTCGAAAGAAAACACTCTTTTCAACAAAACCTTCAATTTGGATAGGAACATATTTCCATGTTGTACTTGTGGAGAAAAGAATATTATGATACACAAAATTTTCTTTATCATCGATTTGACAGGAAAATGGAATAAGATTTTGTATGTATGCGACAAGAAGGTGCGGGTGACCATTATTGATGGTAAAAATTGCTCGAATTTTACCGGGATAATGCACATGATCAAGAATAAATATTATATTTGAATCGTCAGCAACTTTTCCTTCTGCATAAGTGCGTGTACATAGACGCAAGAACACTTTTTGATCGTGGAAACGCGTTTTTCGAAAACCTTGTCTACTTGGGTAGTGTGTTTTTCATCTGTTCTTTATACAAATCCTTGAAATTGATATTTAGCGGGAAGAAGAGAAAGAACAAGGATGGTACTCACAATGCGATGGACATAATGCAATAATTTCAATTATCTTGTGTCTTCTGTTGAAATCGAAGTTCAGAGAAAAGCGAGATTTCACACTAGAGTTTCTCCTCAAGAGAAATACGAAGAACTCAATGTGTTTTACCACTTGTTTCTTCTTTATTAGACGTCTTTGATGGTGTTGATAAAGAAGTNAAGGTTTTAAAAGAATAGGTCGGCTGAAAAAAATTTTTGTCCACAAGAAATAGAATCGAAAGAGTTTCGAACGCGTAGAGAATTCCTCTCGTCTTCATCTCGAACTAATTGGAACACAGAACTATCTTTAATTGATTAGCCAAACGAAAGACATCCAAAAATCGGACGAAAAATATCTAATAATTTTCGTGAATTTTTCATTTTTTCAAAAACGATCGACAAGAGTTACTGAAAGAACGTCGAACTATATATCGGTCATGTTCTGATTCCGTGTGCACACCGAGGTAAGGTTTGCGATGAAAGAGATGCTATGGTTAAATCAAAAGGAACGGCCGAGATATCGAGCTCTAAAATCTGCTACTTTTGAGAACGCAATTTCGAAACGTTTGGGCGTGCCGCATTGTGACCAATCAATTGAGATTATAGAATCTTTTGATGTTTTTATACTCTCAAGTCGATATGTTTCTTTTTATTATGAAAGCTTCATATACTTGTAAACTTTTAGAAAAATAAGAGGAACACGTCAACTGACAAGATCATCAAGCGAACACAAATAAATATAAATGAAAGTTCTTTTACATAGATGATGCTCGAATGAGCAGACGACGAAATGTTTGAGGTAGACAAAATGCTTTTTAAGAACGGAAATAAACCACTATGTAAGCTTTGTAGTTAAGCAGTAGCCGAAAGTGATATCGATTGTACAGGCATAACTCTTATTGGTCTAAAAAATTTTATATTATTCCTACACTCAATGGCACTTTGTCGAAGATCCGGAGTCTGTAATAACAAGACAACCAACATGGGGGAGTACGGTAAATTCGACATGACGAGTAAAATGCGCATAAATTTATAAGGTAAGAGATCCACACGAATGACAGTTATAATGATAAGAACCAGTACTGGAATTCCGGCGACGAACAATTGAGAATTGAGTAAAACAATACGACGCACTACTGTCAAGTCGCGTTGCATTCGCACCTGTTGGTTGCTATTGAATTTTGACGAGGCATCACGTATATGTCTCACTAGTAATCGATAGATTATGCTTAGACTAATGTCCGTTAATAAGAACGATGCTGCGGCCATGTACAATACAAAATCAAGTCTTGTCAACACTACAAAGCAGATGTTATCCGTCGCAAGTTTTGGCATGTTACCTGTAACTAAAGCAGGTAAATCGAAAGTAAAATCAAATATCCACTGGCAAATAACAATGCACATCTTCGAATTATGACTTTTCAGCAACGCCACTTGTCGAATCTTACAATATCTGTCGACAGCCAATAGAATAAATGAATGATGAATCCAGGCAATCGTAGAATGATGAAAATACGCACGCAATGGACATAATGAATCAACGGTAGAGTATTCATATCGATCCCAAATAAGCATATACACACCTATTGCTAGATGATTAGCAGAATTCAACAACACAGCTAGCGCAGTATTGCACGCTAGTAGTGTTGGGAAATTGAAGCACCGATGTCGGTAAAGAACAGCTAGAGCAAGAAAACCAAATGCACCGGTAAAATTCAAAGAACTGACAAATAGGTATATGCGATTAATAACTGTAGGAAAGTCCATCTAAATACTGTTTATTGATATACACACGGCTGTTGAATTAGTTGCACGCTTGTGTCAGAGCGATATCAGAAAGTATGTTGCGGATAATGGAATCCAAGAAGAATCTTTTCTGTTCGGCTGGTGCTATAAAAAGCAAGGGAAAATTTTTGAATGACGTGTGCGGATGCTATACGCGAAGAAATGTCGATGAGAATTTGTTTAGCAGGATTACGCTTAGTTGAGCAAATGAAAATATATCAATTCAGAAGTGTGAGCATACAATTCTAACCATTTTAATTTCGAGAAATGCTTGCGTTTTGTTAAAAAAGAGAAACATTTCAAAGAAACCCATTTAGCTTCAAATCGCTGCATTCGAACTAACTCACGCACTAGTTACAATTTCAGCTATTAGCATGCGGAGCTGTTGAAAGTTTTACTTGTTACTGGTACAACCGTCCAATGCCAGTCTTTAGATGATTTCATGCTAGATTTTTCGATCCTGCGTCAATAATAATCAGACTTATCGTCAAGGCATGACTTTTCTTCTTTCTTGTGTTTCTGAAGATACTTACTTCGCAGTTCACTAATATCAAAGGACAAAATAAAAGATATCTGATAAGATAAACATTGTTTGCTTGGTTACCTTATAGAATCAAGGGCTGAAATACAATCGAGCGACTGATTGGCTCTTAAAGCATCTGTAAAAAGAAAAATCTTTTTAATAATTCAATGACGTAGGCAAACATGCTCGTAAAATCAGTCTAATTACTTTATAATTCTTGCAACTATCGATGTGGATCGAGTTTACATGACGTTAGAGTACAAAGCAACCGAAAAGTAAGCGCACATGGTGAAAATATGCACGCAGTGTGCCTGGTGGTTCGATATCAGGATTTTCATATTGATCCCAAAGGAACATGTAGACACATTGCTAAATGATTATAGTAGCATTAAGCAGGACAGCTAATATAAGAAAAGTGAATACAACAGCACAGTCAAAAGAACTAAAGAATATGTATAATCTATTAATAATCGAAAGGAAAATCCATCGTTAGAATTATTGATGATGTGGACGATTTGGGCGGTTCAATTGGAATATTTGACGACTATTATTAAAAGAAGATTCACTTAATCAATATATTTACATTCAGAAGCTAAAGAGAGGAGAAGAAAAATAACTTTCATTGAGCAAAATATGTAATGAAGTGTATTTATGTTCGTTACAAAGAAGTTCGTTTGCGGAAAGAATGTTGGACGACAACGTCAAAAGCCATATGCAAATGGAAGCATACTCAACGAGCAGATAAAAATACATATACAAATGGCACCATTTGAAATGTATTAAATATTTCTGCCAAGTTTGATATTAAAAAAGTTTCTCTATTTAAACTCTTGCTTTCATTGTACTCGCGAGACTTAAGTATGCAGATGTCCTTTGAAAATCTATACACTGAATAGAAAATAAAACGAACACATTTGTAATTGATTGCTCAAACTTTCACTTCTACTATTTACTATAGCAACAGCCAGTTTCATATCATGATTGAAATTGTCAGTTGCAACGGAGTATTAATATGAAGATGATGAGGGATTAGTCGAATATGTTATTTGGCTGACCAATGAGAAATCATCGATAACAAGTGATCTTGTGAGTGGATTATTATGAGTAACAAGTGTTGCTTATTTCTCCGGTTTAACCATTAACGTAGCTAGCTAAGCCAATTTTTAGATCAGATTTCAATTCCTTACAGCAGAAGACAAATCTAATGGAATAGTTTTTTTTCTTTGAAGCGCTTGTAAAAGTAGCTCGCTCATTCATTGAGTGTCATATAAAATAAGCTTCTCTTTTACTACTTGATGTCGTCAGATAGAGAAAAGAAATTACGACATCACGTTTTAGTATAAATATTTGCATACAGCTGCTTCAATGTTGACTCACAAGAATTACGAAATTACTATGCAATTATTTCTTTCTTCTACAATTAAGTGTCGACATCCGAAACTATATAAGACTCAACTCTGAATCAATTGAATCGTAACGACGATAGAAAATGGCGTCAGTTAGTTTACGTTGTATTCCAGACAACCCATATGCCATAATTGGCGTGACAAATAACAAGAGAGCTCGATTTGAAATCGAAACAAAACCAAACGAAGACAATGCTCAATCAAAAGAACGAAATCCACTCAATTTAGTATTAGTACTTGATCGCAGTGGTTCCATGGCATCAAGCAACAAGTTAACATTTGCAAAACAAGCTGTTATTTCTGTACTCAATGCACTCAATGACGACGACATTGTACATCTTGTTGCTTACGATACTACAGTACGAAACGTCTTTGAAAATGCATCAGCAGTAAGTCGTCAAAATCTGTATTCAATCGTCGAAGGAATTACCACTGGTGGTTGTTGGTGATTTGTTCTCGAAAATGGCCAGGATCTGATCAGGGAAAATCACCACGTCATCTTGGATTTTATGTAAGGATATTTCCATACACTTTCACGGTATTTTCCTTTCCTTCACATGCGTCAGTATATATATATATATATATGCAAGTATGTGCTTTGCTCTTGTGTTACTTCTACCTATTCTGTTCTCGTTCACAGCTATACTTGCTATTCTCATTTTCGCTTCTCGTTCGTTTTCAAGTTCTTCTTCTTTTACAAATAAACGAGAGGTTTTCCCTTACATTTCGGAAAACTTACATTGGCGACGAGCGTTATTTCGGACTCCGTCTAGTATTTGATCTTATCTCTTCGTTTCGCATCCTCGGCAGAAACCACAATACCTATGGCATCTCCAGTGCTTTCGTCGATTCCATCTCTCTCTGCTTTCGATTCTCACAGCACGAATTGGAAATCTTATCGAGATCGTATGCAATTTTATTTTGAAGCCAATCGAATCACACAAGCCAAAGAAAAAAAGGCGTTGTTTCTTTGGGCCGTTGGCTCCACAACGTATCAGTTACTGGAGAATTTAATCTCACCAAGATCATTGATCAGTGACGAGATAACTTTCGACGGCATCTTGCACATACTTGATGTACACTATGATGACACGAAAAACATAATGACATCCACTTATGATTTCTATTCATGCTACCAGAAGGAAGGACAATCGTTCAATGAGTGGAAGGCCGAATTATGTGAGAAATTACGACACTGCGGCTTTACCACCTCGACCTTGAAAGACAAGATTCAAGACCGAGCGTTGCGCGATATGTTCGTGATTGGTATTAGAAATCCCAAGATCCGGCAAGCCTTACTAAAGGAACAAGACCCGGATTTAGAAAAAGCTGAAAAAATCATTCAAGTGGCCGAACGTCTTTATGAAGATGTTGAACATTTTGGCAATCCATCCGTACGTGTTGATGTTCCTGTCGCCAAAATACAACATCAACAACCACAGCGATTCCTCACTCGACAGTTGAATCACAACAACGATAACAACAGACGTCTCAGTCCGTGTGCCACCTGTGGATCTACCGAACATGCACGTCAAGCATGCAAATATCGAAATTACATCTGTAATTTTTGTAAACGTCCAGGTCATCTGGCTCGTGTATGTCGAAGCCAACAGAAAACAGAAGAAGATGTGCCTTCAGTAAAACATGTATCTACTACAGTTTTTAAATTAGATCATGAAAACCAAACTTCTCAGTCATTGGTTTCTACTACAGTAATACCATTACGCGTAAATGGTCATGAATGCTCATTCGAACTGGATACAGGTGCGGTATATACAATCATCACGGCAAATGATTGGAACAAAATTGGTTCGCCAAATATTCGTTCATCAAATCTTCGGTTGAAGTCTTTTGGTGGAACCTTATTGGAAATTCTAGGCGAATGCACAGTGAACGTGGAATATCGAAGGCAACAATTCAACTTATCGGCTATCGTTGTGAATGAATGTGGGCCATCGCTCCTCGGTATCCAATGGATTCATCACTTATACATGGATCTCAACTCAATCATCCACGGCCATAACCATTTTCTTCAAAACGTCCATCGAATTGAAGATCATCCTGATCTTCAATCAGTTTTAAAAAGACATTCAAATGTCTTGAATCATGAACTCGGTCATTGCACAAAAGTTCAAGCACACATCGAACTTAAACCAGATGCAACACCTAGATTTTTCAAACCAAGACCAATACCATTAGCGTACCTTGATGGTGTCAAGATGGAAATTGAAAGAAATGTAAAGGCTGGTATCCTTGAACGCATTGATACCTCACTGTGGGCAGCACCGATCGTACCGGTAAAAAAACCAAATGGTTCAATTCGTATTTGTGGCGATTTCAAAGTTACAATAAATCCACAAATATTGGTTGATCAACATCCCATTCCATCTATTGACGAACTTCTTGCACGTATAGGAAGTGGCGAAAAATTCACGAAATTGGATTTGTCTGATGCGTATCTTCAATTAGAGTTGGATGAGTCCAGTAAAGAATTGGTTGTAATAAACACACCACTTGGATTATTTAAATATTCACGTATGCCCTTTGGGATTGCTAATGCGCCAGCTATTTTCCAACGGGTAATTGATCAAGTAATTGCAGGCATTTCGAATTGCATTGCGTATCTGGACGATATTTTAATCACTGGTGCTAATGAATCCGAACATTTATACACTCTGGAACTGGTTTTGTCGAAACTATCGGACTTTGGCTTAACATGTAATCCAGAGAAGTGTTCATTTTTCGAAGATGAAGTATCGTATTTGGGTTACATCATTGACAAGCACGGGAAAAGGCCTGATAATAAGCGTGTTGAAGCAATCATCAACATGCCTACACCAACGAACTTAAAAGAGGTCGAAGCCTTTATTGGTAAAGTAAATTATTACAGCAAATTCATTCAGAATTTTTCAAGCAAATGCAAACCTTTAAATGAGCTTCGTCGAGCGAATGTCAAGTGGGTTTGGACCAATGAATGTCAAGAAACATTCAATCATCTTCGACAAGAAATTGCTTCTGTCACAACACTCGTTCATTTCGATTCCAAACTTCCAATAGTTCTGGCCACGGACGCATCTAATTATGGGTTAGGTGCCGTAATCATGCACCGTTATTCCGACGGTACGGAGCGACCTATAGCTCATGCCTCCAAAACATTAACACCAGCCGAGACAAAGTACAGTCAAATAGAAAAAGAAGCACTATCCATTATTTATGGAGTAAAAAAATTCAACCAATACTTAGCAGGTCGATCATTTGAACTCAACACGGATCACCAGCCACTTCTAACAATTTTCAATCCTTCGAAAGGTTTACCAATGTCGACTGCAAACAGATTGCAAAGGTGGGCGCTTTTTCTCATGGGATATACATATACGATTCGATATAAATCAACTCACTTTCATGGAAATGCCGATGGTCTATCCCGTCTTCCAGCTGGGCCTGATGATACATTCGAGGATGAAGAAGCTTGGCAAATAAATTACATTCAAGATAAATCAATTCAAGAATGGCCACTACGAGCAGCTGATATTGCCGCAGCCACTGATTCCGATGAAACACTTCGAATAGTTAAAGAATATACACTGAATAAATGGCCACCATCCATATCCAAATCGAAAGACCGCCAGATAATTCCATATCACATGTGTCGATATGAAATATCTGTCGTGCACGGTTGTCTTTTACGTGACACACAATTGATTATTCCCACGACGCTAAGAGGTGAAATTCTCAAACTATTGCATAAAGCCCATCTGGGACCAATAAAAATGAAACAATTAGCAAGACTACATTGTTGGTGGCCGGGAATCAACGAAGATATTGTCAAACTGTCGCAATTGTGCCAACAATGCTCTCAAGCACATGCCAAACCACCACAACAATTCAAACAATGGGAAGAACCCGATACAACTTGGTCACGGGTTCACATGGACTTTGCTGGTCCTATTTGGGATTCCAAGTGGTTGATCATTATTGATGCTAAATCTAAATTTCCTTTTGTCTTCGATATGAAAAATGATACCACTGCGCGAAGTGTTATTGATGCATTAGAGATGGTTTTCGATTGGTTTGGACCGCCAAAAACTTTGGTATCGGACAATGGTCCGCCATTTACTAGCCAATCAATGCTAAATTTTTACAATAAGTACGGAATCGATCATGTAACAACTGCACCATATCATCCGGCTAGTAATGGAATTGCTGAAAGATTCGTTCGGACGTTCAAAGAAACCGTTTTGAAAGAGATGGAGTCACATAAGATCGATAAATTTACCGCCCTTCGTAATGTCTTACGAAGTTATCGTTGGACCCCACATACTTCAACCGGTCTCTCTCCAGCAGAAATGATGTTTCAACATTCTATACGCACCGAATTTGATATCATGAAGCCCACAGTACCGGTCGAAAACACCACAACAGCTAAATACGCCATTGGGGATTCAGTTTGGGCACTAAACTATCAAACAAATCAAATACCCAAATGGAAATTGGCAACTGTTACAAAAAACTTAGGCTCAATGACCTACGAAATTAAATCATCGGACGGACTACATCACAAACGCCATCAAAACCAACTTCGTCGGGATTATACACAGCATGAGTATTCAGCTGACACGGATAGTCTAGCAGATGATTTAATAACGGATACAACACCAACCATATTAGACAACTCATCGAAACAGTCATCTCCACGTTATCCTCGTCGAAATCGGAAACCACCAGATCGTTATACCCCGTCATAACAAATTAAAGGGAAAGGTGTTGGTGATTTGTTCTCGAAAATGGCCAGGATCTGATCAGGGAAAATCACCACGTCATCTTGGATTTTATGTAAGGATATTTCCATACACTTTCACGGTATTTTCCTTTCCTTCACATGCGTCAGTATATATATATATATATATGCAAGTATGTGCTTTGCTCTTGTGTTACTTCTACCTATTCTGTTCTCGTTCACAGCTATACTTGCTATTCTCATTTTCGCTTCTCGTTCGTTTTCAAGTTCTTCTTCTTTTACAAATAAACGAGAGGTTTTCCCTTACATTTCGGAAAACTTACAGTGGTGAAACATTTCTATCTGGCGGAATGGACATGGGTGCTAGTCTGCTCGAAAAATATCCACATCCTGGCTTTTCTAAACGTATGTTCGTTCTGTCCGATGGATTAGCAAACGTTGGATTGCGAAGTAAAGAAGAAATCGTGAAAGCTGTTGGTAAATACAATGAAAAAGGTATTATCGTTGATTCGTTTGGTGTTGGCGAAGATTTCGATGCAGAGATTATGAAAGGCATTGCTACAGCTGGTCGTGGTCAATTCTTTTTTCTTGAGTCAGCCGAAGTCATTGTCGATCTAATGAACAAAGCATTACAAAATGTTTTTGATGTTTGCGGATCACAAGCACAATTAATTGTTCGCGGCCGTAACAATGCTATTGTAACCAAAATCTGGGGTCACGAAAATATTGCCGTTGGTGCAAACCTTGGCGATATTCACTTTGATAATCTTCGCGTTATTCTTTGTGATTTTACAATTTCGGGAAATGGCCCAGAAGGCGCCGAAGTTCATGCTCTCGATTTTCAACTGAAATATAATCTGCCGGAGGATATCGAAGGTGAGCCGGTCACTATTGCTGGTCAGTTATCGATCATATTTGTCAATGACGAATCCCTTATTCGAGATATTGATCCTAAGGTTCGAATGGCGCATGCAACACAAGTTGCCGGAGAAATGGATGATCGAATCGTTGAATTGATGAAAAGCCATCGACGTGATGATGCCATTGCCTTACTCACCGAACAAATCGATCTTCTCAGACAAGTGGAACATTTAGATGATGACAAGGGGATGATTGCAATGTTAATACGAATGGCAGAAAACTTACAAAAACGATTAAAAGATAGAACAATCAGTGAGAAAGCAGCTGCTCACAAATGTGGTCACCATGGTCACATGAAAAAATACCATGATACTAAATACACAAAACACTACGAAGAAGACTGATAAGCAATCTTTTTCATTTGTAGCTAACCCAGATTAATATTGACATTCTTTTCCTTCCTACTTTTATATTATATGATTAAAGTCATTTCTATTTGCAGCAATGAAATTGAAGTGTATTTTTTGCAATAGTGAAATTTAGGGAGCAAATTTATGTTTCCACATAAAAATCTGCTATTTCAATAATTATTTACTACTATTTCTGCTACAACACATTGTTTATCTCCCTGATGGTCTGAATTCCCTTGAATATTTATTTTCATTAGATAGAAAAACAACACAGAGAAATTGTCATTTCTAGTTCTAACCTCGACTTTCTAGTAAACGTAGCCACTTATCATTGTATTCTCGATTTCGTTGACACTCTTTTTCCCATCGATTGATTCGAGCTTCATCAAGATAACTAAGATCCTGTCGTTGTTCATCTCCACTTTCGTCATTGATACCACAACTGTGTTTACCTTTCTTACATCCACCTGCACCCGTTGTCGCTGTTACTGTTGCATCACAACATATCCATTTGAATTTATTCTTTTGTCGTTCATACTCTTCGCGTCTATCCGGATTGGTCACCATTCCGTATTCCAGTTTATTCAACTCATAAGTCACTTGACTTGGTGTATACATAGTTAGATCAGGCACTGAAACATCGTAGACGAATCCGTCATGATGAACACAATTACCTACAAACAAAGAACTTCGATGATAACCAGCACTGACAAACTTGTTTCTCTTTACCCATCTTATTTTCATTCTCAATGTAATGATCTTTGCATTTGACACATTTTAATAAATCTTCTGCTTTGCGTCGTTCCATTTCTGCTTCCCTTTCTTCGAATCGCGTTCGTGCAAATTGAACATCCGATGAAAATTGTCGCAAAAGAAAAGGTTCTCGAATCACAGCAACTGCCCACTTTTCCACAGTTTGCTGTTGGCCACTATTGTCACCTTGTGATTGTTCAACAACAGCTTCACGAAATCGCGCTCGAACATACGTATAGATACTTTGATTGACAACAGACGAACTCATTGATCTGCCCATCGACGAATCTGACTCTGACTTATTCACGCCAACTAATGCATCGAGATCGTAGATGATCATCGAACGAGTATACGCGACACATTCATCATATCGTTCTTTGAGGGTTTCAAACACTTTCTTCTCATCATATGCACCTTGTGATGCTAACAGATTGAGATCAATCAATTGAAGAAGCTGCACATTGCGATCTTTCCCATAGATAGTCAATCGTTCAAGAAGACTTTGTGTAGTTGTTTCACTAGCATAAAGCTTGTGCTCTGTAATACCAATATGTTGACTTTGTTCAACGATTTCAACTCGTGCACTTCCACCACTCAAATCAACAATGATTCGTCCCGTGTACACATATCGAGACAGACTATTAACACGAATTTCTGATTTGTTTATCAAATTTCGTAGAAGCAGACGAGGTAATGTCTCACTACCAAGGAAGATTTGATATTGCTGAGCAGTGCGATCAGCAATGATCAGTGCTTCTCTATGATCAACATGAAAATTTGGTCGAGTGCGTTGAGCAGCCATGCATCGAACAGTGACGGCGCGTGTAAATGCTCTAATGGCAAAAGAAATGCATGCCTAAAGGTCAATTCTTATATCAAATTTACTTGCAAGCTGCACCACTGAAGTTAGTCGTGGCAATCACCAGGCAATCAGTGAGGTTAGGTTCAAGAGCCCACTCTGGTATTTGATTCAAAATTGCCATTCGTGCTTTTGATGATGGTCGACCAACAAAGAACTTGCCAGACATTCGTCGAAGAAAAGCTTCATCCATCATATGTAAACGATTTGTAGCACAGAAAATCATCATGTTTGGCACATCTTTGATACCGTCGATCAATGATAGAAGAACACTGATCTTATCAACTTTGCCTTCACTAGAATCTTCATCGCGTTTTGGTGCAAGAGAATCGATTTCATCAATTGACAAACAACACATCGCATACGGAACCCGATTGCATCGAGAAGCAAGTGCAATGATGACGCGTTCTGATTCTCCAACCAATGGCCGGTTTAGTTCGCCCGCTGCCAATGGAGGACCCACCATACAAATACCTAATTTAACACAGAGCTTACTCATAATCTCTGATTTGCCCGTACCCGGCGGGCCATACATAATAAATCCACGTGCAGGTTTCACCAGTCCTTTGTCTACCGGAAGTTGTGGTTTTTTTAATTCGGCTTCAACGTTACGCTTTTCAGTTTTCAAGTCATCGACTTGTTTCTCATGAGTTGTCATGGCATTAATCCACTTATTCATTTTTTGTCTATGTTCATTAATCTGTTTTTCGATGTTATTCTGATCATATCGCCATTGTTGATCAACGTCGTGTAATTTTCTTGCACGAACACGTGATGTACTATTTGTATCTATTTGTGATCGCTCCTCTGTATAGGAAACACGCAACGCTTCCATTGTTCTGTTTAAATCATTGATACGCTCATTAAAATCCAATACATTTTTCTTTGCATCTAGCCATTGTTCTTCCAAACCACGAATTTTGTTGTCAAGCTCTTTGATTTTGGCTTCTTTTGCTTGATTTCCACCATGTGATCTTGACATTCGAAGTTCTTCTTCAGTGATAGTCAAAGGTAAGAAGAATTCACCCATCGGCGAAAATAACCCATCATCTGCATAGCCTTCTTCTCGCATTTCATCAAACGATGCATCGATACAATCTGCCTCGATCTTTGGCAAAGAACTATGATTAGAAAATACTCGTTCGAAACGAAGCGTATGGTAAATAAATAGTTTGATCAGATGCAAACTGGCTAGCAGTTCAGAACGGGATCCTCTCTTCGACTTATCTAAACATCAATTTACATTATATGAATTAGAATTATAACCATTGTTTTCTTACCTGTAGTTGAAGGAAGTTCTTGATTTGGAGAGCTTTCTTCAAACAAACGTCGACGATTATCGGTAGCACTCTCTCGTTCTCGATCCACCGCTGTCTTCAAGATTCTCCTAGCGTTCATGCTTAGTTTTCTTATGTTGTCCCATTCTGTTTGTTTCAAATTAGACAGATGAGCAAATGTCAAAATATCTTCCTCGCGCAATGCTTTCAGCCATGCATTTGCTTGTCCGTTGTCTTCTTTGTCACACACATCATGTACAAACTGTTCGAGAGAACCTGTACGTGGACAATCAACGATTGATGATATTTCACTTTCACTGTTTTGTTGAGCACCATCAACGACAAACTGACAGTGAATTCGAACACCTTTGTTTAATACCCAGCAAGATGGAAAGGTTCTTTCAGAATGACTGCGAAGTTCAATGTGAAAGAGATCACGCAAATGATCGTAAGACCAGGAACTGAACTCATCAGTAATACTCACAGGTTCGACGAGACGAAGACGTGCTGATTGTCGCTGTCGAATAATACCACGTGAACTAACTTGTTCGCGAATAAACAGTGCAAAAGTTGAGTTCGGATCAAGTATAAACTTATTGTTATAATTGGAAAATGGTAGATTATTAGTCGTAGATCTGCTAGTTGTGGAACTGACTCCGCCGGCAACTTGTAAGAGAAATGTCTCGATGAAAGTATCTACTTCGTTTGTTCGATTCTTGACGATTGTTATACACTCAACTTCCGTTAATTCTGTTGGTGTCTCTTCATCTTGTGATTGTTGTGGTACAGTTGCAGATGTTGTTTGTGTCCCAGAAGCATCCGATGGCGATGCTTGTGGTTGACTTTGAAGTATTATACTCAAAGAATCCAAGACTTGCTCGAGATCATCTTGCCTAATACATGTATGCAATATGTCTCGATCGACATCCGATCCGACTTGTATTCCAAGTCGTTCGGACGTGTTGTCCAAAGCTGTTTCGTTGACAACATGCCCATCGAATTGATCAATTGATGTTATCTCTGCATAACAGTCACGAAAAGCTATCACTTTTCCGTCGCTCACCGATAAACCTGACTTGAAATACTCATAAACACTGACTTTTGGCAACGCAGACGCCATTGGAAAAATCGAAATATGATCTGGAATAAATAACAATGTCGTTTTGTATAAATTATCTCTACTCCGACTTTTCTCAATATGCATACTACACATTCATCCTGTTCTCTTCTAGCAGTTTTTTTCTGCTGCAATAGCTTTCTACGTATTTACATAAGGGCTTCGTCTTCAAATGAAATACTTATCAAAACTGCTCATGTTCTTACTTACACCACCAATGTGCAACACATTTCTATTACTTTTTTGTGTTCTTCATGTATGCTAAAATGCCATGAGCTTTATTCACTTTCTGTCAATTATGACGCTTTTCTATGGTTTTTGCCAACATAAGCAGAACATAATAAGCGTGACGTACCTGGGTTCCTTCCCAATATTTTTTCCCCGAAAATGTTGACATCTGTGCATATTTAAACTCACCATTCTACTCTTCTTTGTTTTTTATTCGCAAACATGTCTACGAACACAACAATTGCAGCAGACGCGCATATGAATTTAGAGCAAATGCAAGACGAATTAAAACGATTAGAAAATGAAAACAGGATTGTCAAAGATGAACTACAGACTGCTGAAGATCGAATAAAAGAACTCAAGCAGAAATCAAGAGATCATGAAGCAGAAATCCGTCGTCTCGATGAGCAAATCAAGCAACTCAACGCTGACATAGAAAGACTCGAAAAAGAACTCGAAGATTTGCGTGATGAACAAGCCCGCCTACAAGAACAGCGCCGTCAGCAACAAGTAGAACATGATCGTCTTGAGCAACAACTTCAACAAGAAACAGACCGTCTACAAGAACTTCAACGACAACTCAGAGATCTCCAAGAACAAAAACGAGATCTCGAAGAAAAACGTGAACAGCTAGAAAACCGCAAACAACAGCTAGAACAAGAGATACAACGAATCGAAGCACAAATTGCTCATCTTGAACAACAAATACAGGATTTACAGAATCGTCTTCAACAGTTAAATGAAGAGATACGGCGAATCGAAGAAGAGATCAATCGTCTAGAAGATGAAATCAAAGATTTACAAAATCGAATTGTAACACTCGAAAGACAAAAGGAACAAATCGAACAACAAATCCGTGAAAATGAAATCAAACGTGACGCAAACGAAGCGGAGCAACGAAAGATCGAAGATCTTAAACGACGAATTACACATCTGATTAATTTGAAGAGAAATCACATTGAACAACTGAAACAACTACAAACGAAGTTGGAAACGGAAAAAAATCAAGCGCAAGCAGCACTCAACCAGTCGAAAGCTGAATTGCAAGCTGCTCAAGCCAAAATGAATCAAGCACAGAACGTTGTCAATCAACTTCGCGAACGATTGCGTGTACTGCAAGATTTAATACGAACTATCGAGAGAGTAATGCAACAACTCAATGGCCAAAAAAGTCGATTAGAGTAAGTTGCTTCAATTTATTCTAGAATTGCAGAGTTATAATTTAATATCTCATAGGGGGCAACTACAAACTCAAAAATGTCAACGAGCGGAACTTGAGAGAAAACGTGCAGAAATAGATGTGAAATTGAATGGGAAAAAAGCTGAATTAGAAAAGGCTGAACAAGAACGAAATCGACTTCAACAGAATATCACTCGACTTGAAAATGAACTCAAAACTTTGCAAGACACACTTTCTTCGCTCACCAAACAGCGAGATGAATGTGCCAAACAACTTGACAATGAGAAGAAGAAACAAGAACAACTCGAAAAAGAACTCAAAGATGAACAGAACAAACAACGACAAGCAGAACAAGCTGTGCAAAAACAAGAGCAACAAGTGAGAAGTGATGAAGCTGCTTTGCGGCAGGCTGAAGCCGAAGAAGCAGCTGCACGAACTGCCGAACAACAAGCACAAATAGAATTAGCAACAGCAAGGGCCGACTTAGCTACAGCTCAAGCTCAATTAACGGCTGCTCTTGCTGCTCCACCACCAGTCAATACAGGCACGGTCGCAGCAGCTAAAGCAAGAGTTACCACCTGTCAGGGCCAATTAACAATGAAGAATGCTAACCATCAAATGAAGGTCAGCCAGCACGCGAAAGCTCGCACAAACACTGCAACAGAAGAAAACTGAACTTGAAAGCCAAAAACAACGTGTCAATGCCAAGAAAACGGCACTTGATCAACAGAAAACAGCAGTGACAGCAACCAAAAATAAACTCGAGAAATTGAAACAAGATTGCTCACAAGCAAAGAAGAATGTCGACGACAAACAAAGAGCTGTGAACGACGAGAAAAAGAAATTAGAAACACAGAACAAAACATGTGAAAACTTGAAAGTGGAAGTCAATCAACTCGATACAGCATTGAAAGATTTGGTTCAGCGTGTGCAAAATCAAGATCAGATGATCAAACAATCAGAAACTCAGCTACAAAATACTCAAGCTCAATTAGCCAGTCAAGAAGCACAACTTGGACAGCAGAAAACGCAAGAAACAACAGTTACAGAAGAATGTAACAAAAACATGGCTGAAGTACAACGGCAAGCAGAATTCATTCGAAGTAAACAAAGCGAAGTAACACGATTGGAAAATCATCTGCAGAATGTTCAATCGAATATCGACATGTTGAATAAATCTATTCCTGAACTTGAGAATGACCTTGCTCAACAAGATCAAAACCTACGCGATGCTCAAACGGCAATGCGAAAACTTGAAGCTGAACATTCCAAACTCGCAACGAACAGAGCAGAAAAAGAACGTGAAAAACAACAAGCTGAACGAGATATTACAGCACTCAATCGAGATATTAAGCGACAACGTGCAACACTAGCTGAACGAGAACGCGCTAAAGGAAGCCTGGAAGCTGAAGTCAATGGTAAAAAATCTGAACTGGTGGCGAAACAAGCACAGAAACTTGCTCGTGAAAATCAGTTGCGTGCTGTTGAAGATCAACTTCTTGCTAATAAAAACGCGATTAGAAGTGTGGAAAATAAAATGCGTGATACAGAAAGACAAATACATGATCAAACCTCTCTACAACAAGAAACAAAGCGTCGTTTTGATGATGTAACAGTACAGTTGAGCAACACCCAACGTGATCTCGATCGATTGACTCGACAAATAAACGACAAGAACACCGTTTATGAAAGAAGAAAACGAGCAGGAAATGATTTACAAGCTCAATGTGAAACACGCCGCGCAGCACAGCTGGCTGTTGATAACGAAGTATCAGAACTTGAATCAACGCTGGTGAGTCGTCGAGCGAAAGTAGCTCGAACAGGACGAAATGTTCACGGTGCAAAAGAAAAGATCGAACGAAACCAATCGGAAGCGACGAGGATTAGTACAACTGTTTCACAGCATGATGAACGTTTTGAACGTCTAGATGACGAAGAATATATGCGTCAGCAAAATCAACAACAACACTATGCGTATGGCTAAAAAGGCAGCTGTGTCTGATCATAAATAAAATAATGCGACTATTAGCGTCAAATTATGTACTTGTACTAATTAGAAATACATGTTTTATGCATCAGGTCTCATTTCGTACGCTTTGAGGTTATTCGATAAGTTTTGTCTTTATCTTCTGACAAATCAGATAAGAATTGGAATCAATTCGAAGTATTGTGCTATATTGTTTTGAAATCGTTTACTGATCACATTGCAAAAAAAGTATCTTTCTTTAATTGCAACGATGACACTGCTTTATCATTCTGGCCTTGTCATTCTTTCATTCATCACATATATAGTGACTTATTTCTTATCATTTTCCCAATACCAATCATGTTCTCCTCAACGACAGTTAGTCTTTTACTTGTGGCGATGATTTTTGTATCGCATACGCATAGCAATCCCGTATCGGACGATGAATGTCAAGCTCAGTTTTACCCCAACGATGAGTGTCGAGGATCGATAGCAGCACCTATACAATGCGTATCAAAAAAACTCAACTTGGCTGATACAGAGATTTCATCATGTACATCTGTCGGCTTATTCTGGTCTTATCCAACTAACAATTTCACATTAATAATTGAAACACCATTCACAAAAGCGCAACAAGCATACAAACTTGAAATCGACAATGAACTATTGAGAGCATCCGTTTTCCATTTTTATCGAATTGTCGATGGTCAAGAAACAGAAATCACTACTGATGATAAGAAACTTATTCAAAATTCAGATGAAAATTTTCAAGTAGTTCTCAAATTGCAGAGCTTCCCGGCCATATACTCTTATGGTGTCTTTATCAATTACAAGGTTACTGCTTTGTAATTGAATGGGATTCACAATTCTTAATCTTTATATCAAGTATTTGATTTTGTCAATAAAATATCGACATTGACAGTGCATCTTTGCAAAAAATGCCTCCTTTCTGATTCTATAGGCATTACATCACTATTTTGAAATAAAGTCTGTTTCCACAGTTGCTAAAATACAGTCCTCCAAAACTTACTGACGGATTGCAACGAAAATAATCAGGAAAGCATGACTTGCGCTGATTCTTTCTCTGCCATTTAATAAAGGGAGTTCCTCATCAAAAATGGTTCTTGTGACAGCTGAAAAAAAAGAAAAAATAATCGATGCTCACAGTTTTCAAGAATGCATCATGATGGAAAAACAACGTACACAATGTCGAATGAAATGAGTCATTAGCATACAAATCTGCATTATTATACTTGTTTTGCTTCTTCCTGAGCTCTTTCACATGATTTGCTACCAATATTGCAAATATTAATAAATTTACATCGAACCGAGACATTGTGAGTCTTTATGCACTAGATCTTCAAACGCGTACATTTTTCCTCGTCGATGGAAACTATGGCGATGTTATTTTAAATTAGACTGTTTATAGTCGACGAAGTGATATTGATTTTAATGCTTATAACAAAGGCAACTTTATCGATGGTATAGAAGGTGGGATGTGTGGTACAATTATCGATTTGGGTTCCAGTGCAGATCTTCAACGGTGATAAGAATATCGAGAAATAGATGGAAATGGACAAGGATTTGTATCGATACATTGACAAAATACAACATTGCTACTTCGAAATGTTGATGAATATAGGGGAAATGCTTTTCAACCGATGAAAGAATCCGATGAGTTATTTCAACAAGGCAAATCAGGGGCAACGGTAGCTGTTAAACTTGGTCATGATTATGCTCTACGAATAATAGATCGTTTTACACCGACTTTTGAGCTGATTGTCAAAATGCTAGTTATTGCCTTTGAACCGAAGATATCACTTACGATCCGATGGGAAGTTCTGCCATTAAAGAAAATCATTTATCCATCACGATTCCTTTTTCATCAATAAACTTGCGCATTTTCATTTATTGAAAAACAACAGCAAACTTTACAGAAGCAAAAATATTCTACCTTTGAGACTAGGGTATCACTTGATTAGCACCATATTCTTGTTGAAACCAGAGCCAACTCCTTCGAAGTCCCTCAGATACATTTGTCTTCGGAGAAAAGTTCAGCAATCTACGCGCTTTACGATTATCGCAATGAGTGATTGATGGTTCCGTTCGATACGATTTCTTCATTTGCACACGAATATGTCGATGCGACACTTGCTCCATTTCCTTTACGAATCTGTTCAATTTAATAGGAGTTCCATATCCGATGTTAATGATCTCGTAACCCAATGGCCGTTTCAAAGCCTCGATTAACGCATCCACGACGTCTTCAACATAAGTCCAATCTCGTTGCATTTCACCATTGTCATGAACATCGACTGTGCGGGACGGATCCAAACACGCACTCATTAATTTGAATGGCATCATGTCAGGTCGACCACGAGGGCCGTAAACATTGAAAAGTCGTAAAATTGTCACGTTGAGAGAGTGCAATTTATGATAAACGTGAGCAAACAGTTCCGCTGATCGTTTGCTTGCTGCATAAGGTGAAATAGGTTGAACACTTGGATCTGTCTCGACAAAAGGTATTTTGTTTGTCTGTCCGTAAACGCTCGACGTCGACGTAAAGACAAATAAAGGTAATCGACGTGAAGATGCAGCCATTTCCAGAAGGAGTTGAGTTCCTACAGTATTCGTTTCCGTATAATCATTCATGGCCAATGTCGACGAGCGAACACCTGGTAAAGCCTGCAAATATGACATTGACAGACATATTCATGTTCAAGAAGTATAGGTGAGAGAGTATTTACCGCAAGATGTGCAATATGTGTGATATCATACGTGGCGAAAATCGTTTTCAACAATTGAGCATCAGTAATACTACCTTGAATAACAATCAATGTCGAATTTGGATGACGAGCACGGAGATAAGCCACATTGTTCCGCTTTATTTTCGACGGATAGTAGTTATTGAAGTTATCTAACAAGATCACTGCAGCGTTGCTTTGTAACAGTCGATCGACCAGATGGCTGCCGACAAAACCAGCACCTGTACATCTACGTAGTTTCCGTATGCAAAATAAAAGCAATATGAACGCTTACCACCAGTGACTAGATAGATGTTGAATGTGTTGCTTTTACTTGGTATAGCTGGTAGGGATTGTGACAGAATTGTCATTTGAGAAACAAAGATAATTATTACGATCAAAACCATTAGTTTGACTGCTGCACGCGAGCCACGCTTTGGTTGAAAAGTTATTCGATTGTACATATTTCTGTTTGAGAGGTACCTCGATGGACAGTTTATTTACTTGTCAATTTATAGTGTGGCTTTTCTTTTCCTTCCTTTCGCTTTCTCTCTGAATTAGTATTCAGTCTAAGAAAAACATGTTCATGTTAAATATCGACGATACGAATAGAGAGGAATGAAAGGTCAACGATTACAACCAGTCATTCACAAGTATATAAACATCATCACGCGTCGAATGCACCGTGATACTGTCCAAAATGAAATTTTATAATTCAAAATTGCGACGTCGTTCATTTGTTGCCTTATCACTTTGTACAACACTTTGGATACTTTTCGGATACAATGGCGTTTTTCTTAACTATAATCGAAATGAAATCAATTGTACTGCCATGATTTCTGTTGTTCCTCCAATTCAACTGCCATCAATAACGAAGTTTGATTTGGAAAGCAATGAAACAGATCGTGAAGCATTGGTCACGTTGATTACTGGTGATACGTATGTAGCTGCAGCACTCGTTCTTGGGTATACATTGAAGAAGCATGAATCCATGAAATCTCGTCAACGTGATATGATTGCGCTTATGAAGCACGATTTAGTTCTTAGCAAACAACATCGCAGGATGCTCGAAGAAGTCGGCTGGAAACTAATCGAGGCGACGACATTTTCGTTTCCCGGTACTGTAATACCACGATTGATAGATGGTTTGCTCAAGTTGCACGTGTGGAGTATGACGCAATATGCAAGAATTGCTGTGCTAGATGCTGACGCTATTGTCACTGGTTCCATCGAAGAACCGTTCAAGTTCATGCGATCAAATATGGACATTCCATTATTAGCTGTAAATTACCTATTCTGCCCGAAAGTGTTGGAAAAGAAGACATACATGACCGCATATTTCAATGCCGGTGTTCTCTTTCTGCGACCCAATATTGAACATTACGAAGCATTGATCAATCTGTCTTCGAAACAAGGCTATTACCATCTGAAATTTCCACAACAGAATCTGTTGAACACATATTTTCTTGGTAAATGGCTTGGACTGTCGGTTATTTACAACTATGTACATCGTAACGCGGCGTGGTTTACTGACATGGACAGTATACGAATCGTTCACTATGCGGGTACTCCAAAACCATGGGATCAGGCTCATACTTCACAAGTGAAAAGTGGCGGGGATTTATGGCCTGAAGGTGACCTCATCTGGCAGAAGTTTTTCGTCAACATGACTCGCGAATATGAATGGAAAAAGCATCATTATCTTGGCGAAAATCCTTCAAAAGAGCTTGAGCAGAGTTTTGATTTTGAACGCTTCAATCTTTAATTTATAAAATAGAAGAACGGTCAAGTTCGTACTAAAATCGACTTTGTTCTAACTGTTTCGTGGTGCGATGTTCCACTGGCAGCACTCGATTGTGATTGTAATGTATCGCGTTGAAAAAGCATGTTTTCAATTGAGGCGTGATGATCACCAGAGCTATGCTAAATATGAACACAGCGACAGCTGGTAGCAACCATTGAATGCGGTACATGTAGTAGAAGCCGGAAATACTTGGATCAATACTTGTCATTAGAGTGAAAGTACAATTGGGTACACCAGGTAGAGTGAGAGTATTGACAATGAATATGATGCGACGAATGACGGTAAAATCACGTTGAGCGCTTCGCATTTGTTGAGTTTGCAGCATGTTGGACGTTTGATGACGGATGAAAAACACGAGATGAGCATAGATAAGGGTTAAGAAGATAACTGGAGAGATGTACATCACTATTCCTGAATAGGTCAGGGCACCGAGATATTGGTAGAGCATACCACAGTAATAGTCGTTTTTGTACAGTCCATAGACCGGAGATGACCAGAGGTAGGGTGGCAAGAGAAGAGTAGAACACATGATCCATTGAAGTAATATGCATACGATATAAAATATAAAGGACTATGGAAGAAAATGAGACGAATATGGAACACGTGTGTGTATGACTTACTTGAAAAATTCGCTGTTTATGGTAAACCACTCTGGTAAATCGGTAGAATGCTTGGAGAACAAAGCTCATGTAACAACAAGCAAATGCCACGTAGATAAGAAAACCTCGGAGAAGGCATGTATTTAACTGACTTGTATCAAGAGTGGGAAAGCCATATAAATCCGCTTTGAATACATAGATATTGACGAAGAAAACAAGAAAAGAAAACACAAACATCGCCAGATAAGTATTGATCATCAGAAAAAAGGCAATATCCCGATTGGATCGAAGATAAACGAACATCATAATTATCATGATAAATGTGATCATAAGTGCGAGACCGCTACTAATCAAAGTCACCAGAGTGAAAGCTACGCTTGATAACATGATCTTGCTTGAGTCCAAAAAAAATGATTACATGAAAGTTAGTTTCTCTTGTCATATATAGATCTTATAATGTAGTTGTCACTTCGGGATGTGGACGTCATCTTCAAGATGCCATCAAGAGTTCCCGTTCTTTGCATTTCATCACAAGGAAAATTAATTAGATGTTCGTGATATAGAAATTATCTACGCGATGATTATGTTGTTAGTGTTTTTATCTCAGTGCAATCGAACAAGTAAACTTTTTTTGAGCAACTTGAAGAGTACTTTTCGTCAAATTACTTGTGAACGATGAATATAATTGTTGAATTGATAATGGTAAAGTAAAGATTGGAATTAGCAAGATTTGAATAAGTAACATACGAAATAATTTGATTTTGATCTGATGCTGCAGGAATGATGTGACGACGTTGACGAAGGTTATTTATAGTTAGGAGGCCGAAGAGAAGCATTAAACTACACGAACAGAGTGAATAAACAAGGGGTGAGGGTGAAAATTTTTATGGTTGGAACCGATAGAGCTCATCAAATTGTACTTGGAACCAGTGTTAGTTCGATTGGAACCTACACTGAAACGAATGAGCTCAAGAAAAAGTCGATTCCTGCACACAGATATCCTATGGCATTCATTCCAGTTTTCACATCTTTATTATTGTCTTTTTATTTATCGATACAAGAAAAGGTGGTGCAGATAATTCACTGGAGACGGATCTATAGATTTTTCGAACGACGGTTGTATATTAACTTCGGTTGCGTAACTCGTTGGTTGTCTTCCATGGCCACTGAATTGTTAAGTTTTGCATTTTTCCATTTTTCTTTCTCGCTTTTAATGATAGCAATTGCTTTTAGTTCATATTCTTGCTTACGTTCACAACTGGCTATTCTATTATCAGCGATAACTTTTTCAAGTCTTTTGAGTTTTTCAATAATATTTGTTTTGTTTTGTTCGTCATCAACGAGAGTCACTGTTAATTGGCGAAGATTTTCATTTGACTGACGATATTTCTGTTCGCGATCGGCGAGTTCTTGATCGATTTGATGAAGTTTTTGTTTAGCCATTTCTGATTCTCTCTTCGAAGTGATGATTATTTGTTTACTTTGCTCTTGTTGTTTTTGTATATCATGTATTTTCTGAGCAATTTGATCAATAGACTCATCATTTTTTTGTATTTCTAGCAACTTAATGTTTATTTTATCTTTGAGATGTTGTACATTGTCAAATACTTGTTTGTCACGTAGGTTTAACTCATCCAGTTTCCGACGAAGACTTTCTGTAATAGCATTTTGAGTTTGTATATGAGAACATATGACTGTACGTTGCTGTTTCAATGAAATTAATGCAGTACCTTTAGTGACGATGTTCTGTTGAATGTCAGTTCTCTTTTGAATATAGTTGGTGAGTTTGTTGTTAATTCCATTTAATTCTGTTGTTGTATTCATTAAGTCTTGCTCAATATTGCGAATACATAATTGCTTGTTCTCGATACCGGTACGCAACTCTTCCATGGATTTTCTTTCTGATTCAAACAATGTTTGCTGATGAGTTATTTCACAATATACACTCTTTTCGGCATTGGCCAGCTCAACGAGAGATGCTTTCAGATTTGTAATTTCATCTACAATTATTAGACTGCTATAGTCAAAAAATGTATCTATTATATCTGTATCAATATACGCACTTTTCAATTGATTGATGGTGTTCTGCTGTTGATTTTGTCCCTGTATCATGTTGATTAGTTCGATGCGATTTTCATCAATACTCATTCGATTTTCACGGATCGCTTGATCTTGTCGTTCTAAGTTTTTATTTAAACTTTGAATATTAGATTGCGTTTCTTTTCTTTGGCTCTTATAGGAAGTTTGCTCTTCCATGTGATGTTGTAAATCTTCCATAGTTCGAATTTTTTCAGACTCAATTCGTTGTAATTTACCGTCGATTAGATGTAAGTTCGATTCGATCTGTTTCTTTTGTCGTAAAGTATCGCGATATTGTTTTGCGAACTGTTCTGCATTCAATTTATGTTGATTAAATGATGTTTCTTTTTGTTGAACAACTGTTTGCTGTTGTTGAAAATCTGTAGAAGCATCATTCAATTTTGATTTAGACTCAGCTGTTCGTCCTTTAGCTTCATCATGACTCTTACGAAGTTCATCGTATTGCTTCTTCTTTTCTCCCAGTATTGTTTTGACTTCATTCAGTGCGACTTCAGCTTTCGGTAAATCCTCCTTCAGACACGAGAGTAGAGGGCCGATGATATCAATTGATCCTAGTAACTTCCAACCACTATCGATAATTTTTTCAACGGCTGTTCGAGCTTCGGCAGTACGTAATTTTTCTTCTACTTGTTGCTGTTCAAGTTTGGCCTGTTGAAGTTGTCCTTGGAGTCGCTTCTCCTCACTAAGCGCCTTTTCATATTGAATTTTATGTTGACGCTCAACATCTCTCAATTGAATCAACTTTTGTTCACTCTCGGTATATTCTTTCTTCGCTTGTTGCTCTAGTCGCACGGCTTCATCTTTAAGTTCAGATAATTCATCACTTTGATTGGTTAAATTAGTTAAGGTCCTCTGAGAATTCTCTTGATCACTGCGTAATGTTTGGAGTTCGATAGACTGCTCTTTCATCTGTTGTTCAAGCGTTCTTATATTTGTATTTGTCTGATGAATTAAACTTTCCATAGTACGTAATTTTTCTTGCATATCGGCTACTTCAGTGACTGTTTTAATACGTTGATCTTCGAGATTTTCGGAAGTTCTTTTTAATAACAGTCTAGCTTCTTCGAATTCTTTTCGTGTGAGAATAAGAGTATTTAGTTTTTGCTCAGCAGCAATTAGGTTTGTTTCGTTGATTTCTAATTTAGAGTTAGTAGTCTGGATTGATTCCGCAAATTCTTGGAGCTTTGCTCGTAAAATTCTCATGTTTTCTTGAAGATGATATATTTGTCTTTCGGACTGAGCAAGACCTTGTTCTTTTTCAGAGACAATTCTCTCTAGTTCAGAAATCATTTTTTCTGATTGTTTCTGTTGTTTTTGAAGATCTGCTTGTGTTAACTCTAGAATACGTTTTTCTTGATTTAATTTTGCGATTTCTTGTTCGAGATTTTGAATTTCCATTTCATTTTCCAAAATGTCCCGACGTAATTCATTCATTTCACGATCACATTGATCTCGTGCGGATGCTTGATCTGCTAAGTTTTTTTCATTTAAATCAAGTTCATCTACTGTTCGACTGATTTGTTCTTGTAAAGATTTCAATGATGATTGTAAATAATCTTCCCCTTTAGCATTTGTTGCCTCTTTATCTCGAATATTCCATAACTCTTTTTCTAATTGTTCGTATTCTTTACTTAAAATTTTCTTCAAATTGTTTTGTTGTTGCACTCGACGTTCAAGATCGGCTCGATCCAAGTTACAATTATCAATAACGATCTCTGCGGTACTGAGCGAGGTATTTTGGTCAATTTCTTCTACGTGAAACTGTTGTTTTTCCGTTTGAAGTTGTTCTATTTCTTGTACAAGCTTTTCCAGTTCGTTCAGAAGTAGATCGTTTGCATTAAAAGTCTCATTGCATTTCTGTTCGAACTGTTTTCTTGCGCTATTCAATTGCTTCTTCTTACTTTGAAAATCATCATCTTGTTTCGCATGGTGATTGATTGCTGCTTGTTTATGTCGGCGAGCTTCATCGAATTCGGGTGTACGATCACTGAAAAAATCTTCATCGATTGAATCATCGTCATCTCCTCTTGCATCAGTCATGTCTCAAAAAAGATTAATATCTACAAACTAGAGAGTAGAGAAAAAGATTGATGAAAAAGAAATATCAGATGACGCGTTTTCTAGGAACTCCAGTTAGTACTTTTACATGGTTTTGTAGATTGAGCATTGGTATTTGTTGTTGGTTTATATCTATTCAAAAAGTCTCTTAAATTTTCTTTAGCAATCGGATTCGTTTTGAAGTATTCTTGCACTTGATTAATATAATTATAATCATTCATATTCACTTTTCCTTCTAATTCTTTTGGCAAACCGCACTTATCTGTTTCACATGTTTGATATGACTCTCCATATTTACGTAAGCAACATGCCCATAATAATTTTGGCATTTCATCTTCGGATGACTTTTTCAAAATTGCACACTGAAGAATTGATTGTGCTTGTTCACTAGTAAGATGTTCATCAGGTCGATTAATATCCACAACAAATCCAGAATGATAATGGCAACTTCCATCGCGTGTTTCTTTAGGAGTATAATTTCGTAAACATTTCGGACATTTTCGTGATGTTTCTTCTTCAAGACGTTTATCTTCTTCTCGTTGTTCTTGATTTAATTGTGCGGATGATTTTTGAAAGGCGATATCTTCAATTAATGTATGTTTTAACCAAGGATCTTTGACTATCATTACAATCCATTTTTCAATTTTTGTGACAATACCCTAAATAAACGAATGTATGTGTATTTCGTCAAGAAACATAATTGTTGTTACTACTTTTTCATTCGGTTCAGTTTGTTCTACGATCGATGTTTTACATTTTTCTCGAAGAAATTGATAAACTCGAATGTTTGAAATTGATTTTGATTTGGACATCTCCGAATCGGATTTATTTAACATAATTAATGAATCGATATCAAAAATTAACATCGATCGATTATATTCATTACATTCAAGAAATGTTGTTGTTAATAATTCGAAAATTTGATTCTCATCAAATGCATTCTGTTTAATTAAAAAGTTTAAATCAATCGTTTGGATTGTATCAATATTTCTTGTTGAACAACCATGAATAAATCGTCCTAATAAAGTTGAAAGAGATGTTTCATTTTTATCTAAGTTTTTTTCTAATGTTGGTTCATTTTGCATTTCGATCAAACATTTCTTATCAGTATAATCAATTAATATTCGTCCCGTTGGTTTTAAATTATCGAAATCTAACGAATAATTCTCTTCATTTGAGGTTGAATTGAGCAGCGTTGAATTTAGACGACATATTTCCGGTAGTGTACTAATTCCAAACCAAATATTAAATTCTCGAGCAACAGTATCAGTTAATTCTAAAAGACGATGATCAGTTATATTCTGATTTCCATCCATTTCAATAATTACATTTGATCTTAGTGCACTGATCGCTGCGCCACTAAAATTTGTAGTAATTTTTACTAAGGCATCAAGACGTTTCGGTGTGAACACATGCGAATCTTTACAAACCAATGGTGTCAACATATTATTTCGAATAGCTGGTGATGGTCGACCAACAAATACCTTTGCTTGCATTCGTCGTAGAAATGCTTCATCCATCATATTTCGACGATTCGTCGCACCAAAAACAATTAAATTTGGAATATCTTTCACACCTTCGATATGAGATAATAACACACTAATGCCATCAACTTTGCCTTGTTGAGCATTACTATCACGTTTGGGAACCAGACCATCGATTTCATCGATCGTCATTGCACAAATCAAATACGGAATAGTTCTTGCACGAGACATGATATCAACAAGAAGTTTTTCTGTTTCACCAACATATGGTCGATTGAGTTCACCAGCAGCTAGTGGTTGAGTAATCATGGTTATACCAGCATAAACTGCGACTCGTTTCAGCAGCTCAGATTTACCTAAATTATAGAAAAATTTAGCTTTCAATGGATAAAAAACTTCAAGTTTCATGTACCAGTTCCTGGCGGACCGTAAAGTAAAAGTCCACGTCCATATTTGACGATTAACTTTTTATGTTGATCATCTAATTTTAATTGCATCAGTTTTTCTAAGCCTTCAATTTGTTTTTTAATACTGATTGTTTTTGCCACTGAATCTGCATAAAGTTTATTCAATGGTTCATATTCTTTTTGAACTTTCTCCAAGTCGAAAATGGCTCTTTTTCGCTCTGCATAATACTGCTCTCTTTTTTTTCTCGCTTCTTGCTCATTTCGATTTGCAGCATCGTTTAACACAATTCTCTCTCGTTCAATAATATTATTCGTTCGAGATTCTGTTGTTTTTAAATCTCCTTTATAAGTTTCTAATCGACTTCGATATCGTTCGCTTTCCATATTTGATGTCCTTTGTTCCTGTTTCAGTTTGATGATTTCATTGGCCCATTGATTTTTGCGCTGTTCGTACGAAGATTTATCTTCAATTAGATTGTTCAGACAGAATGTTCGAAGATAATTTTTGATATTAATTAAAATATTTCCATCGTCGTCATATGTTTTTCGGACTTCTTCAATAGCTAAATCAACAGCATCGCGAGATAAATAGGAAATCAAATGAAGTTTGTTTATTTTATGATAAAAATATCGGCGAACACGATGAATATCAGCTATTAAGGTTGCTTTCGATTGCTTGTATGGGTCAGAATTTTGATCAGCTGAAGAAATGGCATTATTGATTTCCATATAATCTCGAATTAATTGTTTACTAACATGAGTAATAAGAGTTAATTTATCCCAAGAATCTTTTGTGATGTTACGAAGATGATCAATAGTATTGATATTTTCCACTAAAAAGTCATTGAGAGAAAACAGTTAAGATTTTAAATAAAAGAATTTACTCTTTAGACAGTCGAGCCATTTCGTTGCATCTGTTTCATCATAATTGTTTTCTCGACATATGACACGTAACATATCGATTAAGGTTGTTGTATCATTTTCAACTGCATGTGTTTTTATACTTGAGAGAGAAAGATCAGTGTGTTGTGACACACGCTGAAAAACTTTCACAGTTACCGTAGTATCATCAGTCGTTTTCCAGACATCAGGGAATTCACCTTGATTAGGGCATTCATATTCAATATCAAGTAAATTTAGGAGATGATAATGATTGAATGGACCGAATTCATCATTTTTACGAAGAAAGAGTTTTGGTCGATAGATTTTTTTCTCACTTTGATTACTCATATCAACAGGATCATTCAATAAATGAAGTGTATACGATTGTAAAATCGACAATTTGCCATTTAAACGTGTGAGTTCAGAAACAAATTCAAGAAGCTCACGATAATCATGCTTCATTTTAAGGTTAAGAATAATATCTGCTACATTCGTCGGACGAACTGATAGTTTTTTATTTTGTGTAGACGACGACATTATGGCCGGATCGTTTGACTTGTTGGTAAACGGTTGATTTGTAGCTGATATAATAGATGGAAGCAATGTAGGTTCATATGACTTATAATCAAAATGTTCGTCATCATCAAACATAATCTAAATAGAAGAATACAAAAAATTCTTTGTGAAGGATAAAGTTCTCAATTCGTAATTAAATAACACAAAATAAGATGAAAAAAGGTTTATTTTTTTGCATAGTTTTCTCGTTGATTGGGTACCGATGACACATGACGTCGTTCCGAGACATCACGTTGTTTTTGCCGATCGTGTTCGAGAAGTTCATTGGTTTTCTGTTGAATTTTCGAATAAGTTTCATAGGAATTCTTACTGATTAACCGTAGAGTATTTTCATATTGTTCAAGTTTACGAAATGTCACTTTTCGCACATCTTCATGACTTTGTGATTGATATATCGATTGTTTAATATTTGTTTTCAATTGATTCAATTTTACTTCGCTATTGGAAATTTCATCATTGTTTCGTTGAACTTGAAGTGTTACTGTTTCCAATGTATTTTTTGTTTCAGTTAGATATTTGCTGGCAACTGTTTGTTTAGCAGTTAAATCATTTAGCTTATTTTGAATTTCATGAAATTGTTTTTGTTTTTGACAGATTTCAACATCTTTCTGATCGATTTTCCCCTGCAATATTTGTATTTCATTATGTAATGTTTTATCTTGTGCTTTTAAAGATTCTAATCCAGATGAGAGAGCGTTAACCTTAGTTTTTTGTTGTTGTACTGCTGCTTGTTTCTGTTGATATAATGTTTGTTGAGCATCTAACTCCTTTTTATAGTTTTGTTTTTCTTTCTCACAACGAATTCTTTCGTCTTGCAAAGTCTGGATATCATCATTGATTCGATTCAATACAGTTTTATTAGCCATATATTGTTGTTGATTGCTCTCCAATTGTTGACGTTTTGAGGCGATTTCTTCGGTTAATTTGTCAAGACCTTTTTTATTTGCTTCAAGTAAAGTTTCTTCATTGGCTATTTCTCTTAGTTTAGCCTGTTCAAGGTTTTCTTTTTCCCCGATGGATTGCTTTAGTATTTGCAGTTTTTGTTTGATGAGAATCGTAGTATTTTGTTTTTTTTGCAGGTCATTGACTATTTTATCGAAAGCTAATTGATTGTTTTTAATGATTTCTTCATGATCATTCATAGTACGTTGATGACGTTCAATGTCAGTTTCGCTTGTTCGAATGTTAGTTAGTAAATCATCTTTTTGAGTTTGATTGGTTGATAAATCGAGTTTATGTTTTTCTAATTCACCTTTGAATGAATTGAGTTTCGTTTGAGCATCTTCAATTTTACCTTGGATATTTTTCATCTCTATTTGTACTTTTCTTTGATTTGTTGTTGTTTCTCGAAGTTGAGTAGAAAGATCATTGACGGTATTCTTCTTTCGTGTTGCATCGCTGCTTTTTATTTTGACTACTTTTTCTTGTTCAACGCGTTCGGATATCACTTGATTTAAGCGATTTTTTAAGTCAAGTGTTTTATTTGTCGCAGTAGTATGTTTTTCAGTCAGATCTGCTAGGACATCTTGTTTCTTTTCTAATTTTTGTTTGACTTGTTCAAGATCATGTTTAGCTTTACTAACGGCTTCTTCTTGGTTGCTTCTCGCCTTCTCTCCTATTGACACCCATAAGATGGAAAATGGCACGCACTGTTTCAAATGCTTTTCTTCGTTTTCTAATTTTTCTTCAGCCGCTCGGACATGTTTTTCAGCAATGTTTTTCTCATATTGAGCATTATTCATTCGTACTAACGCTGCCTGTTGATCTCTTTTAGCTTGTGCTTGTTGATATTCGAAGTCACGTTCTTTTTGTTTTAATTCAGTGAGATGTTGTTCAGCTTGCTGACGAAGACTTTCAGCTTGCTGCAACTCTTTCTCAGCTTCTTGTTTACGTGTACGTAAATCTTCACATTCATCTTTGTTTTTGGTAAGAGTATTTTCGAGTTCTTGATAAGTTGACCTCAGATCAGCAAGTAGACTATTCTGTATACGCTCTTGTTCTTCACAGCTTCTAATTTTACTTTGATTTTCTTTGAGTGAATTTTCAACAGCTGCTAGTTTTAATTGAAGATTGTGCAATTCATTTGAATAGTCAATTCGTTGATCATCTAATTGTTGTAATATCTTAATTTGTTGTTGTTTTTCTGTTTCCAATAATGACTTTTTATTTTCAAGTTCAGTTACCAGCTGTTCAGTTTCTGTTAATTTCCTTCCTTCATTATCGAATTCAGTTTTTTTAGCTTCTATTTCCTTTCTAAAATAAAACGACAATAGGAGTTTGAAAAGTACATCTATTGAAACGTTGATTAGCTTGATTTGGCATAATCGATTAACAACGTATATCCATCTCTTCAATTAGATGCAATCGAACATTACAGAATCGATCAGAACTTAGACAATTTATGGAAACATCAATATATCAACCTGATGAATTCATCGTCCTCCGTTGCTAAATCTTTGTCAGAGTGAAGAAAATAGTCGAAACCATGGAGATAATTGTGCGATATGATTCGAAGAAAAGCAGTGCTCAATCCTCATACAACTTTCTGGCATGCATGTCGACCACATTCGAAAAGATAAGGATACTTCCTATTCCGCGATACTCAATACCGTGAACTAGATGACTGACGAAAAGGACATTTTTGGGAGTTTGTGTGGCTCTACTGCTAAATAGACAATGAATAGATAAAATTCCTTGATGTTATCAAGATATAATTCGGTTGATCATCGTTGTATAAAATGAAGGTTTAAAGCGAACTGCCGATAATCGACATGGATTCCAGAAAAGATTAGACACACTAACAAATTATGAATAGTCAAATGAGGGTTAACTGGGTCTGGGCTCTAAATCTATTGCCATTTTATGAAATTGATTTGTTTTCGTTTGTCTGATATCTTTCGTAGTACTGATTAGGCACTCAAACAAAATGGTTATGGGCTTTTAAAAATGTAATTTACCTCAAAATGGTTAATTCTCCATTATTTCGATTGATGTTTTCTTGATACTTTTGCATTTTCGTGTGTAAACGAATTACATCAATTTCTTTTTCTTGTATGACATCAGTTAACTGTACGATAACAAATTCCAACTCGACTTTTTTTGCTACAAGATCTTTTTGTTCTAATATGAACTTCCGCTGTTGATCTTTTAATTGTTCAATATCTCGAATAAACCGTTTAATTTCATTTTCATTTTCTTTGATTTTCTTGTTTAAATCTTCAATTTGATTCTGTGCTTCAGCTAATTCACCTTGTTCTCGACTAAGTTTTTCTTGATTTGTTCGTAACTCTTCTTGAGTTTGTCGAATCAGTTCTTGTAAACTATTCAACGATAATTCGCATTTATTTCGTTCATTGATAATCTCGTTTTCTTTAAATTTCATTTCATGAATTTTCTGTTCCAATCTTTCTTTTTCTTCTGTTAATTGTCGTTCTTTTTCCTTATTTTGTTGAACGTCATTTTCTAAAGTTTTCATTTCAGAATCTTGCTTATATAATTCGTTTTGAGCGCGTTCAAATTCCATGACTAAATTGGTATGCTGATCACGTAATTCTTTTCGTTTAGTTTCGAGCGTGTCCAAATAGTTCACCTCATTTTGCATTTGTTTCATTAATTGTTTAAGTTTTTCATCATTGTCCTCGGTTTGTTTCATTTGAGCATCTCGGGTTCCACGTTCATTTTCCCTTTCCTTTTGAACGAGCGTTGTATTATCTGAGAAATAAGCATTTGCCTTAGTCTCTTCTTGACGAAGATTATTGAGGCCTGATTTTGTTTCAGACTGCAATTCGTGTTGTAATTCATACAAAACATAACCTGTATTCGTTGTCATCCTCGAAGAGTTCGTCGAGAATTATAATCTAGAAAGAAAAAAGTATAATTTGCGTGTTACTTTAACACACATCCCAATAATTAGTCGTTCAGAAAGCAAACTTTTATAAGACAACAAATGCAGATCGGTGTTGTCAGCATCCACTGTTATTATTGCGTACTAAATATCTTTACTTTCCCCCGTTAGTTGTTGTCTTACTTCTCGAAAAAAGATATGATGAGTTATTTGTGGTGTTCATACCATTTATCTATATTTTTCGATCGTGAGACTGTGAAAAATATCTGCACGTTTCGGTGTTAGTTCTTTCCTCTCCTACGGAAAATGTTCTTTTGCTCATTCATGTATATGCCTTTTATTCTATGAGTGAATAAAACTACAAATGGACAGATAAAATGTTTTCTTTAACGACGTCTAAACAGAAAGTATGCTTTTTCTACCCATCATCACAATTCTTTACAAATTGAAAAGGAGAATTATGTGTCTGATCGGAAATTCTTTACTATCATTTGAAAATTTCAGATAAAAACGAATTGTTCTCCTTCTTTGCACATCTTATATTGTCAATAGTGTAAATGGATAAAAACAATCGAAGATAAATATTAAATACAGTGTATCAGTTTGTACTCATAAGTCTAATTTATGAGTGAAAAGGTAGACTTAGCCAATACGTTTAAATCATTTTGTCTCTGTAGGATGCCGAAGCTGCGAATAAGAATAGATATTGATCGAGATATTTGATCAATCGAAGCGGAAAATTTCAGCTGTGGTCCTCTTTAGCGAAAGAGATCACATTAAAAGAACTTTACGCTGCTTAATCCCTAGCTTTTGCAGCTCAGGTGAGCAATCAGACATTACAATCTTTGGACAATCGCATGTCTGACCATATACGATCTAGTAAAATCGAACAAGGATCGTACAAAAAAATCTTCTAAGAATCTTATGTAGAGATGTAGCAAGATCGATGCTCCCAACCTTGGTTAAAATCTCGGTGGTTCGTCGGAGAGTTTTGACTGGAAAGACAGATATCTTTAGTTATTCAAATTTTAGTAATTTTACCTCAGAGTTGTCAAAACTGATTTTGAATCCAACCAACACTATTGGAGATTAACTCCACTTAGATCGAGATCTCGTGGTCTCGGTATGTCACTATTCCCATTTCCTAAAAATACAGTGCGCACATGATGTTTTAGTCAATCTCGTAACGAATTTCGTTCATATTAAAGGTGCAAGGTCTGACATCCTGTTTTTTTATCTGAGGATAGCTTTCAGAACGAAAAATTGTATTGATGAAGAGTATACAGATCTAGCTTTATGTCTGTCTCACAATGTAAGTTTTCGACGTATGCCTTCAATGTCTCTGGTTTGTTTTTTCCTTCGCCTTTATAATATTATTCACGACATATTTGTCTGCGATAACAATGGGAGCAAAAAAAAGTACTTTATCTTTTCTAAACTGAAGAATGATATAAAGGTTGCACGTATGATACATATGGTTTTTCCCCATTATGATCAACATATCACAGCATTCTGTTTTTCGATGATAAAGCCAAATAAATGGGTTTTTCTCCAACTTATGAATCAGTAGATATGTACGGTAAGGAGAGATAAATATTTCTTGCAGGACGATAGTAAAGCAAGAGCACTTGTAAGTTATACAGAGGTGATGAAACATAGGATTAATCATTCGAATAAGTTTTAAAAGAAAGAAATTGTCAGTTAATTTTTATTTTCAGATAAATTACTTTCATTCGATCGCGAGTGTTACAGATTGGCCGGAAAATCCTAGTATTTCAATGGCATTTGCAAGCAATACACAGTGTTTTCACTATGAACCTACAACAATACAAGAAGATCTAATAAATCAAATCAGAGAATTATCTGAACAAAACCCCGAATGGCCATCAGTTCCTATTCATGTATTTGATGTTGTGGATGATAATAATTCTGATCAGTTGGAACAAAAATTACGTGACGATATTCGAGAACATTTCGAAAAACGGATTATTCTCATTCCATACCATTCAGAAAACTCAAACCATGCGATAATTTTAATTGAATTTCAAGATAGTGAACACATTCTTCGTGCTGAATTTATTGGATCAAATGCTATTCTAGATCAACTACAAACGCAACTTAATAAAGTCTATTCATCCGTCACTTTTCAGAAAAAAGATTGGATCTATCCTAACGATTCAGAAGTTGCTTTAAAACGAAACATTGAACATTTAATATCAACCGTCGAAGGAAATCAACATTCTACAATGATCAATTCACAAATACATTTGTTATCTGGTACTGTATTCAGTGAAAATCAAACAAGCGTCTCCATTTCACAGGAAGGTAACGAAAATGAACTTGGGAGATTAAACCAGCAATTAAGTAGTCGTCTTGTCGAATTAAAAATTCGAGACGTGAATCTTTTACCTGAGAAAATCAAGCGAGCACAAGAATATATTAAAGATTGTGAAGACGACGGAAGAGCAGAAGAAGCTGATAAAGAAAAAGAACGCTTAAGGAAACTTGGACAATTGAAAATTCTTGTCGATAAAATTTCGCAGTTAGATGCTGTAGAATCGAATAGTACTGAGTGCAGTAGGCAAGTCGAATTTCTTCGGTTACAAGAAAAACTGAGTAGCAGCTTAGCACGTATGAAGATTCAAGATGAAAAATCTTTGCTGCAAAAAATTAAGAAGGCTAAGGAACGAATTAATGACTTTCAAGATGACAATAGAGTGGAAGAAGCAGAGAAAGAAAGTGAATATTTAGGAAAACTTCAAGAAATACAACAACTTATGAACGAAGTCGCTAAGTTTAATTCGGATATGCCCACCCTCCGTCGAATTGAAAGTCAAACAGAAACGACAGATCACAATATTTTGAGACACGAAGAGCACCATGGAGTTCCGCGAAACAGACTCCAACAAACTACAACGGACCACAACGAACAGCAACCTGTTGATGTTGTTCCCTTGACTGAAACTCTACCTAATGTAGCCGGAAATGAACAAATGCAACAAAGATTACATCCCGAAAGCGATTTGACACGTATACCTTATTGTGCTGAGAGAACCATCATGGAACTCTTGAAACACTGCGTCCAAAAATCAGCCGCATTACAAGACCAAAATTTTCTAACTGACATGTTAAGTCAATTAGATACTCAGATGAAGCAACAAGAATTATTCTCCTTTGAAGTTAAAGCTTCTTTTGAAAGTTTAAGATCAGCGATATGTAGTGGAACGAGTTCTAATTTAATGAATAGGCTGCAAGTACTTTTAAGAAAAATTCGACCTATCAATATTGACGAAACGCAAATACTTATTGATAAATCGAAAGATGCCGCTCATTTAATTCGTGACAAAGATGTTGTTCTATTAATCGGAGAAACCGGTAGTGGGAAATCGACCACCATCCATTTCCTTGCAGGTTCACATATGCAGGAAGTTCAAGTCCCAATAGAGTCAAACAAATTCCTCCGACATATCGCTGCTGTTGAACCTATACATAATCTTGAATTAAAGAATGTCACAAGTAGTCCATTTCATAAATCAGAAACACGTTATATTGCACCAGTAACAATTGAACTTGAGAATGTTCCTGGTATTCGTGAAACCGGTGTAGTTATTTTATGCGATGCACCTGGTTTCGGTGATACTGCAGGTGCTGAAGTAGATATTGCGAATAGTGTTGGCATTCTCGAAGGTTTAGTAGGAGCTCGAAGTGTCAAGTTACTGGTTTTATCAAATTTTCAGAACTTAGGTAAACGAGGGGAAGGCATTCAAAGATTGGCGCATATCGTGATCAACATGGTCAGTGATATAGCAGAGAGACTTGACTCCATTATTTATGGTTTCACACAATATCCGGAAAAAGAAGATATTAATACTATATTAGTAGATATTATGGACTCGAGAGTAAATGCTGATCCCCGTTTGAAATCTGATCCTGCCTTTGTCACTGTATTGAAAGATATGATTGACAAAACCGAAGAGACTGTTTATCGGATTGATCCAATTCACGGTGATCGGAAAGTATTACTTAAGAAATTAAAACGTATGAAAGGTATTCTGTTTCCAGAAACAGCTTTTCGATTTTCAATAAGTGAAGAAACGCGAGCTACAATTGCTAGTCATGTGGAACTCGATAGATATAATATTATTTGTGCAGTAAACCATAAAAACAACGAACTTGTCTTGTACTATCTAAACGATTTGAAGATGTTACAAGAATTAACGAAACAAAATGTTGTTCGTGATGCTTATGAAAGGTCGGTTCGTTGCATTAGTGAAACTATCGATAAGTGTTGTACAGATAAAAAGGAAAAATTCAATCGAGCATTAAATAGTCAGGACGGATTAAAAGAAGATGATATTTCGGAATATAAGAATTCAGTTGAATATCTTCAACATACTCAAATCTTAAAAGAACATTTAGGATCGAGTTTATCACCACCAGAAATGTTAGTTCAAAATATTATTTTTCAGTTAAATCAGATAAAAAGTGTTTTGATTAAAAACGAATCATATAATCCTTTTGTTCGAGTATATTTAAATAATCTTTCATCATTGCGAATGCACTTTTTTCAACTTGAAACATACTATACAACTAGCTGTTCGGAATTTAAGGTTAGTTTTGATGAATTAGTAAAGTCATCAAAGAAGCTTATTCCAACGAACAATTTCAAAGAAATCGCAGAACGTATTCTAAGTATCTCGAAATCTTCAGAGATTTTAAAAGATCATTGTGATGATCGAACTGAAGCAGCATACTATGATTTGATCGAAGCCCTTTTAAAACATCTGAATAGTTATTGTGAAAAGGCCGATTGTCTTTTAAAAAAGAATCGATTAAATCCTGATGACACTGTGACTCTTCAAGAATATATGGAAATTTTAACATCTGCAAAAGAAAATTCTGCACTTAAAGATTGTATAGCGCCCTATACTAATATGTTCACAACGCAAATAAGTACTTCCAGACAGGATCGTTTCAGACGGCAAGACTCGGAAGGATTTTTTAAAGACATAAATGCAATTCATCGAAGTTTTGTTTCAAGAATTGTCGATTATTTCAATGCGATTAAAACGAGAATCGAAGAACTTTTTCGAAGACAGAAAGATCACGCTCTAGATGATATACACAGACTCATTACAGATATGGACGCCATTCGTTCTATTCCCGAACTAGAATCGAAAACTGTGGGAATCTATTACTGTACTGTTGAAAGTATCAATACTTATATGAAAGAATTCCAAATCGAAGCAGAAAATCTAGTTGTTACTATGAATAATCAATCAGGCACAGTCAACTATCGAAGTTTAGCTTTTTCATTATCGCGTATAAAAAATGCTGATTGGATTGACCGTATTAGTCCAGGAACATATGATAACTTAATTCGTCGTGTTACTGTTGAGTTAGTTGAACAAGCATGTCGATTAGAAAGCAGTTTGTTGAAAATAGATTGTAGTTTAACATTTCCGGACAATGTTTGCAAAGCATATGATATTGTTGAAAAAATAGAATCGATGAGTCATTTGGAAAATACGATTCCTGAATTAGAAAAGTTTAGAAAGAATATCATTCAACGATTTTTACAATCGATTCAAGCGGTTTTCGATCGAATACAGTCGATATTTGATTTACAGGACAAAGATGTTGATCTCATTAAACAAAAGTTAAACGGTTTAGAACAAACGAAAAAAGAATTTCTTCAGTTACATCCAGCATCAGTACATTTACGTAAACATAATTACTCAGATATTCATGTTCTAGATAAGGAAATTGAGCAGTTAATTGAGAATCGTCAAGCCGAAGTTCGCGCAGTAGAAACTGAGCAACATCAGTTGACTGATAAAGTACGCAATGTGAACACAGTAATTAGCAGAAATCACCGTTTGTCTTTAGAAATAAATGAAAGTCCCATCGAAAACTCGCCGAACATGAATACACTGCCCACAAATAATTTAACTTCATTAGGATATTCTTGTATTGACGATGTGTATAGAGACCACCTAGGAACTAAAGACCGTCTTTTGAATATATCAAAACAAAATGAAGAAGCGACTAAAGAATTCAATAATCGTTTACGTCATCTTCGACTAATCAAAGTAGAATATCAATCACTTCTAGAAAACCATAAATTAATGTCTTCTGAAGAGATGAGTTTTTTAAAAACACAGGGATTTGAAAGTGTAGAATCACTTGATGAAGTGATTCGAGAAAAAATGAAAGTGATTAATGAGAGAGGTCAAAAGCAGACTTATTACTTCAGTAAAACAATCGATGCATCGACAGCAAATAGTGCGTTGATCTATCTTCATAAATGTGAAGAAGTCAGTGATGATCGTGTTCGAACGAATGCTATTCACACGAATGAAAATTTAAGGAAATATCTATTTGAATATGGAAAGTTTCTTGATCAAGTAATTAGAAATAAATTCGATTCAACAAAAAAGATTCCTCTCGATAATGATATTTGTCAACATTCTCAAGAATTGAGTATGCATTTACAAGAATTAACAAATTTAGAAAGATATTCAGCTGTTTTCGAATGTATCAAAGGAAAAGATAAAATCGATTATTGGCATATAACATTTTCCGATTTTCATCGCAACTTAACTCATGAAATTCAAATTCGTAAACAATCGTTTCAAGTTCAAGAACTAAAAGATCGCTTAACGATTGCACACGCATTAAGTTATGTAGATCGTTTTTGTGATAGTGGATCCTCCTCCATGAGTAGATTCGAAACTTTGTATATTCAGTATCATACAGAAGAAATAAAAGAATGTCGACAAGTGTATGGAACGATTTTAGATCATATTGAGAAAGAAGAGTATGCTAAAGCCGATATAGCGCTATCAAATATTAAAGAAGGTTCTTTAAATGCCAAAGATTTGGCTCAAATTGAACATGATCTGAAAAGTTCGCTGAATAAATTAATCAGTCAAACGAAAAGTACGGCTAGTTGGTTAAACGGAAAAATCGAAAAAGGAGATGAAAGTAATCAGTCGAAAATACGTCAAATAAAAGAAAATAGCGATAAAGTTCGAATAGCTGCGAATAAACATCGAATTTTCGATTTAGTTGATGACCGAACCCGAAATTCTTTAGCAAAATTCGATCAAGACATGAGTCATATTTTGTCAACCGTTCTTTTAAGGGGTATTCAGTCGATTCAAGCATTTATCGACACGAATAGTTTTTCAGAAGCTGAACAAGGAATGGAAAATCTTTGTTTAGTACAGCATGAATTAACCGATTATTATACATCAGAAGAAGTTCAGCGTAAAACAGATGAATTGAGGAATCGATTAGATAATGTAGTAAATCAACTTTTGAAAGAAAATGATTTTGCTGATATAAGCAATTTCTCAAGCAATCCTCCGAGAGCTCTTCTTGAAAAACTAATCATGGTACCGCCACATGTTAGTTCGAGATTTAATCAAGTACACAAAACGATGTCTGATCGAATTCGAAATAGCTTTTCATCAGCGATTTCTGTTATATCTGGATTAACCTTAAAGGAGCGTACAGAGAAAGTGCGTGGATTAAAACAAGCGTTGTGTTTTTTACCGGATGACATGCAAACACAGTTTAGGGGACAGATTGAGGAATTGATTAATCAAAATGTTAATGAAGAGAGAACAGAAAAACAACATCTAAATGACTTATTGAAGCGTGTACAAGTCGATGATAATGCCATTTCACAATTAGGACTATTAGCTGAACATTATAAGAGTGCAAATATGCATGAACTTCTGCAAATATTACGCGAACAATGTTTAAAGGAATTACATAGGTATAGAACAGAAATGCAGACTTCTGATATTGAATCTACTGTTCAGGTTCTTAAGAAAATAGTTAAATATAAAAAATCTCTTGGTATATATGTTCCGGAAGCACTAGAGTTTTATTCAAGTGTTAGCAAGATGATTCTGAAAAATTTTCTTGATTGCTGTGAAAATTTAGCGAACATATCTTCGATTGAGCAAAGTCAATCAGTTGAGAAAGCATTTGAAAATATGGTTAGCTACCTAAGACTCTCCGTTACATTGAATGAACAAGGAGACGGGGAATTGTTTTCAATAGATGATTTAGGAAAGGCAAACGATTCTGTTCTCGAAATGTCGAAATATTTAAAAGAAAATTCTGTAAAATTTCAGTCTGCTCTTAATGGAATGAATGTTACTGAATTGTATAAAACTGTTATCATTTCGAAGAAATACGATAAACTTCTACAGAATATTAAGCGTTGTTCATCGATACATGAGCTCGTTGAAAGTTTACGTAAAGATATGAAATCGGTAATTTCATATTCAGATATGATATCCAATCTTGAGACATTCGCTAATAGTCTCAAAAGTCAATTGAAAGTTGAACTTATTAATGATGTCACGACCAAATTTGAAATAGAACGCGATGCATTTTTTCAAAAGCTAATGAAGTTAATCGATACATACCGATCATTCAGTTCAAAATTTGACGGGATTTTATCAACTGCATCGGATGTAGGTAAAATGATCGAAGACCTAAAGCAGAATATCGACAGAATTAGTCAACAATTATTAACGAAAGCATCGAGATTAGAACATTTTTCTGCAAATGATTCCGATGAATTTCGTATGTATTATAATCATCTTCGCTCATTTCAAAAACATGTTCATATTCCCGAAATTAACATCAGTCATGTTCTAAATCAAGTTGAAGAGAAGGTTTTCGACAAAATACACTCTTTACAACAAGAAATCTATGAATTTTATTCTGAGACCGAACGTGTTGCTAAAGTATTGTGTCGAATGAAGTTTTTTGCTGAAAATCTTTCCATGTTTGATACTTATATTAATACGAAGATCGATGAAGCGTTGAAAATGTATAAAGATAAAGAAGGAAGTATTGGTATAACAAATTTAACCGTCCTATTAGAAAGGGAAATTGAAGGTGCACGTATTATCAGTGAACATTCTTGTTTATCTGGAGAAGATCGACGTAAACGACGAGAAAGAATGCAAAAACAGGATGATATCGAGTATGCGCTAAGTGAATTAAAGGGAGATACAATTTCAGAAGACATTTTACGTTCACGTTACAGAGAATTGAAAAAGAGATATGATACTTTAATAGCTGAAAATCTAGCTTTTTTCTCTAAGAATGGTTCAAAAGAGCCTGATGTTCAAGTGTTAGTGACACAAATCAAATTTCTTGTTGGAACAGTTAAGCATGAGGCGAATTCTATCAGTTGGTCTGCTGCCTTTGTTGATCAGATTCCTGAACTCCTAGCACATATTTTTGCTCTTTGGACTTTACAAAATACCGAACATTACAATACTATGCGAGGCATTCGTGCAGATCAGGCTTATTTACTCATGCCTCATGTCGGTCAAATCATTGCTATCTTTCGCTTACTCGGTATCGGATATAAGAGTTCCACAATATTAGGAGGGACTCGATTATTGGGAACAAAAAAGATTTCCAGCGTTTTAACTAACAATTTAGTCGAGTTAGGTACTGGTGAGGGTAAATCCGTTGTCTTAGCGATCACAGCCTGTGTATTTGCTTTAACCGGAATCGATGTCAATTGTTCGTGTTATAGCGAAGTGCTGAGTACACGAGATAAGAATGATTTTACCTCTGTGTTTCGAACGCTTGGAATAGAAGAATATATCGAATATGGAACATTTAATAAGTTATGTGAGCAAGTACTAAATGAACGATGTAATGTACGAGAAAAAGTATGTGAAATGGTTCTCATGAACCAAAGTATGATTGCGAATTCAGATACGTCACGATCTAAACGTCCGAAAGTACTTTTGATTGATGAGGTTGATGTTTTTCTCAGTGATCGATTTTATGGTGGAATATATACACCATCGGTATGTTTGAATAAAGAACACGAGATACTAGCACTGTTAGATTCGATTTGGCAAAATAAGAACGAATTGCGAGTATTGAGAGATGTCACAGCTTTACTAGGTTATCAACAATGTGCACTTAAATATTTTAACTGGATGTTTCTTTTTGATGAAGCTATCAAAGATATGTTAGCCGCTTTAAAATCCTTTCAATCATCTACTTATATTGTACAGAATGATAAGATTGTCTATGTTGAAGGTGAATCAATCGTTGATAATGTTGTTCGTGGTTATGATACTATTTGGGCATATTACTATGAACATGAGAAAGGAAATATCAGTAGAGAAAGTTTACAAAATAATGTAGGAATTATTATCAGTTGTGGAACTATTTCTTATGCAGAAATGCCACATGAGTTTTCGTATATTGCTGGTGTGACTGGTACTTTAAAAACGCTTGCTACTACGGAGGTGAACATCTTAAAAGAAATCTATAAGATTGCGAAAATGACATATATACCATCAGTCTATGGAAGTAGTAATCGTACTTATGATTCAAGAAGTGATGTACGTGAGGTTCGAGAAGATGAATATTTTATGGAAATTCGTAATGAGATTGACACCCAACGTAATGCTAGTCGCGCAATTCTGATCTTTTTTGAATCAGAGGAAAAATTAATAGCATTTTATAATTCGTCAAATCTATCTTCTCTTAGAGAACATGTACAAATTATTACGGAGAAAGTTTCTGCTAAAGATCGAGATATGTATGTTAAACGAGCAGCGACAGAAGGCCGAGTGACATTATTAACTCGAACATTTGGACGAGGAACTGATTTTATCTGTCGTACTCAAAAGCTTCTTTCGAACGGTGGTATTCATGTTCTTCAAACATTTTTTTCGGAAGAACCTTCGGAAGAATACCAAATTATGGGTAGAGGAGCACGGCAAGGAGATCGAGGATCTTATCGAATGATTCTACTCGGTAAGGACTTAGAATGGGTTCTTGGTTCAATTTGGCGAGAAAAACTTAACGATATTCAAGGCCCTTTGCTTTACGCAGAGTTAAAAAAGGCTCGTGATGCTTTGTATGAGAGTAAATGTAGTGCAAAACATCTTGGCATTCAGCAACGTAAAAAAGAACATACAGCTACAAAAGATTTTATGAACGCATTATTATCGAAAGATATATTAGCAGTTAAGAATTTTCTAGGTAAACAAAATAAAGGAGTTGCTTTAATTGTGAATAGTTCACGTACTATCTTACTCATGGATGCGACAGGTTCTATGTCAGGTTTATTGACAGCGGCGAAAGAAACTGTGTGTACTATGTTTGAACGTGCCACAGCCGTATTGGATAAACAGAAAACACCGAATAATGGTTTTGAAATGCAAATGACAGCTTATCGAGATTATGATTGCATGAAAGAAGGTCTTCTTCAGAGTTCTTCTTGGGAATCAAAACCGACAAATCTAAGGTCTTTTATAAGTCAAATTACTGCCACAGGTGGTGAGGATTACCCTGAAGCTATTGAGATAGGATTATGGCATGCTGTCCAACAAAGTAATACGCCGGAAGGAATAGCTCAGGTTATTTTGATCGGAGATGCGCCAGCTAAGGATGAAACTGCAATAAAACATGACAGAATGACGTACGGTGGGGAAGCATATTGGAATGCGACTAGTTATAGAACTCCAACGCATTATGCAAAAGAAGTGAGAAAGCTGAAGGAGAAAGATATTCCTATTCATACATTTTATCTTAATGATGGAGCACGAATGAATTTTGAAGAGATTGCACGAGAAACATCAGGACATTGTAAACGACTAGATATTCATTCTACAGAAGGTGCTGAGTTGCTTACTCATTTTGTTACCGAAGAAATTTTAAGAAAAACAGGCGGTGAAGATGCAGCAAAACTTTATCAAAAAATGTTTGTCAAAAAATCTTTTCTATCCTAAACGTGACTTGCTCGCACTTTTTTTTATTCTAATCTACATTGCAAAATTTTATCACGACAAGTGTAAATTGTTCCGTCATTTATCTTTTTTCATGTGATTATAGATGAACATTATCTGCTACTTTTTTGTCATTAAGTTCGTGGCTTTTTATTTTCTATTTGTATTCAACTAATTTTATTTTAACAGTTTTATTTAATCTTTTTAATTATTGTATTCAAGAGTTTTTTGTCATCTAATTCAGAATTTCGGTCTCAATAAATTGAACTAATCGACAAACATCTCATTTGTGAATATGATTTCACACCACTCTTTCAGTCAAAGGTAATACAAGTCAGCATCGACGAGCGGGATGAGGGTGAGGGTGTGGGTGAGAGTGTTCTATGATAAAGAAAGTCAAATCTATCGGTTTAGTTAATTTCTGTGTTAGTGATATAGATTACGATTACAGAATTATGCCTTAGATAAATCACGAAAATTTGCAAGAGGTTGACCATTTTTTTGTTGGACAGATAATACCAGAAATTCTTATGATGCTATAATATATGCAGAGTATTTCAATTAACAAATCCGCGTACATCCTTTTTTCTACGAGATAAAAAAAGATCTGAATAGTTTAATACAAAACTGACAGCATCTGGTCTTGAGCTTTAGTTTTAGTTTTTTTCTATTTACATTATTATGATCTCTGTACTCAAATATTCTTGTATAACAAGAGTTTCTTGAGTAAATATCTAGATGTACAAAACCGTCACAAGTTGTTAATGATCTTATATGGTTGGTCTAAATGCATTGTTACACACTCTATCGGGACTTCTCTAATTGAATTAAATGTTCTCGTTGGCTAAATTCCGACGATAAATGTCAAGCTCGATTAATTCAAATTTTCACTAGTCTTTAAAATGCCTCACGGATAATCGTTCTTTAGGTGCATTTATATACAGAAATGCCGTATAATTCCGAATAAAGACTGAGAAAGAAAGGTTCGTCGAGGTATAAGGATCTATGCAAGGATAAACATTGTTTCCGAAGAACTGCTCAAGTTTGTTAAAAGTTTTAAAGAACTTTTTCCATGCGCTCCAACTAATGTTTCCGACGACATTCAGATGTCGCCTAGTTTTTATTAACGTCAGAGATCAGTTAACATTTTTTTTAAATTTGAAAAACAGTCGGATAGATAACGTCGATTATGCATGCGTATACAACTGCTGATCGATTTGACCGACAGCTGTTTGTCTTCGTCGCCATCGTTTCAAATGAATTTCAAGTAAAACATAAAATAATTGGTGACGAAATCGTTCTGATGCACCCAGATAAATATAAAATGGGCTCTAGAAAAGAAATGACATTCGTATGAAGGAAGATATCATATCGAAACTACTAACTACATAGTTAAAATAATAAAAGTAGATTGTGAGAAGAAGAAAGAATTGTAATTTAGCAACTGACACAGGATCAGTTGGTGCAGATGAACTATTCATTATTGCAATAACAATAACATAGGGAATGCTTGCAAAACCATTGTGCACGACTTGAACAAGAACCATTTTTGTCATTTGTTTGTCTAATTCACGTCGAACCAATGGTAAAGTTCGATGCGCCAATGTTTGAACATTACGATAAGCTAAATAGCCGAATATAAGTGTAACGACGATAGGTACGGTTCCCGACAGAGTGATAATGTAAACGTAAGTATGATATTGATAAAACATCTTGTTAACACTGGTACATACCAGTTTACCCGATGGTGATTGTTCAATGACTTTGAAGTACAACATGTAAGGAGTTGCCAAAATAGGCCAAGTAATAATCACTGCAAAAGACAGCCAACGAGCAAGTTTTATATTACTCCATCGTTGCCAACGGGGACGTGTACATGTTGCAAAGTACTGATCAATAGTCGCAAAACAAATCATTGTAAATGAAGTCAGCACACCAGAATAAAGATAATACCATCGAAATGCACAATAAAATTGCGAACTTATTGTCCAGTCGATGCCAAGGCCGGTAATGACTATCCGAGTGAGCAAACCGCCAAGCAGATTTCCGATGTTGAAAATCGACATGACTAGTAAATAGAATGCACAAGAGCTATTTCGAAATGTATGTAAACTCAGAAATACAACAATTGTTAAAAATCCTCCGACTAAACCAGCAAGTAACATTACAGTTCCTAAGTAGATGGCTAACTGTTTCGAAAAATAATCAAGGAACGATATAATCCACGATTCCATTTGGTTTTCTTTCTCTCGTCGAGTTCAATGTAATGATATTCTGGTCTGTCTACCCTATTTTATAGAACATCGTATGCGCATAATCTTGTTCGTGACACTTAGATCACATCTAATTGCTGATAAATATATGCACGAGTGCATTTCATCAATGCTTTCAGAGGAAGAATATGTCACGAACACGTTGAGCACTAATGCTCTAAACTATTGTAAGCATTCATTCATTTTTCTTGTCTTAATTAAATTACCTCGACGAAACATTATGATGTAGTAGATTCAGAAACATCTGCGTGGTCTCTGAAATCAACATTGGACGATTCTTCCAGAAAATTCTCTCTTTAATCCACGCGAAATTATATTCGTGATAAAGTGAATAGATTTGAAATTGAATTAGCTTCATATAAGGCTCAATTATAAATGGAATCTTTTTGACCGGATAGGATGAGTTAATTTTAGTTCGTATAGACATACTTTGTGGTATAATACTAAGTCTCAAGATTGTCTGATCTTTAACTTTATTACTGTGAGAAATGACTGGATTATCCTAATATGGCGAGTAGAACCGAAACGATCCTAGAGTACAACATGATTTTCAATAGAAATAAAGTCTGAAATATTGTGCGTTATTCTTCTTCATGTTTGTCCTTCTTAACTATCATGACCTTTTCTTAGTCATTTGTGAGATAAGTATCTGACGTCAGTGTTATCGAGATGATGTCATTTAGTTGTTATATAAAACATCATGCGTTTGATTTGTCAAATTTCACAACACGTTCGTTTTCAAAATGGGTTCTACTCTCAGTATCGGTTCGGTATATACAAAGGAAGATGTCGAGATGGAAATAGCGAATCTCACACCTCGATTACCAATGGCCGAGTTGATGAATGGTGGTATTATTAAACTGCAAGGTGCTAACGGATTTTTCAATCCTAATTCACTGCTTGATGCAAGTTGGTTGCAAAATGCGATCACAGTCCAAGACTACCGCGAAGCTATTAATTATATCAACCAATGTACAGCTCACACTTTTATCGGTTTCAGTAAACTGTTTTCGACAGCTGATCGACCAATTCGCGAGAATTTAAGAACACAAGCTGGAACGGCTGCTGTGAAGAAAATCAATGAACATTTGAAGTCTGTTGAGTTTGTTTACCAACAAACAACTCAAATGGTGCCTATGAGCATGACATACAGTACTGATCCGGTCGTTCAATCTCTTGTTCGATATAATGGTATGAAAGGAGAGTCACAAATTGTTCTACTCTATATCAGAATACTTTGATAATCAGTATTTATTATATCCTTCATTCTACAATAAATTTGCCTAAAATTCAACCAGATTTGTTTTATGTTTAATGCTTTTCTTAAATTTCTTCATTGTGAAGCGGAGTATATCGTTTGTTTGCAACTTTGGTAGAAAAAAAAAGATCTTTCTCTTATATTTTTGCCAAATAAATTATTGTTCCATCGCTCAGCACATTCTTCCCGCAGTGCTGTATCCGTCCGTTGTCCGAAATTGGATTGGTAAACGTATTAAATCGTAAGGTAAGAATGTTCTTTCGTACAATAAATATGATTTTTTGCTTTCACAAATAGTTAAAAACGTCGATTTTCATTTTTGAATACTTTTGTCCAATTCATCCATACGAATTTCTAAGCACTGCACAAAACATTGCTTTATAATCACAAATATACAAAATCACTGTCTTTTAGCACAACTACTTTGATGATCTTGCTGCTATTGCTGGTTATTGTTCATTTAAAGGTGAACTGATACATGTACGCCCTTTGTGAAAAAAGCGTAAAACCAATGTTTTGCGCAGATCGTATCGCATCACACATTGCGTGCGTGAATGAAATGGTATCCAGGTATAAAAAAGAATTGACATCATATTTTTTATGTTAGAAAAGAAAAGAAAAAAGCATGTCCTTTATAATTCTTTACACACCGATGTGGAATATGAACATGAAAGAATGAAGAAGAATTGTGCCGTGAGAGATACAACCTGCATTTTCTAATATTACCTCTAGTAGTACATATTGTACTTAATTGATTCGATTTGGAATTTTATTTTGTTAACATTATATTCGAGGGGTAGTGTCTGAATAAATTTTCGTATGATTAATATGCGACATATAATAGAAACATTTGTAGAGTGATTGCTTGCTTTTTTAGAACTATTTTAATTGAATGATATGTCGCTATGTTATATATTTCAACAAGGAAAGGTATGGCATTTCTCTACAGGTATTGCTTACACAGTCGATTGATCTCCATACGCAGAATCGTATTCATACGTAGGAAATATGGAACAGTGTAGATTTTTTCACTACCAAGAAGTTTCAGTCATTCATATTTTGTGATTTATATAAACTCGAAGTTCCCTGTCGGCAAGTTTCATCCAATGCGTTAAAATATTCTAATCACAAGATTAATTAGTACATTTATACTTAGCTAAAAGGCAATACACAATGGTTACTTGCAGTAGTTTGATAAAGAGACAACATCCACTAAAACTACAAAGACTTTTCAAGCGCTGTCTGTGTCTGTTTTAATTGGTAGCATTTGTTTGAGCAACGAACGTTTTTTTGTATCGTCTGATGCCAAAAGAATCCAATGCTTGTTTCCGGAAGCCTCGACTCGAGATCAAACATACGTAAAAACTTGTACTGTAGAATAAATAAGAAAAAAGACGTATCGTCTCAATAATAATATTTTCCCACGCTGCATATAATGGTGATCTCGGCCAGGAGCGAGTGATGCTTGAATAGAGATTTTGGGCTCCGAACGGAAGGAAAGAAGGTACTGCAACAAATGATTGTAAGGTTATCATAACTGATAGTTGAGAATCAATTTGTTGAATTTGTAACGAATTTTTTGTACTCGTGGTTGGTGGAACACCGGCAACTGCTACTCGTCTACGAGCAACAATTCGAACATTTCGAAGAAGCAAACAGCCAAGTGTTATGAACAGAACCGGTGGTACAACTCCCGACATAATTACTTCGAAGTAGGCATCAAAAGGCACATAAATACCTGCTGATAATGGTCCACAACTTCCAGTACTGTTGCTATAAAAGATTAATCGATGGAATGTGCATAGAAACCAAAAGATTATAACTGCTGGGATCAGTTTATATGTGAGAGAAAATCGATTACTCCACATTCGATAGGCTAATTCGACAAACAGAACGTAATCGTTTAACCTTTTACAAAAATCTACTTACAGTTAGAATGATGAGTTGATAGGAATCGGTCGACTGTTGCCAATGCAAATAACGTGAATGCAACTTGATGGGTATATTCCGAAAGAAACTGGCGTATTTTACAAATAGCATCATAACGATCGATAATAGGCAGTAGGAAACCTTTTTGAATAACACGTGTGACTAGCACAAAATTGAAATATAACAGTGTGAAAAATGGCTCGACTATTAAATAGTTCGAACATGCTCGACAACGAAATAATCGAGAACTAAATACGAGAAAGTTCCCGATAGTACTAATATTACCTGTTATAAAAATAAAGATGCCAAGGTAAATATTTAATTGCGCAGGTGCTCGTAACAATGCTGGACTAATACTATTATTTGAGCTGATATCACTCAAATTGATTGACACGAAATTCATTCTGAAAAGATTCGTTCGCTGAATACCACTGTGTCTAGAATATATAGAAAAGAGAGTAACTCGTACTGCAGAGACTACAATCAGTGCATAATGATATTTCAATTTGTTCCTGCGAAGATATGATATTTTAACATTAAAAATCGTCACTTTGATTGCAGTATGCTTGGATGATCAGATAAAGACGCCATACGAGAGAATGAGATGTCTTTTGGGTCATGAAAAAGTACAAAAACTAGTTTTGACACGTTTCTTTCTAAGATAAAAATCATTTCGAGGAAAATTTTGTTTTGATGTGCGCCCATGGAATTACAGGTGGAATCTTAACAACTGAATGCTTTAACACAGGAATATTTTGAATGCCGAGAAAGAAAGTTGAATAATTGATCGTGTCTGTGATACAGACACCCTCCCATTGTGAAAGAAATCCCACCTGATTATTAAGATTTTGCAATGATCCTACTCGATAAAATTTTGTCAAGACGACGGGATTGTAGTTTTTTTTTACTAACTATGATGAGCTACATACTGAAAATTTTCCTCAATACAACAATTTACATTATCTATGTTGTGCATCATTGCTTCATTATATATATATGAAAAGCGTGACAGTTGAAGAAAAACAATAGTAGGCATTTTTTGATCCTATACATAAGAAATGAACATTGTTGCGATGAATTCCTAATGGGATTAGTCATGCTTGGTTGTATTGATCTAGTGGACTGTTAAAGATAAAATATTAGAAAAAATCTTCACAATTTTCCTTTTTTTTTAGAATAGATGGTTATCATGGAGATTAAAGCGCTCTATATAGTTGTAGTCACAACTAGGACCTGAAAGACTGCAATGATACTGTTATTCTCAGCAGAAGATAAATTGAATTTAGTAAATGATTGTTATCAAAATAAAAATCTTAATCCTTCATAATTAAAATAGTCCGAGCCCGATAGTGATGAAGCTTTGGCTAAGTGCTTTCTTAGGAATTTATATTTAGATGCTTTGCAAAAGATTTTCTCGTCGTGATTATCTTTTGATCTCTTTTTTTTCTAATGAGAAACTAATGTGAGAATGAAATAAAGTGGGTCACTTGAGCGGAAAATAGTTTACTCGAAACTCTTCGCTGCTTCTGTTTTGTCTGAACGATTTTACACTTGTATAGCTTATACACAACTGACTTGTTACATTAAGATTAATGTTTGAATTTTGCCCAATCACTTTACCAGTCGTTACAATATCAGTCTCTTCATTGGCAGTCATTCAATTAACTTGTAAATTTTCAGTTGTGCTAGTCGTTCATGCTGATAGACGAGAAAATTTTTCACATAACTATCAGCGGTACTCTTCTTCAAACATCTGCTCTTTTCATCTGACTGCGCATGTTCTACGCACTTCTTTACAAACCTATGCGGAATAGAGACTTGAAAGGATGAAAAAGATCTTTTTTCTCTTATTTTGCTTTTTTTTATATCGAGTAAATGAATGATCCATGTTGAAACGATAATGTTTTACATACATTTTATTCAAGAAAATCTCGAAATGGAAGACGTTTGCGATCAGAAATGATCGAGGGAGTTATTTTCAATTAATGAATCTGCTTAATCTTTTAATTCTTTTTTTTCGATAACGTTTCCTGGTGCTTGGTAGCTGCCGTTGTAACCGATTTATTGTAGTTTTAAGCATTTTGCCAATTTCTTTTCCTTCCAATGATGGGTGTTTATCGCTGGGTTTACACATACTATATAGTTGCTGCTTTGTGGATGCTTGAGAACCATCTTGATCTAGGATAAAGATATGTACAAAACTTCCTTTTTCTCTAATCAAACTTACCACTCTTGATTTTGAATAACGATAGAGCCCATTCCCAACAATCGTCAAGTTCTTCATCTGAGAAAGTAAAATCGTCTGGCACATGATTTATAAGGAGACGTAAAGATTTGAGACAAGTCTCTAGAGCTTGTGAATTCAATCGGCGGGATCGAGCATAGCTTTTTGCCAGACACATATAACATCGAGCTATATCATCAGCTACGGTCATTTCCATACGATGATCCATATCGGACAATAGAAGATTAAAGGCATTGATAAATATTTGTACATTATGCCTGGGTCGGAGTAGTCCGATTTCACACCAGCAGATAGCTATTAGGTCACGTGTACCGACTTCTTGATAGGGTTTGAAATTATTAACAGCTTCTCTATAGTATTTGATCGCCTTCCGACAATCCTTGTGTCCGTACAAGCTTGCTAGATCTTTACATCTGTGCGCCAGATCATAACGACTTGATCGGTCGTATTGAACGATCTTTTTGCGAATTTGTACTTCACTCTCAAGAAATTCAATGAGTTGCTGTTGTTGACCATCGTTTTGAAATAAATATTCTGATAAGTCACGATATGCACCAGCAATGAGAGGACCGAACCTCTTCAAATCGGCTTTAGTGCTGATATATTGCAAGTACTGATGCACATTGCGATTGTTTTGCTGTTCATCTACCTCATTTTTAAAAAGAGGTTTATTCATCGCTATACTAATGAAGATTCTTTCGAATAACTCTGTGTCCGTGCTAATTTCTGGAAGTATTTCTTGAAAATTGTCCCATGCAAGAGATGGATTTCCAACGATTTTATGTATTTGTGCGATCTTAACCTCAAATAGAAAATAAATTATTGAGTATAACAGCTCTCCTCTATAAATGGCTTACTTTTCTCGTTATATAATGAATATCATTTTGATTCGTAGCATATTTTTCTGCTCTCAGAAAATTTTCAAGAGCAAGATCATATTTACCAAGACATTTGAATAATGTCGCTATGCAATCGTATAACATCGACAAAGTTAGATATGAAATCGAAGAATTGATACGTGGAAGTACTGGTTGAGCAAATAGAGCGATACCTTTCAATTCAAGTCTGGATACATTCGTATGAGCAACTCGATTAGAAGTCGAACCTAATGTTACAACATCCTCATCACCAATTACAAGTTCACGAATGAGAGATATAATATGATCTACTAGTAATGCACAATCATCGTTTGTAGTATCATTGTCGACAATTATTGTTCTTAAACAAGCATCTAGTTTAACGAGATAACTCAAATATTCATATCTCAGATCGTAAGTTTCTGTGAGTTGTAATAATGTTACATTCCATACAGCCGTATTTTCATCATATACAATTGGCATTGGAAAAAATGTGTATGTCGGAGCAAAAAGTACTTCATCTTCTGCACCCTCAAAATGACTCAAATGATCGATGGATGCAGCACTTTTTCCAAATAAATTCCATGTACAACTACCAATTTTAAATATAACTGGTTGCTCCGCAGTATCACGATTGGAATCATGTGAGCCAACTCCAGCATAGATCTCAGCCAACATTAAGTTTTTCGTTGTCGATAGAAAAGTATTGAGATAGAGCATCCTCTGCTCTTTCAAGAACTCTATTTCAGTTTTAGATATTCTCTGACCACGATACACCGGCTCTTTTCGCCAATCTGCGTCTTTACTGTTGTCAGCTTCTTTCTTCAGTTGTTGACTAAGGTCGTAAATGAAAAAATGTAAAAGAAATATTTTATGCTGATCTAGTTGTCGCAATACGCGATTGAATAGTTGATATAGAATGCCTTCTCGCGTATACCTGGCAACAGCCATGTGAGAGTCATAAGTATCATTGAATTCATTTATGAATTTTAGAGCAGGTTCGTTGTCAAGATACAATTTTCGGCATTCATTAACAAAGTTTTCCTTTCCGTTAGCAACAGGCGGAATCTCTTGAAGAGCTTCCATGATATATGGGAACCAATGTATATCCGTTCGTGAATATAACCCAGTTGTTCGCTCTTCATTACTCGAAAGAGCGGAAAAGGGCAGCGTAGAATCGATTTCCATGTTCTGTCGAAGAAAGACTCGAATGTCTTGAGAGAGCTGAAACAGTAAGTCGTTTGGATGCTTGAACATTTTTGGTATTATCTAGGATCAAAACAGTAATTCAGAATTGTAGTGGAACATCATAGAATAATACTTACTTGTTGATAGACATGCGTAGTGTCAGAAGTATGTTCGTCGTTTGAGTTCTCTTCGTAGGTATAAATCGAACGAACTTGAGAAAGACTCTGGATTTGATTTTGTAATGGTAGATAACATCAAGATGCAACGATAACGAAGATTTGCTTATTGTTTATACTTCGAATGTTTTCTATACAGATTTCAATTTGTGTGAAAAATTTCAAATAATCAATAATTCTCCGCAATCGTGAACGTTCTATTTTATATTCATTTAATGGATCATTTTGCTTGTCATCAAGCCAAAGAACACTGTATTCAGTAATTCGATCCATATCGCTTTATCTACATACTATTTATTAAAATAATNTGTAGAGAGGTTGTTTCTTGTAAGGATAGCCATCTTGTTCAGTTCCGCGAAACACAGTGATGCCTGCTGTGTAGATGCCTCCAAACTCTTCCATCGGATAGAAGTCACCGAATCCTTTCAATGGTTTAAGTTCACCCTTTGGTGTGTAGTAGAATCTCTCTGATCGAGTTCGATCAGCTAATTCTCCATCGAGACTGTGATAGTAGTCGGAACGGCGAAAAATGTTTTCTTCTTGTGCACCATCACCTTTTCGATAGCCACCACCTGGACTAGTTGCATTTGCCATGTTGAGCAGCAATGGTCGATGCCCTTTTGCCACCAGCTGTTCATAGAGAACAAGACAATCTTCTTCGACGACTTGAACAGTTGTTTTTGGATAGGGTGTTTGGAAATCTGTTTGTGACAGTGTTTTTCTTGTGAATAGTTTGGATTGGTGATTGTAGCCAATGGTTTGCATTCGTTCAAGTTTTAGTTTGACCAGAGTGTCATCGACAGTATACTGTTTCTTTCTTAGGGTGCCTATAGTATTGAGCATAACAGTCACCCGTAGTAGATGTCTTGTAAGATCATAGCCTTTGGCAGGAATAGCTGCTGCTTTGTTCATTTGCTGTAGGAAGTTCTGAGCATTCCACTTGAAGCGAAATATGGGATGTTGATGATCATTGATGATTGTGGTGATATCAGGTTTGATATCCAACATATCTGTATCATACCAGTTTAAAGCATCGAGTTCACATGAATCCGGATCGCTGACTCGAGTGTGTGGCTTAATGGCCAAGGGTTTGCCATCTATTCCGAAGCCTCCAATGTCCAAACATTCATGAAAATGATTTATGTCGTTCAATTCAATGATGAGTTTGTCATTAACACGTTTATGTGATGCAACTCGGTTGTGAAATAGTTTGTTGTGAAGTATTTTCTCAACTTCGGTATCATTGTGAACGGGTGAAATGAGTACTCGGTAGGAAAGTTTATGTTTTTTGGATATGGAGTGTTCATCGATTTTTAGTGTGGCCTCTTTTGCCCATTTCCTGAGAGACTTGGGTGCTATCACAATCGCATTACCACTTTGTTTATTGTACTGTGTATGGAGTGAGGTTTTGTGTAGTGAAGGTTCACCAAGTTGAACAGCAATAGCTGACATGAGTTTTTCGTTATTAGTGCTTGTTGGTAAGTCTTCGAAAAAACAACAGTCAGCACGTGGGTAAACAGTAGCAAACGCAGCATCGATTCTGAAGTCGGGTGTAGTGGCTGCTTGAATTAGTTCAGCAAACTTTTTGTAACAGATTCGAAAGACGTTGGGGAACTGATCGGAGACCGTTTCGCAACGACGTGTCTTTGATGTTTTATATGCGTTTGCATACCGTTGTGCAACTTCATCAGCCGCAAGAGTCTTCTTGAGTTCTGAATCAACTACGATGTAAGAGTCAAGTTCGAGTTCTTCGACAAATGATATATTAGTGCCACTATTCTTGGAAAGGACAGTTGTCTCAACCTCGGAAATCAGGTGATGTTTGTCATCTTCATTTAGCATATTGATGACAGCGACACCCAGTGTGGAATAACATTTGACACTTTGTACATCTAGGCGATGGCCTGTCTTCAAACGAGTCTTGATTTGTTCTTCGAGTTCTTCGTCATCGACGTTCACAGGAATATCAGGTATGTAAACAATTAAATTAGCCATTGTTATATGTTTTGTTCGTGTTTGATATCTTTTAAAAAAGGAGAAGTATATAATAGTGATGCGTATTCGAAACTTATTAGATTATACATGAAAGCAATATTTTTCAAACTTATATTCCATTTTAATCGTGATAATCAGTCATGTGAGTTTATTATACGTAATCTCAATTCGAAATAGGAAAACTAAAGTCATAGCTAATAAAGAACTTGCAGCTTCCGATGATACAGCGCAGTTACCACGTATTCACATTAGTGATTATATACATGTCCTGTACATACCTTTCTCTTGAATATAACTGACTACTCACAGAAAAATCTCTAAACAGTCGAATGCAGTTAAGTTTCGCGATGTCGGTTCTTTATAAACAGGCGAAGTTGGAAACTTCATAAAAATATTTATTCTGCAACATTAACAAAATTTCGTTGGATGGCGACAAACCTCTCAAACGAAGAGAGAAATAAAAAAAACAGACATTACTCCGTTCCATCATGCCACATTTCAAAGAATTGCAAAAGACGACAGCACGGTATAGTGCGAGGCAAATACTACCGAGAGCAAAGCGACTGCTTTGATAAATATCGATAAATGCTGTCTGAAACCTGTTGTAATTTGTGATAATTCGGGGAAAAAAAGATGAACTCGAATATATCGGCTGTTTGTCTATACTAGAAACGATTTTCGATGATTTTCGCATACAGACGTGACTTCTATTTTCCCCGAAGCAAGCAAACAATGGTTGGCTTTTTCCGTTTGATGCTGTAAATTTTCTCTCGAGTTAAAAAGAAACGAGAGAATAAGAAATCCATCGAATCAATTTATTTATTCAACAGTATGTTTTCAACTCACTTTTGAAATGACGCAAACACAAAGATGCAAAGAACGAAGTGCTCTAAACGCTTTTTTGTTCTTTCGTTTCTTTCTCACAAATTTTCTTTTTAACTAGAGAAATGCCAACATCAGCATGTCTGTTTTGTTCCGTGGACACGTGTAAGGGTGATCATTAATAGTCTAACTGTAGTCCACAATGCGTCGACTAACGAAATGTTTTTTTTTCTTTCCTCCCTAAAATCAGCATCGAGAGAAATGTTACTCCAATTGAATAACATATCAAAACCATCTGAAAAGTTTGTTAAGTGGCTGAAAAATATTGAGTTTGATGATGATCAATTAGAGTTTCGAATGTTTTATATGCAGATGACAACAAGCAGATGTAAGAAAATTCTTATTTAACAGTTCAATGTAGAAATGAATCTGTGGCAAAACTAGAAAATGACTTTGATCGATTTCCATTGCACCTAATAATGGAATTGATATAGGATATGGACATATTCAGATAAATAAAAGAACGTGAACGCTAGAGTTGGTCACAACTGATTAGTATGACACTCATGAAAGATCGATTTTCAGGTATTCTTTCGATCATCGGAACGGAAATCCTTGAGACTTGATATAAAGAAAAAGGAATCACGATGTTACTCACGTGTCAGTTGTTGGAGTGTAATGAGAAGAACAGAAACTGCACAGTGTGCTTTTCGATCAAAAAACTATTTCAGAATGAAAGAAATGCGTACAATCATCGAAGCAAAACGGTAATAGACAGTTTTGCGAGCCATCGCTAATCTTGATTGGTCCGAATGAGAGACAGTCGTGTGCAACAAACTTCGAGTTTGTATATGGGGATCATGTATGATTGTTTTTATTTTTTGATCGATAAAGAAATAGATTACAAGAAGCAAGAGTCATTGATGAATAGTTCTATGATCGTCGTCTTTTACGAATTAGAGAAAATGATTCTTTGAAAGCTTTTCTATAAGAACTTGAAGGAACAACGAATATAGCAAAGGTAAGTATCGATGGTAGAAATGAAATAAAATAAGCGGAAAGATACAACCATGAATAGCGAGATACGTCGACACATCCGGATAATAAAGAAATGACCAAGCGTGGAACCGAAAGGAGAAGTAGAATGATAGGACTGACGACGAGTTGTTTGTGATCATTCCATTGTTCCCGCATGTGCTGTGTGAAAGTCTGTCGATTTTGAGCTTCTGCCTGTCGTCGAGCACTCTCAATGATGAAAAATAGTGCAGAAAAAAGATTTATAAGGAACGGAGCAAGATGATGAATAAACAGAATACTTGTGTTATAATCTTGAATTGGCTGAGAGTACGAAGTTATGCACCATGAGTATCGTGCTCCTGTTTCTGATAGACTTATGAAACTGTTGAGCTGCTTCTCTTCCTGTAATTCATAAATCACTCATGAATTATAATGTTTACTTACTAAAACGGTCAAGAATAACATTTGTTGAGCCATATACTGCGGGATTGAGAATTGTGTTTTTGTTCATATATCTTTAGTTGTTACAAGTATTATGTATCTGATATCAGTTCGAAGGTTAGCTGTGAATTTGAATTCACCGGAAACAAGACATTTATGCTCACTAAATGAAACTGAATGTTTTTTTTGGATTCAACGGATCGAATTCGTTTTCGTAGAGATAAGCGTATAATCCAGCACCCTTCTCAGCTGAAACGACGCAGTATTCTATCGTATGTTAGACTGCTTTCTGCCAATTCTGACGAATTATCAGTGATGACAGCTGATGAAACATCTATTTAGAAAAACAGTCACCCGTTGTTACATTATGAACTATGAGGAACAGGTATTATTCACTTGCACTTCGGAAACTGACACAACTACTACCACCGAGTACTTTTATAGAGAATTCTCCTGTTATCTGAGCGACACAGGTCGATACTATCAATATGTATGGATTGCCATTGCAGCCGTTATCTCCGCTCAAGATTAAATTCACCGATAGCATGAATAGATAAAAATTATATACATACAGAGAGCTCGACATGCCAATATCGGAACCTACTGCTAAGGATAGTATAAAAGCCACTTTCATTCACATACACTTGTATTGCTTCGTAGTAATGCTCGAAGGTTTCTTTACAGAAAGAAGCAACATATGCCAGATGATCCTTTGTCAATACAGACGAGTACACTGGTTCGACAACGGATTCAGAATCTATTTAGATTTAGAATTATGTCCCACGTGTTCTTATGGAGATCAGATTGTGGATCATCAGTATATGTTACTCACTCGTGCATTGAAGCTGAACTGTGTTAGAACCGAATACAGTGATCGAGAATGGACTTGTCACATTTGAATTATACATTGTTACAACCAAGATATATTTCGTGTTGAGAAAAAGTTCAAGTGTGAATTTAAATTGATTTCTATTGCAGTATTTGCCATACCACACAATGAGGTTGTTTGTCAGATTGAATTGATCAAAATGATCTTTGTATACGTGACCATACAGATCGACGCTACTGTTGCCGATGAGAACGTAGAAAGCCTTCTTGTTAACAATGACTTCATAGTGATATTTCGAGTGATTAAGTGTAACACGTGAAAACGTGGTGTAGTTTGCTGGTAAGATCGATGAGTATTGCGCTTGAACGTTTGATGAGGCATCTATATAAAAATTAGATAGTAGTTTTTATGAAACTATTTCAAACTTACCACAAGAATCGTTTTGTAGATGGAATATCTGTATTCGAAGGGTGTCCTTAAGAGGAACAAATGTGTTTCCATGCACATCAAAGCTAAAACTTGCGAAACAGTCGAATTGATTGGGATCAATAATTTTTTCATGACATCCAACCAAACATTGAAACCCATTTGGTCCAGATCCAAGAATACGTTTAGTTTCATAGTCCACGATAAAGAGATGTTTTTCAGCATCCAGTACGACAGCAACTGGACCATAGAGTATTGTTGTAATATCGGATGACCCTTGTCCTGCTACTGTTTGTCCATTTAACTTTCTCGGGTGAAATAATTGAATTCGCTGATTGTTATAATCCGCGACATATAAATCAAAATTAATATCGACAAAAATTCCCCTAGGACCATCCAAACAATCTGGCTTCCAACCACTGTTGTATTTACCAGCAAGAACTGTTATATCCTGCTCATGTTCATCGTTCGAAAATCTTTTCGTGACTACATGATATTGAAACATTGAACAATATAAATTATTATCCATATCTACGAACAGATCAACACATGTTTCTTCGACAGTCATCAAGTGAGCCATATGCTTCGCATTTGCCGTCCATTTGTCAACTCTGCCAATGTTAGAACTCATGTAAATATCACTGTTATTCGAAACAAATATAGAATCAGACATCTGGAAATTTTCATAATTAATCCTTGCGGGATTCATGGTGTCGTTTATCCAAACTAGAACTTGAATCTTCTCATCAGAAGTAACATAAATTGTGTTATTTGCATCAATGAACAGAAGTTCATTTTCGCTTCCGACGTCCTGTACATCTGCAAAAGGACACCCGTCTTGATTCCATTTTGCTGTCGGACACAGTTTTGGCTGATCGATCGAGAGAGCTAAGGTAAAGAATGAATGTGCGCATGCTTTTCTCGACATCTCTCTCTTATTGTTGATAATCTATAAAAGTTTTAATGACTCAAGAGTGATTGATATGTATACATATTCTCCTTGGCCACGACTCAATTTTTCTTAAATAACTTACTTTATCTTACACAATTTATATGTCCTGCCATGAGTGTGCATTCTTTCGACCTGAAATTTGTAATCTTAAAATTAAAAACGAGATGATCAATTTTTATTGAGTGTGAGCGATGAAAGAGGATTTATATACGCATTCAATGTTGCATTGATTGATGTAAACAATGCAGTCTTGAATGAGGAAATGCTGTCAAAAATATTGTTAATTGGATTAAACAATTTCTATTGGAAATTGATCAATTAACTAAAACTCAAGTTTTTGTTTGCACATAATCGATATAACGCAAGTAAATAAAACTCGACTGACAGAAACGAATTTGGATTGATGTATTGTGGACTTATCTCTAGCCGATTAGTTACCTCATGATGTTAGATAATGAAGCATTTTCTTCCTCGCATTATGCCATCAAAGCGTGAACAAATAGTGAAAACATTGGAAAGAAAGAATTATAATTGTCTCCCATCCCATCGCTTCAGATAACATGTTATAATCGTTGAAGCAAATAACATAGAAAAACCTTGTCAATAAGATAAAAAATAACGAGCAGGCGGGATTACGAATAAGGACTTCCGTGTCGGAAACTTTAACATAGAATTTATATAAAACAGGATAAATTAGATCTTTCACGAACCTCTCATGAAAATCTTTCTTTTACAATTTATTGTTTTTTCTTTCAAAAACAAAAGAAAATTCAAGTTTGACATCGTTTTTCATCAATACAATTCGGCACTGTTCAGAGCACCACCATTCTTTCCACCAGTGACTAAGACTTTTCCATTTGATAAAATCGATGCCGTATACCATTCGCGTCCAGCACTCATATTTCCCGTTCTTGTCCAATTACCTGTTGATGGATCATACAATTCAGCACTATTCAGATAAACACTACCACTGTATCCACCAGCGACTAAGACTTTTCCATTTGATAAAATCGATGCTGTGTGTTCATGTCGTGCAACACTCATATTTTCAGTTGTTGTCCAATTACCTGTTGATGGATCATACAATTCAGTACTATCTAGATAAACACTACCATTGTTTCCACCAGCGACTAAGACTTTTCCATTTGATAAAATCGATGCTGTGTATTCATGTCGTGCAATACTCATATTTCCAGTTGTTGTCCAATTACCTGTTGATGGATCATACAATTCAGCACTATTCAGATAAACACTACCAGTGCATCCACCAGCGACTAAGACTTTTCCATTTGATAAAATCGATGCTGTGTGTCCATATCGTGCAACACTCATACTTCCAGTTGTTGTCCAATTACCTGTTGATGGATCATACAATTCAGCACTATTCAGATTATGTCCACCAGCGACTAAGACTTTTCCATTTGATAAAATCGATGCTGTGTGTGCATATCGTGCAGCACTCATATTTCCAGTTGTTGTCCAATTACCTGTTGATGGATCATACAATTCAGCACTATTACCACCACCAGATTCACCAGTGACTAAGACTTTTCCATTTGGTAAAATCGATGCTGTATGATATTCTCGTGCAACACTCATATTTCCAGTTGTTGTCCAATTACCTGTTGATGGATCATACAATTCAGCACTATTCAGATTAACATTACCATTGTCTCCACCAGTGACTAAGACTTTTCCATTTGGTAAAATCGATGCTGTATGATATTCTCGTGCAACATTCATATTTCCCGTTAATTTCCATTCTAAACATAACAAAAACAAATTCAAAACTCTATTTTTTCCTGCTGCAAAACTTTCAAAGGAAAAAAGAGAAATCGTCTTTGAGAAAAATAGAATTTTTGTAAATAAAAATAATTAAATAATTTTCGAAGAAGTTTCCAATTGAAAACGATTCGTTTTATTGATTTTTTCTTTGAACTTACGTCCTGAATAGGTGATTAAGTCAAATTTTTGAATTCGATGATTTTGTTGATCAACGACAAAAAGATTTCCAAATGAATCAAATTGAAGATTCGATGGAGAATTCAGTTGATTTGGATTTGATCCAACTGATTGATTACATCCAATTAAACAATGAAAACCATTCGAGTTTTGTCCAATAATTCGATGATTATTTGAATCAACAAGAAAAACAAAACCTTGATTATCCAATGTGATTCCACTTGGACAATTCAAATCAAATGTTTGATTGGAAAGAATTGTTTCACCTTGAAATGAACCTAAGAGAAACTTTTGTATTCGATTATTTCCACAATCAGCAACAAATAAAGTTGAATTTGTTTCATCAAGAAATATTCCATGAGGATTTCGAAATGTTGTTGATGTTGATCCTGCATTTCCTGTTCCTGCAACAGTTGACAGGTAGTCCCATTGATTGAGTAATGATTTGGAAATGATTTGATGTTGTTGAGATAATGAACAAAACAAAGTTTGATCTTCACTCACAAAAATATCAAAACATTGTTCACAAAAGTTCATTCGTGAAATGAAATTCATTCTCATTGATGAATTCATTTCTATTTCACTGACAACACTCATATTTGATGAATAAAATGTGTCAACATAAATCTTTTCTTCTTTTATCACAAATAAACTTGATGAGTTCTTCAAATTCATTGAAATATTTCCAATTAAACTCATATTTCCTTGAGTAAAAATCAAAATTTGGTCAGTTGAAATGTAAATTGTATTGTTGTGATCAATAAACAAATCAAATTGATTCATTCCAATGATTGTTTTATTGAGAATTGTTGTTCCATTTGGATTCCATTCAAAATCCGATGAGACATTTGGTCGATTGTATAAATAACCTCAATTCAATGCAATTCGATATTTTATCAATTCTTTTCAACGAAATCTTACCTGAAATCTCCTCTACAATCAGCAAAATTATCAACAAACGAACTTTTCTCACTGTCAGCAACATTTTCCAACAAGTACAAAATTATCATCTCACTTTTGTCACAAAAAAGGTTTTTATAGGAAAAATAGCTTTTATTCATTCAAACGCAAATCATGAAAGGTCGGATTTCTTATGACAAAAATATTTCCGAAAAGTCAATAAAACTTGACCTCCTTTTTGAAAAATAGAAAGAGAATTGTCAAAAATACTCAAACATAAATAAAGTTCATTTGAAAACCAATATGTTTATCATATGTGAAATGAATACTTTTAATCCTCAATCAGGAAAATTATCATTACCCAAGCAGACAAGGTTTTCGAAAAACGCGTTTCCACGATCAAAAAGTGTTCTTTACGCGCTGAAAACGGCGTTTTTACCGTGTAAAGAACACTTTTTGATTGTGGAAACGCGTTTTTCAAAAACCTTGTCTGCTTGGGTAGCGTGTTTTTCATCTGTTCTTTATACAAATCCTTGAAATTGATATTTAGTGGGAAGAAGAGAAAGAACAAGGATGATACTCACAATGCGATGGACATAATGCAATAATTTCAATTATCTTGTGTCTTCTGTTGAAATCGAAGTTCAGAGAAAAGCGAGATTTCACATTACAGTTTCTCCTCAAGAGAAATACGAAGAACTCAATGTGTTTTACCAATTGTTTCTTCTTCATTAGACGTCTTTGATGGTGTTGATAAGGAAATCTTCATTTGATTGATAAGAGAAAGAATAAGACGATTGTAGTTCTTTTAAATATTCAGAAATTAATCACGAAAAACAATGGATTTTTATTTATTTTTCATAAAGAATCTTTCTTAACAATTAATTTCTTATTTGATTCACATGACGGTTCATCATATAACACATTATGAAATTATAACACGAAAAATATATCGCATTGATCTTTTTTTTATCTAAATGAAGTTGTTTCTTTCGTGAAATCGACAAATGTTTACAAATAACAAATCTTAAACATCGCCACCGAGAATAAATGTCAGTTCTCCTGATTTTCTCATAAAAGCTGTTCACAAATATTTGCTCGACAACTTCGTCTTTACATTATCATGATGTGCTTTTTTTGCAAATGCTGTGTTAACCTAACGCAAATCAAAGGCATCACATGAAAGGAAAGAAAAAGAGACATTCAAATACAAAGAATAAACGAGTTTTTGACGATGTTTTATTCCAATGCTTATTGTTGCGAAAATGATGAATTTAGTGTGTCAATAATTGACTGAGTTTGACAAATCGATGAATGATCATCAGGATAAATGAATTTTTGGAATTGAAGTGCTTTTAAATAAAATTTTCTCGATTTGTTCAAGAAAGAGTTTTTCAAATGATAATTGACAATGAAAATTAAACATCGAATTGTTGATGAATATGAAGATTCTTTGGCAAAATATTCAACGCTTTTTCTAAAGAAAAGATTTGTTTGATCAAGGGTGAAAAAGCGATTTGTGAGTTTTGATGAATTTCGTGAGTTAGAGAAAATGAAAAATCGTCGGGAAGAAATAAAGATAATGCAGAACTATACAGAACTACACATACACACTCAAACTGATCGAAACTCATCCTAACTCATAAAAGATCAACTCATTTGCGATGGTTTTTGAGTGAGTTTGAAGTGATTTAATTCAGCTTTTCCCCCCTTGTGTTTGATCATATAATTGACTGATTTGTAAACAAATATTTGCAACACGGCACGGCTAACTAACGGTCACATTCGTTGAAGAAGGTTTTAAAAGAATAGGTCAGCTGAAAAAATTTTCTGTCCACAAGAAGTAGAATCGAAAGAGTTTCGAACGCGTAGAGAATTCCTCTCGTCTTCATCTCGAAGTAATTGGAATACAGAACTATCTTTAATTGATTAGCCAAACGAAAGACATCCAAAAATCGGACGAAAAATATCAAATAATTTTCGTGAATTTTTCATTTTTTCAAAAAAGATCGACAAGAGTTACTGAAAGAACGTCGAACTATATATCGGTCATGTTGTGATTCCGTGTGCACACTGAGGCAAGGTTTGCGATGAAAGAGAAGCTATGGTTAAATCACGAGGAACGGCCGAGGTATCGAGCACTAAAATCTGCTACTTTTGAGAACGCAATTTCGAAACGCTTGGGCGTGCCGCATTGTGACCAATCAATTGAGATTATAGAATCTTTTGATGTTTTTATACTCTCAAGTCGATATGTTTCTTTTTATTATGAAAGCTTCATATACTTGTAAACTTTTGGAAAAATAAGAGAAACCGTCAACTGACAAGATCATCAAGCGAACATAAATAAATATAAATGGAAGTTCTTTTAGATAGATGATGCTCGAATGAGAAGATGACAAAACGCTTTTTAAGAACAGAAATAAACCACTGTGTAAACTTTGTAGTTAAGCAGTAGCCGAAAGTGATATCGATTGTACTGGCATTAGTCTTGTTGATCTACAAAGCTTTAATTTATTCCTACACTCGATGAGACTTTGTCGAAGATCCGGGGTCTGTAATAACAAGATAACCAACATGGGTGAATAAGGTAAATTCGACATGACGAGTAAAGTGCGCATAAATTTATGAGGTAAGAGATCCACACGAATGATAGTTAGAATGATAAGAACCAGTACTGGGATTCCGACGACGAACAATTGAGAATTGAGTAAAACAATACGACGCACTACTGTCAAGTCGCGTTGCATTCGCACCTGTTGGTTGCTATTGAATTTTGACGAGGCATCACGTATATGTCTTACTAGTAATCGATAGATTATACTTAGACTAATGTCAGTTAATAAGAACGATACTGCAGCCATGTACAATACGAAATCAAGTCTTGTCAACGCTACAAAGCAGATGTTATCCGTCGCAAGTTTTGGCATGTTACCTGTAACTAAAGCAGGTAAATCGAAAGTAAAATCAAATATCCACTGGCAAATAACAATGCAGATCTTCGAAATGTGACTTTTCAGCAACGTCACTTGTCGAATCTTACAATATCTGTCGACAGCCAATAGAATAAATGAATGATGAATCCAGGCAATCGTAGAATGATGAAAATATGCACGTAATGGACATAATGAATCAACGGTAGAGTACTCATATTGATCCCAAATAAGCATAAACACACCTATTGCTAGATGATTAGCAGAATTCAACAACACAGCTAGCGCAGTATTGCACGCTAGAAATGTTGGGAAATTGAAGCACCGATGTCGGTAAAGAGCAGCTAATGCAAGAAAACCAAATGCAACGGTAAAATTCAAAGAACTGACAAATAAGTATATGCGATTAATAATTGTAGGAAAATCCATCTAAATACTGTTTATTGATATACACACGGCTGTTGAATTAGTTGCACGCTTGTGTCAGAGCGATATCAGAAAGTATGTTGCGGATAGTGGAATCCAACAATAATCTTTTCTATTCGGTTGGTACTTTAAAAAGCAAGAGAAAGATTTTGAATGACGTTCGTGGATGCTATACGCGAAGAAATGTCGATGAGAATTTGTTTAGCAGAATTACGCTTAGTTAAGCGAATGAAAATATATCAAGTCAGAAGTGCGAACATATAATTTTAACCATTTTAATTTCGAGAAATGCTTGTGTTTTGTTGAAAAGAGAAATATTTCAAAGAAATTCATTTAGCTTCAAGTGGCTGCATTCGAACTAACTCATGCACTATAACTCCGTTAAATGTCATGTAATATCCGTTTACTAAGAAGGCACCAGATTGAATATGATATCTTTCGCTAAACTGCCACATCAATATACCAAAAGATATAAACGAACATTTTGAAACAATGACACTTCGTATAACGACAAAAATGACGGGGTGTTACAATTTCAGCTATTAATATGCGGAATAGTTGAAAGTTCTACTTGTTATTGGTATAAACGTCCAATACCAGTCTTTAGCGGATTTTCAGCGAAAAATTGCGTTATATTAGATGATTTCATGCTAGATTTTTCGATCCTACATAGATAATAACTAGACTTATCGTCAAGGCATGACTTTTCTTCTTTCTCGTGTTTCTGAAGACATTACGTGAATCATTATAGATACTTACTTCGTAGTTCAATAATATTAAGGATAAAATAAGAGATATCGAATAAGATAAACATTGTTTGCTTGGTCATTTTATAGAATCAAGGGCTGAAATACAATCGAGCGACTAATTGGCTCTTAAAGCATCTATAAAAAGAAAACTCCTTTTAGTAATTCAATGACGTAGGCAGACATGCTCGTAAAATTAGTCTAATTCTTTTATAATTCTTGCAACTATCGATGTCGATCGAGTTTTCATGACATTAGAATACAAAGCAACCGAAAAGTAAGTGCCTTCCGCGAAGGAAGTCGATACATCGCTGTTATAAATCATACATTCAGGCTTACATTACGCCTAGCCAGTATTTATTTGTATATATTTTATCTCTAGATCTACTGTATTTCATACAAATAGATGTAATCTGATGTGAATACATTTTTTATACAGAGTATGAGAAAATTTAAATGAACGTGAAACATACAATGAATCTTTGTCGCAAATCTGGTGTGAGATATATCAAGATGTCAACGTTATTGACAAAGGCAAACAATTGAGAATTGAGTAAAATAATTCGACCGAATATCTTCAAATCTCGTGGCATTCGCACTATTTGCTGATTATTAGTGAGCCTTGCTGAAACTCCACGCACATAGTGAAAATATGCACGTAGTGTCGATATCAGGATTTTCATATCGATTCCAAATGAATATGTAGACAGACATTGCTCAATGATTAGCAGCATTAAGCAGGACAGCTAATGTAAGAAAAAGTGAATACAACAGCACAGTCAAAAGAACTAAAGAATATGTATAATATATTAATAATCAAAGGAAAATCCATCGTCAGAATTATTGATGATGTGGACGGTTCAATTGGAATATTTGACGACTACTATTAAAAGAAGAAACCACTTAATCAATATATTTACATCCAGAAGTTAAAGAGAGGAGAAGAACAATAGTTTTTATTGAGCAAAATATGTAATGAAGTGTATTTCTGCTTGTTGCAGGAAAGTTCAACGAACTAGAAGTTCGTTTGCGATAAGAATGTCAGACGACAACGTGAAAAATCATATACAAATGGAAGCATACTCAGCGAGCAGATAGAAAAACATATACCGATGACACCATTTGAAATGCATTAAATATTTCTGCCAAATTTGATAGTAAAAAAGTTTCTCTATTTAAACTTTTGTTTTCATTGTACTCGCGAAACTTAAGTATGCAGATACCTTTTGAAAATCTATACACGAAATAGAAAATAAAACTAACAAATTTGTAACTGAATGCTCAAACTTTCACTTCTACTATTTACTATGACAACAATCAATTTCATATCATGACTGAAATCATCAGTTGCAACGGAGTATGAAGATGATAAGGGACTAGTTGAATATGTTATTTGGTTGACCAATGACAAGTGATTTTGTGAGTGGATTATTATACGATAAGTAACAAGTGTTGCTTATTTCTCCGGTTTAACCATTAACGTAGCTGACTAAGCCAATTTTTAGATCAGATTTCAATTCCTTACAGCAGAAGTCGAATCTAATGAAATAGTTTTTTTTCTTTGAAGCGCTTGTAAAAGTAGCTCGCTCATTCATTGAGTGTCATATAAAATAAGCTTCTCTTTTACTACTTGATGTCGTCAGATAGAGAAAAGAAATTACGACATCACGTTTTAGTATAAATATTTACATAGAGCTGCTTCAATGTTGACTCACAAGAATTACGAAATTGCTATGCAATTATTTTTTTCTTCTACAATTAAGTGTCAACATTCGAAACTATATAAGACTCAGCTCTGAATCAATTGAATCGTAAAGACGATAGAAAATGGCGTCAGTTAGTTTACGTTGTATTCCAGACAACCCATATGCCATAATTGGCGTGACAAATAACAAGAGAGCTCGATTTGAAATCGAAACAAAACCAAACGAAGACAATGCTCAATCAAAAAAACGAAATCCGCTCAATTTAGTATTAGTACTTGATCGCAGTGGTTCCATGGCATCAAGCAACAAGTTAACATTTGCAAAACAAGCTGTTATTTCTGTACTCAATGCGCTCAATGACGACGACATTGTACATCTTGTTGCTTACGATACTACAGTACGAAACGTCTTTGAAAATGCATCAGCAGTAAGTCGTCAAAATCTGTATTCAATTGTCGAAGGAATTACCACTGGTGGTGAAACATTTCTATCCGGCGGAATGGACATGGGTGCTAGTCTGCTCGAAAAATATCCACATCCTGGCTTTTCTAAACGTATGTTCGTTCTATCCGATGGATTAGCAAACGTTGGATTGCGAAGTAAAGAAGAAATCGTGAAAGTTGTTGGTAAATACAATGAAAAAGGTATTATCGTTGACTCGTTCGGCGTTGGCGAAGATTTCGATGCAGAGATTATGAAAGGCATTGCTACAGCTGGTCGTGGTCAATTCTTTTTTCTTGAGTCAGCCGAAGTCATTGTCGATCTAATGAACAAAGCGTTACAAAATGTTTTTGATGTCTGCGGATCGCAAGCACAATTAATTATTCGCGGTCGTAACAATGCTATTGTAACCAAAATCTGGGGTCACGAAAATATTGCCGTTGGTGCAAACCTTGGCGATATTCACTTTGATAATCTTCGCGTTATTCTTTGTGATTTTATAATTTCGGGAAATGGTCCGGAAGGCGCCGAAGTTCATGCTCTCGATTTTCAACTGAAATATAATCTGCCGGAGAATATCGAAGGTGAGCCTGTCACTATCGCTGGTCAGTTATCGGTCATATTTGTCAATGACGAATCCCTTATTCGAGATATTGATCCTAAAGTCCGAATGGTGCATGCAACACAAGTTGCCGGAGAAATGGATGATCGAATCGTTGAATTGATGAAAAGCCATCGACGTGATGATGCCATTGCCTTACTCACCGAACAAATCGATCTTCTCAGACAAGTGGAACATTTAGATGATGACAAGGGGATGATTGCAATGTTAATACGAATGGCAGAAAACTTACAAAAACGATTAAAAGATAGAACAATCAGTGAGAAAGCAGCTGCTCACAAATGTGGTCACCATGGTCACATGAAAAAATACCATGATACTAAATACACAAAACACTACGAAGAAGACTGATAAGCAATCTTTTTCATTTGTAGCTAACCCAGATTAATATTGAAATTCTTTTCCTTCCTACCTTTATATAATGGGAATAAAATCATTTTTTCTGTTTGAAGCAATGAAATTGAAGTGTATATTTGCACTAGTGAATTTTAGGATGAGGAGGTACATGACTTTTAGAATAGTGAATTATTTCACAGATGTTCTTCAGTGTGACAACCTAATTTTCATTGTCATTGTGCTCAAGTGCGATGCACTAGAGTGTAATACAAAAGAGAACTCTTCACTCTTGTCCACAGCAAAATTATGTTTCCACATAAAAATCTACTATTTCAAGAATTATTTACTCACATCTGATGTTGTTGCATTTACTACTATTTCTGCTACAACACATTGTTTATCTCCCTCTGGTATGAATTCTCTTGAATATTTATTTTCATTAGGTAGAAAAAAAACTACAGAAAAATTGTCATTTCTAGTTCTAACCTCGACTTTCTAGTAAACGTAACCACTTATCATTGTATTCTCGATTTCGTTGACATTCTTTTTCCCATCGCCTGATTCGAGCTTCATCAAGGCAACTGAAATCTTGTTGTCGATCACCTCCACTTGTTTGATCGCCATCACCACCGCAACTATGTTTACCTTTCTTACACCCGCCTGCACCCGTCGTCGTTGTCACTGTTGCATCGCAGCATATCCATTTGAATTTATTCTTTTGTCGTTCATACTCTTCGCGTCTATCCGGATTGTTTATGATTCCATATTCCAATTTATTCAGTGCCAAAGCCACTTCACTTGGTGTATACATAGTCAGATCAGGCACTGAAACATCATAGACGAATCCATCATGATGAACACAATTGCCTACAAGTAAAAAACTATAATGATAACCGACAGAGGCAAACTTGTTTCTCTTTACCCATCTTATTTTCATTCTCAATGTAGTGATCTTTGCATTTGACACATTTCAATAGATCTTCTGCTTTACGTCGTTCCAATTCTTCTTCCCTTTCTTCTAATCGAGTTCGTGCGAATTGAACATCCGATGAAAATTGCCGCAAAAGAAAAGGTTCTCGAATCACAGCAACTGCCCACTTTTCCACAGTTTGTTGTTGATCCTTATTGTCACCTTGTGATTGTTCGACAACAGCTTCACGAAACCGTGCTCGAACATATGTATAGATACTTTGGTTAACAACAGATGAGCTCATCGATCGGCCCATCGATGAATCTGATTCTGACTTATTCACCCCAACTAATGCATCAAGATCATAGATGATCATCGAGCGAGTATAGGCGACACATTCATCATACCGTTCTTTCAGGGTTTCAAACACTTTCTTCTCATCATATGCACCTTGTGATGCTAATAGATTGAGATCAACCAGTTGAAGAAGTTGCACATTGCGCTCTTTTCCGTAGACAGTCAATCGTTCAAGGAGACCTTGTGTGCTTGTTTCACTCGCATAAAGTTTGTGTTTGGTGACGCTGACATGTTGATCTGGCTCAACGATTTCAACTCGTGCACTTCCACCACTCAAATCAACAATGATTCGACCAGTGTACACATATCGAGACAGACCATTAACACGAATTTCTGATTTGTTTATCAGATTTCGTAGAAGTAGACGAGGTAATGTCTCACTGCCAAGGAAGATTTGGTACTGCTGTGCGGTGCGATCAGCGATTTTCAAAGCTTCTTTATGATCAACATGAAAATTTGGTCGAGTGCGTTGAGCAGCCATGCACCGAACGGTGACGGCGCGTGTAAATGCTCTAATGGCAAAAGAAATATACGTCTAAAGGTCAATTCTTATATCAAATTTACTTGCAAGCTGCACCACTGAAGTTAGTCGTGGCAATCACCAGTCGATCAGTGAGATTAGGTTCAAGAGCCCATTCTGGTATTTGATTCAAGATTTCCATTCGTGCTTTTGATGATGGTCGACCAACAAAGAACTTTCCGGACATTCGTCGAAGAAACGCTTCATCCATCATATGTAAACGATTTGTAGCACAAAAGATCATCATGTTTGGCACATCTTTGATACCATCAATCAATGACAAAAGAACACTGATCTTATCAACCTTGCCTTCACTGGAATCTTCGTCACGTTTTGGTGCTAGAGAATCGATTTCATCAATTGACAAACAACACATCGCATATGGAATACGATGACATCGAGAGGCAAGTGCAATGATGACTCGTTCGGATTCTCCGACCAATGGTCGATTTAGTTCACCCGCTGCCAATGGAGGGCCAACCATACAAATACCTAATTTAACACACAACTTGCTCATGATTTCTGATTTGCCCGTACCAGGAGGACCATACATGATAAATCCACGCGCAGGTTTCACCAGTCCTTTGTCTACTGGTAGTTGTGGTTTTTTTAATTCGGCTTCAACATCACGCCTTTCAGTTTTCCAGTCATCGATTTGTTTCTCATGAGTTGTCATGGCATTAATCCACTTATCCATTTTTTGTTTATGTTCAGTAATCTGTTTTTCGATGTTATTTTGATCACATCGCCATTGTTGATCAACGTCGTGTAATTTTCTTGCACGATCACGTGATGTACTATTCGTATCTATTTGTGATCGCTCCTCTGTATAGGAAACATGCAACACTTCCATTGTTCTGTTCAAATCATTGATACGCTCATTAAAATCCAATACATGTTTCTTTGCATTTAGCCATTGTCCTTCCAAATCATGAATTTTGTTGTCAAGCTCTTCGATTTTGGCTACTTTTGCTTGATTTCCACCGTGTGATCTTGACATTCGAAGTTCTTCCTCAGTGATTGTCAAAGGCAAGAAGAATTCACCCATCGGCGAAAATAGTCCATCATCTGCATAACCTTCATTTCGCATCTCATCAAACGATGCATCGATACAAGCAGCCTCAATCTTTGGTAAAGATCTATGAGTGCAAAATGCTCGTTCGAAACGAAGCGTATGACAAATAAACAGTTTGATCAGATGCAGACTGGCAAGCAGTTCAGAATGAGCTGCTCTCTTCGACTTATCTAAACACCAATTTATATAATATGAATTAGAAGTAGAACTATTGTTTCCTTACCTGTAGTCGAAGGAAGTTCTTGGTTCGGAGAACTTTCTTCAAACAAACGTCGACGATCATCTGTAGCACTCTCTCGTTCTCGATCCACCGCTGCTTTCAAAATTCGCTTCGCGTTCATGCTTAGTTTTCTTATATTATCCCATTCGGATTGTTTCAAATTAGACAGATGAGCGAATGACCGAATGTCTTCCTCGCGCAGTGCTTTTAGCCATTCACTTGCTTGTCCGTTGTCTTCGTTGGTGCACACATCACGTACAAACTGATCGAGAGAATTTGTACGCGGACAATCAACGACTGATGATATTCCATTTTCACTGCCTTGTTGAGCGCCTTCAACGACAAACTGACAGTGAATGTGAACATTTTTGTCTAACACCCAAGAGGATGGAAAGTTCTTTTCAGAATGACTACGAAGTTCAATTCGAAAGAGACCACGAAAATGATCGTATGACCAGGAACTGAACTCATCGGTAATGCTCACAGGTTCGACGAGACGTAGATGTGCCGATTGCTTTTGTCGAATGATACCAAGTGAATGGACTTGTTCGCGAATAAATAGTGCAAAAGTTGAGTTCGGATCAAGTATAAACTTATTGTTATAATTGGAAAACGGTAGATTGTCAGTCGTAGATCTGCTAGTTGTGGAACTGACTCTGCCAGCAACTTGTAAGAGAAATGTCTCGATGAAAGTATCTACTTCGTTTGTTCGATTCTTGACGATTGTTATACACTCAACTTCCGTTAATTCTGTTGGTGTCTCTTCATCTTGCGATTGTTGAGGTACAGTTGCAGATATTGTTTGTGTCCCAGAAGCATCCGATGGCGATGCTTGTGGTTGTCTTTGACGTATTATACTCAAAGAATCCAAGACTTGCTCGAGATCATCTTGCCTGATACATGTACGTAGTATTTCTCGATCGACATCCGATCCGATTTGTATTCCAAGTTGTTCGGCCGTGTTGTTTAATGCTATTTCGTTGACAACATGTCCATCAAATTGATCAATTGATGTTATCTCTGCATAACAGTCACGAAAAGCTATCACCTTTTCGTCGCTCACCGATAAACCTGACTTGAAATACTCATAAACACTGACTTTTGGCAACGCAGACGCCATTAGAAAAGTCGAAATATGATCTAGAGTAAATTACGTCTACCCCGATTCCTCCTTAGCATGCATATCGTCAAACAAAATACTTATCAAAACTGCTTATATCTCGTTACTTACACCAGCCGCAATGTGCAACACATTTCTTACTCTTTTCTCTCTACTGTGATGTTTATCTATGACTTCTGTCAACATAAGGAAAGCAAAAAAAAAGAGTGATGCGTTTGGATTTTTCCCCAGCAGTTTTTCTCCAAAATGTTGCAATCCTTGCATATTTAAACTTGCCATTCTACTCTTCTTCATTATTTTATTCGCAAATATGAGTGCTGCAGCAGACGCGCGTATGAATTTAGAGCAACTGCAAAACGAATTACAACGGTTAGAAAATGAAAACAGGAATGCCAAAGATGAACTACAGACTGCTGAAGATCGAATAAAAGAACTCAAGCAGAAATCAAGAGATCATGAAGCAGAAATCCGTCGTCTCGATGAACAAATCAAACAACTCAATGCTGAAATAGAACGACTCGAAAAGGAACTGGAAGATATGCGTGATGAGCAAACACGTTTACAAGAACAGCGCCGTCAACAACAAGTAGAACATGATCGCCTTGAACATCAACTCCAACAAGAAACAGAACGTCTACAAGAACTTCAGCAACAACTCAGAGATCTCCAAGAGCAGAAACGAGATCTCGAAGAAAAACGTGAACAGCTGGAAACCCGCAAACAACAACTGGAACAAGAGATACACCGAATCGAAGCACAGATTGCTCACCTTGAACAACAAATACAGGAGTTGCAGAATCGTCTTCAACAGTTAAACGAGGAGATACGGCGAATTGAAGAAGAGATCAACCGTCTAGAAGATGAAATCAAGGATTTACAAAATCGAATTGTAACACTCGAAAAACAAAAGGAACAACTCGAACAACAAATTCGTGAAAATGAAATCAGACGTGACGCAAACGAAGCGGAGCAACGAAAGATCGAAGATCTCAAACGACGAATTACACATCTGATTAATTTGAAGAGAAATCACATTGAACAACTGAAAGAACTACAAACAAAACTGGCAGCGGAAAAAAATCAAGCGCAAGCAGCACTCAACCAGTCGAAAGCTGAATTACAAGCTGCTCAAGCCAAAATGAATCAAGCACAGAACGTTGTCAATCAACTTCGCGAACGGTTGCGTGTATTGCAAGATTTAATACGAACTATCGAGAGAGTAATGCAACAACTCAATGGACAAAAGAGTAAATTAGAGTAAGTTGCTTCAGTTTACTTTAACTGCACAGTTGTAATTTGATATTTCGTAGGGGACAACTACAAACTCAAAAAAGTCAACGAGCTGAACTCGAGAGAAAACGCACGGAAACAGATGCGAAACTCAATGGTAAAAAGTCTGAATTAGAAAAAGCTGAACACGAACGAAATCGACTCCAACAAAGCATCACTCGATTGGAGAATGAACTCAAAACGTTACAAGACACACTTTCTTCTCTTACCAAACAGCGGGATGAGTGTGCCAAACAACTGGAAAATGAGAAGAAGAAACAAGAACAACTCGAAAAAGAGCTCAAAGATGAACAGAACAAACAACGACAAGCAGAACAAGCTGTGCAAAAACAGGAGCAACAAGTGAGAAGTGATGAAGCTGCTTTGCGGCAAGCTGAAACCGAAGAAGTAGCTGCACGAACTGCCGAACAACAAGCACAAATAGAATTAGCAACAGCAAGGGCCGACTTAGCTACAGCTCAAGCTCAACTAACAGCTGCTCTTGCTGCTCCACCACCAGTCAATACAGGCATGATCGCAGCAGCTAAGGCAAGAGTTGCCACCTGTCAGGGTCAATTAACAATGAAGAATACTGATTATCAAATGAAGGTCAGCCAGCACGCGAAAGCTCGCACAAACACTGCAACACGTCGTAGCACCCTACAACAAGCTCGCGCAACACTGCAACAGAAGAAAACTGAACTTGAAAGCCAAAAACAACGTGTCAATGCCAAGAAAACAGCACTTGATCAACAGAAAACAACAGTGACAGCAACCAAAAATAAACTCCAGAAATTGAAACAAGATTGCTCACAAGCGCGGAAGAATGTCGACGACAAACAAAGAGCTGTGAACGACGAAAAAAAGAAATTAGAAACACAGAACAAAACATGTGAAAACTTGAAAGTGGAAGTCAATCAACTCGATACAGCATTGAAAGATTTGGTTCAGCGTGTGCAAAATCAAGATCAAATGATTAAACAATCAGAAACTCAGCTACAAAATACTCAAGCTCAATTAGCTAGTCAAGAAGCACAACTTGGACAGCAGAAAACGCAAGAAACAACAGTTACACAAGAATGTAACAAAAACATGGCTGAAGTACAACGGCAAGCAGAATTCATTCGAAGTAAACAAAGCGAAGTAACACGATTGGAGAATCATCTACAGAATGTTCAATCGAATATCGACATGTTGAATAAATCTATTCCTGAACTTGAAAATGACCTTGCTCAACAAGATCAAAACCTACGCGATGCTCAAACGGCAATGCGAAAACTTGAAGCTGAACATTCTAAACTCGAAACGAACAGAGCAGAAAAAGAACGTGAAAAACAACAAGCTGAACGAGATATTACGACATTCAATCGAGATATAAAGCGACAACGTGCAACGCTAGCTGAACGAGAACGTGCTAAAGGAAGCCTGGAAGCTGAAGTCAATGGTAAAAAATCTGAACTGGTGGCGAAACAAGCACAGAAACTTGCTCGTGAAAATCAGTTACGTGCTGTTGAAGATCAACTTCTCGCTAATAAAAACGCAATTAGAAGTGTGGAAAATAAAATGCGTGATACAGAAAGACAAATACACGAACAAACTGCACTACAACAAGAAACAAAACGTCGTTTCGATGACGTGACAGTACAGCTGGGCAACACCCAACGTGATCTCGATCGATTGACCCGACAAATAAACGACAAGAACACCGTTTATGAAAGAAGAAAACGAGCAGGAAATGATTTACAAGCTCAATGTGAAACACGTCGCGCAGCACAGCTGGCTGTCGATAAGGAAGTATCAGAACTTGAATCAACGCTGGTGAGTCGTCGAGCGAAAATAAATCGATTAGGACGCGAAGCTCACGCCGCAAAGGAAATGATCGATCAGCAACAAACGAAAAATGTTACAACCATTTCACGGCAAAATGACGATTTTGAACCTCTGGATGACAAGGAATATATGCGTCGGCAAAATCAACAACAACTAAACCATGCATACGGCTAAAACGCCAGCTGTGTTTGATCATAAATAAAATAATGCGACTATAAACGTCAAATGATGTACTTATACTAATTAGAAATACATGTTTTATGTGTCAGGTCTCGTTTCGTACGCTTTGAGGTTATTCGATAAGTTTTGTCGTTATCTTCTGACAAATCAGATACGAATTGAAATCAATTCGAAGTATTGTGCTATATTGTTTTGAAATCGTTTACTGATTACATTGCAAGAAAAGAGTATCTTTCTTTAATTGCAAAGATGACAATGCTTTATCATTCTGGCCTTGTCATTCTTTCATTCATCACATATATATTGACTTATTTCTTATCATTTTCCCAATATCAATCATGTTCTCCTCAACGACAGTTAGTCTTTTACTTGTGGCGGTGGTTTTTGTATCGCATACGCATAGCAATCCCATATCGGACGATGAATGTCAAGCTCAGTTTTATCCCAACGATGAGTGTGGAGGATCGATATCAACACCTATACAATGCGTATCAAAAAAACTCAACTTGGCTGATACAGAGATTTCATCATGTACATCTGTCGGCTTATTCTGGTCTTATCCAACTAACAATTTCACATTAACAATTGAAACACCATTCACAAAAGCGCAACAAGCATACAAGCTTGAAATCGACAATGAACAATTGAGAGCGTCCGTTTTACATGTTTATCGAATTGTCGATGGTCAAGAAACAGAAATCACTACTGATGATAAGAAACTTATTCAAAATTCGGATAAAAATTTTCAAGTAGTTCTCAAATTGCAGAGCTTTCCGGCCATATTCTCTTATGGTGTCTTTATCAATTACAAGGTTACTGCTCTGTAATTGAATGGGATTCACAATTCTTAATCTTTATATCAAAAATTTGATTTTGTCAATAAAATATCGACATTGACAGTGCATCTTTATAAGAAAAATGCCTCCTTTCTCATTATATAGTCATTACATACATCACTATGTTGAGATAATGTTTGTTTCCATAGTTGCTAGATTACAATCCTGCAGAACATATTGACAGATTGCAGAAAAAATAATCAGAAAAACATGACTTATGCTGATTCTTTCCTCGGCATTTAAGAAACGGAGTTCCTCATAAAAAAATGGTTCTTGTGACAGCTGAAAAACAAGAAAAAACAATTGATGCTCATAGTTTTCAAGAATGCATCATGATGGAAAAACAACGTACACAATGCAGAATGAAATGGATCATTGGCATACAAATCTGCATTATCATATTTGTTTTACTTCTTGCTGGGCTATTTCACATGATTTGCTATCGCCATATGAAGATAGAGCAACATTTTACTACCAATATTGCAAACATTAGTAAATGTACCCCGGAGCAAAACGTTAGTAAACCTACGCCGAAGCAAAACATTGTAAGTCTTTATGCATTCGATCCTCTAGCACGTAAATTTTGCTTCGTCGATGGAGAATATGGCGGTGTTATTTTAAATTGGACTGTTTATAATCGACGAAGTGATATTGATTTTAATGCTCATAATAAAGACAATTTTACCGTCGGTATAGAAGGTAGAATGGTTGGCACGATTATCGATTTAGGTTCAAGTGAAGATCTTCAACGGCGATATCAATATCGAGAAACAGTTGGAAATGGACAAGGATTTGCATCGATACATCGACAAAATACGACATTGCTCATTCGAAAGGGTGCTCAATACACGGAAAATGCTTTTCAACCGATGATGGAATCTGATGAATTTTTTCAACACGAAAAATCAGGAGCAACAGTAACTGTTAAACTTGGTCATATTTATGTTCTTCGAATAACAGATCGTTTTACGCCGACTTTTGAGCTAATTGTCAAAATGCTAGTTATTGCCTTTGAACCGAATGTATCAGTTACTATCCGATGGGAAGTTCTACCATAACAAATTCTTGAACATGAGAGTGTGAGTCAGCACTTTGATATCAAGCGACATCTGTATTCAACAGCATCCTCGCCTTCAGACCCACCCACTGACACTATCTACCTCATTCACACCCTCATCATCACCATCACCCTCAACGTAATGTTCGCAGTAACAATGATTTTTCTTTTCTCTCTATGAAACGAAATCTTTTGTTTGCTCTTTTCTTCGCATGTGATGATTTTCTCTGGAAAGGAAATAAAAAAAACCCAGTGCACACCGTGTATTGTCTACAGAATAGAATATATAATAGACATTTTATTTAAAACATTAAAATACATCTCGTTGTAATATGAAATCAAGTCGTTTCCAAATTGACAATGATCGAAAACGTCGTTCTACGACATCAAATGATCCTCTGTAAGTTTAAATCCTTAGTATAAATCAAACGATAGCATTGTTAAATATATTAGGCCTTCTAAACGACCATATTTACCTCCTATTTCTTATACTTCCCTTGTTAATTTAATGGATAAATCACCCGATGATGTTCTGACTGTAATGCTTGATAAAAATTTTCAATTACGTAAGTTTTTAAACGATAAACGTATGACAGAAAGATTCGATTGGATCTCTTCAATGACAACATTACTTGAAAAAACTACTCAATGTGTTGAATCACGTGAACATCTTGGGTCTATTTTTGGGCAATTACCCGATACACCTTATCTCGAAGGTGTTTATGAAGACATTCGAAAACCAGATCCTAATACATATCAATTACGTTTCCAATTTATTGAATTATTTCTTAAAATCGCCAATCAATTTCTTGCTATGATGCCTCATTCATCTGGTTGTTTAATCAAAATTCTTGAACGTATCGAATTATTAATGTCTAAAAGTTCATCTGACACATCAGTAACAACTAGTAATTCATTCAATTTAATTCTTTGCTTTTTTTCTGCAGGAATTCAAAAATGCAAACGAAATTCTTTCTGTAGTACTTGAACGTATAAAAGAAATTGAAAAACGGCGTGAATTACTCAACCCAAAGTCTTTGACTACAGTGACTACAAATGAAAATAATTTCGATCAACCACCGGACGATTATCGTCAATTACCCATTGTTCCTAGTATAAATGAAATCAGATTGGAAAAACGACCGTACCTTCGAAAAAATATTATCGATGGTATTTATGAAAGTGCCAAGCATTATATTGATGTAAGAAACTTCAATCATAAGAATTTATCTTCCTATTTTCTTTTCAAGATTCATTTTCGTCTTTTACGTGAAGATTTTATTGGACCATTGCGTGATGGTATTCATCAATATTTATACAAAACAGAAGGCAAAAATTATAATATTCGAATCTATGAGAATGTCCATTCACTTGGCTCACAAATAACACCACGAAGTGGACTTGTTTACAATCTACGTTTGGATCCCAAAGTGGCATGCAGAATTCATTGGGCTAATAGTCGACGTTTAATCTATGGAAATTTATTACTTTTAACACGTAATCGTTTTCAATCATGTGTATTTGCTACAGTCGAAGATCGTTCACGCATTCAGACGGAATCTGTTCTCTCAGTAAAATTTTTTAGTAATATATTCTTGTTTAATTTCGTTGAACTATAGGCTAAAATATTATGTAATTCTAATTATGATCAACAAACTATAGAACACCTTGGTAGAAATGATTCTTTACATCCATTAACAATGATTGAAACTATGACATTTTTTGAAGCATATCGTCCAGTTCTTCGTGCATTACAAATAATGCCAACAGATGATACATTTCCTTTTTCTGAATTTCTAATTAAATTAACACCGGAAATGAAACCACCAAATTATCTAACACAAACAACAACATATGATTTTACACCACTTCTTGTCGATCCAAATGGTAAAGTTCAAACTCATGTGAGTATGCCATCAAAATTTGATACTCGACATATGCTTAAAATCACCTATCAACAAGCAAGCGATATCGATACGAAATATAAAAGAGTTTCGGTACTGAATAAAAATGAATGGCCAACAAATGAAGAATTACATTTGAATCCAAAACAATATGAAGCATTGATCTTAGCTCTAACGAATAAAATTGCACTTATACAAGGCCGTATGTTAGAATGAGTTTCGAGAGATTAAATATTTTCTTTCCTTTGCTTAGCACCGGGAACTGGAAAGACTTATCTTGGTGTACGTATAACAGAAATGCTTTTGCATAATCGATCAGTTTGGTGTCCATCGGATGAACAATCCACACCAATCTTGATGATTTGTCATACGAATCATGCTTTGGATCAGTTTTTAGAATTGATCGTAAATCGTTTGAATATAACTAAAGGTTTGACGATTGATTTTTGTTTGTTGAAAGAAAACTTATCGATTCTTTCAGGTATTATTCGCGTCGGAAGTCGATGTCAAAATCCAATTATTCAGAAACTTACATTATCTAAAGCACGTGAATATGCTCGGATAACTCGTTGTATACCAAGTGATATCTATTATCAAAAAAAAAAGTTAATGGAGAAGAAGTTCGCAGCAGAAAGACATTTAAAAGAACTTGAAAGGAAGATGCAAACATCACAAACAACTATACTAACTCTTTCATTATTAACGGAATATTTTATTATTGATAATAGACATAAAACAGCATTAATAGAACGACGAAATGATCGAGATGAAGAAATATTACTCAGATGGCTTCACGTTCATCCTGGATACGAACAAACATCTAAAGATTTGATTTACAGAGAAGAAGCGAAAACAAGAAATGATGGGTATGATTTAAACGAAGAAGAAGTAGAAGAAGAACGACGACGAAGATATGATGAGGATGAATATGAACAATATTCACCATCACCAATTCAAAAATGTAAAAAATTTAAAAAGAATTCCGCAGATGACCATCCGTATCAATATGACAGAAAGAAAGCAGATGAGAACAATCGACTAATTAAGTCTATCATTCAAACTCCAACAACTCTTACGGATGAAACGGTTCTAGCAGTCCATACCGATATTTGGACTTTTACTATGGAACAACGTTATGATTTGTATCGATATTGGTTATCCAAGTATCAAAAACATGTATCTTATTCAATCGAAGAAACTAGACCAGAATATAATCAAGCGATAACAGATCTTTCTGAATATTTTCTTCTACAAGATTATTATATTTTGAAAGACAGTATTATCATTGCTATGACAACAACATGTGCTGCGAAACATCATACAATTCTAGAAAAACTTCGTTAGAATACGTTTCGAAACATAGAAGTTCAGGTTGATTGATTTTTCTTTTTTTTAGAAAGTAAAATTGTGATTGTGGAAGAAGCAGCTGCTATTTTTGAAGCACATGTTATTACTGCTTTAAGTACAAAATGTGAACATTTAATACTAATTGGTGATCATGTTCAATTAAAACCAAATCCAACTGTATATCAACTTGGAACGAAATATAATATGGATGTATCATTATTTGAACGATTAGTTAAGAATAACTTCCCAAATGTTAGATTAAATATTCAAGTACGAATAGATTCCGAAGGAAAAGAACAAATTGATTTCCTTTTCTCTTTATAGCATCGCATGCGACCAGAAATTGGCCGTCTTATGAAACATTTCTATGATGATTTAGAAGATGATATAAGTGTTAAAACGAATCGAGAATCCATACGTGGTATTGATAGTGATGTATTTTTTATTAATCATCAGTATTCCGATGCATCTGTTACGGATGGAAGTTCAAAATACAATAAATTTGAAGCATTATATGCTATTGAATTAGCAAAATATTTAATTAAACAGAACTATGGACCACAACAAATAACTATACTTGTTATGTATCTTGGTCAAAAACAATTGATTGTTAAAAAAATGAAAGAGAAGAGAGATTTACATGGAATTCGAATTATGGTATGAGTTGTTGATGTGATAGAATAAGAAAAGACTAGCTTGTTTTTAGGTAACAGATAATTATCAAGGTGAAGAAAATGATATAATTATATTATCATTAGTTCGGAGTAATATAGAAAAACGGATTGGTTTTCTTAAAATACACAATCGAATATGTGTTGCCTTATCACGTGCACGGTGTGGACTTTTTGTTCTGGGAAACATGGATATACTAGCAGAAGTTGATGAGAAATGGAAACAGATTATGACATCTCTAGTAGAAACAAATCATATTGGAAGCGGTTAGTTCATTAATTCCTTATCGAATTGAATTTCTCTATCTGAAGTCTATCAATATAGGTTTATGTCTGTCTTGTCGACAACATCCAGAAGATAAAACTATAGCAGATAAAATTGAATCGTTTGCACAACGACCAGAAGGTGGTTGTCGTAAAAGATGTGATGCTCGACTTAAATGTGGTCATTGTTGTGAATCATTATGTCATAATTATGATCTTGAGTAAATATAAACATGTGTTTTTTAATCCTATAGAGAAATATTCGTTTGGTTTTTCTAGACATGCAGAAGTAACATGCCATCAGAAATGTTATGAACGATTATCATGTGGTCATTTATGTCAAAAGCAATGTCATTATGAGAATTTCAATCGACACGATCAATGCCGTGTTACTGTTGACAAGAAAATTCCTGAATGTGGACATGAAATTCGTGTTCATTGTTCTGAAACACCGGATGTTAAAGGTTGTCAAAAAACATCACCGGCAAGATTACCTTGTGGTCACATTATTAATGTTCCATGTCACTTACTTGAATCACCAGATGAATTAAAACGATATCCTTGTCTGAAACCATGTAATACAATACTTGCTTGCGAACACAAATGCGTAGGAACTTGTAGTACTTGTTTTACCGGGAGATTGCATGTTCCTTGTGGACAAAAATGTGAACGTGAATTAATATGTTCACATGTAAGTTTACTATATACAGATAAAAATCATCTTCTTTGTATTATAATTAGGTATGTAAAGAATCTTGTGCAGCAAACTGTCCGTTATGTACTCGGGATTGTCAGACACGTTGTGTGCATTCGAGATGCCGAAAGAAATGCGGAGAACTTTGCATACCATGTAGAGAGGTTTGAAAGGGAGATTTAGTTTTCTTTAATAATATGTTTTGTGTTTTAGCCATGTGCTTATAAATGCAAACATTTGAAATGTACTCGTCGATGTTCTGAACTCTGTAATCGTGAACCATGTAATAAACCGTGCTATGAAAAATTAAGATGCGGTCACCAATGTAAATATATAGGTTTTTCAAGCAAATCAATTGCATGTGAATGTTTTTCATTAGGTATTGGTTTGTGTGGTGAACCATGTCCTTGGAAATGTCGTATATGCGATAAAAGTATTGTTCAAGAAATATTCTTTGGCACTGAAGACGAACCTGATGCGCGATTTGTTTTCTTACCTGATTGCAGACATATTATTGAAGTTACTTCACTTGATAGACACATAAATGAGTTTGTAAATGAATCAAATGCAAATACAGCCATTCGGTTTCCTGAATGTCCACGTTGTCGACAAAGAATTTATCGTTGTACACGATATACATCAGTTTTAAATCGCGTATATAATTTAATAGCTCAAGTTAAAAAGAAAATATTGGGTCATACATCTGATGAAGAAATTAGTGAACAACGAGAGCAAATATTAGCAGAACATAAGATAATGATAATCAATTTAAAAGAAATTGTTCTTGCTCAAACTCAAATAGATTTTTTTTCGAAATTATATGATAAGAAATATTTCTTTTCAAATGATAAATTAAATTTAATGGCAAACATTATTCGATTTCTCAATCATATGGACACAATTTTAATTCATGGACGTATCAAATTGCAAGAAGATATATTTAAAGAATTCGTTCATCGTCCAATACTTTATATTGTGGAATATTTATATAAACAAAAATGTGGAAGAAATTTTGCTCAACAACAATTAAATGATATTCAATGGGAATTAAAACGTATTCGTCGAGTAATTTATATTGAAAATTTTATTGGCACATTACAGAAAGAATTAGACGAACATGAACAAGTTGCTATTGATTCGATGAGAAAACTAACAAGAAAGATTGGCCCATTTACAAATGAGAATAAAATACAATTTGATGATTTAGTTAAAAAATTTAAATATTTAAACAATTTACCTGGTTTAGGAATAACTGAAAAGGAACGAAAAGCTATTGTTACTGCACTGAACATGACTAAAGGCCATTGGTATACTTGTCCAAAAGGACATCCTTATATTATCACCGAAGTAGGATTTCTTTTTAAGAAGAATTTGTGTTTATTGTATTTGATTTAGTGCGGCGGTGCTATGCAGGAAAGTCAATGTCCAGAATGTGGTGAACGAATTGGTGGACAAAATCATCATTTAATCGAAACAAATCAACATTTTGGTTTGATGGATGGGTCACAATATGGAGCTTGGTCAAATGAAGCGAATTTACAGTTACCGCACTTGCCAGACGTTTAACTGATTCTTTAACTAAGTTTTTATTATCATATATTTTGATTATTTTTAAAATAAACGAGAATAAACATGAGCACCTTTATATGTCATTATTTAAAGTCGAAAAAATCGTCATGACAATAGAAACGAGGGCTCGTATGAAAAAAAGCCTCTCTTATGTTTTCTTGTTGCTATAAAATAAACTATGCAAGACTGAACTTTTTTCCAATAACAAATCGCTTATAGTCGTCTGTTTGAATTGAAGAGCAAGAGAAATGTGTATTGCAACTTGCTGCGCTTTGTTTAGCAAACGTTCAAGAAACAGATTTCTTTAAAATTCTTTTATATTAGTTATTTTAGAGCAACTGATGCTTTTTAGAACCTCATTCTCTCATTGAAATGCTATTACGGTTTATACTTATAAGTTGTATTCGAGAGTATCAAGATACTTTAGTTCCAATTTCAACAGAAAATGTTGATGAATTATTCCCTGTATCTTCCTGCACACAGACAGAAACAGATGAATCAATCATGATTGATATTTTTCATGTGACACAATTGAACTGCTGGATCGCAAGCAAGTGGAATGTCTTGCCACTTATCGTGAAATGACAAAAGAGAAATCATTAAATTTAATAACAGAACCATTTGTGGTAACGTTGACAATGCCGAAACATTCGTTGTTGTTTTAGATAAAGTTCCTGAACAACTTGGTATTGATTTGAATTTTACTCATTGACAATTTACTTTTAATGATAGTGACTATCGTGCAGCATGTGGCACTGCAGATTTTGGAAGCATTCATTCTCTGATAACGTCTGGAAGTGATATTGAAACAATCAAATTTCGATTCGAGTCCAATTCAGGAGTAATTTATAACGAAATTACAAAAAGTCATTCTACTTTCAATGAATTCATGTTGAGATTCATCAAAGTATTTGTAAAGATAATTAAATGTACACCAGAGCCCATTCGTGTCTTTGCAATCTAAAGTGATCCGTTGAAAAATAATATGTCTCTTAGTCTTGGTATAACAACACAATCAGATGCAGAGACAAAATCTTTCGCGGATAAATTTCAAAAATTAGTGGCTTCTTCATTTAGCCAAGCGAAAGAGGATACCAGAAGATTTACTCGGTGCACTGGGTCAATGTTTAACACTAAAAACTTAGAGCACTAGTAATGCTCGTTTCATTATACTTATTACTGATCCTCCCGGTCATGGGCGCGAATTGAATGATAATCCTGCCATTGACAAATACCCTCAAGTAATGTTTTTGATCCTTTTTCTCGAATTCTTATATAGATGATATATTGTTTTCATAGGGAGTTGAAACACACACAGTGCAAAGCATCTGCGAACGACTACTGAAGAAAGATGCTGAAATCGATTTGATGTTTTGCTATATTAAACCAAATGCAACAGCTAAAATGCAAGGGGCTTTTGCAGCCTACTACAATGCAAAGAAAGAGGAGACAGGCAAAGCATTTACTGTCATAAAATTATTTGATGACAAGCAGCAAGAAACGCAATCATTTCATTTCGTCTTTGTTCTCGATGAATCAGGTTCAATGGGTAGTCAATGGCAAGCCTTACAAAAAGTGTATCAGGCATTTTTAACTCGACGCAATGATGATCAAGGCGGTGATGATCATTTTACTATCGTAAAATTCAATCATATTACGGTGCTGGTTTAAATCAAGCAAAAAGCACAATTGTGGCTGATAGAACAGCATCATCGATTGTAATGATTTTCATGTCAGACGGTGGCGATGGCAGTGGTCAGGATCCTACAGGGATCGTACAGGAATTCAAGCAACAATTTGGAGCCAATCATAATTTCGTCTGTCACACTGTCGGTTTCGGTGCGGGTATTGCTGCAGGAAGTTCAGCGGCAGAATTACTTAAAAACATGGCGTCAGTAGGTGGTGGTCAAGTTTATTCTGCACTGACAGGTACTGAACTTCAAACTGTATTCAATCAAATCGCTGCAAATAGTACAACAAGTGATGAATTAATTGAACGATTCTCAGCTATTATTGCACGAGAAATAAATGTGAAGATTATGGTTGATTATTTGTAAACGTTTCATTTTCCATTAGTTAGCCATATATATTAACCGCGTGATTTTCATTCTTTCATTTCGAATAAACTCTACTTTTTATTAATCACGAAAAGTGAACCAAAAACTATATACATAGACGAAAAGAGAGAGAAAACTGCAGAACTATGAAGTTTGATTAGCGCCATATTCTTGTTGGAACCAGAGCCAAGTCCTTCGAAGTCCCTCAGATACATTTGTCCGAGGAGAAAAATTAAGCAATCTACGCGCTTTATGGTTATCACAATGAGTAATGGTCGGTTCTGTTCGATACGATTTCTTCATCTGTATCCGAATATGTCGATGCGACACTCGCTCCATTTCATTTACGAATCTGCTCAATTTAATCGGAGTTCCATATCCGATATTGATGATCTCGTAACCTAATGGCCGTTTCAAAGCCGCGATTAACGCATCTACGACGTCATCAACGTAAGTCCAATCTCGTTGCATTTCACCATTGTCATGAACATCGACTGTGCGGGACGGATCCAAACATGCACTCATTAATTTGAATGGCATCATGTCAGGTCGACCACGAGGACCGTAAACATTGAAAAGTCGTAAAATTGTGACGTTGAGAGAGTACAATTTATGATAAACGTGAGCAAACAGTTCCGCTGATCGTTTGCTTGCTGCATAAGGTGAAATAGGTTGAACACTTGGATCTGTTTCGACAAAAGGTATTTTGTTTGTCTGCCCGTAAACGCTCGACGTCGACGTAAAGACAAATAAAGGTAATCGACGTGAAGATGCAGCCATTTCGAGAAGGAGTTGAGTTCCTACAGTATTCGTTTCCGTATAATCATTCATGGCCAATGTCGACGAACGAACACCTGGTAAAGCCTGCAAGTATGACATTGATAGATATATTCACGTTCAAAGAACATAGATGAGAGAGTATTTACCGCAAGATGTGCAATATGTGTGATACCATACGTGGCGAAAATTGTTTTTAACAATTGAGCATCAGTAATACTACCTTGAATAACAATCAATGTCGAATTTGGATGACGAGCACGGAGATAAGCCACATTGTTTCGCTTTATTTTCGATGAATAATAGTTATTGAAGTTATCCAACACGATCACTGCAGCGTTGCTTTCTAACAGTCGATCGACCAGATGGCTGCCGACAAAACCAGCACCTGTACATCTACGTAGTTTCCGTATGCAAAATAAAAGCAATATGAACACTTACCACCAGTGACTAGATAGATGTTGAATGTGCTGCTTTTACTTGGTATAGGTGGTAGAGATTGTGACAGAATTGTCATTTGAGAAACAAAGATAATTATTACAATCAAAACCATTAGTTTGACTGTCGCACGTGAGCCACGCTTTGGTTGAAAAGTTATTCGATTGTACATATTTCTGTTTGAGAGGTACCTCGAAGGACAGTTTATTTACTAGTCAATTTATAGTGTGGCTTTTCTTTCCTTCCTTTCTCTTTCTCTCTGAATTAGTATTCAGTCTAAGAAAAACATGTTCATGTTAAATATCGACGATATGAATAGAGAGGAATGAAAGGTCAACGATTACAACCAGCCATTCACGACTATATAAACATCATCACGCGTCCAATACGCCATGATACTTTCCAAAATGAAATTTTATAATACAAAATTGCGACGTCGTTCATTTGTTGCCTTTTCACTTTGTACAACGCTTTGGATACTTTTCGGATACAATGGCGTTTTTCTTAACTATAATGGAAATGAAATCAATTGTACTGCCATGATTTCTATTGTTCGTCCAATTCAGCTGCCATCAATAACAAAGTTTGATTTGGAAAGCAATGAAACAAATCGTGAAGCATTTGTTACGTTGATTACTGGTGACACGTATGTAGCTGCAGCGCTTGTTCTTGGGTATACATTGAAGAAACATGAATCCATGAAATCTCGTCAACGTGATATGATTGCGCTTATTAAGCACGGCTTAATTCTTGATGAACAACATCGTAGGATGCTCGAAGATGTCGGCTGGAAACTAATCGAAGCGACAACATTTTCGTTTCCCGGTACTGTAATACCACGATTGATAGATGGTTTGCTCAAGTTGCACGTGTGGAGTATGACGCAATATGCAAGGATTGCTGTGCTAGATGCCGATGCTATTGTCACTGGTTCCATCGAAGAGCCATTTAAGTTCATGCGATCAAATATGGACATTCCATTATTAGCTGTAAATTACCTGTTCTGTCCGAAAGTGTTAGAAAAGAAAACATACATGACTGCATATTTCAATGCCGGTGTTCTCTTTCTGCGACCCAATATTGAACATTACGAAGCATTGATCAATCTATCGTCGAAACAAGGCTACTACCATCTGAAATTTCCACAACAGAATCTGTTGAACACATACTTTCTTGGTAAATGGCTTGGACTGTCGGTTATTTACAACTATGTACATCGTAACGCGGTGTGGTTTACTGACATGGACAGTATACGAATCGTACACTATGCGGGTACTCCAAAACCGTGGGAGAAGATCGATGGTACTCAAGTAAAAAGCAGTGGGGTCCTATGGCCTGAAGGTGATCTCATCTGGCAGAAGTTTTTCGTCAATATGACTCGCGAATATGGATGGAAAAAGCATCACTATCTTGGCGAAAATCCTTCAGAAGAGTTTCAACAGGGTTTCGATTTTGAACGCTTGAATCTTTAATTTATGAAATAAAAGAATGCCGAGTTTCGTGCTAAAATCGACTTTGTCCTAACTGATTTGTGGTGCCGGGTTCCACGGGTAGCACTTGATTGTGATTGTAATGCATTGTGTCGAGGAAGCATGATTTCAATTGAGGTGTGATGATCACCAAAGCTATACTAAATATGAACACACCAACAGCAGGCAGCAGCCATTGTATGCGATACATGTAGTAGAAGCCGGAGATACTTGGATCAATACTTGTCATTAGAGTGAAAGTACAATTAGGTATGCCAGGTAGAGTGAGGGTATTGACAATAAATATGATGCGTCGAATGACGGTAAAATCGCGTTGCGCTCTTCTCATTTGTTGAATGTGCAGCGAGTTCGATGTTTGGTGACGAATGAAAAGCATGAGACGAGCATAAATAAGGGTTAAGAAGATAACCGGAGAAATATACATTACTGCTCCTGAATAAGTCAAGGCACCGATATATCGGTAGAGCATGCCACAGTAATAGTCGTTTTTGTATAATCCATATATCGGAGTTGGCCAAAGGTACGGTGGCAAGAGAAGAGTAGAACACATGATCCATTGAAGTAATATGCATACGATATAAAATAAAAACGACTGTGGAAGAAGACAAAAGGGATGTGGGGTATGTGCATGTACGACTTACTTGAAAAATTCGTTGTTTGGGATAAACCACTCTTGTAAATCGGTAGAATGCTTGGAGAACAAAACTCATGTAGCAACAAGCAAATGCCACGTAAATTAGGAAACCTTGAAGAAGACATGTATTTAAATGACTCGTATCAAGATCGCTGAAACCATATAAATCCGATTTAAATACATAGATATTGACGTAGAAAACGAGAAACGAAAACACAAACATCGCGATATAAGTATTAATCATCAGAAGAAAGGCAATATCTCGATTGGATCGAAGGTAAACGAACATCATAATTAGCATCATAAATGTAATTAAAAGTGCGAGACCACTACTAATCATAGTGACAAGAGTGAAAGCAACGCTTGGTAACATGATCTTGTTTGAAAGTAGGAAAAAGAAGATTACATGAAAGCCAGTTTCTTCTCTTATATATAGACCTTATAATGTAGTTGTCACTTTGGGATGGAGATGTCATTTTTCAAGATGTCTTCAAGCGTTTTCTTTCTTGCTTTGTATAGAAAAGAAGATTGAACGTGCATAATTATAGGTGATGAGAACGAAAAATATTAAAAATTTCTCATACTTCATTTGAAAATATTCTCTTGAATTTTAAGGTCACATTGTTCAATAATTTTGAGAAATTCCAAGCGAAAAAAAAACGATGTTTAAGATATAGAAATAAAAAGTGCTTGAAGACATTAAAAATATCAATAGACTGTCTGTTTGAACGAATATGAAGAGCATTAAGCAAGACATGGGTAAGAAAGATTTTCCTCCGGTAAAACTGTCTTGCTTCTATATAAAACCTTTGAGTTCATTGAGCAATTATTGCACTCACTGAGGACATTTTATGAATAGTATTCAATTCATAATTGATGAAATAAACATGAAAAGCAAAGAACTTTGTATTCAACAATGTTATTTTCTGCGGTTGAAGGTGTTTTATTATTAAGGAAGTCAAATCTATCGGCTTAGTTAATTTTTGTCTTAGTGATAGATTACGATTACAGAATTATGCCTTAGATAAATCACGAACATTTGCAAGAGGCTGACCATTTTTGTGTTAGACAGATAATATCAGAAATACTTGTGATGCTCTAATACATGTAGAATATTTCTATTAACAAGTCCGCGTACATCTTTTTATCTACGAGAGCGAAAAGATCTGAATAGTTAAGTACAGGAAATTTTGGATTGAAACTGACAGCATCCGGTGTTGAACTTTAGCTTCAGTTTTTTCCTATTTACATTACTATGATCTCTGTACTCAAATATTCTTGCATAGCAAAAGTTTCTTGAATCAATATCTAGATGTACAAAACCGTCACAAGCTGTTAATGATCTTATATGGTTGGTCTAAATGCATTGTTACACACTCTATCGGGGCTTCTCTAATTGAATTAAATGTTCTCGTTGGCTAAATTCCGGCGATAAATGTCAAGCTCGATTAATTCAAATTTTCATTAGTCCTTAAAAGGCCTCATAGATAATCGTTCTTTAGGTACATTTATATACAGAAATGCCGTATACTTCCGAACAAAGACTGAGAAAGAGAGGTTTGTTGAGGCATAAGGATCTATGCAAGGATAAATATTGTTTCCGAAGAACTGCTCAAGTTTGATAAAAGCTTTTAAAATTTTTTTTCATGCGCTCCACCTGATATTTCCGACGGAATGGAGATGTCACATAGTTTTTATTAACGTCAAAAATCAATTAACACTTTTTTATTTGAAAAACAGTCCGATAGATAACGTCGATTATGGATGCGTATACAACTGCAGATCGATTTGATCGACAGCTGTTTGTCTTCGTCGCCATCGTTTCAAATGAATTTCAAGTAAAACATAAAATAATTGGTGACGAAATCGTTCTGATGCACCCAGATAAATATAAAACGGGCTCTAGAAAAGAAATGATATTCATATGATGGACGATATTATATTGAAACTACTTACTACATAGTTAAAATAATAAAAGTAGATTGTGAGAAGAAGAAAGAATTGTAATTCAGCAACTGACACAGGATCAGTTGGTACATATGAACTATTCATTAGTGCAATAACAATAACATAGGGAATGCTTGCAAGAGCATTATGAACGACTTGAACAAGAACCATTTTTGTCATTTGTTTGTCTAACTCACGTCGAACCAATGGTAAAGTTCGATGCGCCAATGTTTGAACATTACGATAAGCTAAAAAGCCGAATAGAAGTGTAACGACGATAGGTACGATTCCCGACAGAGTGATAATGTAAACATAAGTATGATATTGATAAAACATCTTATTAACACTGGTACATACCAGTTTACCCGATGGTGATTGTTGAATGACTTTGAAGTAGAGCATATAAGGAGTTGCCAAAATAGGCCAAGTAATAATTACTGCAAAAGACAACCGACGAGCAAGTTTTATATTACTCCATCGTTGCCAATGGGGATGTGTACATGTTGCAAAGTACTGATCAATAGTTGCAAAACAAATCATTGTAAATGACGTCAGCACACCAGAATAAAGATAATACCATCGAAATGCACAATAAAATGGCGAACTTATTGTCCAGTCGATGCCAAGGCCGGTAATGACTATCCGAGTGAGCAAACCACCAAGCAGATTTCCGATGTTGAAAATCGACATGATCAATAAATAGAATGCACAAGAGTTATTTCGAAATGTGTGTAAACTCAGAAACACAACAATTGTTAAACATGCTCCGACTAGACCAGCAATTAACATTGCAGTTCCTAAGTAGATGGCCAACTGTTTCGAAAAATAATCAAGGAACGATATAATCCACGAATCCATTTGGTTTTCTTCCCCTCGTCGAGTTCAATATAATGATATTCTACTCTATTTTATAGAACATCGTATGCGCATAATCTTGTTCGTGACACTTAGATCATACCTAATTGCTGCTAAGTATATGCCTGAGTGCATTTCATCAATATTTTCAGAGGAAGAATATGTCACGAACACGTTGAGCACAAATGCTCTAAACTATTGTAAGCATTCATTCATTTTTCTTGTGTTAATTAAACTACCTCGACGAAACATTATGATATAGTAGATTCAGAAACATCTGCGGAGTTTCAAAAATCAACACTGGATGATTCTTCCAGAATGTTCTCTCTCTGATCCATGCGAAATTATATTCGTGATAAAGTGAATAGATTTGAAATTGAATTAGCTTCATAAGGCTCAATTATAAATGGAATCTTTTTGACCGGATAGGATGAGTTAATTTTAATTTGTATAGACATACTTTGCAGTATAATATTAAATCTCAAGATTGTCTGATATTTAACTTTCCTACCGTGAGAACTTAATACATTATCCTAATGGCGAGTAGAATCAAAACGATCATAGAGTGCAACATGGTTTTCAATAGAAATAAAGTCTGAAATATTGCATTATCCTTCTCAGTTGCTTTAATCTGAAGAAGAGAAAATTTCAACACCTGTTGTTTGTTTTTATTTTTCTTCATGTTTGTCCATTTTAACCATCATGATCTTCTCTTAGTTATCTGTGAGATAAGCATCTGATGTCAGTGTTATCATCAAGATGATGTCATTTAGTTGTTATATAAAACAACATGCGTTTGATTTGTTATATTTCACAGCACGTTCATTTTCAAAATGGGTTCTACTCTCAGTAACAATTCGATATATACAAAGGAAGATGTCGAGATGGAAATAGTGAATCTCACACCTCGGTTACCAATGGCCGAGTTGATGAATGGTGGTATTATTAAACTGCAAGGCGCTAACGGATTTTTCAATCCTAATTCACTGCTTGATGCAAGTTGGTTGCAAAATGCGATCACAGTCCAAGACTATCGTGAAGCTATTAATTATATCAACCAATGTACAGCTCACGCTTTTATCGGTTTTAGTAAACTGTATTCTATAGCTGATCGACCGATTCGCGAGAATTTAAGAACACAAGCTGGAACGGCTGCTGTGAAGAAAATCAATGAACATTTGAAGTCTGTTGAGTTTGTTTACCAGCAAACAACTCAAATGGTGCCTATGAGTATGACATATAGTACTGATCCGGTCATTCAATCTCTTGGTCGATACAATCGTATGAAAGGAGAGTCACAAGTTGTTTTACTCTACATCAGAATACTTTGATAATCTATATTTATTATATCCTTCATTGTAAAATAAATTGGACTGAAATTCAAACAGATTTGTTTTATGTGCAATGTTTTTTTTAATTTCTTCATTGCTAAACGGAATATATCGTTTGCTTGCAACCTCAGTAGAAGAAAAGGTCTTTCTCTTATATTTTTTTTTCAAATAAATTATTGTTCCATCTCTCAGCATATTCTTCCCGCAGTGCTGTATCCGCCCTTCGTCCGGAATTAGATTGGCAAACGTATTGAACCATAAGGTCAGAATGTTCTTTCGTAGAATAAATATATTTTTTGCTTTCACAAATAGTTAAAAATGCCGATTTTCATTTGTGAATACTTTATTTCAAATTCATCCATACGAATTTCTAAGAACTACACAAAACATTGCTTCACAATCACAAATATGCAAGTCACTGTCTTTTAGCAACTGCATCAAAATATCACGCTAGTGAATGAGGACAGAATGATCTTGTTGTGCATTTTGACTTTGACCGGCTTGTTGAAATTGTTTAGCACAATTACTTTGATGATTTGGCTGCTATTGCCGGTTATCGTTCATTTATTGAACATCTTGGTGTTGTTGACTGGGATTGGATGACATTATTTGTCAATGAAAGACGCACTTTGTGAAAAAAATGTAAAACCAATGTTCTGCGCAGATCATATCGCATCATACATTGTGTGTATGGATGGAATGGTATCCAAGTATAAAAGAAGAATTGACATCATATTTTTTTATGTTAGAAAAGAAAAGCAAAGAAAAAGAATCTTCTTTGTACTTCTTTACACACCTATGTGGAATGTGGATTTGAAAGAATGAAGAAGAATTGCGTCGTGAGAAATACAACTTGCATTTCCTAACATTTTTCTTTTACGTTCTTCATCCAAAATAAATAAAATGAACATCAAGGTGTATATTAAAATTTTGGTGCAGATCGATTCTCTAGTAGTACATATTGTACTTAATTGATTCGATTTGGAATTTTATTTTGTTAACATTATATTTGAGAAATACTATCTGAATCAATTTCCGTATGATTAAAAGTATTTTACTTGAATGATATGTCGCTATGTTATATGTTTCAACCAAGGAAAAGTATGGCACTTCACTACAAATATTGCTTACACAGTCGATTGATCTCCATACGCAGAATCGTATTCATACGTAGAAAAGATGGAACAGTGTAGATTTTTCCAGTACTAAGAAGTTTCAGTCATTCATATATTGTGATTTATATTACGAATTCGAATTTCCCTATCGGCAAGTTTGATCCAATCTGTTAAAATATCCTAATCACAAGATTAATTAGTACATTTATGCTTAGATAAAAGGCAACACTCAATGATTATTTGCAGTAGTTTGATAAAGAGACAACATCTACTAAAACTACAAAAGACTTTTCAAGCGTTGTCTGTTTCTATTTTAATTGGTAGCATTTGTTTGAGCAACTAACGTTTTGTTGTATCGTTTGATACCAAAAGAATCTAATGCTTGTTTCCGGAAGCCTCGACTCGAAATCAAACATACGTAAAAACTTGTACTGTAGAATAAATAAGAAAAAAGACGTATCGTCTCAATAATAATATTTTCCCACGCTGCATATAATGGTGATTTCGGCCAGTAGCGAGTGATGCTTGAATAGAGATTTTGAGCTCCGAACGGAAGGAAAGAAGGTATAGCAACAAATGATTGTAGGGTTATCATAACTGATAGTTGAGAATCAATTTGTTGGATTTGTAACGAATTTTTTGTACTCGTGGTTGGTGGAACACCAGCAACTGCTACTCGTCTACGAGCAACAATTCGAACATTTCGAAGAAGTAAACAGCCAAGTGTTATGAACAGAATCGGTGGTACAACTCCCGACATAATTACTTCGAAGTAGGCATCAAAAGGCACATAAATACCTACTGATAATGGTCCACAACTTCCAGTACTATTGCTATAAAAGATCAATCGATGGAATGTGCATAGAAACCAAAAGATTATAACTGCTGGGATCAGTTTATATGTGAGAGAAAATCGATTACTCCACACTCGATAGGCTAATCAGAGAAACAGAACGTAATCTTTTAGCCTTTTACAAAAATCTGCTTACAGTTAGAATGATGAGTTGATAGGAATCGATCGATTGTTGCCAATGCAAATAATGTGAATGCAACTTGATGGGTGTATTCCGAAAGAAACTGGCGTATTTTACAAATAGAATTATAACGATCAATAATAGGCAGCAGGAAACCTTTTTGAATAACACGTGTGACTAACACAAAATTGAAATATAACAGTGTGAAAAATGGTTCGACTATTAAATAGTTTGAACATGCTCGAGCACGAAATAATCGAGAACTAAATACCAGAAAGTTCCCAATAGTACTAATATTACCTGTTATAAAAATAAAGATACCAAGGTAAATATTTAATTGTGCAGGTGCTTGTAACAGTGCTGGACTAATACTAGTACTTGAGTTGGTATCACTCAAATTGACTGACACGAAATTCATTCTGAAAAGATTCGTCCGCTGAATACCACTGTATCTAGAATATAGAAAAGAGAATAACTCGTACTGTAGAGACTACAGTTGGTGCATGATGATATCGCAATTTAATCCTGCGTAAGTATGAGATTTTAACATTGAAAATCGTCACTTTGATTGCAGTATGCTTGGATGATCAGACAAAAACGCCACACGAGAGAATGAGATATCTATTAGGTCATGAAAAAGTACAAAAACTAGTTTTGACACGTTTCTTTCTAAAATAAAATCATTTCGAGGAAAATTTTGTTTTGACATGTGCTCATAGAATTACAGGTGGGATCTTAAAAACTGAATGCTTTAACAAAGGAACATTCTGACTATCGAGAAAGAAAGTTCATTAATTGAGCGTGCCTGTGATACAGACGCTCTCTCATTGTAAAAGAAATCCCGCACTCGATTTTTAAAAGTTTGCAATGGTAACACTCGATAAAATTTTCTTAAGACGACGGAATTGCAGTTTTCTCTATTAATTGATGAACTACATACTGAAAATTTTCCTCAGTACAACGATTTATATTATCTATGTAGTGCACCATTGCTTCATTATATATATATATGAATAAAGGGTGACAGTGGGAGAAAAATGATAGTAGACATTTTCTGATCCTATACATAAGAAATGAACATCGTTGCGATGAATTCCTAATGGAATTAGTCATGCTTGGTTGTATTGATCTAGTGGACTGTTAAAGACAAATATTAGAAAAAATCTTCGCAATTTTCCCTTTTTCTTAGAATAGATGATTATCATGGCGGTTAAAGCGCCCTAAATAATTGTAGTCACAAGTAGGATCTGAAAGATTGCAATAATACTGTTATTCTCAGCAGAGGACAAAGTGAATTTAGTAAATGATTGTTATCAAAATAAACATTTTAATCCTTCATAATTAAAATTGCTCGAGCCCGATAGTGAAACATTGATATTTAGATGCTTTTCAAAAGTTTTTCTCGTCGTGATTATCTTTTGATCTTATTTTTCTAATGAGAAACTAAAATGCGAATGAAATGAAGTGGGTTACTTGAGGGAAAAATATTTTCTAGCAACTCTTCGTCGCTTCTGTTTTGTCTGAATGATTTCACTTGTAATTTACACACGACTAACTTGCTGTATTAAGATTAGTGTTTGAATTTTGCTCAATCACTTTATTTGCAGTCATTCAATTAATTTGTAAATTTTCAGTTATGCTAGTCGTTCATACTGATAGACGAGAAAATTTTACATAATTATCAGCATAGTACTCTTCTTCAACCATCTGCTCTTTTCATTCTGAGGGTGTGTTCTATGCACTTTTTTTAAAACCTTTTTGGAATATAAACTTGAAAGGATGAAAAAGAACTTTTCTCTTATTTTGTTCTTTTTATATCGAGTAAATGAATGATCCATGTTGAAACGATAACGTTTTACATACATTTTATTCAAGAAAATCTCTAAATGGAAGACATTTGCGATCAGAAATGATCAAGGGAGTTATTTTCAGTTAATGAATCTGCTTAATCTTTTAATTCTTTTTTTTCGATAACGCTTTCTGGTGCTTGGTAGCTGCCGTTGTAACTGATTGATTGTAGTTTTAAGCATTTTGCCAATTTCTTTTCCTTTCAATGATGGGCGGTTGTCGCTGGGTTTACACATACTATATAGTTGCTGCTTTGTGGGTACTTGAGAACCATCTTGATCTAGGATAAAGATATGTACAAAACTTGCTTTTTCTCTAATCAAATTTACCACTCTTGATTTTGAATAACGATAGAGCCCATTCCCAACAACCCTCAAGTTCTTCATCTGATGAAGTAAAATCAACTGGCACATGATTTATAAGGAGACGTAAAGATTTAAGACAAGTCTCTAGAGCTTGTGAATTCAATCGGCGGGATCGAGCATAGCTTTTTGCCAGACACATATAACATCGAGCTATATTATCAGCTACGGTTATTTCCATACGATGATCCATATCGGACAATAGAAGATTAAAGGCATTGATAAATATTTGTACATTATGCCTGGGTCGGAGTAGTCCGATTTCACACCAGCAGCTAAGCTATTAGGTCACGTGCACCGACTTCTTGATAGGGTTTGAAATTATTAACAGCTTCTTTATAGTATTTGATCGCCTTCCGACAATCCTTGTGTCCGTACAAGCTTGCTAGATCTTTACATCTGTGCGCCAGATCATAACGACTTGATCGGTCGTATTGAACAATCTTTTTGCGAATTTCTACTTCACTCTCAAGAAATTCAATGAGTTGTTGTTGTTGACCATCGTTTTCCAATAAATATTCTGATAAACCACGATATGCATCAGCAATGAGAAGACCAAACCTCTTCAAATCGGCTTCAGTGCTAGTGTATTGCAAGTACTGATGCACATTGCGGTTGTTTTGCTGTTCATATACCTCATTTTTAAAAAGAGGTTTATTCATCGCTATACTAATGAAGATTCTTTCGAATAACTCTGTGTCCATGCTAATTTCTGGAAGTATTTCTTGAAAATTGTCCCATGCAAGAGATGGATTTCCAACGATTTTATGTATTTGTGCGATCTTAACCTCAAATAGAAAATAAATTATTGAGTATAACAGCTCTCCTCTATAAATGGCTTACTTTTCTCGTTATATAATGAATATCATTTTGATTCGTAGCATATTTTTCTGCTCTCAGAAAATTTTCAAGAGCAAGATCATATTTACCAAGACATTTGAATAATGTCGCTATGCAATCGTATAACATCGACAAAGTAAGATATGAAATCGAAGAATTGATACGTGGAAGTACTGGTTGAGCAAATAGAGCGATACCTTTCAATTCAAGTCTGGATACATTCGTATGAGCAACTCGATTAGAAGTCGAACCTAATGTTACAACATCCTCATCACCAATTACAAGTTCACGAATGAGAGATATAATATGATCTACTAGTAATGCACAATCATCGTTTGTATTATCATTGTCGGCGATTATTGTTCTTAAACAAACATCTAGTTTAACGAGATAACTCAAATATTCATATCTCAGATCGTAAGCTTCTATGAATTGTAATAATGTTACATTCCATACGGCCGTATTTTCATCATAAATAATTGGCATTGGAAAAAATGTGTATGTCGGAGCAAAAAGTACTTCGTCTTCTGCACCCTCAAAATGACTCAAATGATCGATGGATGCAGCACTTTTTCCAAATAAATTCCGTGTACAACTAGCAATTTTAAATATAACTGGTTGCTCCGCAGAATCACGATTGGAATCATGTGAACCAACTCCAGCATAGATCTCAGCCAACATTAAGTTTTTCGTTGTCGATAGAAAAGTATTGAGATAGAGCATCCTCTGCTCTTTCAAGAACTCTATTTCAGCTTTAGATATTCTCTGACCACGATACACCGGCTCTTTTCGCCAATCTGCGTCTTTACTGTTATCGGCTTCTTTCTTCAGTTGTTGACTAAGGTCGTAAATGAAAAAATGTAAAAGGAATATTTTATGCTGATCTAGTTGTCGCAATACGCGATTGAATAGTTGATATAGAATGCCTTCTCGCGTATACCAGGCAACAGCCATGTGAGATTCATAAGTATCATTGAATTCATTTATGAATTTTAGAGCAGGTTCGTTGTCGACATACAATTTTCGGCATTCATTAACAAAGTTTTCCTTTCCGTTAGCAACAGGCGGGATCTCTTGAAGAGCTTCCATGAGATATGGGAACCAATGTATATCCGTTCGTGAATGTAACCCAGTTGTTCGTTCTTCATTACTCGAAAGGGCGGAAAAGGGCAGCGTAGAATCGATTCCCATGTTCTGTCGAAGAAAGACTCGAATGTCTTGAGAGAGCTGAGCCAGTAAGTCGTTTGGATGCTTGAACATTTTTGGTATTATCTAGGATCAAAACAGTAATTCCGGATTGTAGTGGAAGATCATAGAATAATACTTACTTGTTGATAGATATGCGTAGTGTCCGAAATGTGTCCGTCGTTTGAGTCCTCTTCGTAGGTATAAATCGAACGAACTTGAGAAAGACTCTGGATTTGATTTTTTAATGGTAGATAACATGAAGATGCAACGATAACGAAGATTTGCTGATTGTTTATACTTCGAATGTTTTCTATACAGATTTCAATTTGTGTGAAAAATTTCAAATAATCAATAATTCTCCGCAATCGTGAACGTTCTATTTTATATTCATTTAATGGATCATTTTGCTTGTCATCAAGCCAAAGAACACTGTATTCAGTAATTCGATCCATATCGCTTTATCTACATACTATTTATTAAAATAATGCGCTTAGTGAAACGTAGTATTGTGCAACATACGTCGACATCTAACAGTTAGTGCACCAATAAGAAATCGCGCACGTAGAATGATCGTAATGCATAAAAACAACACACCTTTACAGAACAAGAAATTCATCACTCCTTGGAGCAACTTGAAGAGAAACAGCCGTTGATTCAGATTCTCTTAGAAAGTCTTTATTTAAATATCAATGTTCTTTAGTATGAAAACAATTTCATGATGTTTCGATGAGATTTTTCAGTCGAGAAACCAACTAAACATAAAGAGCGCTCTATTTCTTTGAGTAATTGACAACACCAACAATAATTCCAATGAGTGTTGGTAGAATGCAAAGCACAAAACAACACACACCACAAATGATATATTTAGATTTTGAACTGTGATTTTTCACTGTTACTGGTTGTGTGTATGTAGGTCGTGTGCTGGTAGATGGTTGCGTGTAAGTAACAGGCGATACTGTTGAGCTCCTAAATCTATCCGTAAGTCGTTGCATTGGGTTGTAGTAGAATGTTTGCAACCATATGTTCTTGTAACACATGATTTTTGTTACTCGGCGTATTCGCCCAGCAATCATAATCGACTCAGCAGCCACAAGTCGATTTTGTACCAGACTGATATCGTAGAATTCATTGTTGAATTGTACACACATGGCATCGATTTGAAAGAAAACTCTGTCTTTCAGTAGAATAGGATTAATCTTGCGACACAGAGCAACCAGTGCTCGTTGCTCATCTACTGATAACTGTTGATAATTTTTAAACGAGATGAGACGTTGTAAATCGGGATCATTTTTACAGTCAATGACGGTACAGACACAATTAAGATAATACATGAGATAGGCCACATTATCGTTTGGAATAGTCACCGGAACAGTTGTACGATTTAGTCCAAATTCATCTGATCCGATAACAGCAATCGTTGGGTCCATAAACGAGTGTGATCTAAAAGAGAAGGATAAAGTATACAGAAACAGAAGTTGGCAATTCTCTCCTGCAAAACTGTTATGCACTATGATATATATGAGTTCATTCGTCACTGAAGCACTTATTCAACTAGTGTTGACATTTTAAAGCATAGAGGAATGGAATAACTGTTTTTAGAGTGTTTGTTTCAGTCGTTTTAAAAGTCAAATGAGTCATGTTTATTGGAAAGAAAAAGTTTGTAAAAAGCACTTCAGAGAAGATTCGTTTTTCTTGGAAACAATCGTCACCAAACTTTTTTGCCACAATAATTCGATGAGTAATCTTATTGACGTAAAAAAAACATTCTTCAATGCCATCCTCGAGTAGTATACTCAGAACAATAAAATCACACACATTGGTTTTTACCAACACAATGTCAATTAAGAACTACAGATTTGATTTCATTGCATCTCAGCAACCTTATAAAATCGATACACGTGTCATAGTAGTAAACGACTTTGTAAATTGAGAACTAATTAAGTAAGGTTCTCATCAATTGAGGATGATTTCTGTTTTACTTGCATACACAATGAAATATGAATGGATTCAGTGCGAAAAGTCTAACTATACGAGCAGAGAAATCACTTCCGATTAAAAATTGGTCATTTGTGGTGGCAAGCATTGCACTTAAATATTATGTCTCAATGTTTTCAAATACAAAAATTTGTCAACTTTATGAAAATACCGCAGAGCTATAGTATGGTCGTACCAATATCCTATCGATCTCAACATCGTTGGTAAAATACGAATTTTCCGGATATTACTGATAAATAAGTAAATGTTAAAGATAAAAACCAAACACTGCAAAATGTAATGAGAAGATGTAAACATTGGAACAGTAATTTGACAGTGAAACGCGGATTGTCTGAATAACGTGTTGTGTCAGTTGATTTACAACTACGGTGCAACAAACAACTATTTCAAACTCAAAAAATAGCGAATCTCTTACTAAGACATAGTTGCCGTGAAATCAAGTAATATAATCACAAAATCTACAAATATTCAGTATAATCATGTAGTCACCGACTGGTTGTTTATGTACAGAAGTATGAGAGAAAAATGTTTCACATGTAAAATTATAGCTGAAAGTGATAATACCTGTAACATATCGAGTAGTGTAGAAATCGTTAACTCGATTCGAGTATTCAAACTTCCTTCGAATTCTAAATCTTCTACCTTAGAACTCGAAGCTTCGAGTTTTCCGCTTAGGAACTAGCAAGTGATTGATCGTAAATCCTGGAGTGACTCATTATTAACTATTATGTAGCTGTTGATTAAATATTAACCAACCGGTTACTTATTAACAATCAACGGGCTATCAAGTAGTCGGTAATTCAATATTGAATGCTACTTAGTCATTTATTCACAATAAGACTATGAATTACCAGCGCACTACCGATAACGAATCCCGTTCATACTGACCTTGACTATGCCGCTGCCGGCTGCGCCCTACCCAACATCCACACCCCCGTGGGATTCAGTTACATAATAGTTGATAATCAGTTAGTCTTTTAAAAACTATCGTTTAGTTAGTGGATATTTAATAGCCAATTAGTTAAGAGTTTAAAACTCGAAGTTTCGAATTCTAAATTTAGAAGTTGAAAAGTTTAATACTCGAATAGTCTCTTCGATTTTTACATGTATGGCTTGTTGACCTGCTCGTAGACCGAATGGATGCTTATGTTCGATGATGCTGAGCAAATTGAAACACATTTCATTTTCTGAAATCGTCCGAATTATTCTGTGTAAACGATGTTGTGTCGACTGTAGCTCCTTTTCTGTCATTTACTTGAAAAAAATCGCGATCGATTCCGCTCATCCTCCTATCAATCATGTCACATCTCGATGTACTAATCAAGAAGAATGGGACTGAAACGGAAATTCTTTCGCTCTACACGTAGCTATTCGGTTTTACGTGTCTATGACATGTTGACAAAAAATTATACTACGCAGTTTAATGGACTAGTAGCCAAACTCAAAGATGAATAAGCTTTAAAAGATATACGTGAAGATAGCGTCTATCTTATTTAGAGAAATTTTGTCATCAAAGCTTTCAGAATATTTTATTTCAAGTGGAGTACATGAGTAAAAAATGTTTTTCCAGTATCAAATCACATTAATTTCGTCATTCTCTTCAGCCGCTACACGACCCTCGAACCGTATGTGAAAAGTATTTAGATGGACAGGATTTTCATGATCAATCAACCGTGTCTTTGTTAATCTGATCGTGGTCGTGGATGAGAATTTGTTTCCCATCGAATCATTTCCGTTGAGTTTTAGACGATATGGATATTTGTGTTCATCAAGGCTGATCAAAGCCAAACTTATTCCACCGTTCAAAGTGTCCATACTATTTACTGTGATGTGATTGATGTCACATCCATTACATCTTCCTTTTTATCATTTGCATTGACAACTGAATACCCAGGTCGATCAATCCTGTCGGATCCAATATAGGATTTTATCGGATTCTACAGGAATCCGATCGGGTCCAGCATCGGATTTGTTGACCTGGGGAATAGAGCCTTGAAACTAGTGGCGGCGCCAAGGGAGGAGGCAGGGAGGGCTCAGCCTCCCTGAGTGAAAATCCAGGCGCCACCGCTACTTGAAACAACGCAAAAACGCATTTGTATCCAAAGGAAGTAATAAAAATAAGTATTTGACATTGGGGAACTGACGAGCAAATATCGATATTTCGTTTTCATGAGTGAAACGGCTATGAATGATGAGATGTTGAATAAAAGGTTGTACTGCATAATTGGATCATGGGTTGCCTAATTCGACTTATATTACAAATGGACATCTGATAGGCTAATCTCAGTTCGAATATAAATAGATGCATATCTATATAAACCTACAAGTTTAGGAATAGATAGGGATAGATTTAGTTATACCTGTGTGTACCGATGGACATAGGATGACATATAGCTCGGATGAGAGAATTCCTGAGACTATGTATAACAAAATATATTCTTAAACACACATGAGGGTGGACTTAGGCAGAGCTGAGCCTATCCCTATGTATTCCTAAGTATGTGTAGGAGCGTATTAGGAATTCGTCACTTATATGATAAATCGAATTAGGCAGCTACTCGGAATAGTGGAGACTAAACTTGCGTCCAACATCTTATTCTCATTTATATCCACAATCAAAACTTCAATATTAATCTTAAAACAAAAACACTGGATATTTTCCTATAACGGAATCAAGTGTGATTTTCAGCGTATTTTCATCGCTTGTGAAGTTCAGGAATCTGTTTTTTCATAAATTCATATTCGACTGATTTTAATCGTAACAGATATCAAATGAAAATGAATACGTTTTGAATTGTAAAAAGATCATAGTTCTTTGTTAGAATGGCATAATCTATTGTATTAGACAGTACAAATATTTTCTTTGGGGTTCTCAACGTCGAGAATAACCTCATCTTCATCGCAATTTCGTAGATGGTCTTGAGCTTTTCTATTGATACAAACTAACAGTCGTCGCCTATTCCATTTGCAATTAAATAGATAACCAATACTCGTAATGTAGTGGAAAACCAAAATAGCCACAGCAAATATTTTTAATAGGATTGCATTGTCGGAATCTGCTAAACAGCTCCTTAGCTCTCGAAAGTCATAAGATGCACCGGCAAATATGCAAATCTGAGCAATAAAAAACAAAATGATGCAAAACTGGATGAGAACGTGCGAGTACAGTAACAATAATTTGATCGCCAATCGATTATTTTCTGAGTACTTAGCCACTTTCTCTGGTTTCCAGCTGCAAAAATGAACGCGTCAGACTTATAATTTAACAAATGACAATGATTATACCTGAATAAAACTGCAAACAGTTGGATTGCAACGATAACAAGTCCCGATGCACCTTGTATAATCAGCAAGGGGCATAATGTCCTTCCACAATGGCAACTATCGAAGAACCCTATGCCAGAGATAAAAGTAAGTGCGAATGTAATAAACGCCGACAACAATATGAGATGATCGACGAGATATTTCTTTTCAAAGAGATCAGAATTTGGTCCAAAGAATTTTTTCGGTTCTCTGATGACGTTAATAAAAAGCCGAGGAAAATTGAACTCATCTGGATCTGTTGTTGCTTGTTCTTCACAAGTTTCGTTTTCTTTGAGGAAAACGTCATCATCGTCTAGAGCGTCTCTCTCAGATTCTATACCCATCGGAAATATATGTGATGAAATGGATTGTTTTTTATGTAATTATATATTCTTATTTTCATGATATTTCGCTTGATTAATCTGACGTGTAGCTCCGAACCTATGTATCCAATATATCATGACGGTGAGTCACTTTTATTGCGTACTCTTTCGGAAGAGACTTTACCTGTATAACGTTATTCGACAAATAGAAAAACAACTACCATGTGCCGCACACTCGCAGAGGATAATATATTTGGTATATTCAAAATAAATAACTGCTCATACGAGCACAGACTCATATCTGTTTTTATGTCATCATCATGGAGACAACTCTTATTTATCCCACCAGGGTACAAACTGTAGAAAATATCTTTATTTTACTTGCTTTTGTTACTACGATTCTTTCCCTCAAAATGAACACGAAAAATCATCCGTTACTTATGTTTGACATTCATAGAAAATTCTAAACAATTGAATAGAGAGGTGCATGTTGATGGATCATCTATAGTGCCAACGAACATTATGCTTTGTTACCTGTTGATTTCTCTGAATTAAATATATATTCGCTTTCACTATGAGCTTTATTCGTAGAACTTTGGTTCCAATAGCTCAACACGTCAACATCGTGTCTTTATTGGTCTATTAGAAATCGATACGAAAAGACAAACAAAATCTAACAAACCATCGATTATAGTCTATATGCAATTAAATAAACAACGAACGCTTGTAATGTAACATACAATTCGTCAGATTTACTCATAACTATATAAATCACAGTGGTAAAAATCAAAACGATACAAAGTTGAATCAGAGCATACCAGTATAACAACATTCATTTAGTTATTATCAATCGACCTGATGAATCCTATGCTGAAGATGCAGTTAAGCATGAACACAATGACAATATGATATGCTCGAAGATCAGAATTCAATCTGAAGAAGTTCGCTGGTTCTCTAATGACATCGATGAGAAGCAAAGAAAAATTGAATTGATTTCCATTTGCGGTTTCCTCTTCATAATATTTCATATTTTTCGAAAGTATCTTTCTGTCTATGGACTCGTCGCATAACATGTTGATTTTCATGACGCTACACCCGAATGATCTCGAACATAATTCTGACTGGAAATGACAACCATGACTTGCTCTCAATCTGGGAAGAAAACAAATCCGTACATGTGAGAAACATTCTCATGTATTTAATCCAATCGACGGTTTTTGGTGAGAATAGATTTTTCTTTATTGAACTCATTGAATGTGATACAACGAAATATCATGTTTGCAGACAATCGTCATGTACAAGTGAAATTGATGAATCAACCATACAATGTACGTGAAGTTAAGAATGCGGTCATATTTGAATGCACATTCATAAATCGAATTCTCCTACGAAGACATCTGTGTCTTTTCAATGTGTTTTCAATTGATTTTCAAACGATGTGAAGTTTCATTTACAAAAGCCAATATTTATTTTTAATAGAGCATGCCTGAATATAAACTAAATTTAATTGAGAAAAACCATACTTGCCGTACTTTTGCTAACTAAATGTTCGTTTGTTTTGCTCAGTTATGATACGGTGAAAAAGACGTAATATTCCATGCACGCGACGAAATGGTATTCACGTTAGTAATTTTTTCCAGTTCTTTTTTCAAACCAACGTCGTATATTTCCATATGTATATATACGGCGAGTGCCGTTAAAAATAACGCAGTATACTTCGATTTCTTTCGTAGAAACACACGCACAATGGATATACAACCGTTAGAGACGTCTCCGACGAATACTTCGATGGCGACTTCAGCAGTCTCTGCTACTACCACAGATTCTGCATTGATGGCGCAATCGACAGTTTCGGGAGATACAACAACTAATACAGCTTCCGGTAGAGCCACAACACCTCCCAATAGCAATGCAGATAGACCCGTAACGCCACGCAGATCAAGTTCTGACAGGCCGATCACTCCGCCTAGGACAAGTTCCGACAGACCGATCACACCGCCTAGGGCAAGTAAAGATAGACCTGTAACACCACCGAGTGCAACTACAGATAGACTTGCAACGACGCGCAGTGCTACTCCCAAAGAAAAATCGACAAAACGAAATCCAATGGCTGGTTATCAAGATATGCCGTTGGTTTCGTTAGAAGAAGCAACAGAAGCGCTTGTTCCATTAGTTTCCAATCTGAAAACGTTTGTCGAAACTGCAAAAAAAGATTGCAAAAAAGATTTATATGGTTTAACGATTGATGAATCAGCGGCTATTTATCTGTATACCATGGCGACACCTTTTGTCTATTTTATCAATGAAGCTTTTCAAAGAGAAACACGTGCGGCTTTAAAACCATGGCTGTCGTATTTGAAACTTTTCGTCACTGCTGTTGAGAAATTGCCGTCATCAAAAAAAACCCTTTGGCGAGGTCTGTCAAGTACTGATGTTGTCTCCTATCCAACAGAAGATATTTGCACATGGTGGCACATAACCTCGTGTTCGACAAATGTTAAAATGACTCAATATTGTGTAGTACAAGACGTCGCAACCGTATTGGCTATTAACGCGACCAATGCGAAGGACATTTCGAAATTGTCAGCATTTCCAGATGAAGAAGAAGTCGTTCTCTTACCTGGCACAAAACTCCACATTGTCGGTGACCCATTCTTCTTTCAAAATGCTTTTTCTATCATACATCTCGAAGAACGTGATACAATATCTACTCAATAATTAACCTCACGAACGTAGATTATCGCACTCTCTTTCTTTGTAATTCTTGCAGCACAATAAATAAAATCTCCTCTATATTACAAAAAATGTTTTTCCATGTCATACTCCTCGAATGACAATTTTCAATATGACCTTCAGACTCAGCAGGATAAAAGGACATTATTCGATGTTCTATTGCGTGCATATATACCTCGAAGAATATCAGGTGACGAGATATAAGTGTTATATCGATAACTTTATCTCTCAGAAAGAAAAGAAAAACGACACGAGTTAAAACATACGCTGACTGTTTTCGTTGATTTGGGATCAAATGAAAGAAACAAACACGTCCGCTGATTTCTTGTTGTTTTATGTGAATGGAAAAGAAATTATTGAGCGTCACGCCGAACCTGAATGGACACTTCTTTGGTATTTAAGAAATAGTAAATATCTTTCTACATACTCATTTCGTATTCTTATGTCAACTTTTTTATTTTAGAACTGAAATTAACCGGTTCGAAATTGGGCTGTGGTGAAGGTGGGTGTGGAGCATGTACAGTTTCAATTTCGCACTGTATCGATAAAAATACCGGTGAAATCGAACATCGCACTATCAATGGTTGTTTAGCGCCACTATGCTCCGTCGATGGATGTCATGTAATTACCGTTGAAGGGTTAGGTTCAACGAATAAATCAAACCTTCATTCGACACAAACTCGCTTAGCCGAGTTTTACGCATCACAATGTGGCTTCTGTACGCCTGGTATGGTCATGTCGTTGTACGGAACCGTAACATCAAAGGATGCATCAAATTTAACGATGGCAGATATCGAAGAATCATTCGATGGAAATCTTTGTCGATGTACAGGCTACCGCCCGATTCTTGATGCAGCCAAGTCCTTCGCATGCGATATTGATAAGTTCAACGCTGAAAAATCGTCATCACCGAACACATCAACGACATTTGATAAATGTGCGTCGTTTCTTGGTCAATCTATTGATCAAATTCCATTCCCGGAGAAGCTTCGTGATCACCAACCTCAATCAATTCAAATCAAAGGTATGAAAATATTCATTGATTCTGTAATTGAACTTTCATACAATAGGCTCGTCAATGGATTGGTATCGTCCAATTACATTAACTGAATTGATTCATCTTCGACAAAAGTATCCCGGCGATGAATCAAAACTTATCTTTGGAAACACGCGTGTTCAATTCGAAAGAAAAGTTGAACAACGTACGTTTCCTCGACTTATCAGTATTACGCATGTCAAGGAGCTACAAGAAATGAAAAGAACTGATGATTCGATCTACTTGGGAGCTGGTGTGACATTCACACGATTGAAAAGTCAATTGATGGACTGGAAAGACAACCCCATCTGTCATGCTTTATTGGATCAATTTAAACACTTTGCATCGACGCAAATACGAAATGTTGCTTCACTCGGTGGACACATCATTGCTGCTTTACCAAAGTAAATCGATTTCTGTTAATTCGAACAAATCTTAATTTCACATCTCTTCAGTTCGGATTTGAATCCAGTCCTTGTCGCCGCTGGTGCATTGCTCGAATTGCAACAAGCAAACAGCAGCGAAGCACGAATAGTTCCACTATCTGAATTCTTTCTTGGCAGAAATCGTGTTCGTATTGAAGACAATGAAATTCTTGTAGCCGTTCGTCTTCCACTCAGGAAGTCTTCTAACGCCTGTTTCATTCAATCATACAAACAAGCTTGTCGTCGTGACGATTCAAAAGGTGTCGTGAGCGCTGGACTCCAAGTTGAACTTAAACAAGAGAATGATCAATGGAAAATCACTCAAATCTGTTTGGGATTCGGTGGTGTTGCACCGAAAACAATTGAAGCAAAAGGCACGCAACAACAATTGGTTGGATTGTCATGGTCAAGAGAGACCATCAATCTAGCATACGATTTACTCTTGAAAGAAATTATTTTGAACGAATCGACTCCCGGTGGACAAATTCAATACAAGTAACTTTTCAAAATAAAATTGTTCATTGTAATCGTTTCTTGGAATTGTAGACGAACATTGATGCAATCGTTCCTATTCAAATTCTATTCGTACGTTTCACAGCAATTGCATAAATCTACCGTAAATTTAAACGAATTTTCTTTCAACCGAGCTGTTTCTTACGCTCAACAAACGGTTCCTGAACGGCCTGAATCACAAAAGATCGTTGGTAGTTCTATGCCGCATCAATCAGCGTATTTACATACAACTGGCGAAGCGACCTACATTGCTGATATACCATTACTAGCTGATACACTTCATGCTGCACTGATTCTGAGTACAAAGGCCAATGCTCGAATAAATAATATCAGTAAGATTGAAGTAGACTCGAAATGTTTTACATTTCTGGTTATTTGATTTACCATAGATACTGAACGAGCATCGAAAGTTCCGGGATTTGTTTCATTTGTAAGTCATGCTGATGTTCCTGGTTTGAACAAACCGAACGGTGTGTTACCCGATGAAGAAGTTTTCGCCTCATCGATTGCATTGTGTGTTGGTGCAGTTATCGGTTTGGTTGTTTGTGAAACAGAAGAATCAGCCGAACTTGCTGCGAGTCTAATTGATATCGATTATGAATGTTTATCACCCACGATCTTGTCCATTGATGATGCAATCGAACACGGATCCTATTTCGACGATGAGTTTCGTCTTCAACAAGGTGATATTGAAAAGAGTTTGAAGGAAAGCGAACACTGCCTAGAAGACGAATTATATATTGGCGGACAAGAGCATTTCTACATGGAAACCAACGCTTGTATTGCCATTCCATCAAAAGACGACCAGGAAATGACACTGCACGTAGGTGTACAAAGTCCAACTGCTGCTCAAGAATTAGTTGCATTAGTTCTTGGTCGTGATACAAGTCGTATAACGTGTCATACCAAACGAGTTGGCGGTGCATTCGGTGGAAAGGAATCTCGAGCGTATGTCCCATCGTGTTTTCTTCAAAATAAGACATTTTTGGTATATTTAGAATTGTATTTTGTTTGGCAACGGCAGTTGCAGCTGTGAAAGTTGCTCGTCCAGTCCGTCTTCATCTTGACCGTTATACCGATATAGCAGTAACAGGACACCGGCATCCGTTTAAAATCAAATATCAAGTCGGTTTTAATCATGACGGACACATTCAAGGTCTAGATATTCAAATGTGGAATGATGCTGGTTGTACACTCGATGCTTCATCATATGTTATTCAATTGGCAATGCTTCATATGGGCAATACATATCAAATTCCGAATATGCGCATACGTGGTCGTACTTGTAAGACTCATTTGCCATCGAATACGGCGTTTCGTGGTTTTGGCGGTCCACAAGCTATGCTAGCTTGTGAGAATATTATTGAGCATATTTCGTTTTATCTGCAATGTGATCCAGTGACCATTCGTCGTCAAAATCTGTTTCGTGAAGGTGATCGAACACATTATGGGCAATGCTTAAATTTATGGAATGTTCCACGTATTATCGATGAACTACTTGAAACTAGTGGTTACGACGAAAGACGGCGTCTTGTAGATGAATTCAATCGTGTGAGCATCTATCGAAAACGCGGAATCAGTTTAGTTCCCGTGAAATTCGGCATAGGTTTTACCATTAATTACCTCAATCAAGGCGGTGCTCTAGTTCATATTTACAAAGACGGTTCAGTCGTCATTAGTCAAGGGGGTATCGAAATCGGTCAAGGATTATATACGAAAATGATCGCAATTGCTGCTGAAGTCTTACGTTGTGACGTTAAGCGGGTGAGAATCAGTGAAACATCAACGGATAAGGTACATAATATCAGCACGACAGGTGGATCGGTCACAGCGGATATTAATGGAATGGCAGTGAAAGATGCTTGTGAACAATTGCGACAACGACTGGATGCGTTAATAACAAAAGAGGATAACGATATTTCTTGGGAAGATTTGATTCAAAAGGCATATTATGCCCGAGTTGATCTATGTGGACGAGGCTTTTACGTCATGCCGAACATGTTCGATATGGATCTTAGCAAAAACAAAGCAACTTATAATTATTTTACACAAGGTGCTGCTGTAACAGAAGTAGAATTGGATGTTTTAACTGGTGATTGGCATATTCTACGTGTTGATATTCTTATGGTATGTTCAGTTCTTCTTTTATANGTTGGTAGAATGCAAAGCAGAAAACAACACACACCACAAATGATATATTTCGATTTTGAACTGTGATTTTTCACTGTTACTGGTTGTGTGTATGTAGGTCGTGTGCTGGTAGATGGTTGCGTGTAAGTAACAGGCGATACTGTTGAGCTCCTAAATCTATCCGTAAGTCGTTGCATTGGGTTGTAGTAGAATGTTTGCAACCATATATTCTTGTAACACATGATTTTTGTTACCCGACGTATTCGTCCAGCAATAATAATCGACTCAGCAGCTACAAGTCGATTTTGTACTAGACTGATATCGTAGAATTCATTGTTGAATTGTACACACATAGCATCGTTTTGAAAGAAAACTCTGTCTTTCAGTAGAATTGGATTAATCCTGCGACACAGAGCAACCAGCGCTCGTTGCTCATCTACTGACAACTGTCGATAATTTTGGAATGAAATGAAACGTTGTAAATCGGGATCATTTTTACAGTCAATGACGGTGCAAACACAATTAAGATAATACATGAGATAGGCCACATTATCGTTTGGAATAGTCACCGGAACAGTTGTACGATTTAGTCCAAGTTCATCTGATCCGATAACAGCAATCGTCGGGTCCATAAGCGAATGTGATCTAAAAGAGAACGATAAAGTACACAGAAGCAGAGGTCAGCAATTCTCTCCTGCAAAACTGTCATGCACTATGTTATATATGAGTTTATTCGGCATTGAAGCACTTATTCAACTAGTATTGACATTTTAAAGCATAAAGGAATGGATTATCTGTTTTTTTATAGTGTTTTTTTTTCAGTCATTTTGAAATTGAAGTGAGTCATGTTTGTTGGAAAGAAAAAGTTTGTAAAGCACTTCACAGAAGATTTGTTTTTCTTGGAAACAATCGTCATCAAACTTTTTTGCCACAATTATTCGATGAGTAATCTTATTGACGTAAAAAAAAACATTCTTCAATGCCATCCTTGAGTAGTATACTCGATAATGGAATCACAGACATTGGCTTTTACCAACACAATGTCAATTAAGAAGTGCAGATTTGATTTCATTGCTTCTCAGCAACCTTATAAAATCGATACGCGTGTCATAGTAGTAAATAAGTAAACTACTTTGTAAATTGAGAACTAATTAACTAAGTTTCTTATCGATTGAGAATGATTTCTGTTTTACTTGCATACACAATGTATAATATGAATAGATTCAGCGCAAAAAGTCTAATTATACGAGCAGTGATATCACTGTCGATTAAAAATTGGTCATTTGTGGTGACAAGCATTGCACTTAAACATGATATTTCAATGTTCTCAAATAAAAAAATTTGTCATCTTTATGAAAATACCGCAGAGCTATAGTATGATTGTACCAATATCCTATCAATCTCAACATCGTTGATAAAATACGAATTTTCCGGATATTACTGATAAATATGTAAATGTTAAAGATAAAAAACCAAACATTGCGAAATGTAATGAGAAGATGTAAACATTGGAACAGCAACTTGACGGTGAAACGCGGGTTGTCCGAATAACGTTTTGTGTCAGTTGATTTACAACTACGGTGCAGCAAACAATTACTTTAAACTCGAAAAATAGCGAATTCTCCTACTACAACATAGTTGCCGTGAAATCAAGTAATATAATCACAAAATCTACAAATATCCAGTATAACCATGTAGTCACCGACTGGTTGTTTATGTACACAAGTATGAGAGAAAAATGTATCACATGTAAGTAACATATCATGACTATGATTCACCTCTACGTACTCTTCCAGAAGAAGTTATACCAGTATAGAATTAGTTATGCAACTAAAGAACAAAACCGATTACGATGTGCAGCCTATGCCGAGATAATCGATGTATGATGAGATTCAACGAAAGACACCTCTCATGTTTAGCAAGGTGGAGAGTGTGATTTCAGCGAAAATTCTGAAATCAAGAGAATTAATATTTACAGTGTGCATGATTATGGAATCGAGTGTATATTTTCATTTTGAAAGCTTTCTTCCAACTTACAGCAGAAAGGAACTCAAGAGAAAGATTTTTCGTTGTAATTGCACTATTAGCTATAAAAACACTCGGCATAAATTCTTCAAAACAAACTGCGATGTCGAAATATGAAGAAACAGTTCTGTTTTGGCTATTACCAACAATTTTTGAAGAAGAAAATTTGTCCTGCAGTATTAATTCTTTTCGAAAAATCATCAACGATACTCAGGTTTTCTATGATCTTGATAAATGTATTGAAAGTCTCGTATCCGTTGGCAATGAAACTATATTTTTGGTTCTTGGTCCCGATCAATTAGACCTAGTGACCGTTTTATTCAGTTTCTCACTGTCCTGCATTACATTTATTTGTACGAATCGCATGATTCGACGTATATATTTCAAGTACGATGTACTTACATGAGTAAAAAATGTTTTTCCAGTATCATATCACATTAATTTCGTCATTTTCTGCAGCTGCTACACGCCCTCGAACCGTATGTGAAAATTATGTAGATGAACAGGTTTTTCATGATCAAATAACCCTGTATTTGTTAATCTGATCGTGGTCGTGGATAAGAATTTGTTTCCCATCGAATCATTTCCGGTGAGTTTTAGATTATATCGATATTTGTGTTCATCAAGGCTGATCAAAGCCAAACGTATTCCATCGTTCAAAGTGTCCATACTATTTACTGTGATTGATGTCACATCCATTACATCTTCCTTTTTACCATTTGCATTGACAACTGAATAGCGTTCGAGTTCAATATTTTATGGAAGATTTATTTGAGTTTTCTTCTTTTCGTCGTTTACAACGCTAATGGATATTGTATCATTATTTGACGAGGCCATTGATCGAGCAAAATGAAAAATTCGACACCAATATCTATCAAAATGACTTTTTGCATCTGATTTAAGAGCCATACAGTTCCTTACTTGAATATATAAAGGAAGCTGACGTAAATGAAATCAATACTGTGGTCAACCACAACGAGAGAAGTACACAGAGAAAATGAAAGTATACAACCACTGGCATGTGACTGTATATATAACATGACAATATAGTAATCAAGAAAAAAAAGACTACAACAAGAACGAAATTTCTTTCGCCCTCAATACACATGTCGCGTACGTATTAACAGACGAACGAAAGTATCGTTCGATTCCCGAATGAGCGCTTTTTCGTTTTTCATATAATAATGTATCATTAAATACACCGTTAACGCAAAGAGAATTTCAACATATATCTTTATACACGTGCTTTTATATGCTTCAGATTCAGTTTATAATTTGAGAATCTATATAATGAAGATACATATAGGATTATCGGAGATAATTCGATCGTATTGAAATACAGCGCGATAATGAAAAGTTCATCAAATAGATTCTTTTCGTGAATATCAATATTTCTTTTGACGGGTAAAATCACCATTGAAAAAAATACATAGGGTAGTCAAAAAGTTGTCACTTTGTTATATCTGTTGAGAGACATGATATTTTATCCATCTCTCTACACTATATAATCGAGATAGTCGTTGTGATATTTCATAGAAAATTTCACTTTTTTCGCTCCGTCTTAAGACGCTTTTTTTAACGAAATACAAGATTTTTTAAAGCGACTCGTCACTAGCGAAATTTTACTGATTTTCGAACCCACAAAAACGAGTGAAAGTATATATAAAGAGAACTGATTTTATGTGATATTATCACTGGCTATCAGACTTAGATTTACCATCACACTATTAACTTGAAATCATTAGAAAAGTTTACATAAAAACGGAAACTAGTCCATCTAACGGTATCCATGGCGAGCCTTATGTAATAACGCAGCACACATGACTCTATTCTTCGTATTCAAATCATTTTTCGTTTTTATTAATATTCTATGGTATCGTGTGACACTAACGATACTAGTGAAAAATCTTTGAATTCAGATAGACAAAAACTATCGAACAAAAAAGACATTATTATTGATTAGCCTCTCATATGTCATTTTTTAACATCATGTAACATTAAATTATTTACAGGTTGCTTTGTCAAAAATCGATTTTAAACTCGCTACGCGTGCTCGTTTGGGCCTGAGCTTTAAGAATCTGTATCTATTTAAATTTATTTAAATTAATGCGAATGCTTAAAAACTTCATTAATGAAGCTGGTCGCAGTGACGAGAGGCGCTTTACAAAATCTAGTATTTCGTTAAAAACAGAGTCTTAAGAAGGAGCGAAAAAAGTGAAATTTTCTATGAAATATCACAACGACTATCTCGATTATATAGTGTAGAGAGATGGATAAAATATCATGTTTCTCAATAGATATAACAAAGTGACAACTTTTTGACTACCCTATGTATAATTGCTATATTGAGTAGATAGATGGTTATTCGTCAAAGTGACAAAAACCTAAGGACTGATGACTTCAGTGGTCTGCTGTCCGTATTGACATATTAAGGCCTCAGATACACTGTGAAGAAAGATGTCGTTTGATTATTAATGGCAACTGCTGTTTTTCTTGTCTAAAGAAAATCATTCAAACAGAACAATGCTCGTCCGACAAAACAGATGATAGTGTATAATTAATTTGATGTCGGTTAACCAATCAGGTTACTTTATCAGCTAACATTTTCTCAATCTATGTAATTCTCTGCTATTATATATATGCATTTGAATGTATAGAAAATCAAACTATGAGTATATCTGCATTTGAGTCGTTACCTGCTGAGATTATTTTCGATATATTTAAATATTTATCTCCTCGTGAGATTATTCAGTCGTTTGCATCCGTGAACAAACGATTATTAAGATGGATTATGTATGAATATTTATGGCATATTCATATTGGCGATGAGACAATGTCATTATTGACGTTCATTAATTATTGTGAAAATATTTTGACAGTAATAGGCGGTCGACTTATATCATTACGTGTAACATTAACTAATATTATCGGCGGATGGGCGATTATTGCGTCATCTCTTCGATGTCATCCATCGTTATCTTTAAAACGTCTTCATCTAATTCACATCAAGCCGCATGAATTCGACAAATTATTAAGAAGTCATCTAATAAAGCAAATACATACCTTAATAGTTGATGTAACCGATTGTAGTCCGTTCAAAGCGCAATCAAATGAAGGATTTTATCTAACTAAAGTAAGAAAACAAAACATTTTAAATTTTGTATGTCGTTTGAATTAATACTATGCATTTTCCAAAGGTATGTTCACAATTACCTTGTTTGACAGTATGTCAACTGCCATTTGATATCTGCGATGAAAAACCAGATGAAGTAGATCAATATTCATTCATGTCGCAAATCTATTTACCAAAGATAACGAACACGACCCATCTTCGAAAACTAACTATCGGGATGAGTACGTCATATTTTCTGGAACGTTTATTCACTTGTATACCATTGATTGAAAATCTCTCTGTCGGTGTAAAAGACATATCGTCAAAGAAGAAATCTCTTCTCAGCAGAAAACCGTATGTAATATTCTTTGTGATATGAATAGTAAGAATATTATTAGATATTTTAGATCTCCTGTTGCTGCTCATTTTCTTCCATACTTATCTAAATTATCCATCAACTGTGAAGATAATCATAGTTTTCATCACTCTATGGTACTGTTTTCATGTGTGTTAAATCAATTGAGCCATTTCTCATTAAAACTAGAAGAATATGCAAAAATTGCTGATCCATTAATCATATCCTATGCAACTCTGCAGCAGTTATGTCTCAATCGACTGGGCGCATCAACAATATATGATCTAAATCTATTTTTTTGTATCACGAATGACGTTGAACAGAAGCAAATTTTCAAGACATTTATCAATCATTGTTTGGTTAATCAACAGCAACCGAAATTAATCGTTCAAGAAACAAATCATTGTGAAATTTATGACAAACAGCATAGTTTCATCGTTTATACACTACCTTATAATGGCAAGAAGTTTTCGTCACATTTGTTTTGTAGAAATACGCAGATGTATGTACAAACTAATTGATTTCTGTGAAAACGTGTCGGAATCTTTCGTTTTAATAGATTTTCTCAAACTGCAATCAATCCATTGCAATTGTTTCCACATGTTCAAGAATTACATCTCGATGGTTTTTTGTACAATAATTGCTTTTCAGATCTTCGCAATTGTCAGAATCTTGCAGTTTCGATGGTTCCATGGGCACGACTACGAAAAATCTCAATATGTGGATCTGATTGTCTTAAATCGGATATTTTAATGCGAATACTCCAAATGGCACACAATGTACGTTCATTGGAAATAGTTGATGATGTAGGTCGACTACCTCGTATGATACTCCATAACAGGAGTAATTTAGCATATCGTATAAATAAACAAGTGAATGACAATTTACGAGTATGATGTTAATTTTAACAAGATGATTTTTTTCAATTAGATACACTCATTAAATATTCTGGATTATACAACAACGTTGTTCAATGCTGAACAATTTTGCATAAGTTTGTACAATCAATTGCCTCAACTGAAATCTGTCGCGTTTCATATTTGGGATTCATATGGCAGTGATAGATGGAAGCCATTATGCGTCGCTGATGGAAAACATAAATCAACTATAATGATTGTTAAACTACTTCGTTTTATTGTTGATCATTTCTACGAACTGACATCACTGCATTTGTATTTTATTAGTAAACGTGAAAGGAATTCACCTTGTTTTCCTCATCTCATTCGACAACAATTACACGAACAGTCGCTTAGTCGACCGTTTCGTTTGCGATGTTCGGATGACGCTATTCATATCTGGCTTTAGTATCGATATTTCGAAATTTTTGTAATGATCAAAATAAACGCGTGGATTGAAGTGCAGATGTTGTGATATATTATTCATATGTCGATTGTAGAATAGGGCTGAATCAGATGAAGTTGCGCAAAATCTTGTATTTATTCATCCTGCAAAGAATACAGAAAGCTAATTGTTTAACAACTTAAGTACTATAAACAAATTGAACAAACACTGTCGGTCAAAATTCATCGCAGCGCCAAAGGAAAATTAACTTAAATCATATTTTTCCTTGCTCTTCTCATTGTATAGAGGACGAAGAAAAGCGTCTTTTTCTTTTGTTTTGTTCCAACACGTCAGTGAACCATCCGTTAAAAGAAATGTAACAGCCGACAAAAGACTGGAACATTAGGTTGGCATGCGCACGTGCTGCGTGAGGTTTGAATGAATTGCTCTTTCGTCTTTACAGAAAAACATCGAACAACATTTCCTATGGTTTTCATCAAAAAACGTTTAGTTCATGTTGGGAGAATAATTCTATTTGCCCACGATTATTTTTACAAATCATCATCTGACCAACTGGCTTTGACCACTTTCAACAGACTCATACCATCAAATTCGTCCCGTAGTCTACAAAATGGAACACATCTGTGGTCATTACGTCTTGCTGATGAGAATTATTTTCGCATAGCAAATTTGTTACCGTGTCAGACTGTTGAATATGCTCGAGGATCGCAAAGATATCAAATGAGTATATGCATCAATTTCTCTACAAATGATTTTACCATAACAAATACATTACAAGCACAGAAATGGTTATTCGATCATCGACATCCAAGAAATTGTTCGAGCAAACGATTTGCTATTATTCGCAAATTCGTATGGTCAGGTTTTGGATCAACAATTCATCAGATTGCATGGGCATTTGGTAAAACATTGGCCGATGATCGAATCGGTGTCTATGAAACTCCAGGTGATTGGGTGAGTGACTTGTTTTTCCTCTATTCTGATCTATTAGTTTATCTTATAGCTTTATGGAAACTGTAATTCTACCAGTCCAGATTGTTATTTCTTGCCAATAGCAAACTGTTCAGTTCCGACTGTTGACCAGACGTTACTAGCAAATGGATTTTCACCTCGATCGATTGTTAAACATGGAGAACGACGATGAAATTCTTTGTGATTCGAAACAGAGCGTTAGTTTTGTTTGTTCTGCAGGAGACTAGGAATAGTGGAGACTGAACTTGCGTCAACATCTAATTCTCATTTAATTATATCCACTATCAAAACTTCAATATTAATCTTAAAACAAAAATACTGGCTATTTTCCTATAATGGAATCAAGTGTGATTTTTCAGCGTATTTTCATCGCTTGTAAAGTTAAAAAAATCGGTTTTTCATAAATTCATATTCGACTGATTTTAATCAAAACAGATACCAAATAAAAATGAATACGTTTTGAATTGTAAAAGGATCATAGTTCTTTGTTAGAATGGCATAGTCTATTGTATTAGACAGTACAAATATTTTCTTTCAGGTTCTCAACGTCGAGAATAGCCTCATCTTCATCGCAATTTCGTAGATGGTCTTGAGCATTTCTATTGATACAAAGTAACAGTCGTCGCCTATTCCATTTGCAATTATATAGATAACCAATACTCGTAATGTAGTGGAAAACTAAAATAGCCACAGCAAATATTTTTAATAGGATTCCATTGTTGGAATATGTTAAACAGGTCCTTAGTTCTTGAAAATCATAAGATGTACCGGCAAATATGCAAATCTGAACGATAAAAAACAAAATGATGCAAAATTGGATGAGAACGTGCGAGCACAGTAGCAATAATTTGATCGCCAATCGATTATTTTCTGAATACTTAGCCACTTTCTCTGGCTTCCAGCTGCAAAAACGAACGCGTCAGACTTATAATTTAACAAATGACAATAATTATACCTGAATAAAACTGCAAACAGTTGGATTGCAACGATAACAAGTCCCGATGCACCTTGTATAATCAGCAAGGGACATAATGTCCTTCCACAATGGCAACTATCGAAGAATCCTATGCCAGAGATAAAAGTAAGTGTGAATGTAATAAACGCCGACAACAATATGAGATGATCGACGAGATATTTCTTTTCAAAGAGATCAGAATTTGGTCCAAAGAAGTTTTTCGGTTCTCTGATGACGTTAATAAAAAGCCGAGGAAAATTGAACTCATCTGGATCTGTTGTTGCTTGTTCTTCACAAGTTTCGTTTTCTTTGAGGAAAACGTCATCATCATCTACAGCGTCTCTCTCAGTTTCTATACCCATCGGAAAAATATATTTGATGAAATAAATTGGTTTTTATGTAATTATATATTCTTATTTTCATGATATTTCGCTTGATTAATCTGACGTCTAGCTCCGAACTTATGTATGCAATATATCATGACCGTGAGTCACTATTGCGTACTCTTTCGGAAGAGACTTTACCTGTATAACGTTATTCGATAAATAGAAAAACAACCACCATGTGTCGCACACTCGCAGAGGATGGTATATTCAAAATAAATTACTGCTCATACAGAAATTCTTACTTGTCCCATCAGGGTATAAACTGTAAAAAAATATCATGATTTTACTTGCTTTTGTTACTACGATTCTGTCCCTCAAAATGAACACGAAAAATCATCCGTTATTTATGTTTGACATTCATAGAAAATTCTAAACAATTGAATAGAGAGATGCATGTTGAAGGATCATCTATGGCGCCAACGAACATCATGCTTTGTTATCTGTCGATTTCTCTGAATTAAATATATACTTGCTTCCACTGAGCTTTATTCTTAGAATTTTGGTTCCAATAGCTCAAAACGTCGACGTCGTCTTTCTTGATCTATTACAAACAGGTACGAAAAGACAAACAAAAACTAACAAACCATCGATTATAATCTATATGCAATTAAATAAATAACGATACAAAAACACTCTCAATTGAATTTCATCATCAGATAATGATAAGCAGCGCTTAAAATGCCACAATTCCTCAAATTTACTCATAACTATATAAATCACAGTGATGGTTAAAATCAAAACGATACAAAGTTGAATGAGAGCATACCAGTATAACAAAATCCATTTAGTTATTGTCAATCGACCTGATGAATACTATGCTGAAGATGCAGTTAAGCATGAACACAATAACGATATGATACGCTCGAAGTCCAGAATTCAATCTGAAGAAGTCCTTTGGTTCTCTAATGACATCGATGAGAAGCAAAGAAAAGTTGAATTGATTTTCACTGACGGTTTCCTTTTCATAATATTTCATATTTTTCGAAAGCATCTTTCCGTCTATGGGCTCGCACATGTTGATTTTCCTGATATCACACTCGGATGAACTCAGACACAATTCCAACCGCAAGTAACAATCATGACTTACTCTCAATCAGAGAAGAAAACAAATGCTTACATGTGAGAAACATTCCAATGTATTCAATACAATCGACTGTTTTCGGTGGGAAAAGATTTTTCGTTATTGAACTCATTGAATGCGATACAACGAAATATCATGTTTGCAGACAATCGTCATGTACAAGTGAAATTGATGAATCAAACATACAATGTACGTGAAGTTAAGAATGCGGTCATATTCGAATGCACATTCATAAATCGAATTCCCCTACAAAAACATCGATGTCTTTTCAATATGTTTTCAATTGATTTTCAAACGATGTGAAAAGTTTCATTTATAAAAACCAATATTTATTTTTAATAGAGCATGTCTGAATATAGCCTAAATTTAATTGAGAAAAACTATACTTGCTGTATGTTTACTAACTAAATATTCGTTTTGTTTTGCTCAGTAATGATACGGTGAAAAAGACGTAATATTCCATGCACGCAACGAAATGGTATTCACGTTAGTAATTTTTTCCAGTTCTTTTTTCAAACCAACGTCGTATATTTCCATATGTATATATACAGCGAGTGCCGTTAAAAATAACGCAGTATACTTCGATTTTTTTTTCGTGGAAACACACGTACAATGGATATACAACCGTTAGAAAGGTCTCCGACGAATACTTCGATGGCGACATCAGCAGTCTCTGCTACTACCACAGATTCTGCGTTGATGGCGCACTCGACAGTTTCGGGAGATACAACAACTAATACAGCTTCCGGTAGAGCCACAACACCTCCCAATGGAAATGCAGATAGACCCGTAACGCCACGTCGATCAAGTTCTGACAGGCCGATCACACCGCCTAGGACAAGTGTAGATAGAGCTGTGACACCACCGAGTGCAACTACAGATAGACCTGCAACGACGCGCAGTGTTACTCCAAAGGAACAATCGACAAAGCGAAATCCAATGGATGGTTATCAAGATATGCCGTTGGTTTCGTTAGAAGAAGCAACAGAAGCGCTTGTTCCATTAGTTTCCAATCTGAAAACTTTTGTCGAAACCGCAAAAAAAGATTGCAAAAAAGATTTATACGGTTTAACCGTTGATGAATCAGCGGCTATTTATCTGTACACCATGGCGACACCTTTTGTCTATTTTATCAACGAAGCGTTTCAAAGAGAAACACGTGCAGCTTTAAAACCATGGCTGTCGTATTTGAAACTTTTCGTCACTGCTGTTGAGAAATTACCATCATCAAAAAAAACTCTTTGGCGAGGTCTGTCAAGTACTGATGTTGTCTCCTATCCAACAGAGGATATCTGCACATGGTGGCACATAACCTCGTGTTCGACAAATGTTAAAATGACTCAATATTGTGTAGTTCAAGACGTCGCAACCGTATTGGCAATTAATGCGACCAATGCGAAGGATATTTCAAAATTGTCAGCATTTCCAGATGAAGAAGAAATCGTTCTCTTACCTGGCACAAAACTCCACATTGTTGGTGATCCGTTCTTCTTTCAAAATGCTTTTTCTATCATACATCTCGAAGAGCGTGATGAAATGTCTACTCAATAATCAATCTCACGAACGTAGATTATCTTACTTTCTTTCTTTGTAATTCTTGCAACACAATAAATAAAATCTCCTCTATTACAAAAATATTTTTCCATCGTCATACTTCTTGAATGACAATGTGCAATGTGACCTCTAGATTCGGCAGGATAAAAGTACATCATTCGATGTTTTATTGCGTGCATATACCTCGAAGAATATCGAGCAACACGATATCAGGGTTATATCGGTAACCTTATCTATCAGAAAGAAAAGAAAAAAGACACGAGATAAAACATACAGTGAATATTTTCGTATGTTAGAGATCAAATGAAAGGAACGAACACGTCCGCTGATTTCTTGTTGTTTTATGTGAATGGAAAAGAAATTATTGAGCGTCACGCTGAACCTGAATGGACACTTCTTTGGTATTTAAGAAATAGTAAATATCTTCCTACATGCTCACTTCGTATTCTCATGCCGTTTTTTTTAATTTTAGAACTGAAATTAACTGGTTCGAAATTGGGTTGCGGTGAAGGTGGTTGTGGAGCATGCACAGTTTCAATTTCGCACTGTATCGATAAAAATACTGGTGAAATCGAACATCGCACCATCAATGGTTGTTTAGCACCACTATGTTCCATCGATGGATGTCATGTAATTACCGTTGAAGGGTTAGGTTCAACGAATAAATCAAATCTTCATTCGACACAAACTCGCTTAGCCGAGTTTTACGCATCACAATGTGGCTTTTGTACGCCTGGTATGGTCATGTCGCTGTACGGAACCGTAACATCAAAGGATGCATCAACCTTAACGATGGCAGATATCGAAGAATCATTCGATGGAAATCTTTGTCGATGTACAGGCTATCGCCCGATTCTTGATGCAGCCAAGTCCTTCGCATGCGATATTGATAAGTTCAACACTGAAAAATCGTCATCACCGAACACATCAACGACATTTGATAAATGTGCGTCGTTTCTTGGTCAATCTATTGATCAAATTCCATTCCCGGAGAAGCTTCGTGATCATCAACCTCAATCGATTCAAATCAAAGGTATGAACATATTTAATGATTCTGTAACTAAACTTTCATACAACAGGTTCGTCAATGGATTGGTATCGTCCAATTACATTAACTGAATTGATTCATCTTCGACAAAAGTATCCCGGCAATGAATCAAAACTTCTCTTTGGAAACACATATGTTCAATTCGAAAGAAATATTCAACAACGTACGTTTCCTCGACTTATCAGTATTACGCATGTCAAGGAGCTGCAAGAAATGAAACGAACTGATGATTTGATCTACTTGGGAGCTGGTGTGACATTTACACGATTGAAAAGTCAATTGATGGACTGGAAAGACAATCCCATCTGTCTTGCTTTGTTGAATCAGTTTAAACACTTTGCTTCGACGCAAATACGAAATGTCGCTTCACTCGGTGGACACATCATTGCTGCTTTACCAAAGTAAATCGATTTCTGTTAATTCGAACCAATCTTAATTTCCCGTCTCTTCAGTTCGGATATGAATCCAGTCCTTGTCGCTGCTGGTGCATTGCTCGAATTGCAACAAGCCAACAGCACCGAAGCACGAATAGTTCCACTATCTGAATTCTTTCTTGGTAGAAACCGTGTTAGTATTGAAGACAATGAAATTCTTGTAGCGGTTCGTCTTCCACTCAGAAAGTCTTCTAACGCCTATTTCATTCAATCATACAAACAAGCTTGTCGTCGTGACGATTCAAAAGGTGTCGTCAGCGCTGGATTCCAAGTTGAACTTAAACAAGAGAATGATCAATGGAAAATCACTCAGATCTGTTTGGGATTCGGCGGTGTTGCACCGAAAACAATTGAAGCAAAAGGTACGCAACAACAATTGGTTGGATTGCCATGGTCAAGAGAGACCATCAATCAAGCATATGATTTACTCTTGAAAGAAATTATTTTGAACGAATCGACTCCCGGTGGACAAATTCAGTACAAGTAACTTTTCAAAATACAATTGTTCATTGTAATCTTTTCTTTGAATTGTAGACGAACATTGATGCAATCGTTCCTATTCAAATTCTATTCGTATGTTTCACAGCAATTGCATACATCTACCGTAAATTTAAACGAATTTTCTTTCAATCGAGCTGTTTCTCACGCTCAACAAACGGTTCCTGAACGGCCCGAATCACAAAAGATCGTTGGTAGTTCTATGCCGCATCAATCAGCGTATTTACACACAACTGGCGAAGCGACCTACATTGCTGATATACCATTACTAGCTGATACACTTCATGCCGCACTGATTCTGAGTAAAAAGGTCAATGCTCGAATCAAAAATATCAGTAAGATTGAAGTAGACTCGGATTGTTTTACGTTTCTGGTTATTTGATTTACCATAGATACTGAACGAGCATCGAAAGTTCCGGGATTTGTTTCATTTGTAAGCCATGTTGATGTTCCTGGTTTGAACAAACCAAATGGAGTGTTACCCGATGAAGAAGTTTTCGCCTCGTCGATTGCGTTATGTGTTGGTGCAGTTATTGGTTTGGTTGTTTGTGAAACAGAAGAATCAGCCGAACTCGCTGCGAGTCTAATTGATATCGATTATGAATGCTTATCACCAACGATCTTGTCCATTGATGATGCAATCGAATACGGATCCTATTTTGACAATGAGTTTTGTCTTCAACAAGGTAATGTTGAAAAGAGTTTGAAGGAAAGCGAACACTGCCTACAAGATGAATTATATATTGGCGGACAAGAGCATTTCTACATGGAAACCAATGCTTGTATTGCCATTCCATCAAAAGACGATCAGGAGATGACACTGCACGTAGCTGTACAAAGTCCAACCGCTGCTCAAGAATTAGTTGCATTAGTTCTTGGTCGTGATACAAGTCGTATAACATGTCATACCAAACGAGTTGGCGGTGCATTCGGTGGAAAAGAATCGCGAGCGTATGTCTCATCGTGTTGTCTTCAAAATAAGACATTCTTGTTATATTTAGAATTGTATTTTGTTTGGCAGCGGCAGTTGCAGCTGTGAAAGTTGATCGTCCTGTTCGTCTTCATCTTGACCGTCATACCGATATAGCAGTAACAGGACATCGGCATCCGTTTAAAATCAAATATCAAGTCGGTTTTAATCATGACGGGCAAATTCAAGGTCTAGATATTCAAATGTGGAACGATGCTGGTTGTACACTCGATGCTTCGTCATATGTTCTTCAATTGGCAATGCTTCATATGGGCAATACATATCAAATTCCGAATATGCGCATACGCGGTCGTACTTGTAAGACTCATTTGCCATCAAATACGGCGTTTCGTGGTTTTGGCGGCCCACAAGCTATGCTAGCTTGTGAGAATATTATTGAGCATATTTCGTTTTATCTTCAACGTGATCCATTGACCATTCGCCGTCAAAATTTGTTTTGTGAAGGTGATCAAACACATTATGGGCAATGCTTAGAGTTATGGAATGTTCCACGTATTATCGATGAATTACTTGAAACTAGTGGTTACGATGAAAGACGGCATCTTGTGGATGAATTCAATCGTGTGAACATCTATCGAAAACGCGGAATCAGTTTAGTTCCCGTGAAATTCGGCATAGGTTTTACCGTTAATTACCTCAATCAAGGCGGTGCTCTAGTTCATATTTACAAAGACGGTTCAGTCGTCATTAGTCAAGGAGGTATAGAAATCGGTCAAGGATTATATACGAAAATGATCGCAATTGCTGCTGAAGTCTTACGTTGTGACGTTAAGCGGGTGAGAATCAGTGAAACATCAACTGATAAGGTACATAATATCAGCCCGACAGGTGGATCTATCACAGCGGATATTAATGGAATGGCAGTGAAAGATGCTTGTGAACAATTGCGACAACGACTGGACGCGTTAATAACAAAAGAGAATAACGATATTTCTTGGGAAGATTTGATTCAAAAGGCATATTATGCACGAGTCGATCTATGTGGACGAGGCTTTTACGTGATGCCGAACATGTTCGATATGGATTTTAGCAAAAACAAAGCAACTTATAATTATTTTACACAAGGTGCTGCTGTAACAGAAGTAGAATTGGATGTTTTAACTGGTGATTGGCATATTCTACGTGTTGATATTCTTATGGTATGTTCAGTTCTTCTTTTATAATAACAATGTAAAAAATTATCTTTTTATAGGACGTTGGTACATCACTAAATCCTCAAATAGATATCGGACAAATCGAAGGTGGATTTATGCAAGGTGTGGGTTTATACACTATGGAAGAACTTCAATGGGGTGATGAAAAGCAACATGGATGGATTTCGCCAGGACAATTGTATACTCTTGGACCTGATACTTATAAAATTCCATCATTTAGCGATGTTCCGATCGATTTTCGTGTTTCACTATTATCGAACTCATCGAATCCACGCGCTGTATTTTCCTCAAAAGGTATTGGCGAACCGCCTCTTCTATTGGGTACATCGGCTTTCTTCGCTCTTAAGCAAGCTTGTACTGCTTATCGAAAGCAACAAGGATTGGACGACTATTTTACTCTGCATTCTCCTGCTTCTGTCGAACGACTCCGAATAGCTTGTGCCGATGAATTCACTCGTCGAGCATGCAACGACCAATCGCACGAAACCTTTCAACCAAAAGGTTCGTATTGAGGCAGAAAAAAAATATACGCTTCTCTTTCAAATTTTAAACTAAATAAACATATGGGTGATTGACTACAATTATTGTGTTCAACTCTATTTTTTTGCATTCTGAATCATTATCATTGTTAATCGTGAAAAACAGTGCCACTTGAAATTCAATAAAGTATTCTGTTGAAGATTTTGCTTTTGTTGATGGGGGAAAAAAGAGTTCTTTTTCTTCCTAGTGTGTCTTGAGGTATGCGCTAGAATACCAACACAATCATTGTTTTTCTTTTCACAACGCTTCATTCTCAACGCATGGCTGTGGTAAATAATAGAAAAAAATGTTTTATATGCAACAAGGATAGAATCACATATTCTTGTGAAGGTTGCTCAAATCAGTTTTGTTTAGCACACTTAACAGAACACCATCAGAAGTTAAGTGCAGAATTGAATTCAATCATTAATGATTACGATCAATTCAAACAAACTATTAATGAAAAACAACCGAATTTAGATTTGATCAAGCAAATTGATCAATGGGAACAAAAGTCAGTTGCATTAATCAAGGAAACAGCTGATGAGTGTCGGAATAAAGTTGTCCAAGAAACAAAATTATTTATTAAGGAGATTGAAAAGAAATTCGATAAATTAATTCAACACATCAAGGATATTCGTAAAGAAAATGATTTTAATGAAAGTAATTTGAATTATTTGCGAGATAAATTAAAAGAAACGACGAGAGAATTCAATAATTCGATTAACATTACTCTCGAACAAGATACTTCGCAATCATTTATTAGAAAGATTTCAATTAAAAGTACGTAACAACCTCAATCATTTCTAGTTAGAAAATCTATTGAGATTTCATTCGAATGTGGTCACTGTTCTAGTGAGCAATGCTACTGATTCACATGGTTCTTCATCATCTCCTGTGATTTATAATTCTCATTGGAGTAAGATGACAAAGTGCTATTGACACATGCAACATGTTTGAAATTGAATAGGTGAGGTCTGGTTGGATCTTCAGTTTCATGATAACTCTAAAACAATCAAGAAACCCGATGAGTTGGGACCAATGAGTGAACCACCAGGTTCAATAGATGAACAGATTCTCAATCGGATTCAAGGTTCTATGATTGGATTGGCATTGGGTGATGCTCTTGGTGCACATGTTGAATTCCGCCCTCACGATTATTTAGTTGCACATCCGGTAACAGACCTTCAACGAGGTGGAACTTGGGGTCTTGAGAAAGGACAGGTATACTTCTTATTGCTATATAAAGTAAAAGCTGAGAGAGATATATGAAATTTTCACACGCATAATTACGCGCTTCCTCAAATATCATTGGTTAGCAAGTTAATGAATGAACGCTGCGGAATATGAGTAATAAAATGTCTCTGTTAATATTCATTTAGTTCACCGATGACACTTCAATGGCACTTTGCTTGGCAAATTCTTTGATTGTTAACCGTGGTTTCAATGCTTACGATCAATTAGTTCGGTACAAATGGTGGTATAAATATGGATACATGTCGTCAACTGGACAATGTTTTGATATTGGAGCAGCTACGATACAGTCGATAGATGAATTTAACTGCAGACAAAACAAGCTTAGCAAAGAAAAAAATATTCCAAAGGAAAAAATTGATTACCTTTCTGATCCTGAATTGTTAGATAGCTTCCCGGTGTATTGCAGCGAAGAAGGCCTAGCAGACAACGGGGCTCTTATGCGCCTGGCGCCAGTACCACTCTTTTTCTATAGAGATCCTAAAGCGGCCGTTGAGTTTTCTGGTTTTAGCGGACAAATAACGCACGGAGATACGAAAGCGTATGATGCATGCCGATATTATGGAGCATTGATCGTTGCTGCTCTTCAGGGCAAAAGCAAAGATGAACTATTACACAATAACTTCTATGAAAACCATAAGCCCTGGTTTAGTGGGAAAGATCTTCATCTGGATATAAAATCAATTGCTGAAGGATCGTATAAAAATAAAAAAGGTTATGACGGTGGTATTCGAGGCAAAAAATATATAGTCAGTGCGCTCGAAGCGGCATTGTGGGCGTTTTGGTCCACTAAGAATTTTGAAGATGGTGCGCTTGCTGCTGTTAATCTTGGTGACGATACTGATACAACAGCAGCGATCTATGGTCAATTAGCTGGCGCTCACTATGGATACGACTTATTGCCCAGAAAATGGACTAGACACGTCTACGCTGAAGGCTTTATGAAAATGTTAAGTAAATGGATTGCGTACGAAGGAGAATGTTGGACAAAATAAAAACACTTCGCTCGGTTGTAAACGTCGACAGATGACATGTGTTCTTTTTTTAACTGTTTTATTGGCAATTTCATTCGTGACTCGTTGCGTCGACGGACACTATTCGCCGAAAAGCAATAGCAGATTATTTTATTTTGCCATATAAAACTACCATGATAAATCTGCATACGCATTGCTTGAGATAACGAGATTAATACGATTGCTTTATTTGCCAACGAAATTCTATTCTCTCTTAAATCTTATCAAATGCTTTAGTAAGTTATAAAATTCGATAGGGAATCTATTGTTATTGACATATAAAAGTCAACATTTGTAAAGCCCTTTCTACACAAAATCATGGCAGAAGGTCGAAGAGACGACAGTTTTTTGAAAATAAGTTCAAGCGATCTCAAGTTTGAAAGAATATTAGGAAGCGGTGGTTTTGGAGATGTTTACAGCGGAAGGTGGATCAGCCGATGTGAGAAAGTTGCCATAAAAAAGCTCCGTATCGATGCTAGTTATATCACATTGAACGAAAGAAATGTGTTTTTTGAAGAAATGACCATGATGCATCGTATCCGATTTCCATATGTCCTCAATGTGTTTGGTGTCTGCTTGGATCCGGGCTGTTTGGCAATTGTCGTCGAATATATGTCACTTGGGTCTTTATATGATGTGATCCGCAATAATGACTTGACCTGGCCCGATCGATGGTCAATTGCTAGTCAGATGACCAAAGGAGTGAATTATCTACATCAGTTCAGCCCGAATCCCATCATTCATCGTGATATCAAATCGTTTAACTTTCTTATGGCTTCAGGTGTAAATGAGAGCAACCATCGATTCCATGTCAAAGTGGGCGATTTTGGTTTATCTAGATTTCGTCCGACGTCCGACTTACAACTGACAGCTGATGGGCAATTAGGAACGCTTCTGTGGAAAGCTCCCGAGTTATTTCGTGACCACTCGTCTCACACGATGATCAGCGATGTGTATTCGTTAGGTGTGTGTTTCTGGGAATTAGTGAGTGGCCGACTCCCATACGAAGAACTCACATTAGAGCGTTTCTTTCTGGAAGTAGTTCTGATGGGAAAAACACTAGAAATACCATCGAATGTACCAGATCATTTCGCGACTTTGATCACCAGTGCAACCAAGTTCACTCCAGATGAAAGACCAACCTGTCTTGAACTGTTGAAGTACATCGAAAACGATCTGAGACGTCAAGGTTTGTCTGATTCGAGGTAAGAAAATGATAGAATCAGCTTGATATTGATCTTTTTGTATGAAGTACTAGTGAGTCTCAATCTCGTGTGTCAAAACCGCTTGGTTTGCCAACTGGGGCAACGACATCCAGGTATGTCCGAATACTCAACTCTTTCATTCACATCTAGATGCATAACAATGCCTTTGCTCTTGTTTTACCTTCTTAGTGACCGCCGAACAACCAAGTCTACACTATCACCGACGAAAACATATTCAAATCGGAAACTTGAGAACACTATCAAACACACTGAAACATTTTCAGCAATTAAATTAGAAGATCAAGCATTTACAAATGACGATATGGTCATTATTGGCACTGCATTAACGAAAAATCAAGCTTGTCAAGATCTGGCTCTTCGAAACAGTGATATTACCGCCATAGGTGTGACGTTTCTAAGCTTAGGCCTAGCCACCAACCGTACATTGACATCGTTGGACTTGAGTGAAAATCCTCTTGAGTCGGTGGGTGTTTCGAATCTTGCTCGTACTCTTCATTTTAATTCAACGCTGACAACGCTTCGGTTAAATTCGACCAATATGCGTGATGATGGTCTAAAAGAACTCAGTAACATGTTTCTGATCAATCGCACACTGGAATTTCTGACGATATGCGACAATCATCTTACTTACGTCGGGGTGCGGGTTCTATGCGATGCACTGGAAAACAACACGTCTCTCCGACGTATCGATATGAGCAAAAACAAAGTGGACGATGAAGGAGCGGCTTCTATCGGGCGATTGTTACGTCGCAATAGTACACTCTCGAGAATCTCCATGGACGAAACGGAAATTGGTGACGATGGCTTGAGATCAATATCCCATGCTCTTGAAAAGAATAATACTCTGCGACAGATAAGCCTTGCCAACAATTTAATCACAGATGGTAGTATCCAGATGATTATTGTCATAATTGAGACAAATCGAAGTTTACGATCACTTGAATTACAGTCCAATAAGTTATCTTCAAAGGGCAAGTCCAAAATTCGCAAAACAGCTGCACAATCTAGATGCGATGTAGTGCTCTCTGAACGAGAATAAAAGCAAGAGACATAACAATAAAAGATATTTTATTTCTGAGAAGAATCGTATTCAATAAATAAGATAAAATCTATGGTAATGCTTTTCCTGCTCGAATTGCTTTGCCAACTTCAGATTGAGTTTCATTCTTTAAATAACGTTGATAAATATCCGTCAGATGTTNAGTTGATCTATGTGGACGAGGCTTTTACGTCATGCCGAACATGTTCGATATGGATCTTAGCAAAAACAAAGCAACTTATAATTTTTTTACACAAGGTGCTGCTGTAACAGAAGTAGAATTGGATGTTTTAACTGGTGATTGGCATATTCTACGTGTTGATATTCTTATGGTATGTTCAGTTCTTCTTTTATATCAACAATGTAAAAATTTCTCTTTTCATAGGATGTTGGTACGTCACTAAATCCTCAAATAGATATCGGACAAATAGAAGGTGGATTTATGCAAGGTGTGGGTTTATACACTATGGAAGAACTTCAATGGGGTGATGAAAAGCAACACGGATGGATTCCACCAGGACAATTGTATACTCTTGGGCCTGATACTTATAAAATTCCATCATTTAGCGATGTTCCGATCGATTTTCGTGTTTCACTATTATCGAACTCATCAAATCCACGCGCTGTGTTTTCCTCGAAAGGTATTGGCGAACCGCCTCTTTTATTTGGTACATCGGCTTTCTTCGCTCTTAAGCAAGCTTGCACTGCCTATCGAAAGCAACAAGGTTTGGAGAACTATTTCACTCTGCATTCTCCTGCTTCTGTCGAACGACTCCGAATGGCTTGTGCCGATGAATTCACTCGTCGAGCATGCAACGACCAATCGCACGAAACCTTTCAACCAAAAGGTTCATATTGAGGCAGAAAAAAAAATATACGTTTTTCTTTCAAATTTTAAACTAAATAAACATACGGGTGTGAGTGGCGGCTAGATACACGAAATTCACTCATATTCCTCAGCTTGCTAGGATACACTTTTATTTGGGTATCGTGTTGGATACACTGACTCAGCTGCTTATGGTAACGTAGCGAATTGGCTCCTTTTGGACGAATACCGCGTGTAACAGGATTATGACATCCCTCCAATAAGGTATTCTGTTGAAGATTTTGCTATTGTTGATAAGGAAGGAAAAGAGTTCTTTTTTCCTAGTGTGTCTTGAGATATGCGCTAGAACGCAAACACACAATCATTGTCGTTCTTTTCACAACGCTTCATTCTCAACACATGGCTGTGGCAAATAATAAAAAAATATGTTTCATATGCAACAAGGATAGAATCACATATTCTTGTGAAGGTTGCTCAAATCAATTTTGTTTAGCTCACTTAACAGAGCACCAACAGAAGTTAAGTGCGGAATTGAATTCAATCATTAATGATTACGATCAATTCAAACAAAGTGTTAATGAAAAACAACCGAATTTAGATTTAATCAAGCAGATTGATCAATGGGAAGAAAAGTCAATTAAATCAGTCAAGGAAACGGCTGATGAGTGTCGGAATAAAGTTGTCCAAGAAACAAAATTATTTATTAAGGAGATTGAAAAGAAATTGGGTAAATTAATTGAATACATAAAGAATATTCGTAAAGACAATGATTTTAATGAAAGTAATTTGAATTATTTGCGAGATAAATTGAAAGAAACGACGAGACAATTCAATAATTCGATTAACATTACTCTCGAACAAGATACTTCGCAATCATTTATTAGAAAGATTTCAATTAAAAGTACGTAACAACCTCAATCATTTCTAGTTAGAAGATCTATTGAGATTTCATTCGAATGTGGTCACTGTTCTAGTGAGCAATGCTACTGATTCGCATGGTTCTTCATCACCTCCTGTGATTTATAATTCTTGTTCAAGTAAGATGATAAAGTGCTATTGATACATGCAACATGTTTGAAATTGAATAGGTAAGGCCTGGTTGGATCTTCAGTTTCATGAGAACTCTAAAACAATCAAGAAACCCGATGAAATAGAACCTATGTATGAACCACCAAGTTTAATTGATGAACAGATTCTCAATCGGATTCAAGGTTCTATGATTGGATTGGCATTGGGTGATGCTCTTGGTGCACATGTAGAATTTCGCCCTCACAATTATTTAGTTGCACATCCGGTAACAGAGCTTCGAGGAGGTGGAACTTGGGGTCTTGAGAAAGGACAGGTATACTTCTTTTTGCTATATAACGTGAAAGCTGAGAGAGATATATGAAACTCACATGCATAATTACACGCTTCCTCAAATATCATTGGTTAGCATATTAATGAAGGAACGATACGGAATAGGAGTAATAACATGTTTCGGTTAATATTCATTTAGTTCACCGATGACACTTCAATGGCACTTTGCTTGGCAAATTCTTTGATTGTTAACCATGGTTTCAATGCTTACGATCAATTAGTTCGGTACAAATGGTGGTATAAATATGGATACATGTCGTCAACTGGCCAATGTTTTGATATTGGAGCAGCTAATAAACAGTCGATAGACGAATTTAACCGCAGACAAAACAGGCTTAGCAAAGAAAAAAATATTCCAAAGGAAAAAATTGATTCCCTTTCTGACCGTGAATTGTTAGATAGCTTTCCGGTGTATTGCAGCGAAGAAGGCGTAGCAAGCAGCGGAGCTCTTATGCGCCTTGCGCCAGTACCACTCTTTTTCTATAGAAATCCTCAAGCGGCCGTTGAGTTTTCTGGTTTTAGCGGACAGATAACGCACGGAGATACGAGAGTGTATGATGCATGCCGATACTATGGAGCATTGATTGTTGCTGCTCTTCAGGGTGAAAGCAAATATGAGCTTTTGGACGACCAGTTCTATGAAAAGCATAAGACATGGTTTAGTGGGAAAGATCTTCATCCAGATATAAAATCAATTGCCGAAGGAACATATAAAAACGATAAAGGTTATGATGGTGGTATTCGAGGAAAAGGGTACATAGTTAATGCGCTCGAAGCTGCATTGTGGGCATTTTGGTCCACGAAGAATTTTGAAGATGGTGCGCTTGCTGCTGTTAATATTGGCGATGATACTGATACAGCAGCAGCGATCTATGGTCAACTAGCTGGCGCTCACTATGGATACGACCAATTGCCCAGAAAATGGACTAGACACGTCTACGCTGAAGACTTTATGAAAATGTTAAGTAAATGGATTGCGTATGAAGGAGAATGTTGGACAAAATAAAAACACTTCGCTCGGGTGTAAACGTCGACAGATGACATGTGACCTTTTTTTGACTGTTTTATTGGAAATTTCTTTCGTGACTTGTTGCGTCGACGGACACTCTATTCGCTGAAAAGCAATAGCAGATTATTTTATTTTGCCATATAAAACTACCATGATAAATCTGCATACGCATTGCCTGAGATAACGAGATTAATACGATTGTTTTATTTGCCAACGAAATTCTATTCTCTCTTAAATCTTATCAAATGCTTTAGTAAGTTATAAAATTCGATAGGAAATCTATTATTATTGACATATAAAAGTCAACGTTTGTGAACCCCTTTCTACACAAAATCATGGCAGAAGATCGAAGAGACGACAGTTTTTTGAAAATAAGTTCAAGCGATCTCAAGTTTGAAAGACTATTAGGAAGCGGTGGTTTTGGAGATGTTTACAGCGGAAGGTGGATCAGTCGATGTGAACAAGTTGCCATAAAAAAGCTTCGTATTGACGCTAGTTATATCACATTGAAGGAAAGAAATTTGTTTTTTGAAGAAATGACCATGATGCATCGTATCCGATTTCCATATGTCCTCAATGTGTTTGGTGTCTGCTTGGATCCAGGCTGTTTGGCAATTGTCGTCGAATATATGTCACTTGGGTCTTTATATGATGTGATCCGCAATAAGGACTTGACCTGGCCCGATCGATGGTCAATTGCTAGTCAGATGACGAAAGGAGTGAATTATCTACATCAGTTCAGGCCGCATCCCATCATTCATCGTGATATCAAATCGTTTAACTTTCTTATGGCTTTGGGTGTAAAGGAGAGCAACCATCGATTCCATGTCAAAGTGGGTGATTTTGGTCTATCTAGATTTCGTCCAACGTCCGACTTACAACTGACAGCTGATGGGCAATTGGGAACGCTTCTATGGAAAGCTCCCGAGTTATTTGATGACCAATCGTCTCACACGACGATCAGCGATGTGTATTCGTTAGGTGTGTGTTTCTGGGAATTAGTGAGTGGCCAACTCCCATACGAAGAACTCACATTAGAACGTTTCTTTCTGGAAGTGGTTTTGAAGGGAAAAGCACTAGAAATACCATCGAATGTACCAGATCATTTCGCGACTTTGATCATCAGTGCAACCAAGTACACTCCAGATGAAAGACCAACCTGTCTTGAACTGTTGAGGTACATCGAAAACGATCTGAGACGTCAAGGTTTGTCCGATTCGAGGTAAGAAAATGATAGAATCAGCTTGATATTGATCTTTTTTTGCATGAAGTACTAGTGAGTCTGAATCTCGTGTGTCAAAATCGCTTGGCTTGTCAACTAGGGCAACGACATCCAGGTATGTCTGAATACTCAACTCTTTCATTCACATCTAGATGCATATCAATGCCTTTGCTCTTGTTTTACTTTCTTAGTGACCGTCGAACACCCAAGTCTACACTATCACCGACGAAAACATATTCAAATCGGAAACTTGAGGACACTATCAAACACACTGAAACATTTTCAGCAATTAAATTAGAAGATCAAGCATTTACAAATGACGATATGGTCATTATTGGCACTGCATTAACGAAAAATCAAGCTTGTCAAGACCTGGCTCTTCGAAACAGTGATATTACCGCCATTGGTGTGACGTTTCTGAGCTTAGGCCTAGCCACCAACCGTACATTGACATCGTTGGACTTGAGTGAAAATCCTCTTGAGTCGGTGGGTGTTTCGAATCTTGCTCGTACTCTTCATTTTAATTCAACACTGACAACGCTTCGGTTAAATTCGACTAATATGGGCGATGATGGTCTAAAAGAACTCAGTAACATGTTTCTGATCAATCGCACACTGGAATTTCTGACGATATGCGACAATCACCTGACTTACGTCGGGGTGCGGGTTCTATGCGATGCACTGGAACACAACACGTCTCTCCGATGTATCGATATGAGCAAAAACAAAGTGGGCGATGGAGGAGCGGCTTCTATCGGGCGATTGTTACGCCGTAATAGTACACTCTCGAGAATCTCCATGAACGAAACGGAAATTGGTGACGATGGCTTGAGATCAATATCCGATGCTCTTGAAAAGAATAATACTCTGCGACAGATAAGCCTCGCCAACAATTTAATCACAGATGGTAGTATCCAGATGATTATTGTCATAATCGAGACAAATCGAAGTTTACGATCACTTGAATTACGGTCCAATAATTTATCTTCAAAGGGCAAATCCAAAATTCGCAAAACAGCTGCACAATCTAGATGCGATGTAGTGCTCTCTGAACGAGAATAAAAGCAAGAGACATAACGATAAAACATATTTTATTTCTGAGAAGAATCGTATTCAATAAATAAGATAAAATCTATGGTAATGCTTTTCCTGCTCGAATTGCTTTGCCAACTTCAGATTGAGTTTCATTCTTTAAATAACGTTGATAAATATCCGTCAGATGTTGATGATCTGACGATGTTTTTATTACACTTGTTCGTTCGTTGATGAGTTTCTTGTATTCTAACCAGCGTCCACCAACGAGTTCATCTGTAAATCCTCGATGTTCTTCCAGAATAAACATACGACAAATCCACGGAGCAATTGTAATATCCGTCAACGAAAATTGTTCACCTAAAAACCACGGACCTTTGACTTGTTCGAGATATTTTCGAAGAATTTCAACGAGTTCATTCAGAGCTTCTTTTTGCTTGTCTTCTTCTTGAGCTTGCATAATCCGATAGAATGCAGGTGTGAACTTTTTCGTTAGATAATCAATCCACAGTCGACATCGTGCACGTTCGAAACTATCCTTTGGTAAAAGTGCTTTCGAATCAGGAAATTCATCTTCTAAAAATTCATTGAGAATTAACGATTCATATAATGCTTTTTCACGATAGACAATGGCTGGAACTAAACCAAGAGGATTAATGTCCAAAAATTCTTTTTCTTTCTTGTATGGATTCACTTCACGATATTCGTATTCAAGTCCTTTTTCTTCCAAGGCCAACCATGTTCGTTGTACAAATGGACAAAACCATCCAGCGTAAAAGACGAGTTCTTGATTGTTCGAATGTGCTTTCACTGTCTTTTCTGCTTCACCAGATGCATGAGGATAGATATTTGCGTCGACTACTGACGTCATTCTCGAGAGAAAAAACTGATCAGACTGCACGTGACACAATCGAATACGAAACGAAAAGATAAGGTTTTTTTTTCTTTTCCTCTCGTCGGATACGTTTGTTTCGTTGCCATTGGCTGAAAGTCATCACCCAGCAAAATCCAATAATTAAATACTTTGAGAAATACTTGAATTTTCTTGCAGAAGGAAACAAGCTGACAAGATGATTTCAATGAGTTCTTCACATAATAATTATTCGAAAAGAATTCTTTTATATCAAAGTCATTTTCCATTAAAACAACAAAATGAATCAAACGCAAGTCAATACAAATGTTATTGCCACGATCGAAGATTACTATCTTGTAGCCTTACTTTCCAGTGTCTTTGGTGTATGCGGAATAATCATCAGTACATATATAATGATTTTAATTGATCGAGCTAAATCTCGTCTACGTACTGTTCATCGTCTTCTGGTCAATAACACATGTTTTGCATCGATCTTCTACAGTGTCATTACGATGATCAATTATATCGTCTTTATTTTTGCACAATGGGAGACCAGTAACATTGGTTGTAAATGGCGAGCATATCTCGCTTACGTGGGCATTGCTGGCGTATTACATTCGTATATGATTCAAGCGATATCATGTATCTGTTCTTGTGTGTTTTCAACAACGCATCGATGGTTGACAACAACTAAAACGCATTATTGTCTTATTGCTGTTCAATGGTTGATCGTTCTCGTCATTACGTTGTCGACGCTGATAACAGATGATGTTCAATATCGTCCTCAGAAATTATGTTTCATTCCAATCAAAAAGACTTTACATGCTATCTGCGCTATATTTGCATATTATATTATTCCATTGGCTACTACTATCGTTATCTATGTATTTATATTTTGTCGAATGAAGAAAACCATCAAGATAAACAGTACATATCAACGTGTTAAACGCGATCTCGAAGCTCTGCGAAATATCATTTTTCTCATTGGTATTTATATTACTAGTGGACTGCCAAGTATCATCTACTTTTTTTCACCATCCAAGTATCTTTATTTAATCAATTTGGCCACTCAATCATTGGCGGTTACTCTTGCAACATCAGCGACTCTGTTATTAGATAGAGAAATTTGTCGATTGATCAGAACTAGTCTGTGTCGAACAACGCTTGTGGTTCCATTTGATAACGCGCATAGTATCAGCAAAGGTCAAGCAAATCGTCATGGATGAGCGAGACACTCGAATCCACAAATGAACATAATTGGTTTGCTATATAGAGTTTTTGTGAATAATCGATATGAACTCAACCGAGTTCTCCTGACTGACAGAATTAAACTATTTATTCAAATGTAAAAGTAAAACATTGAAAAAAAACTTCTATCAGACGGTGTTCATTGCTTCTTTAATCATTGTTTCAATTAAATTTTCTAAAGATATTCCAGCAGTTTTGGACATCAGGGATAATCCGCCACCATCACCGAATGAACAAAATAAACCAGCTTCTAGAAACCAAGCTTCTCCGTTAGGATCGATTCGAAATTCGAATAGGCTATAGTGCCGACAACCTAAAGCCCGATGGCATATCTTCGCCATTTCTTGAACTTGCTGAGTTACCGGATCATTGGTATTCGTAATCCAATGTTTTCCAACATCGTCGTCGGGATAACCAATAAATTCACCATCATCATCTAATTCGGGAAACTTAACAGCATAATCACGAATGGGCCGATCGTTAATATCTAAAAGATATTCTTCTAATGGTAAAGCAACGAGTTGGCCATCTTTTACAATAATGCAGCATCGAACTTCTCGACCGGGTTCAATAAATTTTTCTACTAAGACTTCATCTGCATGTTGAAACGCATGTTCAAGTGCAACACTACAATCTTTCATATTCCTAACTAACGATATACCCAAGGAATTATCAGCGCTTACGGGTTTGACAACGACTGGTGGTAGAATAGTTGGGACATCTCCACGACGAAGTAATTCACCAGCGGGAACTTTAACACCTGCTGCTGCAACAACTGCCTTGGTTCTACCTTTATGAGCTGTTAACGCCATGACATCTGGCGTATTTCCGATGTAAGGTATGCGAAGAAGATCGAACAATGCACGATAATACGTCACTCCAGGTATGCAATACATGTGTGGTATGACAAGATCGAAACCTTCTTTTTTGATATATTGTATAGCATCGACCAGACACATTGGTTTGGCGGCATCAATATCGTCTTGTTTGAGCGAAGAAACAAATCGCCAATAACTATCGGGTGTTACATATGCAATTTGAAAGTTTTTTATCGACGAAACATTGGCTGTATTTTCTAAACAACCTTCCGCATATCGATATGATAGATCACAATAAAAATCGTTGTATGTAGAGCCAACTAGATGAAGAACACGAAGCGATGACATAATCTTGTTTGAAAAAAAGAACACCAAACTTTTTATCTTCATATTTCTGTATTTCTTATATAGGAAACCGAACAAAACAAAATAACGTTATTTAAAGATTAAGGAGTATAGGCTTAGTACGTACATTCTCGTATACGTTCGGTTATATAATCGAGTGTGGTTTGGTGTATACCGTGTGATACTATTCGCTGTTATGTCATTCGTAGCAACGGGTTAAGCCGAGTGAGATCATTCAATATTTCGTAAAGAAATCGTTTGCACTTGTTGATCTTTTTTTGTACTTTAAACGTATATTCATTCTTTGGCGAGCGTTCTTTTTATTTGTTTTTCTATTCAATCACGTGTGTATCTCAAACAATCACCGAAAGACTTTTCCTTTTCACATGGCTTCTTTTCAAACATCCGGTCTCTATTCGAAAATTCATCACATAATCAAAACAATCGGCTTTTTGGTCTTATTTCTACTCGCATTTCCATTGACATTTACCATTACATGGATAACATTAATAATTCATTTTCTCACACGAAAACCACCAAGAATTAATGCAAACGCTAAATGTATTCTATTATGCAACGGAGGTAAAACCAAAACTTTACAATTAGTGCGCTCATTCCGTTGTTCTTACGGAATGCTATCCATATGCCACAAATCGATATTCTCAATGTGTGTCGAATTTTTATCTAAGTGCCGATCCGAACAATGAATTGGAATACATTCAATCGATTGTCGACATCGTCAAACGAGAACATATTGATTTTTTTCGTTCCAGTATCTCATTCATCAAGGGAATGCCTTGATGCATTAGTTAAACAAACATTAATCTTATTGAAATGTCAGACGATCCACGGCGACCTTGAACAAGTACAAATGATGTGCGATAAATATTCATTTATTGTCTAAGCACGTACATTTGGATTAACTGTACCATAATCGTACAGAATTACGGACCCAAAGCAGATTTTAATGTTTGATTTTACCCAAGACAAATGTCATTTCATTCCAAAACGCATTGAATACGATTGTGCTAATCGGACGAAGCTGATTAAACTTCCATGTGAAACACGAGCGCAAATAGAGAACTATGTGAACGAATTGACTATTAACGAACAAAATCCGATGCTCGTCCAACTTATTGGTTATATCACGAACTGCGGAATATTTCGAAAATACGAAGTTTTCAAGACCTAATCAAACAATGTCAAATATTCTTTTAGGGAAAAGAAGCTCTATATTTAATTGATGATCCGCTGCCCTTTTTCCTTCACTATACCGTTCATCTACCAAGAGTGGTCATATATCATCTCATTCATATGATACCTTTTGATAGAATTGATTGTATAATCTTTCGTTCTGTTTTTGAAATAAAAACTGAATGTGTGAGCGACGACTCCATACTGAAATTGATTTCCTTGCTCTTTTTAAGACACCCTCATATTTTTTGTGCGTGGATGACATCTATATTACATAATTCTTTCTTTCTCTTTTTTTGTTTTACATTGGTGATGTTTACGAACGAGTTAAGGCATTTGTCATTCTATCTCAAGTACAAAAGTTAAAGAAAAGTGTTGACGAACGAAAAACGAAGATCTGGAGCAAGTTGACATAAAGATCACAGATAAGAACGCTCAAACATTTCGTGCTATCAACAGTACCAGTATAGTATTTCAGGTGTCTTAGAACTGTTGCAAGGATTCGGCGACCTTCAATGCACAGTATGCGAAACTTCCAAAGAACTTCTCATATGTCAATAGAACAAAATATCGAACTACTTCAGATGCCGAAGAAACATGTCCGATTAACATTACGACAATTGCTTCAGCGTTATTATTCGATTGTAATTTGCATGCTCTTGCTTTTCGTAGAAACAACGATCTTATTGCTTTCTCTATCTGCTATACGCCGCTATGCAGAAACTAATATGGAATTGGTAGCGTCACTGGTCAGCTATAACATCCGGGCGGCAGTACTCGCAGATGATCATCGGGCAATAAGAGAAGTACTGTCGATAATTGATCAACGGAGGCACGTTGCTGAAAGTCGAGTCTACGATGTGAAGTACAATCTGTTAGTCAGTTGGAAGTCCGAAATCATCGGGCAAACAAGTCAAGCACAAAAGATGATCGCCAAGTGGTTGTTTCTTAAGCCGATAACCGTACCTATTCTGCATAATCAGCATGAAATTGGTCATGTTTGGTTGAATGGCGATCTTAGAGAACTCACTCATTTCATTTTCTTGATGTTGCTTTGGTTTACTGGCAGCTTATTGATAATGATTTTTGGAGCATCCTACTTATCATGTCGCAAGTATTCAGATATTAGTATAAGCCATCGAATGCGCAAACAGCAGACCTTCTCTCAACAAAGGCTGTCATCAACCGTCGCCCAGTTGAACGAATTGTCTAAGAAGAACGAACGTTTGAAAAAGGAAAATAATTCACTGGCTTGGCTATTACAACACGATCAACTGACCGGATTGTTAAATCGTTCAACCTTTCAAAGTGAATTGACCACAGTTATTGAAAGTCTATCAGAATGCAAGTATGTTGGTGTATTATTTATTGATGCTGATCATTTCAAAGAGGTCAATGATAAGTACGGTCACGCAGCAGGCGACTATACTCTAATAACTGTTGCTCAACGTCTACGCAATGCATTACGTAAGGATGACTCAGCAGCGCGACTAGGTGGCGATGAGTTTGCAGTTCTGGTTATAAACATTGAAGCTGTGCACGAGGTCGAACGAATTGCACGCCGAATAGTAGACGCCATGAACGAGCCGATTGAGTTACCCGATGGTACACGTATCTGTCAGTCTGTGAGTATTGGTATTGTATTGTCCAAAGAAATGACCAATGCGCAGAAGCTCCTTGCTCAGGCAGATGCAGCCATGTATCACATCAAACGGCGTGGTGGTGGCTGGTACTGGATTTTCAACGCAAAAGAGCCAGATTATGCGAACGATTGATTTTGTTCATATACTAGGGCATGGTTAGAAATGCAAACATCATGTCATTTTCTGTTTTGTGTATGATTTGATTATAACCGTTTTAAACAGCACACAACGAAACAATGAACAGATACGTATCGAGGAAATTAAATAATAAATTAAGTCCTTCGATGTCACATATACAGCTATTGCCTGAATTTGTCTCAATACGGCGATGTTTTTACAAAATCTTTCACGTAGTATTTAACTCGATTTAGAATTAAAGTCAGTCTCTATTCACATAAAACTGCTGTTGTGGAAATCGATCAAATTCACGTGCTATACTAAAATGTCGATATATTTCAATACAGCAAGCGTTGAAGTCATATCCTAAAGCTTTTTTGTTACAAGATTTCATCGCTGAATCTCTATCAACATTTCTACTTATTGTATTTGGTAAGAATTATACGAAATGGCTTTCGAAAATTCAAAGAATCAAAGAGGAGGCGAGAGTATGCACGTTCTTCACTAATTCACATCCTCCTTTCTTGTTTATGTATACAAAATCATTCACACTCAACATGTACGTCATACGAAAAACAGTTTTTTTAATATATTCATACTGAGTCATGCATCACTAGAGATTAAACTACACGAATGAAATGTTGCAGTTATGAATAACTTGTTAGATAAATATATTATATGTGATGCACTCATATTCATCCGTACATACGAAATTCATTTCTTTTCTCTTCGATCGTATACTATGTATGAAGGTAATTTTCAGAGAAATTGATAAGGATTTCGAATGAATATCATGACATCGCGAAAATATCTATTTATAGGGACGAAAAAGAAACGAATTGATGGGGAAAAAACTCAATTACCTCACAGTAAAAAATCAATATTCACACGTGTTTCTGTGCGTCCTTCATTTGCTTACTCATTCAACTAGAGATAAAACGACCGATTTTGTTTGACTTCTCGAGCTAGAAGATACGTGCATTAATGCTAAGAGTTCCTTTCTCCTAGTTTTCAAGATGAGTATTCCATTAATTAGAAGAGATAAGTCTATTGACAATGAACAAACGGACACGTATTCACCATACATTATCGGCATGACACAACTCAACACGAGCGGGAAGGATCTCGATTATAAGACAGAAGATGTGTCCGGTGCGGAACGTAGTCGTCGAATCGTAGATTCCACTGTCGAAAAAGCATCAAAGCCCACTTCCAACGATGATCCTTTTACACAAGACGAGCCTATCATCGGTTACGCACAAGAACAACTTCTACCGCTCATCAACGCATGCGAGCCACTCTCTCATATCATTCATAACATCTCACATTACGCACACATCGCACTCACTCGTACTCCACAACTACCACCCGACGGACTAACTATCGACGAGAGTGCTGCCATTCGTCTCTACACCATGGAATGGCAACAGCCACACCAGAGTCTCTACACCATGCTCAACTATACACTCAAAAATCAAGATCGACAGCATCTTCGACCCTATTTCAAGTACATGAAACTGTTCATTACTGCACTGGCCAAACTGCCTTGTTTACCACCGTTGACCATCTGGCGTGGCATAACCAAAGATGTAAGCAAACAGTTTCTGCCCGGTTATTCGACGACGTGGTGGTCATTTTCATCGTGTACGACTGAACTGACTGTACTGGAAAACAACATCTATTTAGGTATTGATGGCAAACGAACACTGTTTTCGATCGAAGCGATCAATGCTCGAACAATTCGTGATCATTCTGATTTCACAACTGAAGATGAAGTTCTTCTGTTACCAGGTAGTCAGATGGTGGTTCAATCACAGTTCATGCCAGCAACTGATCTACATGTGATACATCTGAAACAAGTCGTACCCGAAGAAGTGTTGCTGGAACCGCCGTATTTTGGTGCTGATCTATATCCGAAAGCAAAGTGAGTTGTGTAGTGTTGTTATTTTTGGAGTGAGATTTAATTATCGTTGTCAGGCGTGCATGGTACCGGAAGAAAAGGATGTTGGTTTCAATGGGTGTACTATTAATATTTGGCATTGCAGGAATCATTATTGGTTCGGTTTTANTGATGAATAGTTTCATGTACCTGAAGTAGGGTCGAAGATGTTGTCGATCTTGATTTTTGAGTGTATAGTTGAGCATGGTGTAGAGACTCTGGTGTGGCTGTTGCCATTCCATGGTGTAGAGACGAATGGCAGCACTCTCATCGATGGTTAGTCCGTTGGGTGGTAGTTGTGGAGTGCGAGAGAGTGCGGTGTGTGCGTAGTGTTCGATGTTATGAATGATATGAGAGAGTGGCTCGCATGCGTTGATGAGCGGTAGTAGTGGTTCTTGTGCGTAACCGATGATGGGCTCGTCGTGTGTTGAAGATTCGTTGTTGAATGCGGGTTTTGATGTTTCGACAGTGGAATCTACGATTCGACGACTATGTGAGACGCCAGTTTCGACTTGTGTTTTATGGTTGGTATCTGTTGCATTTGTGTTTAGGAGTGTCATGTCGATGACGTAGGGCAAATAGCTGTTTGTCGCGCCATTGTTCGTAGTTTTTTTTTGTTTTATCAAAGGAGTATTCATCCCTAAAGAATACAAAGGGAAATGTGAAGATAGTATGATTATTTTTCTTGAAAACTACATGCGAAGATGAGAAGTGAAATATTTGAGTTTTTTTTAGCTCGTATATTCAGATATCCTAATTAAAATACGCTTTACCTTTATGACGCAATTAGAAATATAACTGACGATAGATAAAAATGAATGCAATACGCAGAACATATTTATATTTATTGTGTATCTTATTGAATAAGTGAGTCATGCGTAGGTAGTTTTTCTTCATCCTTCGTGCAATATTCTTCTTTCGGCTTTTGAGGCATACATGATGATTATGACTAATTATTTATAGATATAGGAAACTCAAGGTAAGAATAATATGACACGCACGTAAGTTATAATATTGTTATATTTATCTTCGGTCGTGGAATATCGTGAAACGGATGAAATCACTGGAACAAGATTATTTATTTCTTCTGATACTTATCCATTATTCCTTTCTTCCCCGTAGGAGCAGAAATAAATGGTCATCATTAACGAGTGAAAAACGTTACTCTCATATACGTAACTCCGTAAAGCAGTCAAACCGTAACTAAGGTCTAAAATCCGTTAAGGTCCGATGGTCATTCATTTGGGCAGAATGCAAACGATCTTGAACGTGTTTAAATTGAGAGACATTTTGAGGATGGGATTGTTTGTTACAATTCATTCGATTGATATCAGGAAGATAATGGCAATTCGAATAGTATCGATCTAATTGCTCAGGATCGCGCCAGTAATTCGCTGGACTAACCGCATTTTGTATCGCCGTTTCGTACGCGTATTTTGTTAGCAAATCTCGAAGTTCGATCGGTAATTGCAGAAGATAAGGAACACCGAAAACACCTTGATGAATACCACTTAGAGTTATGAGATTATAGACAGACAACGTTCAACAGCACCACGAGCGATGATACTACCTTGAGAATAACCGAGAAGATTGAAACCTTCACGAAGTCATGGTTTCGAATTGATTGATTCACAAAATTTTTCAACTTGAACATCTAATGGAAGAAAGTATGAATCGACTTTTCCATTTCCGATTTCGATTGAAACAACGTAGATGTCGGGATAAAGAGAACGAACCCATCGAGCGATGCCTTCCATGGCAGAAGCTGTTGAGGTGATACCGTGCATTAAGACAACTGAACGATAAATTAAACAGAATACAAATGGAATTTGGATGAAAAAAGAACAACTAAAAGAAGATTATCAACCATTCTTATTTCTCTTTTATAAGAAAAATATCGATTTTTTCAGTTGGATTTTATGTCAATCGATTAGCAAATAACATATGATATGTACTCTCACAATTATTAATGGAAAATAGGACAACATTTTAGTTTTTGAGCAGATTTTCACCTGAATGTTTTCTGTATTCGTTTTATGTCTCAAAAAATCATTGTTTATCTGAGCGAATCTTTCCGATATTTGTGAACGTTAAATATGCAAATGTTTTTGGAAGCTTTCTCTTCACACCAACAGTTTCTTTGATTGTTTAAACGATCTTTATCACCAATTAGTTCTACAGAAACGTTCTAATTGTTTCCTTTGAAATGTTTTCCAATTTCATTCTACAATCGCTCTTTGAAACTGAAATAGGAATCGAGAGCAACAATTCATGATCAACAAAGATGAAACCAAGAGTTCTGAACTGATTGAATCGATTCTTCATTTCCTCGAAATAATCAAAAAGTTCTTTGCACAAACGAAATAAGATCAGTTAACATATTTACCAATATTTTCACTGCAGTTTTATCAAAAGATTTTGTTTTCCTCTTTGGACAAAAATTGTCTCTAATAAATCGAACTCATTTTCTTGTTGATGAATCTGCTTGACTTTCTTATGCGTTCGATTTCTGAACTGATAACAATTATTCTTCAAGGCATTTTATTCCTCATTGAAGTTCGGTTGTTGTATTTATATAAGTTAAACAAAAATCTTTTTTTTGCAAAGTTTTTTTTGTGTAAACATTAATTTATGTTGAAAAGGAATTTGCTTTCAATTATAAAATGTATTCTACATTCAGCCTTTTCCAACTAATTAGACCGAATTTCTGGATTCTATAATTTTCTAAATCACCAACATAAAGATTTCCTTCACCATCAAATGATAAACCACGAGGATAAGACAATTGATTCGGTTCATTTCCTTGACCATTTCCACCAACAATTATTTCACCGTTTTCATCTCCTTCACACCATCGCACTATTCGGTGATTGTATATATCTGCAACATAAATTTGACCCTCATGATCAACAATGATTCCTTCAGGACAATTTAATTGATTCAGATTCTCTCCTTTTCCATTTCCACCAGCAACAACAATTCCTTCCTGCGCATCTTTTCTCCATTTCATCACACGATGATTCCCAAGATCTGAAACATAAATTGATTGTTTGTCATCGACAAACAGAGAGGTTGGAACGTTGAACTGATTGAGTTGATCTCCTTTTCCATTTCCACCAGCAACTAATGTTCCTTCACCCTTTTCTCCCTTTTTCCATCTTCTCACTTCATGTTTCTCACGATCAGAAACATAAACAAATCCAAATTTATCCATTGTTAACCGCCAACAGCTAATATTGTGAATGAGAATCTCCGACTGATTTGTGTTCAAAAACCATCGCATTACTCGTCGATTTCCGAAATCAGCAATGATGATTGAATTATTTTGTTCATCAAAAATCACATCCGTTGGCTCATTCAATTGATTCAAACTGTTTCCTTTTCCATTTCCACCAGCCACAACTGTTCCTTGATTTTCATTTCTTTTCCATCGAACAATTCGATCATTCCCCCAATCCGCAATGAAAATATTTCGATGTTTGTCGATAAATATTCCACCAGGATATGAAAGTTGATTTAATTTGTCTCCTCTTCCATTTCCTCCACAGATTGTTGATCCACTTTGTTTCCATTTCTTCAAGTTTGATTCTGCAACGATAAAAATTAACTTGATCTTTCGTATTTGAATTCATTGTTTAACAACACTGTGTATCAGAGAAATGGAAAATTTTCGACTTACTTCTTGTTGATTTCACTGAGATTCTTTTGATAAATGTTTGCGAACCTTGTTTAAGAAAGATTTCCGATGAATCGTTGAACTCCTTTGTGATTTCTCTTAATTTTTCTTTTAGATCTTTCAAATTCATTTCGTTCACTTCATTTTCTTCTTGAATTTCTTTCATTTCTCTAATCAGTTTATTGAATTTCTCTTCAATATCGACGAGAAATTCTTTATTTTCTTTGAGAAATGTTTGTCGACATTGTTGAGCTGTTTGTCGAATAATTTCGATCGAATTCTTTTCCCATTGATCAATTTGAATGAAGAGAGAAGAATTTTGTGGATTTTCTTTTGTTTCTTGAAGATTTTCTCTGAATTGATTATAATTGTTGATAATCGTGTTGAATTCTTCAGTCAAATCTTGTCGATGTTTCGTTAAATCCTCAAAACAGAATTCATTTGAACAACCTCGACAAGAATAGGTGAATTTGTGTTTTTTACAAAGAACACATTGTGTTTAATTTGTTGTCAGTTTGTCAATCAGAGTGAATTTCTAAAGATAATTTTGAAGTCAAAGTGAAGAAAAATGTCGACATTTGTTGGACATTTTTCAATGAATTAGTCATCTGTTTTTTCCTTCGAATCGATCACGATTCACGAACAAATGGGAAAATATTATGAAAAATAAACCTGTGTGTCTTTTATAGTGACATCTGTTCCGAATCGTTCTAAAGGTATTTCATCGTTTTCTTTTACATTTCACAAAATATGAATAATTTGTTCGATCTTAACAATCAATACGATACGAAAAAAAGAATTCTTCTTTTTCACTCTGGAATTTTCTTCATAAACACATGAAAAAGTTATTTTGAGAGAATTCAAATGAGTTCGTAAAACGATCATCGTCTCATCTAAATTTTCCTTTTCATTTCTGAACAATTGATGTTTGACTGAGACAAAAATCTTTTTATTTTCAAATGATTCTTTTCATTGATAAGAAAATGATTTTCTATAGAAAATATTTTTCTTCTTTGTTTTTGAGAAATACTTCAAAATCTACAAACTTGTTTTGCATATACTAAATATCTTGGATATTAAATAAGAACAACTATGAAACAGAAGATGAATTACGTCAAATCACGACTAAGTGTCATACGATGTTAAATTAAAACAAAAGGCAATTGCTGTTTTTGAAAAACTTCAATTAATATTCAATATCAGATTGAATTGCTTTCAGGAAGAGTTTTGTCTATTCTATAACTTTGTTAAACCAGATAACGTTCATTTCTTTTTCCAAAGTAATGCACTGAAAAAGCAGAAATATCTTCTATCAGTCGATGGTATTTTTGACAAAAATCGAAGTAAATGACAAGTTTTACGTTCGAGGATATTTTATTCAACTAAAAATACATTTATCGATGATTTCTGTTCGAAAGATTCTGAGTAGTTCATCATCATGATCCATTTTGTTGTCACAAAGAGTCTTTTATGGAAAGCTCTCGTAGAGTAAAACGTTTATTTTTAAGAGATTTGTCTTCATAATTACGAACTGCAATATTATTGTAAGAGGTAAAGACCGAACAATCGCTACTTGAATAACTTAGAAAAATGAAGGAGAGATGCTTGTATTTTATAAGAGAAAGAGTCAAGTCTTAGTAGTGCATGAAATCATCTACTTGATTTGTTGTGTCATTTTCATTTCGGAATCAAATTTTCTCCGTATTTTACACTGATTATTAATTTCATAAGGTGGATTTAGTGAAATCTTTATTCGTGAATTGATAAACTAAACAAATTCCGATCTTCAAAGTTAATTTTGTCATTACGTGATCTGATCGAACTGCCATTTCTTAGTATCGATTGGAATCTGATGTGTATAAATCATCAAAGTTCGACAAAAACACAATATTCAACTAATTGCTGGTAAAGGTTGAATAGCTTTTCTAATGTTCATTGGATGCGATGAAATTTGATTTCGTTTTCGAAATAAAATCTGTCTAACTTGTCGATTTACGCCGAAAAGAAATATCGAATGAATTGCCGAAGTAAATGTCAGTGACAAAACTTCGATGGAATATAAAGAAGCAGGAGCTCGACCAAACCGATTCATTAAAAGACAAATTATATATGGAATACCACCGAGTACGTGAAGACTAACTGTAAAGATAATATAATGGAATAATTTTCGATTTCTTCGATTTCTACTACGTGAATTGAAATCAAATTGATCAATTGTTTGGTAAAGAATAATTCCATAGAGAATTATCAAGGTGAGAGCAGTAATGAATACGAAAAGGATGCTTATTGAAAATGATGTGGGGAAATAATGAGTTGTTAAGGTACAAAAATGAGATTCGGGATCATATTGATAAGCAAATGGAGAAATGAACATTCCGACAGCAATGAGAAGATTTATTAACCAACTGATGAGAATAATAATCGAATTTGTACGAAATGTTAGAAGATTTTTATGTTTTGAAAGAATGAGAAGAAAAAAACGATAAATTGCTTGAACGAGACAAGAATGAGCGACTATTCCTGTACTAAATGTCGCCAAACAAGCACTAATTTGACAGAATAATCGACTTGATTGCGATCCATCGAAATAAATCTGTCGAATAAATGAAGGTGTTTGAATGGAATAAGTAATTGCCAAGAAAATCAAACAAATACAAGAATTACACATGAGAAGATTACTAACCGATCGAAAATGATTGTGCCAATTATATAGAATGATAATCAATATCGTTAAAGTTGGAATTACGATGAATAAACAAGATATTAGAAAAAGAACATTAACAATTTCATGAAAAACTCGATCGGACATCATTTTTAGATACGATGAAGAATCTAAGATGAAGTAATAGTAGAAATGAGTCTGGGATCTGATACAACACAATGAGTTAATCCATGAGGGTGTAAAATGAAGTTCTCAGAACAGAAACCTACGCATTAGACTTCTATGTTTGGATAAAAATAACTTTTCTCTAAGTAAAAGAGTACGAATTGAAGACTGTTGAATAAATGAGAAGCTCAATAATAATGTGGAACATGATTCTTTAGAAAAAAGAGTTTACTAAGTCTTTGCACTAATATCATTTGTTGCCAAAGTTTGCTTGAAAGAGCTCAGACTTGTATAATAAAGGAAGCATATGATAATTTAATTAAACATCATCATTAAAAGTGCTTTAGGATTTGATAAAGAGATATACCAGGTGGAGCATAGCCACTGGCTATTGAGAAACGTCGGCATAGAAAACTATAGGAAGTGCGCAGATGAATAAACTTCAAACTGAAGAACCATCCGATTCTTTTCTTTCCGATCAAGTTCTAATTCATTATTTATTGGAGTTTATTTCTATCAACCAATGTTTTTCTTCACATTGTACCTTCATTCATTAGAAACATTCCTGTCTTTTTTAAATGGCAGTCGGACGGGTCACTTCATGATAGATAAAACATTGATTTTCACCTGGTTTACGTTCAAAACGTGCAAAACCATTTTCACCCCATCCTGCACCCCATGAATTTTTCACACGCCAAAACGGAACACCTGTTTGTGCATCCGTACCCCAACCCGTCAGTAAAACAGCATGATTGACATGTGGTGGACACGGACCACGNGTAAAGGTCAGTGATAAAACTTCGAAGGAATATAACGAAGTAGAGGCTCGACCAAACCGATTCATTAAAAGACGAAATAATGAAATAATTTTCGATTTCTACTACGTGAATTGAAATCAAATTGATCAATTGTTTGGTAAAGAATAATTCCATAGAGAATTATCAAGGCGAGAGCAGTAACGAATACGAAAAGGATGCTTATTGAAAATGATGTGGGGAAATAATGAGTTGTTAAGGTACAAAAATGAGATTCGGGATCATTTTGATAAGCAAATGAAGAAATGAACATTCCGACACCAATGAGAAGATTTATTAACCAACTGATGAGAATGATAATTGAATTTGTACGAAATGTTAGAAGATTTTTATGTTTTGAAAGAATGAGAAGACAAAAACGATAAATTGCTTGAACAAGACAAGAATGAGCGACTATTCCTGTACTAAATGTTGCTAAACAAGCACTAATTTGACAGAATATTAGACTTGACTCTGATCCATCGAAATAAATCTGTCGAATAAATGAAGATGTTTGAATGGAATAAGAAATTGCCACGAAAATCAAACAAATACAAGAATTACACATGAGAAGATTACTAACCGATCGAAAATGATTGTGCCAATTATACAGAATGATAAACAATATCGTTAAAGTAGGAATTACGATGAATAAACAAAATATTAGAAAAAGAGCATTAACTATTTCATGAAAAACTCGATCGGACATCATTTTTAGATACGATGAAGAATTTAAGATGAAATAATAGTAGAAATGAGTCTGGGATCTAATACAACACAATGAGTTAATCCATGAAGGTGTAAAATGAAGTTACCAAAACAGAAACCTACGTGTTAGACTTCTGTGTTTCGATAAAAATAACTTTTCTTTAAGTAAAAGAGTACGAATTGAAGACTGTTGAATAAATGAGAAGCTCAATAATAATGTACAAAATGATTCTTTAGAAAAAAAGAGTTTACCAAATCTTTACACTAATATCATTTGTTATCGAAGTTTGATGCTTGAAAAAGCTCAGACTTGTATAATAAAGGAAACAAATGATAATTTAATTAAACATCATCATTAAAAGTGCTTTATGATTTGATAAAGAGATATACCAGGTAGAGCATAGTCACTGACTATTGAGAAACGTCACCATAGAAAACTATAGGAAGTGCGCAGATGAATAAACTTCAAACTGAAGAACCATCCGATTCTTTTCCTTCCGATCAAATTCTAATTCATTATTTATTGGAATTTATTTCTATCAACCAATGTTTTTCTCGACATTGTACCTTCATTCATTAGAAACATTCCTGTCTTTTTTAAATGGCAGTCGGACGGGTCATTTCATGATAGATAAAACATTGATTTTCACCCGGTTTACGTTCAAAACGTGCAAAACCATTTTCACCCCATCCTGTACCCCATGAATTTTTCACACGCCAAAATGGAACACCTGTTTGTGCATCCGTACCCCAACCCGTCAGTAAAACACCATGATTGACATGTGGTGGACACGGACCACGATAAACTCCACCACCATATCCACCCATAAAATCAGCATTAATAGCAATAGCGACAGGACCTTTGGATACAAGTCGTATGAGTAAATCATCATTGACTGTGTCCCAGGCATCGTGATATGTTTCTTTATTATCAAAGAAATGTGTCGCACCCATACGTTGAGCAAAACGTTCGCTACATGCATGTGCATTGAAATTGGTATCATGAAGACCTTGATATGGATAACGAGCTTCAGTTGCCAAAGCTGTTTTAGGCGATCGAATCAAATAATTGATTGAATCATCGAAATTCGATGACCAACAGCCGCCTTTGCCTGGAATAGAACAGTCGATCAGTTGTTGTTCTGACAGAGGAACAGCATCCCGTTCATGTCGAATGGCATAAGCACTTTCTAATGCAGCGGCGACCCTAAACATTAGAAGAAGATGAAAATATTGTGAAATTTGAATTTATATCCATACGCAAAGAATGTGCAAGTTCCACATCCACCTTGATTTTTCGCATTAGTAACAGTTTGGTAGGTCATTGATGTCCAATCGAAATCTTTGGGATAACCATTCGGCAAAAGATCCCCGCGTCCACCCCACCAAGTTGATTGACGACAATACGCTCCATCGTAAAAATCAAAACCAAATACTTCACAACATTTCTGTGGCATTGTACTTTCTGAACAACAGTGACTGTTTGAAGCTTGGCATCCATCTGGTACATTAGCAGGATGAGCACCACGGCACCATTCTCCATCCCACCAGGCAAAACCAAGTGCTGCACAACATTCACTTGGATTTCCTGATGATCGACAACATTGTGAATCATGGTGAATACATCCATTTGGTACGACGCCGTTGACTCCACTATCGTAACTACATTGACGACGATTCCAACTACCTAAACCAAGAGCTGAGCAACAAGCATTAGGATTTGATGATGAGATACAACAGTTGCTCGCGTCACGACGACAATTCATTGGAACTGTGCAAGCGGTTGATGATGATGAACGAGTTTGCACAGGTGTTGGTGGTGAATTTGGAATAGGAGCAAAGGCTAATTGTGGCGTGAGAATTTCGGTTTCGAATTCCAATTGAGTTAAATCAGAAAACTGATTGACGGCCTTTGTGTAAGTTCGGTTAACTTGGGCATTATGTCGTTCAATTTCATGTAGATTGAAGACAAAAATCGATTTGCGTAGTTGATTTTCTGCATCTGTCACGTATTTTTTACCATATCGTTGGATGTAATTCGACCATTCTTCATCTACACTATTACTACTGAAGATCGATTGACAGAGAGATAGAAAAATCAACGAGAATACTGCAGAATGAGCCAACACCTTCATATTTTGTCTGAATATATTTTTCAATATATCGTATTAGATATTTATAGTCTCAAACATGACGAGGTCAGTTAAAGTGTATTTATTCACTGAAAGACAGAGGTGGTAAGATAAAACAATCAGACTTCTGATATTTGATAGTCATGATCTACAATATATCTTTGACTTTCATCTTCGCTAATCGATTTTTTAAAAGGAAGTACGTAAAAGTATAATTCGTATATGAAATCTGAGAGCGAGAATCTACTTGCTTTGGCTTACGCCTTCATTCGTTGATGAGAATCTTTCAAAGTGGTTTATTAATGATAAATAAGAGAAAAAGAAAATATTCAAGGATTTGATAAATAACAAATATCATTCGGTGCTAATGCTTGACTAAAAATGTATAATTCATCAACAACACCAACAAACTGTTTCATTGAAATTGATCCTCTTTGACAAGAACTTGTATTTGTTGGTGACGAACCAAGAAAAACATAAGATCCAAAGGGCGAATGTGTTGATAATGATGTATTTGATATAATCACAGTTCCATTCACGTAGAAATCAGTTCCACTTGATGGATCATATCTTTGAAGAAGATGAGTCCATTGATTCAATGAAAATGAACTTGAAATCATCATTGAAGTAAGTTGATTTGATGAATCAATGAAATTTACATTGAATGAACCATTCGAAGAAAATCCCCACAAGGAAAAACAAACACCCAAACCTAAACAAACCAACAACAACAAATAATGAAAATCATCTTCAAAAGTGAAAGAAAATCATCACCATTAGATTGAGTTGATGTATGAAGAAGTATTCCACCACCAGTCAAATTCATTGGTTTAATCCACATGGAAATTGTAAATGGATAATTTAACATATTGAAAAGATTAATTCCTTCAATTGTCACATATGACAATGAAGATGAGAATTGTATTCCTTGATTTACTTGTCCAATTGTTTGAATTCCATTTGAATTGATGGCATTGATTAGATTTGGTCCTGAGTCGATCAAAGGTGATAAAGATTCGAATTGAAAATAACAGAAAAGTATTGCATTTAAGTAGATTTCACATGGACTTTTAACTCGATAACTGATTCCAAAATGATCAATAGAACCAGAATAATAAACAAATGGTGATGAATCTCCACCAGCCCGTCCACCACCAATTGTAAATAATGCAACTGTTGCAGACAAATGATTACTCACAGTTCTATTCCCATCTAATAAACCATTTAAATAAATCAATTGTTGTTTTACTGTCGAATCGTACACAAATGTTGCATGATACCATCGATTTATCATTAAATTTGTTTTGGCAAATGTATCATCGCCAAAAAATACTATGCGAAGAAGTTTATAACGAACATTGAGACATAAACATTGATCGTTTGTCGATGATTGACATTCGCCAGCAAAAATCAAATCTTTAAAACCTGTGAGATTAGTTGTATAAAACCAAAAATCAATTGTAAATGAACGATTATTCAATGGAATATGATTTTTAGTCGAAAGATATTTGTAATCAGTATATGTAAAGTTAATAGCTAAACCAATCCATCCAGAAACATAACTCACCGGAAATGTTTCATTCATTGAATAATTACCAACATTATCAAATGTGTTATTATCAAATGTATAAAATGCAATTGTTGATATTTTTGATATTGTTGTATTTAAACATGAATATTCACATGAAACATTTTCTAAATTGTTATTCAAATTGAATTTTTGAATTCGATGATTTTGTTGATCAACAACAAAAAGATTTCCAAACGAATCAAAACTGAGACTCGATGGATAATTCAATTGATTTGTACTTATTCCAACTGATCGATTACATCCGACTAAACAACGAAAACCTTGAGCATTTTGTCCAAGAATTCGATGATTAGCCGAATCAACAACAAATAAATAACCTTGTTTATCCAATGTAATTCCACTTGGACAATTCAGATCAAATGTTTGATTTGTAAAGATTGTTTTTCCAAGAAATGAATCTAATTGAAATGATTGAATTCGATCATTTCCACAATCTGCAACAAATAAAGTTGAATTGATTTCATCAATAAAGATTCCTCGAGGATTTCGAAGTGTTGTTGATGTTGTTCCTGCACTTCCTGTTCCTGCCACGATTTTCAAATGATTCCATTGATTGAATAATGATTTGGAAATGATTTGATGTTGTTCAGATAATGAACAATAAAGAATTTGATTTTCACTGATGAAAATATCAAAACATTCTTTACACAAATTCAATCGTGGAATTGAAATCAAATTTGTTGAATTTCTTTCAATTTCACTTATGACACTCGTTAACGATGAATAGAATGTGTTCACATAAATCTTTTCTTCTTTTGTTACGAATAAACTTGATGAATTTATTAAATAAACAGAAATATTCTGCATTAAACTTAAATTTCCTTGGGGAAAAATGAAAATCTGTTGATTTAGAATATAAATTGTGTTATTTTCATTGATAAACAAATCAAATAGATTTGATCCGATGAGAGTTTGATTAATAATTGTTAATCCATTTGTATTCCATGTTGAATTCGAAGAAAGATTTGGTCGATTGTATGAATAACCTCAATTTACGAAAAAATCATTTGTGTGTTAATTTAATCAATTTTCACTGAAATTATAAAGATAATTTACCTGATATATGTGTTATTAAGAGTAAAAGAAGGAAGAAATACAACTTTTGAGTGAAGAACATTGTGAACAACTAAGTTTTCTCATCTTCAAATAAATTTTTCTTTCAAATCTTTGTTTATTAAAAAGAAAAAATAATCAAATAATGAAATCATCAATGAATTTGAAAAGATATTTGAGACAAATGTTCAGATCAGAAGAAATCATGATAAAAAGAACTTTTGATTTTTGTCAGGAATTTCTTTATGATTTCTTAAATTGTCTTTTAAAGAGATTTTCTGTTTGCTTAAATATCGGAAGAATAAATCATATTTTATCGACTTTTCTTTATTAATTGTGTCCTGAAATTCTCACAGTTTCGATTCAAAAATAAAGATTTTTACATTTTCATTCGATCTTCTTTAGAACGATGAATTTTCTGTTTTTGAGAAAATCTTCGTAACAAAATGTTGTTTTCACATATCGATGAGTCGAAAATCGAATTTTAATACAAAACAAATTGCGTTTTCTTTGTATGAACAGAAGAGCAAATCGATTTGTGTTCATTTACAGGTTTTCTATCGTATGAAAACTATCGATTGTTCTCAAAAGAAAAGACAAATTCAAAGTCTAATTTTGGTAATTTCACTCGAATTCTTACTTTTTTATACAAAGGAACAACAGAAAAGAATTGGGAAATCTTTCTGTCAACAAAAACTGATTCTTTTCCGTCTCAGAGAAAAGTCATGAGACAAAGGCAGTGAATTTCAGAATAAGTTCATATAAAATAAAGCAATTGGAATAGATCACAGAGGAGAAATCATTTCTGATGATCTTTCGTTTTATTGACGATAGTTTTTGTTAACTAATTTACTAGATAAAGTGCGTATACGCGTTTAAATAGAGAAAATAAAGTAAAACATAAAAGGTTCAAAATGTTAAAATGATCGTTTATTGATGATCTTCGTCTTTTGATAAAACACCTCTCGATATTTTTGGGTTTGATCAAATATTTTATTCATTATGGAAAAATATTTTTCTTTGACAACGAAGATTTTAATTATTGGAAAGAAAATCTTCTCATCAAAAAATATCTAACGGATTAATAAGTCAATGAAGAAATTTTTCAGTTACACAATGAGGATTGGACTACGCGTATTATTTTCGATACAAAAAAGATTTTCATTCAAACTTTACTTTTTCCTCTGAAGTGAATTTCAAATTTTCTTCATTTTTGGGTTCCGATTCTCGAGAAAAGATGTTCTACAAAGTATTCAGCCGAAAAGTCGAACTAATTTCATTCTTTAGTGTAGAAAGACTAAACGAGATGTTCTCTTTATTTTCGAAATTTATTTTTCTCAAAAGTTTTCTTTGCACGACGTTTTTTTAACTTCAAAAATTTTGAAAAACTTTATCTTTTCTCAAACAATTAAATCAAATCGTTGAATTCGATGATTTCCCCAATCAACAACATAAAGATTTCCTTCACCATCAAATGATAAACCACAAAGACCAGCCAATTGATTGGGTTCATCTCCTTCTCCATTTCCACCAACAATTATTTCACCTTCTTCATCTCCTTCACACCATCGCATTATTCGATGATTCGCACAATCTGCAACATAAATTCGACCCTCATGATCAACAATGATTCCTTGAGGATAATACAGTTGATTCAGATTCTTTCCGCATCCATTTCCACCAGCAACAACAATTCCTTTCTGCGCATATTTTCTCCATTTCATCACACGATAATTCCCAAAATCTGAAACATAAAGAGATTGTTCCTCATCGCCAAACAGAGAAGTTGGACAGTTGAACTGATTGAGTTGATCTCCTTCTCCATTTCCACCAGCGACTAATGTTCCTTCACCCTTCTCTCCTATTTTCCATCTTCTCACTTCATGTTTCTCATCATCAGAAACATAAACAAATCCAAATTTATCCATTGTTAATCGACAACACCTAATATTGTGCATGAGAATCTCCGAGTGATTTGTGTTCAAAAACCATCGCATTACTCTTCGATTTCCAAAATCAGCGATGATGATTGAATTATTTTGTTCATCGAAAATCACATCTGTTGGTCGATCCAATTGNGAAGAAGATGAGTCCATTGATTCAATGAAAATGAACTTGTAATCATCATTGAAATAAGTTGATTTGATGAATCAATGAAATTTACATTGAATGAACCATTCGAAGAAAATCCCCACAAGGAAAAACAAACACCCACACCCTCAAATTCATTGGTTTAGTGCACATGGAGATTGTAAATGGATAATTTAACATATTGAAAAGATTAATTTCTTCAATTGTCACATATGACAATGAAGATGAGAATTGTATTCCTGGATTTACTCGTCCAATTGTTTGAATTCCATTTGAATTGATGGCATTGATTAGATTTGGTCCTGAATCAATTAAAGGTGAGAAAGATTCAAATTGAAAATAACAGAAAAGTATTGCATTTAAGTAGATTTCACATGGACTTTTAACTCGATAACTGATTCCAAAATGATCAATAGAACCAGAGTAATAAACAAATGGCAATGAATTTCCACCAACCGGTCCACCACCAATCGTAAATAATGCAACTGTTGCAGACAAATGATTACTCGTGGTTCTATTCCTATCTAATACACCATTTAAATAAATCAATTGTTGTTTTACTGTCGAATCGTACACAAATGTTGCATGATACCATCGATTTATCGTTAAATTTGTTTTGACAAATGTATCATCGCTAAAAAATACTAGGCGAAGAAGTTTATAACGAGCATTGAAACTTAAAAAGTGATCGTTTGTCGATGATTGACATTCACCAGCAAAAATCAAATCTTTAAAACCTGTGAGATTAGTTGTATAAAACCAAAAATCAATTGTAAATGAACGATTATTCAATGGAATATGATTTTTAGTCGAAAGATATTTGGAATCAGTATATGTAAAGTTAACAGCTAAACCAATCCATCCAGAAACATAACTCACCGGAAATGTTTCATTCATTGAATAATTACCAACATTATCAAATGTGTTATTATCAAATGTATAAAATGCAATTGTTGATATTCTTGATATTGTTGTATTTAAACATGAATATTCACATGAAACATCGTCTAAATCGTTATTCAAATTGAATTTTTGAATTCGATGATTTTGTTGATCAACAACAAAAAGATTTCCAAACGAATCAAAACTGAGACTCGATGGATAATTCAATTGATTTGCGCTTATTCCAACTGATCGATTACATCCGATTAAACAACGAAAACCTTGAGCATTTTGTCCAAGAATTCGATGATTAGCCGAATCAACAACAAATAAATAACCTTGTTTATCCAATGTAATTCCACTTGGACAATTCAGATCAAATGTTTGATTTGTAAAGATTGTTTTTCCAAGAAATGAACCAAATTGAANGAATTTTTTGAATTCGATGATTTTGTTGATCAACAACAAAAAGATTCCCAAACGAATCAAAACTGAGACTCGATGGATAATTCAATTGATTTGCACTTGTTCCAGCTGATCGATTACATCCGACTAAACAACGAAAACCTTGAGCATTTTGTCCGAGAATTCGATGATTAGCCGAATCAACAACAAATAAATAACCTTGTTTATCCAATGCAATTCCACTTGGGCAATTCAGATGAAATGTTTGATTTGTAAAGATTGTTTTTCCAAGAAATGAACCTAATTGAAATGATTGAATTCGATCATTTCCACAATCTGCAACAAATAAAGTTGAATTGATTTCATCAATGAAGATTCCTCGAGGATTTCGAAGTGTTGTTGATGTTGATCCTGCATTTCCTGTTCCTGCAACAGTTGACAGGTAGTCCCATTGATTGAGTAATGATTTGGAAATAATTTGATGTTGTTCAGATAATGAACAATAAAGAATTTGATTTTCACTGATGAAAATATCGAAACATTGTTTACACAAATTCAACCGTGGAATTGAAATCAAATCTGTTGAATTTCTTTCAATTTCACTTATGACACTCGTCAACGACGAATCGAATGTCTCCACATAAATCTTTTCTTCTTTTGTTACGAATAAACTTGATGAATTTATTAAATAAACAGAAATACTCTGCATTGAACTTAGATTTCCTTGTGGAAAAATGTGAATCTGTTGATTTAGAATATAAATTGTGTTATTTTCATTGATAAACAAATCAAATGGATTTGATCCGATGAGAGTCTGATTAATAATTGTTAATCCATTTGTGTTCCATGTCGAATTCGAAGAAAGATTTGGTCGATTGTATGAATAACCTCAATTTACGAGAAAATCATTTGTGTGTTAATTTAATCAATTTTCACTGAAATTGTAAAGATAATTTACCTGATATACGTGTTATTAAGAGTAAAAGAAGGAAGAAATGCAACTTTGGAGTGAAGAACATTGTGAACAACTAAGTTTTCTCATCTTCAAATAAATTTTTCTTTCAAATCTTTGTTTATCAAAAAGAAAAAATAATCAAATGATGAAATCATGAATGAATTTGAAAAGATATTTGAGACAAATGTTCAGAACAGAAGAAATCAGAATAAAAAGAACTTTTGATTTTGTCAGGAATTTGTTTTTGATTTCTTAAATTATGTTTTTTAAAAAGACTTTCTCTTTGCTTAAATATCGGAAGAATAAATCATATTTTATCGATTCTTTTATTAATTGTGTCCTGAAATTCTCAGTTTCGATTCAAAAATAAAGATTTTTACATTTTCATTCGATCTCCTTTAGAACGATGAATTTTCTGTTTTTGAGAAAATCTTTGTGACAAAATGTTCTTTTCACATATCGATGAGTCGAAAATCGAATTTTAATACAAAACAAATTGCGTTCTCTTCGTATGAACAGAAGAGCAAATCGATTTTTTCACAGAAAGGAACAACGGAGAAGAATTGGGAAGAGTTTTCGATCAACAAAAACTGATTCTTTTCCACATCAGAGAAAAAGTCACGAGACAAAGGCAATGAATTTCAGAATAAATTCATATAAAATAAATCAATCGGAATGGATCCCGGAGGAGAAATCATTTTTGATGATTTTTCGTGTTATTTACGAGAGTTTTTGTTGACTAATCTACTCGATAAAGTGCGTATACCCGTTTAAATAGAGAAAAAAAAGCAAAACATAAAAGATTCAAAACGTTCAAAATGATCGTTTATTGATGATCTTCTTCTTTCGAGAAAATACTTCTCGATATTTTTGGTTTTCATGAAATGTTTTATTCAATATGGAAAAAGATATTTTTTTGACAACAAAGATTTTAATTATTGGAAAGAAAATCTTCTCATCAAGAAATATCTAACGGATTAATAAGTCAATAGAGAAGTTTTTCAGTTACACAATGAGGATTTGACTGCGCGTATTATTTTCGATGCAAAAAGATTTTCATTCAAACTTTACTTTTTTTTCTGAAGAGCATTTCCATTTTTTTCATTTTTGGGTTCCGATTGTCGAGAAAAGATGTTCTACGAAGTATTCAGTCGAAAAGTCGATCGAATTTCTTTCTTTAGTGTAGAAAAACTAAACGAGATGTTTTCTTTATTTCAGAAAGTTATTTTTCTCAAAGGTTTTCTTCGCACGACGTTTTTTAACTTCAAAAGTTTTGAAGAACTTTTTCTTTTCTCAAGCAATTAAATCAAATCGTTGAATTCGATGATTTCCACGATCATCAACATAAAGATTTCCTTCACCATCAAATGATAAACCAAAAGGACAAGACAATTGGTTAGGTTCATTTCCTTTTCCATTTCCACCAACAATTATTTCACCTTTTTCATCTCCTTCACACCATCGCACTATTCGATGATTCTCATAATCTGCAACATAAATTTGACCTTCATGATCAACAATGATTCCTTGAGGATAATTCAATTGATTCAGATTCTTTCCGCATCCATTTCCACCAGCAACAACAATTCCTTTCTGCGAATCTTTTCTCCATTTCATCACACGATCATTTCCCCGATCTGAAACATAAAGAGATTGTTCGTCATCGACAAACAGAGAAGTTGGCCTGTAGAACTGATTGAGTTGATCTCCTTTTCCGTTTCCACCAGCAACTAATGTTCCTTCACCCTTTTCTCCTATTTTCCATCTTCTCACTTCATGCTTCTTATAATCAGAAACATAAACGAATCCAAATTTATCCATTGTTAACCGACAACAGTCGATATTGTGAATAAGAATCTCCGACTGATTTGTGTTCAAAAACCGTCGCATTACTCTTCGATTTGCAAAATCCGCGATGATGAGTGAATTATTTTCTTCATCGAAAATCACATCTGTTGCCCGATCCAATTGATTCAAACTGTTTCCTCTTCCATTTCCACCAGCCACAACTGTTCCTTGATTTTCATTTCTTTTCCATCGAACAATTCGATGATTCCCCGAATCCGCAATGAAAAGACTTTGATGTTTGTCGATAAATATTCCAATAGGATATGAAAGTTGATTTAATTTGTCTCCTCTTCCGTTTCCTCCACAGATTGTTGATCCATTTTGTTCCCATTTCTCCAACTTTGATTCTGCAAAGACAAAAATTAACTTGATCTTTTGTATTCGAATTCATTGTTTAACAACACTGTGTATGAGAGAAAGATATTTTTCAACTTACTTCTTGTTGATTTCACCGAAATCCTTTTGATAAATGTTTGTGAATCTTCTTCGATGGAGATGTCTGATGAATCGTTGAATCAAGGAACAGTTGTGGCTGGTGGAAATGGA